AAAAAAAAAAAAAAAAAAAGGACAGCGGTTTGTGCTACTATTCACAGTTACTATTTGTTCTGAATAGCGTTTGTTATCACTTGTTGGATGGAAAATCGTGTATACTTATGAGCAAGAATTATCCTCTTAGACTTAGACCGTGGAAAATAAAGAAGTCTCATCATTTGTCTAAGCTCTCATCAGGGGTCTCTTCCGCTTAGAATTTATTTTGAATGTCTAAGTATTCAAAGCATACAATTCAATCTCTTAGCTACATGCTCTCAGGCCTTTGTCTCCTCTGCAATCGTGATGGATGATAAGGATCAAGTGGGTCACATCGACCGCTCTAGACCATGTATAGGCTGACTAATTCCTCGGCAAACAATTTAGTGGGCCACACGGTCGCGCCAGACTCTCCACTCCATCACGCCTGGAGAGATTTTTCTCATACTTTCCCCCACCAGAACAGGACCCTGAAATTCAGACCATCGACCTTTTTTTCACCCTTCATCAACACACCACCAAACTCATTCAAGATGCCTATCAGCAAGAAGGACCGAAGAAACAAGGAGCAGTAAGCCAAGACTCTTTGTCGTCATTATTCTAGGACATCTTATTGACATTTCTTTCAGCAAGAGGGCCGATGCCGCTGGAACTCGTGCTCCCGTCAAGGCCAACGGTCTTCCCGTCAAGGCTCCTAAGCCCACCTCTATCGTATGTGATTTATCTCACGAGAACAAAGAAGCCAACTAACTTACCAAGTGCCAAAACTGCCGCAAGGAGATTGTCAACACCAACAAGCTCCAGCTCGAGGTTCACGCCTCGACCCACGATGCCAAGCTGTGGCCCAAGGAGAAATGCTGGCCCAACGATTTCCAATAGATGATGAGTCTATTGGTGGCCAAGTTCGATGAGCTATTCTGGGGAAGACGCATTGAAGGGAACCACTCGGGGAATGTGCATTTGAAGTTTCGCAATAATGACTCATGAAAGTCTAGATTAACGGTAAAATCAATAAATTCGGCGTTTCGTGTATCAAATCTCTTTCAACTTTGAAAAACATGGCCTAAGTGTTTATTACAATATTAATGCTTTCCTTCCAAATTCCCAGGAACTCCATTATGGGCAGGCAGCAGAGTGTGATCAAACCCGTAACCCTCAAGGGTCGATAGCTCGTTGCAAGGCAGTGATAATAATCAGGGAAAATTTGACCTTTACACCAAAGCAACGAAAAGCCTGGATCTGCTGCCCATCGGAGTCGTCTCTTCGGGGTTTCAATTCGGACTATATTGGGCTTGGAAGAAAAGCGCTCACGATGATGAGAGGTTAGTATCCTCCAGCGCAGTCATCAATAACTTCTGTGTAGCAAGGTCGACGGCAAAAACACCCGGTGATCCTTCGATATCAAGAGATTCGCCCAGTCTCTTCATGGAGAATATCTCACGTTTGATGCATATACCGCCATCTTCTGACGGCATGTACAGTGATATCTCTCGTCCAACAACGCCATCTGGCCCAACTTTTATAGGCCCAACAACAAAATGTCGAACTCTATTCTCGTCCGGGGGCAAAGTGTTATACCGCGTGGACCTTCCCGAAAATTGCGTTGTGACACCGTGTTCGAGATCGATTATCCGCTGCGCGACGACTTGCAGCGTACGGCTATTCCATAGACTCTCTTGCGCAGCACAGAGAACACCCATCAGTCGCAGCGCCTCAATCCGCGTTTCAAAATCTCGACATTTGATGGCCACGAAGAACAGAAACGGCGCGAAGCCCATCTCGAAATGAAATTCGGACGTCGTCGGCCTAGTCCTCAGTCCAGCGAGTTCGCCCGCACCCTTGATCATTTCTTTGAAATTCGGGATAAACACATCGTAATCAGTTTCGTCTGTTGAGACGATCACAGTTGAAAGAGCCATGCAAACATGATATTGTTGAAGCGGCCATATCCGCGAATTTTTGGTTGTTGAGTTGAGCTCGATTGACGTTTCGGACTCGAATCTCTCGAATGCAGACTTCCACTGAGCCAGGTGGCCATGAATCTTTTCTTGCTCGATGAATATCTCGGGTGGGCCCGGCTGATGTCGCATTTTGCCAAGACGATATTCTCCGGTACTTCGGAAAAGTTGTATGGTCAAGTTGTAAATCGCATCTATCGAAACTTGGGCTTCGAAGTATGACGAGAAATTAGTATCAACTGTTGCAGCTGGTTGTGTCAACGCAGGACAATCAGCCAAGGGTTGTGAATCGCCAAAGTAAAAGGGCAAGATGCTGAGTCTCCTAAATATCGGCATCAGATAGTATAGTGCCCACTTTGGTGGATCACAAGTACCGAGTAGGTTGATCCCATGATAGCAATGTTGAATAGCAACGTCTCCGTTTGAATGCAAAACTTCGATGCATACAAATAGAAGGCATGTCAACAACGTCAGTACCAAGTCCGGGTTTTGAGTTCCTCGAAGTTCCCGAATAGCCGCATTATAATGCTTCAGAGCCGCGACATTTCTTTGACCTGCAGAATTCGAGTAACTATCATGACGCTGGCGGTTCTCAAACAGAGAGCTGATTGTCATGATAGAATGCCTGACAGCAGGTTCATGCTCAGCAAACTGCAGGACGATATGCGTCCAAAAGTAAGGATCGATAGGTCCGGACAGCGACGGAGCAGCAACTTTGCAAAAGAACTCGATAGCTCTCGATTCGTTTCTCGTCGAATCCCCAAGAACGTGTTGCCTCGGTTGCACGAGCTCAAGACGAGATGACGTGAAATCCAGCCCTTGGCATACCCGACCGGCGTTGACGCATCGCAGACACGCTGGCTTCGTCTCGTCGCATTTTATTTTCCGGGCTTTACAGGTCAAACATCCGGATCGCACCTTTCGACTCCCTTTGCGAGGCATTAGTGATGACAACAGGAAGTTGTTGATGACAAGAGACAACTCATGGAATACGCGGAATAGGAGGAAGTCATAAGTGGAGACGGATGGAATGTTAGCTAAGTCTTATGGAAGGTACTTAACCAACCAATCAGATGCGGCAAATATCAGATCATCCATGTCAATCACCAGCAAGCGAAGAAATCGATCTTGCAATTTCACACGTGATGTAAATCTAAAGAAAGGGTTGAGACGAAGGATATGATTTGCCATGATAACTTAAAAAATATCATTATGCACTGTCGCAATCATTCGCAGTCCGGTTCGATAGTGTTACTCGGTGATCTTCCTCGGCCTAATTACCCGAATTTTCAACCATAACTTCCATGCTGGTGCATTAGGAGACTATTGGCGATAGAGGCTTAACCAATAAATAGTCTAGAGAAATAACATCTTACTAGCAAAATTGGAATATGCAAAAATGAAAAACATACAACAGTGAGGATTCCCCGGTCGTCACCGACCCGAGTACTAATTCACCGCTCCTCGGCTTGACTATGGGAGAGCGGACGGGATTCCGTATTCTCCAAGGGCTGTGGTCGTATGTGAAAGATTGCGAGGGCTAGTCGCATTAAGAAGATGTCTTCATTGATCTTAACTCGGAGATTTCCGTTGAGCTAAAGCCATGGCTGATGAGGCTCTTTGTGGCGTTATGAACCTTACCACATGGCAGAGAAATTTTCCGTAGTCGTTGGTTTGATTGAAAGTCAAATTTGACTAGATGTGAAAAGATGAATGAATGATTGCTATCGAGTCTAAATGGTCTTGAATGATTATCTGCGCTGCAAGGGAGGCATTGGAGGTGAAACTTGCCACTGGTCACCGCATTGCTGTTCTAACTATACCGCATTGGGGTGACGTCTGGAGGAGGTGAAAATCAAACAAATGATATCTCAAGCCGTCAGCAATGAATGGATATTCATCGGCCACTTCCTCATTATTGCTCTTGCCTGGGTCCATATAAAGCTGACACCCCTCAAATGTGTAGACCAAGGAGGAACAGACATGCCGTCTTCCCCGTCCCTTCCCCACCACAGCTTATCATGTCTTGGTCACGAGCGGCCCTTTTGTTACCCCAATTGCTACGTTGCAGATCATCCAATGTTTCCTTCCTTCATCTGCAATGCAATGCAATGCAATGCAACACAACCAATCATTTTCGGTAGTGACTCGAGCAAATACGAGCTAGAGGGAGGTGCACCCTGAAGGATTTGGGGTCCAGAGGCTGTACAGAGTAAATAAAAACATCACAGCACCGAATATCCTACTTCTCGTATTGATCCAATTGTCTTACTCACTGCCTCAAAATGCATTCCCTCTTATTCCTAACTGTGGCTTCACTCGCCGCTGCTCACGTTCCTTCAGTCAATGTGCCAGCATGTCCTAAATATGGCAGTATCAAATTCTCTAAATCCGTACCCGACGGTGATCCTTTTCCACGCACCCAAGTCGATCTCTGCTACACGGACACCGCTCTCTCCCTGAAGTTTACTGCCCTGGATGAGAAATACTTCTACTTCAACGAATCCCAGGGAACAAACGATGATATCTGGGCTTACGAAGTCATGGAAGCGTTCATTTACAAGGGCACCGACGATCCGCAGACATATCTCGAGTACGAAATCAATCCCAACAACGTAACCTACCAAGCCTTTGTCTACAATCCTTCCAAAGTCCGAGAGGAAGGAGCGCCATTTGATCACTTTTTCATTTCCGACCCCGAGGGTGACGGGTTTGAGGCCGAGACGGAACTTAATAAGAAGGCGAAGAAATGGGTCAGCAAGGCACAGATTCCGTTGGGTTTGTTTAATGTCGATCCAGGCTGTGCCCGCGGTACTAAGTGGAGGATGAACTTCTTCAGAACGGTTACGAGCCCTAAGATGTTTCCCGACCAAGACCTTGGAGGATGGAGTTCGCCTGACAAGGCCAGTTTTCACATAACCAAGTTCTTTGGGCATGTCAAGTTTGTTTAATTGGAAGGGTATAAGACAGAGGGCTAGATAGCTGAACGTCAAAATTGATCCACCTGACATCTTGATTGTTACGATCGCTTGTTTATCCCAATTGAGAATATCGACGGTTCGTGATGAAAGATATCTCCACTCGATCCACGTCTTTGGGTCGATCGCAGGGCTGATTTAACGAGACGTCGCATCACATGTGTCAAAAGAGTAAGGCATTCATGGATGATTGTGTCATCGAACCTTATATGAGAAACCATCATCATATCATATTTGAAATTAATGGTCATGAGAAATGCAAGCAAGGCAAAGTCGTAATGGGGTTCAGAATAGATACGTCAATTAATTCATTATCACTAATCCTTCACCATCCTTGTCACCCATGCATATGTAACAATCTCTCCAAGTTTGCTTAAACCAATAGCATGAAGCTTCCACTCTTAAGCAATACCGGTCTTCTCAGGGTTCTTCTCGGGGTGAGAAGAAGGTAGGACATCAGCAATAGTCTCATCCGTGCCCTTGAGATCCTCCTCAGCGCTCACGTGGTCGCGAATCTTGAGAAGAATGACTGGGGCAGCAATGATAAGAGACACTGAGAGAAGGACCCAGTTGCTGATGAACTCGGATCTGTACGAGATCTTCTTCGCGTCAAGGTGGTTGCTGACGGCCGCACCAACGGACTGGACGCCCTTGTAGAAGCCGACATAGTTGGCGGATCGTCGACCAGAGTTGGAAAGAGCTCCCATAAACCTGAAACTATTAGTATATGCTTGATCAAGAGACTCAGTGTGGTACATACCAGTAAACAGTAGCCTGCCAAGCGGCATCGTAGAAACCGTAGAAGATGTACAGGAACATAGGTCCAGCATAGCCAGAGTCTGTCCAGTCACCGGGAATGAAACCCGAATCAGGAGCAACAGTCTCACGGGTATAGGTCTTCTCAAAAGCATATCCACCGCCCCAAATGACAAAGGTGAGGACAAATAGAGCAGCCCACGCAGCCTTGGCACGAGTAGTACGTCTAACGTTCTCCCGATCAAGGAGGTAACCCCAGATAACAGCTGCGATGATCTGAGCCAACCAGTACAGCAAGCCGTTGAGTGCCTTGGTGCGAGTGTTGAAGTAGGCTCCATTGACAGAGTTCTGCTGGTAGACGTAGAACCAGTTGGATGAGAAGAACATAGGGAAGAGGAGAACAACGAAGGGCTCGAAACGGAGAGTTTCCCACAGACCCCACAGCTCACTCTGCCAGGTTGGGTTCTTCATCAGGATAACGCGGGAGCCATCCTTGCGGATAATGTCACGAGCGTTGCAAAGAGTAAGAGCGAGAAGGGCACCGAAGAACATGAGGACGATGAAGCCGATGTATGTTCCATCGCTGACGGTCTTGTTTTCCTTGATGTTAATGTTTTCACCGAGAGGGATCTATCCAGTCAGTATGGAAGGCGTGATTGAATAAGGGAAGCTTACCAGACTGCCAATAACAGCACCCATGTTGAAAATTCCCCAGAACCAAGCAAAGTACATTCCCTTCTTGTTCTCATGAGGATACGAGATCATGATGGTACCCTGCGCAGTCCAAAGAAGAGCAGCGCAGAGACCAAGCCAAACACCAGCAAAGATGTTGAAGCCAGGAACATGCTTGTGAACAGAGACGAGAAGACTGATAGCGTAGAGACCGTAGCCAACACCACCGAAGGCGAGGCAAAGCTTGACACCAAGCTTGTTGACAAAAGTGCCGCCGAAAATACCAACCACAGCAAAAGTACCGTAGAGCGCGGTGTTCTAGCCCCCAGTCAGCATGTTGATCTGCAGTTAGTGCTTATTGCCGAGCCTCACTCACCATGTTATCAGCCAGAGTGGGATCAGTTTTACCACCGCCGCCAAGACCACCAAGAGCATTGAACATGCCAGGACACATGAAACAGACAAAGGCGACCATGCCGAGCTGGATGCGTGGCGAAGCATACCAAGGAAGGGTCTTGCCGAAGAGCTGGAATCGTCGGTACTTCCAACCGCGAGGAAGATCGATGTCGGTTTGAGCATCGTGGTAGTCTGCATCGGTCGCGATGCCGCCCTTGGCGGGGGCAGTAGCAGGATCCTGAGACATGGTTTCTTTTCTTTGATGTCAAGATCTCAAGTGAGTGAGTGATGGTAACAACTGAGAAAGAAAAGTGGACGTTGGGGTAATGTGGGCGTTTGGCTTTGTTTTTAAAGCCGTTGAAAAGGCGGAGGTGGAGAAGACAACGGTCGCAGAATGGAAGGGAGTGAATGGAATAAATAAATGTGCAGCGACTCTGGTCAATTGGGGGGCACGCGACCTGTAAGCTTCCCTAAAATAGATGAGAAGAGGAGAAAAGAGAGCCCTGAGGAGAAGACCTAGACGAGATGAGACGAAGACCCTAGCACAGAGTCACAGTCACAGTCACCGTCGCAGCAACGGGAACAGAAGGGAGAAACAGAAACGCTATCAGTGCGACGTTACTCCCGTCCCCCTCCCAATTAATCATGGACCCAAACTCGGACTGGGGGGCACCAGCCTTAGCTTATCGCGGGGTCAAGGATTACTGATAGCCTAGACCAAGATCGTGATAGGACACGCCCTGAGCGCCTGACAGCCCGACGATCTTTTGTCTTGACCTTCCGATAAAGAGATAGTCAGATCAGTCTTTCTGTGGAACATGGCGTGCAACAATCTACGGCTGCAATCCGGCCATTTATCACCAATTGAGCTTGATAACGGCTGCAGGTGCTACGTTGATCTCTTTTTGTACCATGAAGCTATTCACGTTCTCTCTTGAGCTTGCCTTTGGTGTAACCAACCCCAATCCCCCTTCTAATTTGCCTGGTTACATCAAAACACTGAAAGCAAAGCTCTCCCCGCATTTGATGCTTATACCAAAGAAATGTCACCAGCAAACAAATAGATTGTCCAGTCCTTGTTCTTTGCATCGTTACTCGACAACGAATCTCATCTGAAACCGTCAATCGGACATCGCATTGTGCCACGACGTTGCGTTCCCTTCAACTGGAGTTACCAGGACCCCTGTGATGTTTGTTGGTATGTAAGGTCTTGTTTCAGCCAGTCAGCACAATACGAGGTCTGTATTTCAGCTGTCATCCATCATCCATGCCTCGACTTCAAGTGGAGGCTCACTCAACCACCTAAGCAATGGGGATTTCACCCGCAATATCGCCTAAGACTTAGAGTAAGAAAATAAAATAACCTAAGTTCTCATCTAAATTGACATAAACTATCTAAACTATTTCGTCTCTTATGGACTCTCACAGGCGACGATCCCCCCTCCAATAAAGCAGCAAATTTGACAGAGACCTGCATTGAGAGCACAAAGACAAACCCGTCCATCATCCTCGTCAACCCTGCAGTTCTCAACATACCCTCGTCGCCACCTGGGGAAGAGGAATGAGAACATCCCTCCGCAATACCTTGATCAATGTGAGTCGAACCGCACCCACAACGTAAGCGTCGAGCGCATTGCCTAGTTCAAAGGGTCCGAGTACCATTTGAGGCAGGCGCCAGTTGCCACAGGTGGCACGACTACAGGCTCGGAAAAGCTTTTGATGTCCTGAATCCTGGCTCGAAGCTCGCCGCCAAGGTCGTTAGAGAATTCTGCTATCACCGATGCAGCCTCTTTGAGAGCCCGATCACCTTTGGGCCAATCTGCCAGCTGCAGGATACGAGGGATAATGTCTATTGGCCCCCGAATTGGCACGCAACCTTTGTAGAGGACCTTCTCCTCTATGATAGGCTTGCACCTGTCAAATATGTGAGCCTGCAGAGTAAAGCAGAAATCGTGCATCTGCAGGTACGAGAATGCTAACTGTCGAGCTTCGGCAGCCAGAGTCATGGTGAGAAGTACAAGATAGTAAGGTTCGGGCCAGGCGTTCTTCGGCTTTGGTTGAGAAGCTCGCTTGTCGAGCTGCTGCTTCTCTTCCTCACTCAAAGAACCGAAGGTGTATTTGTCATGTTCCTGTACCAACTTGTACTTGCTCAGAGATACAATCTCAATCACCTCCTTCTTGGTCAGATCAAGGCACCCGCCGCGTTGCTTGTGCATGCGCAAGTAAGTCTTGGAGACGGGAGCCCCCTTCTCCATGCCCTGAACCGCCGTCCGAAATAGCAAGTCCTTCTGATGCTTGTCTGTAACCTGTTCTCTCCAAGATGAACGTTTCAACTTCTGGGTTGAAGAGACAGAGCAGCCCATTTGCACCATTAGTCGTTCGTTGTATTGAGTGGATTTCGTTGGCTTCCTACCCATGAAGAAATCTTGCTCCTCAAAGCAAGCTTCGAACGTCTCCATATCGACCCATAGTTTGTCGAGGACACCTTCTTGCTGTATAGCATTGTACAGGTGAACCAGCCTTGTCGTGACACCAGTCTCTTTCATGCAATTGATTGACAGGGTGTACATCTCCGCTCGAGCATGAAATAGCGCAAGACCGCACAAAATAGGAGAGCGCTTCAAGAACCTCCCGTACTCATCGACCCCTTCAACATCATAACCATTGCGAACATGGTAGGCCTTGACCTCGGGAATGATGTCGTAGAGCATACTCTCCAGATAGTTCTGGCCCTCCTTGAGTTGGTATTTCAGAGAATCTCTGCCCTTGGCGCTGGGAGAGTTGGCCCAAATTTCCACAAACCTATCCAGAGCAAACTTCGTTTCCGCGACACAGCCCATGAACTTTTCGGCCATTGACTCTGTGTTGCCTAGAAGTCGTCGCATATCGAGGAATATCTGGGCAATAAAAGCCACCTCGAAAGACACCTCGTTGGTTTCATTCGTCTTTCGGAGCATTCGCAAGAATTCGTCTTCGACTGGAAAGCGATTTGAACCGGCTTGCTCTATGTTGTTGTGCAGGAATAAAACACCTTCGACCCAGAAATCGTACAATGCTTCAAGCTCTTCATGTAAACCTTGATCGCGGGCTGTAGGGCTTTCGACCTTGCCAGGTCTCAAGAAAACAAGCGAAGCTTGGGTTTGCTTCACCAGCGGCTCAATGATTCACACAGCGTAGAGGAAGGAGTTGTTGAAATCCACCAATAGATCGTTAGGACATATACCCTCATCCAAGGTCCTGCGGAGATCTAGGACTTCGTCCACCATTTTGCGGAAATTTAGGCCTGAACTGGTTCGTTTCCAGCAAGCATTCATTGAGAAATGGAGTTCTGCGGCTCGAAGGGCGTTCTTTGCGTTGGACATAGAGCACTCCTCTGAGAGTTTTCGAATCCTCTGAATTCCCACGTTGGTAGCAACTGCCGCAGTAGTGATGTCAATGGTCTTATCGAGATAGCTCTGCCATATCCATCGGATTCGGTCTCGCATACCTTGGGCCTCGACCAAGACCAGAGCACATAAGAGGTCATTGAAGCCGTTTTCCTCCTCTTCAACATTATCTGCCTTGTAGTTTGTACGATCCCCCTGTACTTTCTGGGGAAGTCCCAAAATGTCGGGAGCATTTAAGATCTTCCACAAGCGGTCCTCTTGATCCTTCTTTGCCTGGTAGCTTGTGCTATCCTTTTGCATTTTCTGAGGAAGTTCTGCATCAGGGACATTTAAGAACTCTTGAGACGGTTCCTCAACCGACAGAGCTTGAAAGCCATGAGAGATATTCTCCCTTTCAGCGGATTGAGTAGTTTGCACTTTCTGGCAGGGTGGGAATCGTGGACGGAGAGCCTCATTGACCTTCTCCAAGACGCTGACGAAGTAATCGTGTGTAATGTCCGCATCCTGGTTAACTTTCACACCATGGAGCGCCATCTCAGCTGCGAAAGCCGATCGCAGACGAATGGCGCGATCGATGGTACTGACAAAGGAGCTAGGGACAGTGATAAGGGGCTTTCTGGACTTGGCGATACACTCAGCCATGGGCAAGAAGTCTTTCAGAGCCACTGTGTACTTTGGGCCTTGGTTCTTGAGTGTCTGTGGGTTTGCTGGGTTCACTGGTGCTCCTCGCTTCTTGGCTTCTTTTCGTGCTTTGCCTTTGAGTCGGCCAGAGGGAGCTTGGCCAGGGGAAGGCTTATCTCCGCTCGCGAAGGACTTCTGATCATCAGGAAGATCGCATTTATAGCCGCAGATTTTTGCGGTTGATGCCAACCAGGATGCCAGTGCATTGGTATCGGACTTGTACTGACGGAGCCCTTGCATCAGCACGTCGGGCAACATTTAGACGAGGGCCTCCTGGCGAGCTTGGTGAGATGAGAGATCCGATGGAAGGTGCCAAGATGGCAGGTAGATTCAGCTGCGAGCGTCAGTTATTTCAAAGAAAATGGTCGACGGAACCCTAAGAGACGAAATGATTTACTCACCTTAGGTATGCTAGTCTAAGCTTTAGGCTAGGGGCTTTGCTTTCGTAGTCTAAGTCTTAGGGGTAAATACCAGACTCAGTGGTAGAGAACGTGAGACTGATGAAGTTGTTGAAAAGGCGAAGATAAAAGGAAAGTGAAAGTGAAAAGGGAAGGGAAAAGAGACAACAGTGAAGCAATCTTCATTGGTGCGGGTTGTTGCAGCTCTAGATTCTAGTTGCCAGTGTCGGCCACCTGCGAAAACAGCATTTGCATATTTCTGCGGTCGCCGGGTTAGGAACAAACAGGCCTTGATTCCCGCACCACATACTATTAATTCAGTCGCGAAGCAGGCAAAAACTTGCTCGATTGCCTTGGCCTAGACGCATCTATCCTGCGTTGTCATGCAGCCATCCGTGCCTGGGCGTCAAGGAGTAGGAACAAACAGACAGGCAATCGAGTAAAAATGACTTGGATAATTTTGTCTGCATCGAACGTCCTTTCCTAAGATCCAAAGAGACAGATTGGGCACATGTGATCAATTGAAATTGAGGCTGATCTTGGCATCTGCTGTGTAGTCGTGAATCTCATGCACCAAACACTTTCTCAATTTTCCGCCAATCTTGTTTTTGCAGCCTTGTCACTCTCTCATATCGGTGTGACATTCTCCTGATGCATGATACTGGCTTCTATGATACTCTTCTCTATTGCAGACGGTTGATCCTACGTACAATGCTAACTCCCAGATGGCAACACCAAGGCTATCCGAGACTATCTCCGAGAGTATACCAGAGCTGACAAGGAATTGGCCGGTGTTGAAACAGCGCGACTAAGTCGCCATTGGAGACGATCTTGGAACTTCATAATCTCTGTTTCGCTCCGTGCAGAAAAGTACGACGGTGGAGTGGCCATGCAAGCCCAGCCTGTTTTTGTCTGATGCTGTCAGCCGTCTCAGTGCAGCCAACGTTGCACCACCGCATGGTCCAGCGTTTATACCGTGCGATTGAAGGTATTGCACAGCCTCGTGCGATTCATAGTCTGACACCGTCAAACTTGCATCGACACCGTTTTTCAAGAGCTCCCACGCGATCGTTGAGGGGCAACCACAATTGAGACCAGCCATTATGGTACCGGTTGTCGAGATCTCAGTGAGCTCGCCGGTCTCGAGACTCTTCCATAGACACGCTGCTGTGTCGGGTTCAACGGTCATTATGGAAGTAGAAGCACCAGTCCTCTTGAAGTGAGAGACAACGGACTGTGCAAACGAGCCAACTCCGACGGGTGCGATGACGAGGTCGGCATTAGTTGGGTTTAATTGGTCGTCGACCTCCCGCATCATGGTCCCGTAGCCGTCAACAATCCACTTTGATGCTGTTAGCTGACGAACAATTTCTGTAGGCAAGGAGTGACTAACCTGGGGGACAGATTGATAGTCGCCGAAAGCTGTGTCTTGGACCATGATCCCTCTGTTATGTTTGGAGGCGGTCTCGGCTTCATGCATAGCATCCTCATATCTACCCTTTGAGACAACAACCTCCGCACCTTCAGACTCAATCAGCTTGATCGTGGATGGATGCATAGACGCTGGCACATGGATCTCAGCCGCCACATCAAGTATCGCAGCCATGCGCGCGACAGCGCGGCCGTGATTTCCCTCTGTCGCTGCATACAACGTCAATTGATGCATCTGGGCGGCATCCCGAACAGTGTCGATATTAGAGTCGAGCGGTAGATCTAATTTCTCTGCGATCGAGCGGAAAGCGCCCCAAGATGCACCAAGAATCTTGAAAGCCGGAAGGCCGAAGCGACTTGTCTCATCCTTGACGTAGACTGCGCCTACGCCAACCTCTTTGGCGAGGCTTTCAAGCTTGACGAGAGGGGTTGGCTCGTAATTGGGAAGACTTCTGTGAAAACGATCAATGGCTTCTGGAGAGGAGGTAGGCTTAGGAGACGTCCATGATTGGGCTTTCGGGTTGAAGTGCACGTGCTTTCGAGAACTCATATCGTTTGGTGTAGGGTGAGGAGAGTCGTGGTGTCTAAGAGCAGATATTAGAAGATATGCTTGGTCTCATCAAGCTGGAATTGACACAAAAGACGCATAAAGTGACTCAATGCGAGAGTATATTTATTTATAATAGTCTTCTCCTATTGTTCAGTGGGCATACTGAATGCGCCCAAACTACCGTGATGGTGCGCCTTCTGGCTACAACCTGTGTCAATTAACCCCGCTAAGTAGGGTGTTCAGGTTAACTCAACTGCACAATTTTGCGATATTGTATTTCGAAGAGGAAGTACTGTCGTCACCGCATTATTACTCTCAATTCAATTTTCCTTTAAATGTAACATTTTCTCTCTGTTCATTCAAATTGCTTCGGCAGCGATGGCCAGGCTCAAGCCAATCAGTCTTATGATGGGCCCTGCAGTTATTGAAACGCTGCAGGACAGCGCCCTGTACAGTGAGCTTGGGCCCAAAGCGCTCTGTCATGTTGGCGCAATCAAATCGGATCTACTGACAGCGAATATATTAATCGCACAAGTAGAGGGGAAACGGAAAACACCAAGGATTCTTCAAGGTGATCAAAGATAGTGGTTTCTGTTGCACCTGCCGTGTACTCCTCGGCTGTGACTAATCCCGCCCGAAGTCGCCTCCATTGAGCGACTTCCTCGTGACGCTGCTCAAACTCCACTCCAACACTCATCTTCACATGTCTTGTCATCAATTCTTCGACGTCTTTGAGGCGCGAAATTCGTTTTTCGATCAATATGACGGTAGAACTCACCATCGATGACATCCTATTCACGGGAGGCGACGACTCAGCACTGACACTGCCTTACGATGAAATTGACAACAACCTTGCGCCTCAATCGCGGTGTTCTTCAGCTTCCCTGCCTGGGGGTGTCATTCTTGTCGAGCCAATCCCACAAACCGTGAACCCACAGGATGCGTTCAATCTTCATTCCCCGCAACTTACAGATATCCCAATTAATTGGAATGGCGACTTCCAACAGACAAGAACAGCGTCTGCTTCTGCCGAAGATCTCAACCCTGACTTCTCTTTCCTGAATCAACCCGTTAGTGATTGGGGAATCCCTGCACCTTTATCAACCACAAACGATCCCATTCAGACACCTTTGACAAGCATCGATGAATTCTTCATCAAGAATGGCGCGAGCCGGCCATCTGCGCCGTGCTCGAATTGTCGTCGGTCACGCCTGCAATGTCTTATTTTACAAACAACTCTCGCCAATCCTAACCCCACCAAATCATGCTCGAGCTGTGTCGCGTTGTTCCGAGAATGCAGTCTTTCAGGTCGTAAAAAGAGGGAACCCTCAGACTTCGAGACTTTGGAACCAGTCATTGGTCGATTACATGGTGTCAGTGAGCACAGTGCTATGGGTGTGCCAGCTACAGTTGAAGAAGGTCAAACTTCACAGGGTCTCTCGGTAGCAGCGCTTGCCGGGAAGAGAACAAACACGCGTTCAGTGAGGAAGACGAGAGTGTTGCGCAATTGGTACCTGTCGAATTTAGACCATCCGTACCCTTCGGAAGAAGAAAAGGTTGACCTCACTCAACAGTCAGGATTGAGTAGAAGCCAGGTAGTCAATTGGTTTGCCAACACCAGAAGGCGACATCGAATGTCATCGACTTATTCCGCATCGCCGAGCCGGGGACGCCAAGGATTTGCACCGGGATCCCCCATGCCACACTACCTCCGCAAGAACATGTCACCATTGGATCGCTGGAAGAATTCTCCGCCAGATCAGGAACCAGCTTCAGCGACAGCGATCCAAAATGCGTTGGCTGCTCAATCTAGTGCCCAGAGTTCGGTGGACAGCGACGATTTGGTCGGATCTGGACCGGGGTCGTCTGCCAGCAATGACTCCCTCTGGCCGTCTACTTTGCACGAGGCTTCTTCCAATTCAGCATCTTCATGCTACTCGTTCCGTTCCAGAGAGGCTCACTTTCTTTCGCGCTCCCGCAGTAGCTCAGTGATGGAAGGGGCTTCGATCTCCAGGCCCACATCGTCAAGATCAAGGTCCAAGAAGCTCATTGCGTTCCAGTGCACCTTTTGTCGACAAAGATTCAAGAAGAAATATGATTGGGTACGCCATGAGAGGTCAATTCACTTGCCTGGCCTCGACTCCTGGGTTTGCGCGTTGCCTGTCACGGCAGACCAATCATTTTTGGTCTGGCGCATGAATGAGGAAGGTCCTCAATGCCTATTCTGTGGTCAAGACTCGCCCAGCGATGAACACATTCAGGCTCACGAGTTTGAGACCTGCGCCGAAAGACCCGTTTCAGAACGTAAATTCACACGCAAGGACCATTTGTGGCAGCATCTACACAAGTTTCATGGATGTCGCAAATGGGACGGTTGGAAACCGGATCTGAGTCTGCTACAACACCGACAAGATATATTCCAAAGCCAATGCGGATTTTGTCAAGCCATGATGAACAGTTGGGAAGAGCGGACAGATCACGTAGCTGCTCACTATCGCTCAGGATTGACAATGGATCAATGGGTTGGAGGGTCCGGAATTCACGACCCAAGCGACATGGATTAAAAGGGACGGTAGATTATGGGGTGGATACGGAGACGGAGGCGGCAGCTTGTCATTTGCGGACCCGGCTTCGGTACGGGAAAATGGAGTCCATCGGTAGCTCCGGCGAACCGAATGCAGCCTTGCCTCAAACACGTGGAAACCATGTCCTAGTGTGCTCCACTGACGGTTAATGGCGGTCCAGACCAGAACGTCCATAGAAGCAACGTCTGTTCGACCAATGCTTGAAGCAGACTAGCGAATGCCAGAGACGTTCGACTTGAGCTTCGCTTACAAGAAAGTTTGAGCCCAAACTCTATACAACATTCGTACAAAATCGGGACTGTCAAACTTCATCATCCCTGCCAAATGTGGGGAATCAGGGAGTTGTACCGTTGCGCCTCGTCTGCGGACATGTGAATCCGCTGTTCAGATGACGGGCACCATCTCATTTGACAACTAACAGTCACCCCTGACGCCCAATATCAAGAATAAGGTGACTTGTCAGAGTCGAGAACCATCCATGCTCACGCGAGCCGAGACTGCGATTCCTGTTTATTCCTGCGGGCTCATTACCTTTTTGGATAAATTTGGAAACACCGACCCGATGTCACGTATGTATGCGGGGGGTCTTGGCCGTTTTTCGCTCTTCTTCTGACAGCCGTCTCTTTGTCAGACTCCTTTTTATTCTTTTTCTTATTCCTTCGTGACTTCAATTCCCTTCTTTCCTCTTTTTCCTCACTTTGTTGTGTCTGCTCTCGTGTCTGCCGCCATTCCAACTTCAACCTCTAAACAACTCAAGTCCAACAATAAACTCCGTGTCAGTCACCATGATCATCACACGCGCCCTATCCATCACCAACTTTGTTGTCGCCAGCTCGGCGCTCAGCTTCCAAGTTGGTGTGCTGTACCCTTGGCACAAGCAACTGGACGATGACTTCGAAGCGCTCAAGAGGGAGCATCTCCGTGTCCTAACAGCCGTCGAGGGCAAAGTCGAGCGAACACAAGAACCTGCCGTTCTCGAGGAGAACCGCCAGAGCCTTCGCGGCATGCTCGGTAACCTTGTGGCGTGGAAGGCCTGAGCGTAAAGCCGACTTCGGGGGTTAGATCAAGGATCCTCTGGCGGCAGCCAACGCGACGCAATAAAGCACGACACAACAAAGCACAAAGCACATCATCTACCACGGCTCGAAAAGGACATATATACACCGAAGACAAGATCTAGACGGCGTATTTATCCTTATACATCAACGAAACACACGTTTTCTTCCCTTTGCTCAGGCGTTCCTCCTTTCCGGCGTTCGAAACCCCTCGGCTCAAGTGGGGCCGACAATGGTCACGCTCCGGGTTATCACGTGCATCGGGCGCGAACAGAGATTCCCCACCGATTTTACCCGACTACAAGCCCGAGATTCTAGGCGCGTGCAAATATATGGATGTTTATCAGTTAGTTACAGGCACGGAAGGCATTTCGCATGTTGTTCTACTTAGACCACCTATAGTTTTGCTTTCTTTTTTAGTTCATGGCATTGTTACTGCTAAATTATACTGTTACAAGATCACCACTTTCCATTTTGTACCTGTGCTTTTGGGTTTCACCGCCACATTGTCTGTCGTGCCACTTATGAGAGCAACACAGTTGTCGCAAACATCGACTCTTCAATGCGATCCACTTTACCGTGCGATAATTGTCAAAGGATGTCGCCTTTAGGGGTTCTAGGATGGGTGTCTGTTGGGAAATGTTCGATTGAGCCATAACATCGCATCTACTTTCTGCGATAAACACTACCATTACTAAACGCTGCAGATATGAAGAAGAACCATCAGTCAACTCATCCACGTGCGAAACTCTATACCGAGTCCCATACCCATCCGATCGCCGTACATCAGATTCGACCGCTTCCCGAACCGATCCTCCCTAATTGACCGCCTTGAAGTATACCGGGCTACTGAACGAGCTCTGCATATTGACCTGGAACGCTTGGCTATACGCGGGCGTAATCCTCAAGGCGCCATCGCCGCTCCAGACTTTAACGCTGAGGCTCTCCCTGCCTTTGAGGACGTTGTCGATTGAAGAGCTGAACTGGACCATGACAACAAGGATGCCGATGAGTGCGCCGGCTATGAGGAGCTTGGCTATGACATCGATGAGGGCACAGAACTTGAGGAAGCCGGAGGATGACTTGTCGGGAGTCATTGTGGGTGCTTCGACGGCTGTGTTGGTGTTGATCGACTTGTCGGTCATGAGCAAGTGTTGCAACGTTTGGTGGCAGTTGGTCGCTAGTAAGGACTTGATAGCGACGAAACTAGGTAGAGGTGATGAGTAAGAGAAGCTGGGTATGAGCGCAAGGAAGAAAGCAGAGTCGAAGAGGCCAAGGCTGGGGAAGTAGGGGACTTCAAATACTGTAAGGCTGGGCGGATTAAGCACTTAATTAAGCTTAAGCATCTGTGTCCAAGGCACTCGAGACCGCCACGACAGGGGTGGAAGTGAAGCTACTGCAGCTTGAGTGAAGCGCTAGACGATCAATGTGATTGAAGCTGGTTTTAGTTGGTTGGGTAATATCGTGAAGGGTTGTGGTGTCACTTTGCTTCTTGTGAGCGGCATTCGACTATGGACTGGGCCACGGTGCTTTTTTGCAAAGAAAGCGTACTCAGCAGGGTACATTGTACTTGAGCTAGACAGTGATGAATATTGAATCTTGTGATCTTTACTATTATTCTTGTACCTCCAACCCATCTCGGGATCCCAATCTCTTGGGCAGTGACAAACAACTCATCAATTAATTGAGGGGCACGCGGTCTGTCTTAGCGTGCTGTGGCTGATACAGGGTCGTAGATGCGACACTAACTTTATCACACTCACCTCCCACGTATAAATGCTAGAGTTTTATCGGTCTCGCGCCATTGAACATGGATGTCCCTACGATCGTCGTAGAGCTGAAAAGACCCTGGTCGATCGTCAACTTTGGGAATGCTTTGCGGTCACGGACGTTTTGCCAAGAGGAGAATAGGCAAACGACTTTAATGGTGTGCATAACGTTGTCTAGCGCTGATTGCAGCATTCTCGTGAGAGAGGAGGGTGCTGTTTTTAGTAGAGGGCTTTTTACTGTTGGCTAAAATTGGCAACAGTTTAATGTACTGGATTGATCCCACTGTATGGTGTTGGGTTGTAGTGGAAATTGAGTGTCCAACAGTCAACTCATCCATTACCTGGCTTGTCAAAATATGTCACACATTCTTTTCTCGCAAACTATTAATGATCAACTTGTTCAAATTTCTCATTTCAATATATATGGTGTTCATAGCAGATCAAAGTATAACACATGGTGGAGCTGCCTGGCCATCTTGCGTCTCAGACAAAAACCTTTGCTTATCACTCCAGCCCAACTGATCAAATCGTCTCCTCATCGCCTTTGCCTCCTCTAGATAATCTGATCCTTGAACATCTTCAGCGTACTTATCCATTAGTTCTTCTAGCTCCTTATGCCGATATCCATCTTCCAAAGCAGCCCATACCATCTTCAACAACTCTGGTGCCCAAGAAGAACCGCATGGTCTAAATATCTGGCACTGCTGTGCCAGAACTATCGTTTCATCGCAGACCTGGTGAAACTCTCCTGTATAGTTCGGAAGAACACCGAATGGTTCAATCGTTGGACCGACTAGGGCGGTTTGAATGAGAAGAATCGAGTGCCCTGTAGCGTATTCTATAGCTTTTATTCTTGTTAGAGAATCAGCATTTGGAGCCAGAGCTAATGGTATCGCCTTCTCGTATTGGTCTCGCATGATTGGTCGTTCTTGTGAGAGCGTGTTGTAATAACATTTCAGTTGGTAGAGATAGCGTTCTGGATCTCGAAGAAAGACAGGAAGATCTCCTATTGCTCCCAATTCAAAAGAGTATAGGCCCTGCTCGTAGTGAATAGGTCTTTTTATGATCGTGTCTTGGACAGCGACATCCCAGAACCAGGGGCCGAGTTCGACCTTGGGGTCACAAAGTGCGGCATATACCTAAGAGGTTTAGGTTGATTATTGTCAAGCGGATGGTCGACTTACCCCTTGTAGACAAAAACCGCGAAGATCGTCGGGATCAATATTGGCTCCCTGCGTGAGTACTTCCTTTACCAGATAAGCTATGATGCCCCGGTGTTTGTTGGCGTGCTTGTTTTCAACCCACAGCTAACAATCTCGTTAGCTCAGTTGTGATGATTTTCTTTCAAGACAAACCTGGCATAACATCATCATAATAACCAATTCCAACTTGAGCATTACAGACTGCTTCGAATCCTTCAAACACGTTTGCAATGATCTCAGGGCTTTCCCATACAACGCGAGAGCCTTCGAGTTAGATTCTTTCCGAAGACGGACTGACTGAAACGATGCAATGACAGCTGAAGTCATATCATCCAAAGCAGCATGTGAACCAAATCTTTGAGGCAAGCCTTTGAAGAATCTCGGTCCATAAAGTTCGAAACTGTACCTCTCGTCGGTTATACTTATCATAGAGATAAATTCCGATGCCAACTGCGTAGTTCCGTTGGATGGGGGAGCAGCGATAGGTTTGTACTCATGGAATCTGAATCTTTGTAGACCACCTCCAGTGCAACTATCACCGACTCTTGTACAGCGTCCGCATTTCGGCTTTGCTAGATCGCACTCGATGGAGTCAGCTGGTTTATCTTAGACGTGGGTGAGGCCTTGCCTTACTTTCTTCTTCGCTTTTCGGCAGGTATTGCAGCCTCTGCTACTCGGAACACCGACCATTGTTAATTTCCCAAATTTCTATTGACGAAGGATCATTGTCATGGGCAGGAGTTGGAGATGAGACCCGAAGAAGTGTTATGTAAGCAGAGAACGTACATCTTGGCATTGTCTGCTGACAGGATTGTGACATGCCACGCCAGCCAATGAAGAGAATAAGATCTTTCTCGGATCGCCGGGAATATTTGTCAGTTACTGTAATGTACATATGTGCCGCCATGGAGAATTAACGTAAGCCGGCATATGACGCCAAGCTATAGCTGGGTGACAGCTGACTTGTTGCTATGTTAAAGTGAAGGTGGGATAAGCGTACGAGAAAAGGCACGGTTGCTCTCTTTTAATACGATAAAGAAATTAAGCATAATCTGAGGCCAGCCTTACCCGTTCCGCTATAGCTGAGGTGCATAAAGACTCGAGTCGGAGATTGACGGGCACGTTCCTTACCTGTAGATACTCAAAGTCATTTCACGAAGGAAAGAGAAACGGAACTGCAATAAAAGTATAATATGCGTGTATGCTCGTCTATGTCCGTGTATCGTCGTCTTGTGTAACTGTGAGGGGAGTGATGAGGTGGTTGGTTAGGTCACCACCCCAGCGCTCTTTCCTTCCAACCAACAGCCTCATTATGCATGGCCATTTCTATTGACTTCTCTCCTCTCGGTCGCAAGTGAAACAGCACATTCAATCGCAAACCCAAAGCATCTCGCATACCATCCAGGGCCCCAGTAACTCAGCTCAATGTTGTGCGGCGCCCCTCTCAGGATGCTCAAATCAACCCTCTTGCTCTTGGGCAATCCCCCCGCAAAGTCCTTCATATGCTCATCCGTCGCATCCCAGTAATGGTCTCTGTCTGTCAGAGCAAACATCACAGGCGCAGTAATATTGGCGCCCCATTTCTGCTTCCACGTGGCTAACCATGTTCTTCTCAATGCCGCAAGCTCCTCGAACGGGATAGCATGATCGATGCGCTCCGATTGCGCATACACGGACTCGTCCGCCGTACCTGGAAGAAGCAGAGTCTTGTCTTTGACTACTACAGGGATGTTCAGATGAGTAGGTGGCGGGTCTTGCGAAACGTGGGCACTTGAATCCTTCAACAATGACCCAAAGCCAGAAATAACGACGCCACCCAACGGGTATGCAGGGTCAGATTCTGTACCATGCATGGCTGCTGCCACGACGGCACCCGCCGCACCGAGGCTATGGCAGTGTAACACGATGCATGTACATTCATTCGTCAGGCCATATCCTTTCCACAAAGCTGGAAGAATGAATTGATGCAGTCGCCTGCCCCATTCTTCTGGGTACGACGATCCCTCAGGAACAGGTCCTACTGGGGTCGAACCTTTATAGTCTGGCCGATCAATTGCGACAAAAGGTACCGACAGAGAGTCACTATGCACCTTGGCTGAGTATTCGGGTGTGACATCAAAATATTCGCTGGTATAACAGCCGCCGTGTAGTCCAACGACCAACGGGCGATACTTCAATGTCAGTGGCGACGAGGGAATATTGAAGATTCCCGTCAAGGCCGTGCCATCTGCCAGAGACAGATTAAAGGATTCCATTGCTGAATCGGCCAATGAAGCACACGTACAGCGCCAAGCAGAGAGTATCAGGCGTGGCTATTGAGTGTCGCGACCAACAGCATAAGACAAGCAGACGTGACGTGCTAAAAGAAGACGCGCCTGGAGGTGAAGTGAAGTGGACTGACTACCAGGCTAAAATTTAGCGGTGATGATCTGATCCACGCTAGAGTCCCCGCGCCGGATATAACTTCTGCGAAAAGCAACCCACTTTCAAGCATACTCTATTTAACATCATCAATCAAATGGCCGACAACGCAGAAGAACAAAAGCCTGCAAAGGCAAGCTCTCACGCCTCCGACTCGCCGCAGCACGATCCTCCAATCGAAGCCGATCGCTCTACGCCTCCTCCACCGAACGAAGACTCTGAAGCCGCATCAGACGATGGCTACGCTTCTACCGCAGGTTCCGCGCAATCGACTTCTATGTCATCGAGCGTGCGCGACTACCAATTCGAGAATAGCCGACGTTATCATAAATTTAAAGAGGGCCTATACCAATTTCCCAACGATCTTCCCGAACAGGAGCGCGAGGATATGAAACATACTGTCGCGGTGCATCTACTCGGCGGTAGTCTTCATAGATCGCCTATCGAGAACCCACAGAAGATCATCGATGTCGGAACGGGCACGGGTAGTTGGGCAATTGACAGTAAGCGTTCTGCATGCTGGAAAACGACCTAAACTAATGCGATACAGTGGGAGACGAATACCCCAGCGCCGAAGTTACTGGGATCGACCTTAGTCCAATTCAACCTCCATGGGTTCCTCCCAATGTCAGATTTATCGTTGACGATGCCGAAGCACCCTGGCTAGATTCGGCGAACTCGGTTGATCTCGTACATCTGCGACACATGTCCACCGCCATTAAAAACTGGCCTGCGTTGCTGGAGCAAATTTATACCGCTCTAAAACCCGGTGGGTGGATTGAGCTGCCAGAATTTCGCTGGGAATATGGTTGCGACGATGATACCATGGATAAAGAATATACACCACCGCAAATGGTAGATAACATTAGGGCTGGGTTGGAGAAGTTTGGGATCGATATGCACGCCGCAAGGAAGAATCCCGATCGACTCCGCGAGGCTGGCTTTGTCAACATCCGCCACGAGATTAAGAAAGTGCCCGTCGGATCCTGGCCCAAAGATCAGAACCTCAAGACAATTGGCTTATACAATAGGAGTGTCATCTACGATGGACTCCAGGCTATCACTATGGGGCCGTTTACGCGAGGATTAGGATGGACACCTGAGCAAGTGGAAGTCTTTCTTGTCAAGGTTCGCAAAGACCTGATGAGAACTGATGTCCATTCATATGTTCACTTCCACTCTTTATGTGCGCAAAAGCCCAATTAGGTATAATTATAACGATTGTGCTGTCGCTAATATGGATCCAACACTGTGGCGCTCACATATTGCTCTGGTCTATTTATCTCATATTGCTACTATTTAGGTGTCGCGTGGCATGCCTCCAGACTCACATAAGCCGGTCGGATGAGCAAGTGACACTGAACCCAAACGGCTGTACACTCCTGTACCCCCAAACCCATTTACCAAACAGAAGCCTAATGCATGAAGATGAAGACCGTCTATGCGGGAATGTTACTAACAAAATCCAGTATATAATAACTGACAATGGTGGCGTGCTATATGCCTGTTCCAGACCAGACCCGACTAGTCCCCTTCGACAGAAGCTTGCGAGACTGTATAAGCCTACCCAACCAACGAAGGACTTTCCTGGGGCTGAACCTCGATAAAATTGCCATCAGGATCACTAATAAAGATAAGAGGCAAAACACTCTGTCCGAAGTTCTGAACAATAGCCTGCCTCTCATCCTCTTCAAGTTGTTCAACAAGATCAGGCAATAGTCCAACAGCAGGACCAACCACAGTCTTCGTATCAAGTTCAATGAACGGCTGTCCAAACCTCTTGGGAACAGAAACATCCGGCATAGTGTCCAATCGTTCCTGGAATGCTTGGATGTCAGGCACGACAATACCGATGTGACCAAATGTGTTGGGATGCTGAGCCCCGGACTCAATATTCTTGACAGGAACATCAAGATAGCAAATCTCAAGAAGACCTTCCGCATTGTTCTTCTCGCGATTCATTTCCAGCGCGGTTTGGTAGCCTGTCCCATTCTTCCCACCATGAGCATGGGCGAGGTACGTGATTGAGAATGCCTTGGTAATCTGCAGCGTAAACACTTTGCGGAAACCGAAGACTTTCGAATAGAAATCTAAGCTTGCAGTGAGATTTCGCGTGTTGATGGCCATGTGGTTCAGAAAGATGCCCGTGGTTGCGTAGTCTGCTGGTTCATCGGTTCCAACTATAGGGTAAGGATATTGTCCTTCGCGTGGGAGCATGTTGAGGATGGAATGCGATGTCACGGTGGATAAGAACTGGGCTCCAAAAAGGAGCGATGAGAGGAATCGGACCATGATGCTCTATAATCTGATGATACGAAGATTGAGATGAGTTTCGAGTGAAATGGATCGCGACTGGGTGAGTGATGAGACGAGCTTCTCAATTCACGGAAGCTCATCGCCTTTTATAATCAGATTTACGTGTATCTTACAAAGAATTAATGCAAATACTCGCATTTTCATTCCCTTCAATGGTCAGGTTCATTTACCCAATTCATCTGTTGAGGATATCTTCATCTTCGCGTGCCCAATCGCTCTCATTTCGCGAATCGCGAGACAAACAAAGTCCCGTCAGCTTATCCTGTTCTCAATTGTCAGCAACGGATCGGATTTTCCGACGGAGGATGCTGTAGTGTTTATGTAATCCAGCTCGATTGAACTCCGATTAAGAACTACGTAAAGTCGAGAGTGTCCTGTACCTCGATGAGGGAAGCAAGATTGTGATCGATCATCCATTTGAGTGAGGTAAGACGATTTGCGTTCATGACATGGGAATTTGGAGCTCATGATGCAGAAAATGTAGCTTTATGACGCTAAAACTGTGACTGCCAGTGCCAAAGATGACAGATATAGTAAGTCAGCTATCGACTATTTAGACCAGCTCCTAGACTATTTATTTTCTTTACCCTAAGCTTAGGAAGTAAATTAGCATGCGACTCGCGGTATAGAGTCTTGGTATTTCTGTCAAAAAACTTTGACCATACTGTCATCGCTCCAGCTAGCTGTGGAGCTTCTAGAGGATCGTCCACTGTAACAAAGCCTGACGCCAATGATGTCTCATCCAGGCGTAGGTACCTTTCCGTTTGCTAAACGGTCGGATTTCTCCAAAACGGCCACCAGAAAAAAAAACTGAATCGCTGAGCTCATGATCGACACCTCTTCTGTGATGGATTTTACAGTAGCCTGGACGAAGTACGGATACTTCCAAGGTTTTCTACAGGTGATCATCCCTGATTAAGTTCGGTAGTTATCCTTGCCGGCCAAGGACCGTAAGAAAAAAGTTCTGCCGATCCTACAGTGAATGTGAGATGATTGAGATCATGGATCATGATTTTGCCAAGATGCATACAACACACCACACCGGAGCTTTGCTGCCGATCGGACACGACAAGTAGGAAAGAAAGAAGCTTGAAGAAAGCTGCAAGTAAGTGGCACAGTCAATTCAAAGCAAGGTACAGGCTGTCACACCGATGAGGCTCATTTATGTTTTCGGAATTTGCTTTCAATTGATGAAACAAGACACTCTGCCGAGACACCGTCTTCGACAAAGGTCTTTTTGCAACACGTTCAATCTATGCTAATTGATATCAAGATTCTATATCGCTGTGTCTATGCCAAAAGTCCCATGATCAAATTCGTCGGTAGACTTTTCAGATCCCATTCCAAACGCCGATTAAAAGTAAAAAAGAGTCGTAGAAGTTGCGTTAAATAGTCCAAACTCATGAGTAACGTTTTTAGACAATGGCGGCGCCATCGTTTGCGTCGCCGTGGAGGACGGGGTTGATCTTCTCATCGAAGTAGCACTTGAAGTCCTCGCCCAACTGAGCACGGAGAGCCTTCTTAACAGCCTCAAGAACGTTAGGGAACACGCCAAAGTTAGCTGGGTTCTCGGTATCGTTATCACCGCCTTGGAAGACACCAGTGCGGACGAGACAGGTGTTCCATCCGTACATGTTTCCACCAACGATGTCGGAGGCAGGGTTGTCACCGATCATGTAGATGTTCTCGGGAAGGCGCTCCTCGCCGTGGATCTCGCCCATCCAGGAGGTGAGGACATCATCGGCGTACTTGTAGGTAGCCAACTCGGGCTTACCGTAGACGACACGCTCGAGGTCGGCACCAGTGAGGGCCTTGTACATGGCCTCGAGACCGATGCGGAAAGCACCCTGAGACATACGAGGAGTAGGGTGCTCAGTAGGGCAGAGAAGATCACCCTGGGAGAAGTAGATGGGGACACGCTCGGCGACGGGATCCTCAGCAACGGTACCGAGACGACCGTTCTTAGCACGGAGGACGTCCATGATGATCTGCATGTCGGTAGCATAGTCGCGCGAGTCAGAGAAGACCATGATGGCCTCAATGCAAATCTTGGTGAAGTCACGAGGACGAGAGGTGGCACGCTCCTCCTCAGTGAAGACTCGGTAGGGAGCAATGGTAGGGTCCCAGGCGACAATGTCGTTAGGGACGATGATGTTGCGGAAGCCGTACTGCTCGGCGACCTCACGGCAGCGGTAACCCTCACCACCGACGACGAGGACAGTGCTGTAGTACTCAGACAGAGCACTCATGGGAGTGTGGGACTGGATGAACTGGTCGGTGCTGACAGGGTTGCCGAGAATCTTCTCGAGCTGGGCGCAACGAGCAGTCTCGATCTTACCAGATCCGTTGGTAAGGAAGATGTGAGGGATCTTGATGCCGAGCTCGTTGTCTCCGTTGAGGATCTCAAGAGCCTTCTTACCCTCAGGGATCAGACGGTCACCGTGGACGAGGACACCGTCGATGTCGAAAGCGAAAGCCATGTTCTTGGCCTTCTTGACCTTGTCGGCCATCTGATCCTGGACCTGAGCGACGAGGAGCTCACGGGTAGGCTGGATCGGGGGCATGCCGGGCCGGGTGGGGCGTCCGTCGGCATGGTGAACGGAGGAGAGGCGAGACTGACGCTTGCGAGGGATGGGCAAAGCAGTACCGAAAGAGTTGCGGGAGGATCGTCGGTCCCTCATGGAAGGAGAAACGCTGAGAGTGTGCATGTACTTGGCAGCCTCAGAGATGGAAGATCGAGTAGCGGGAATCTCCTGGGGAGCGCTGCCATCCTCAGGGCCGGGGATGGCGAGGGACTCGCGGTGGTCAACACCGTTAGCATCGCCGTTTGCGTTAGACATCTTGCGGAGGTGGCTGGGAGAGTTGGGGGTAGATTCTTCGTGGGCAGGAGACATTTCTGAAGAGAAAGAGAAGAAGAGTCGAGGGATTGAGGTTGAAGAAGCTTATGTATAAGAAGAGACAGTCGTTTGGAGGGGGAGGGGTATCAAGTATTGAGTGAACGGACCACAGAAGACTAGACTGCTTGTGCTTGGGTATGAAGATGATGGATGAGATCGAGATTCAATGGGGCGGGGATCCGTATTTATCTATCTTGCGGGTTCCTTCTGATACTGTCCGGTTCTTTTCTGTCGCGCCTTCCTGCAGAGTGAAAACTCGCCCATCTGTGTTGATATCATCATTATCTCTTTTTCGTCTGCCTCGTTTGGATGAGACTGGGACTACTCAGGGACTAGGGACTACCAGCCATGCTCGCAAACGGCGCTACCGAAGTGGGACCCTACTCTTTTCTCGGTCGTTCACCGTCAATGCCCGTTTGCGAGTGTGTTTTTGTTATGTGTGTTATTGTACACGTACAGTATCTGAGGCAGCAAGAGTCAGGATGAAGCATGTAAGGGTACTAAGGGTACTCGCGGTACTCGTTGTCACATTCGCATCCGTTATCTAACGAGTAAAAATGACAGGGAGACTATACTATAATGGACTAGACACGTTGAATTGAGGCGGTGGCATTGGCCGTTTCCGCGACAGCCAGTGTAAAAAAAACCCTTCAGTTTGATCTCTCAGGGTCTGTCCGTTCCAAGATACACGCCTCTAGGTAAACAAACTTTCAGCCTTTCCGCGCCAGTCGTCATAGCGGAGGTGACGTGAGGTTGTCGTTTGTGTCAACAAGACTCCGCAGCCCCTCTTAGCAAGTTACACCATTAGACAAGATATGCCTCAGAAGAGTGGTTATTATCGCAGTACTGAACAGGTACTTGTTGCCGTATCTCGACAATTGAGCGGCATGCGGCGGTTGTTCCGAGAAGAGTCCGCTCCCAAGTGGAGATGTCCAGTGGACCCCTTCTGTGTTGTGCCTGTTTTTCCACGGGAATTAATCAGTTCAGTGGAGAAGATATCGATAACTGCTGCAGAAATGCATGCCAAGGGTTACCTTTCTGACATCATCCTTGTCTCCACTGCCGAGGACCCTATTTTTTATTCTCTTTCGCGACAAAGACTTGGCTTCTACCTTGTCCGACCGTCTTTCTCACGGTGGATACCGTTACAACTTTTACGGCTAAGGCGGGAAAAAACGTGCTGAAATGTCAAGACGTTTAGGGATCGCCACTGCGGCCCACTGAAGGTGATAAGATTGCTTTCAAGTCTGGTTGGTTGAGCTGCTATTTCCCTGACTCAAGCCTTGTCCACGTCGGTCTGTAGCAGCTCCTGCTAGTTGAAGCATGAACCAGGGGGCAACCTCAGGTACAAACAGTGGACAGTATCAGTACAGTGAGCCCTGTAACTGTTTCCGTCAAGGTGAAAATTTTACGTTTTTGACTGCCTCACTAAACTATTTGCATCACAGTTTTTCTAGAAGTTTCCCGTATTGGGGACATGACGTCAATGAACCTTCTCTCTGTCGTCTCTTACTCGCCTCGCGCGTCTCGGCGAAAATTAAGCCACCTCATCAAGGGACGAGAAGAGGAGACAGAGTCTACAGTACGGAGCACGCCTGGGTAACCTGGGCTAAGGATGCAAGAGAACGTACCACTCAGTCAACTCTCGTACTGCAAATCGCCATTGCCTTGTCATGGATGGATGGCTCGGTAGATAGATGATGTACATACCTCCACCAGTGATTCAAGTTAATTGACTGAGAGATTTTAACTGTTCAATCCCTTTAAAACCCGTTCATCTGTGAATCCCCGTCGCCTACCATTTCTGACCTACACTCATACTCCATCACACATACCCAACTTTACTCAAACACCATCAAAATGCCCGTTTCTAACCAGACTGTCTTCACCCTCAACAACGGTGTCAAGATGCCCGGTGTGGGCTTTGGCACCTTTGCCAACGAGGGCGCCAAGGGCGAGACCTACAAGGCTGTCACCGCTGCTCTCAAGACTGGCTACCGACACCTCGACTGCGCTTGGTTCTACCTTAACGAGGGCGAGGTTGGCCAGGCCGTGCGTGATTTCCTCGCCGAAGACAACGGTGTCAAGCGTGAGGACATCTTCATCTGCACAAAGGTCTGGAACCACCTCCACGAGCCCGAGGAGGTCAAGTGGTCTTTCGAGAACTCTCTTAAGAACTTCGGCCTCGACTACATTGACCTCTTCCTCGTCCACTGGCCCATCGCCGCTGAGAAGGACGAGGACTACAGGCCCAAGATCGGTGCTGATGGCAAGTACGTCATCAAGAAGGATCTCACTGAGAACCCCGAGCCCACATGGCGCGCCATGGAGGAGATTTATGCAAGCGGCAAGGCCCGTGCCATTGGTGTCTCCAACTGGACCATCGACGGTCTTAAGAAGCTGATGGCCTTTGCTAAGGTCAAGCCCGCCGTTAACCAGATCGAGATTCACCCCTTCCTGCCAAACGAGGAGCTCGTTAAGTTCTGCCTCGAGAACGACATCCTCCCTGCCGCCTACTCTCCCCTTGGTTCTCAGAACCAGGTCCCCACCACTGGTGAGACCGTCCGCTCCAACAAGACCCTCAACGAGGTCGCCGAGCGCAGCGGCAACACCCTTGCTCAGATCCTCATCGCCTGGGGTCTGCGCCGCGGCTACGCTGTCCTCCCCAAGAGCTCTACCCCCTCTCGCATTGAGAGCAACTTCCAGATCCCCGACCTGTCCGATGAGGACTTCGAGGCTGTCCAGAGCGTTGCCAAGGGCCGACACACCCGCTTTGTCAACATGAAGGACACCTTCGGCTACAACGTCTGGCCCGAGGAGACTCCTGAGAACGGAACCTCTGTTGTTTAAAGCAGTTTATGAAGTAATGAATGAGATGGATACCCTATGGGATGAAGGAAAATAGGAAGCAATGTGCATTTAGCGTTTATCGCGGGAACAAAAGTTTAGCCTAAGAAGTTATTCCGCTGTTTGTAGGAGTGTGAGCTTAGAATGAGCTGATGAATTCACATTCAAACAATTGAGTCGTTCCTGCTGCACGTGATGTCGTGATTTTTAATTGAGCCTCAACGACACTCTGCGATACAACATCAAAACAAAACGAAAACATCGTTGTAGGTATCCTGAGTCGTAAGTCTAATTCTGAGAGTTTGTTTGCACGTACTGCGGAAATCCATGGTCCGTCGAAATTTGTCGCGTCAAGGAACTTGGCGATAGCCTCATTTTTACCATGTGAATTCGGTGCCGTAACCACACAGGAGGAACCACAACACCAGATAAACGAGTATGATGAGTTTTTGAAAGTTACAACTAGCCTCCTAAGTCAGTTATTGGCCTGGAGCGCCACACTTAAGCAGAAGACGTGATCTCATCCCACGATGCCTCATCAAGTGGTCAACCACACAACGTGGTTTCTTGCGACGGTGGCTCAATTCTTATGAAACTACTAACACGCATATATAGAAGCGCTCTCAAATGATCTTGTGATCAATTAATATCAATGCGCATTTATGTCGTGAGCGATGAGAACTTAATCGCTAACCTCTGACGGAGAAGTGTAGGCAAACTTTATTCGACTCCTCAAGAGATCATGGATATAGACCTGCACTCGCGAGCCCAACTGGATAAATCCAGGTTAACATGTACTGGTGAACTAGAGGACAAAGCTCCGTGGCTACGTTCATGAACTTCATGGTCAACCCCGACTGTTGTGCGAGGCACGAATTTCAAACTTGTACAGTACTCCGATCTTTCAAGCTCTACGGAACAACTCTTTCGTCGTCTATAGACAAGAAAGAGGTGGAACGCTCGTCGTGTCGCCAGGATCAACTCTCTTCCAATGAGTGTTCTTACCAAAGACCTCTCGACCCGCCGTCGTTGTTAGTACGGTGCGACCCCAGACGCCGATCAAGTTCTAGACTTCACGATGATTTACATGAAGGACCATCGTGACCGAGATAACCGACTGACAGCGTATGATAACGGATCAGGGTCCAATCGGCAGACTTTAATTAATGCCTGTGCTCCCAAGATCACACTTGGGCCAAAGAAGGTAGATCAGTGGGTTGACGATTACGGTTATGTCTACCATTGGCCAGCTACTTATTTGCCACTATATAGATAGAAACACACAGATGGGACAGCCTTTGCCTCTTCTGGCAGCTTATAATGTGGATGAAACGGGGCTGTTTTGCCGCAGTCTTATCTGTGTGGTATGCCCTGCACATGGATGCCGTGGCATGCTCAACATCTATACTGACTGCTGCTCCTCACCAACAGGCTTTGTAAGAGTAATCTCTGTACTTGTTATATGATATCCCTATTAGAGAGGTTGCTCTGACTATTTAATAAGGTCAATTGTTGAGAACCAAGTTTAATCGAGCTCCTGTAGGTTAGCTTATCTGAACACACGACTAGCGTCACGAGAAGGTATACCCAACAAGTATCATTTCACAGAGAAAATATCAGATAATTAGACGTCGAAACACAATAAATCGCTATATTCCAGCTTACTGTTGCTGGATATGTTGTACGACCATCCTCCATCGCTATAAGCTGTAGTCATTTGAACGCGGAACTACCAAATCGGATATTATTCCGCGCTGGGCGCAATTGACATGGAAGCGGGGGCTCACCTTCAACCTTCAGCTCTGACTCCTCCTCAACCTTTCACAACAACGGATAATTGTACCCGCTTCTACGTAAACGCTATCCCCCAGTTTCACAATATGGCTGCAGACTCGGGTGACAGAAATGATCCCGGCAGGGACTTATCTGCGGTCGCTATTCCCGGGTCATCGATTGGTGGGGAACATCTCGGTACCCCATTCTTGGACGCCTTGGCCTTGGACACTACCGATGGACTCACCTTTGATATGAACGGTGGCCTATGGTATGCAGAACTAAGTCAACTGCCAGTCGATATCAATGCCACCAACTCAGACCAACACCAGCCCCGCCAACCAGGCCTACAATCGGATGTACCAACAACCCAAGTGACAGGCTCGTCAACCCAGGTTCTACAGGGTCCTCAAAGTCACAAGATTGAGTCTCCAACCCCAAACTCAACATCAACCCACTCTCTAATCAATACACTCTCAACACTTCCCCCAAAGGTCGGCCACCGCTTCACCCTCGAAGCCCTGCGCTCACTAAAAGAATGGTTCTCAGCACATGTCGACCGTCCCTATCCTACAGAAGAGGAAAAGACTCTCCTTGAACATCAAACAGGCTTGAGTCGGATACAGATTACAAACTGGCTAGCGAATGCGCGGAGACGTCGCATCGTGGCTGACAGTCGCACGAACGGTAGTGGTCAGACACCTGAAGAGTATACACCCACAAGGTCAGGAACGCCTATTCCGAGAAGGGGCCAGACATGGAGGGACCTTAATCCTATGCAGAGATGGCAGAACTCACCACCGGAAAATGAACCGGCTCTCGTATCGGATATCGCAAGGGCGATGGCTTCAGGAGAATTGGTCTCAACTAGTAAGTCATCGTCAACCGCGACCTTTGACACCTAATCTGACAAAGGACAGGAGGCCGAAGAGGAACATTCTCAAGCGATGAGAAGATATCCCGAAGACGTCGCCATAGATCAACAACCAGTAGTCTAGGCACATCAAGAAGTGGATCGACAGACTCACGTTCATCCAGAGGCTCCATCAGCGGAACCTCATCCCACAGCCGCGGTCGCTCAATCCAGAAGATACGGCCGCAGAAGAACTCACTAACCAAGCCTCGATTCACCTTCCAATGTACCTTCTGCACTGAGACGTTCAGAAGGAAGTACGACTGGCAGCGACACGAGAACTCATTGCATCTTCCACTCGAAAGGTGGGAATGCTCACCGAACGGAACAACTGCTATAAATCCGGATACTGGACAACTATGCTGTCTGTTTTGCGGCCACGGAGATCCTAGCGAGATACACCTGTCGAGCCATAATCCGTCTGCATGCCAGGAAAGAGCGTTCAGCAGGAAGGATCATCTCAAACAACATCTGCGACTTGTACACAATGCTGTACTGACTGACCTTACTACGAAACTGTGGAAGACTACTCAGCCAGACATTGTGTCACGATGTGGGTTCTGTCAAGCTTCATTGAGTACATGGCCTGATAGAGTTGACCATCTGGCGAACCACTTTAAACTAGGCTGTACGATGAGAAGTTGGGTTGGGGATTGGGGCTTTGAAGACTCTGTGCTCAAGACAATCGAGAACGGAATGCCTCCATGTAAGTCACGACATTTGACACGATGAGCCTTGCTAATGGTATCAGATTTGGTCGAGCTAGAGCGCGGCACACCGTTTCCATTTACTGCCAATGGCAGACCACCCGATTCCCCTCGAAGCGCATACGAACTCATCACAATGGAGTTGGCGTACTTCATCCAGAACTACAACGACACAACGAACACGCTCCCAAGTCACAGAACGCTGCAGCTCGAAGCATGTCGCATTGTATTTGGATCCGAAGTAACATTTCCCGAGCTCAATCCAGGCTCGCACGGAGGCTCTTCGTGGCTCAGAGACCTGCTATTGTCGTCTGACGAGATTGTCCAACAAGCTCGGTTCGCGCCAATCCGATCGCGGACAGAGAGCCGATTATCGGTGTTAAGGATCAAGGGTAAGAACGCACTGTTCGAAGACTGTCTACTGGAGGCTCGCCTGCAAGCCTTTATGCGCTCCCAGCGAGAAAAAGGTATCCATGCGACGTCGGACGGTGAGTTGCAGAGAGAAGCTGGTCGAATTGTGTTACAAATGGAGAGTGAACTGCACACGAAGCCTGAGTATGTGGCGAATTGGCTGATCGGGTTTCTCAATTACTCGACAAGCTGGATCGACGAGTTTAGGCGACGTGCAGATTCTGTGGTGGCGAGCGAAAGCAAGGAGGCTTTCACGACGAGCCATGGTGCGTTATGGCAAGACCAACCCAGCGTTCAATCACAGCCCAACGATCTACCATGGACTGGGCAAGCATCATGGCCTACTGGGAATGACTGGGAACTGGTTGGACATGGCGACTTACCAGACACTGATATGCCCTGGGTAGCAGAGAGGGGTGATAGAGCCAGCTCGACACCTGCTGATACATTCCTTCAAGACTTTACATGGCTATGGTCAGATGACCAGTCGCCGCCTGTTATACCACAAACAACAGACAGCCCCAATGCAGAAGGAGAGTCAACACTCCGGCCGACATGGCTCGGCCCCGGAATCTACGTCCTGAATGATCCGAATCACATTCCATGGTTTGCGCGCGAGATGAAGCGATGGGTGAAAGCAACAATGTCGCCAAACAATCCCATTTGTCATGTCCCATCGGATGAGGAATTGAGACACCAAGCGCGATGCCTCTTATATAACGAGTAAGGCTCTATTCTCGGGTTTTAAGTGACACGCTTTGCTGACCGTGAATAGCGACGACCCTTGGAACCAGACACCAGCAGACAACCCGCAGTGGCTGGAAATGTTCAAAAAGGACTTAAAACTGTAGTTATATTGGCAATGGTTATAATGCTTCAATACGGGGACCGATTCAATACATAACCTTTTTCTCACATTGACCAATTCAAGATGTCTTCGTTTAAAGCTACCTATTGTAGTTATCCCAACCCATACCAAATACCCCTGACCCATGAATAATTTTACGAGGAGTCGGATCCTGAATGCTGAAGATAAATCACTTATAGGCAGAAGGTTACCCCGAAAGATAAATAAGACTAAGTTGAAGCTGGGACTAAGGCCTCCGGTAACCGTAGTTTTGGAAGTCTAATATAACAGGGAGGAGAATGGGGAAGTGTGAAAGGAGGAGGGATGGAAAGAAATGACCAATAGAAGAGAACACAGAGAATGCAGTGTAGTTTCGCAAGGACACTAAACATCATAGATGATACAATCAACAGTTATATGCGCATCTCTAACCAAACCAGGGTACTACTGCAGTGACCAGCACTGGCTGTACCCTCTGTCTCAACATACTGACTGAGCCTCACCCGCCACGGTAACACACACTCCTTAGCTAACACGGAAAGAAGTGCGTAATAGGGGCAAAAGGGCAAAAAGATGAACCCCCCTTCCGGGATTTGAACCCGGGGCTCTCCCTGTTCTCCTTGTACTTAATGACGACACCGGGACCAAAGCCTCCGGATGGAAGGAAGTATGCTACCACTGCACCAAAGGGGGTTGGATTGTTATTGCTAGATCTCAGATGTTTAACGGCTATGTACCTTTGGCTGATCATTACATTTAGCGCCGAAAGACGTCAAAAGGGTAAAAAAATAACCCCCCTTCCGGGGTTTGAACCCGGGGCTCTCCTTGTTCTCCTATGTAGTCGGATACAGTACCGGCCCGTGGGCAACGGTCAGAAGGAGTGTGCTAACCACTGCACCAAAGGGGTTGGCTTTATTGTTACTAGAGCCCATGTCTTTAAGCATTATCTGACTATGGCCGGTCATTGAATCTAGCGTCAAAAGAGGTCGAAGGGGAAAAAGGAGTCCCCTCCGGGATTTGAACCCAGGACCTATCCCCAGCTCTTCACCTCTAGGGGCACGAGGGCATGCCAGGCTCTGTTCCATTTTATCTGCTTGAGATCTGACAATTGCAAGAGTAGGTGAGTGACTTCCCCCTTTCCCGGCCTCCCCATGGAACGACGTGGTGGTGGGCCAAAGGAAGTCTTCTCCCTTACGGGAATTAGGACACAACAATGAAGACTCAAATCTCTTCCTTTCTTCTTTTCCTTCAGCTCACCAATGATTTGGTAATTTGCGTCGCGTTTCGTCTACGTTCCCCAACAGTCCCTTTGTTGTTTTACCCAGTAGCCACCACCGCCGCTAGCCTTCCGTTGCCCTACCCCCTCCTCTCCCCACCCCCATCCCCGCTCCCCCTGTCTGCAGAATGTCTCCAAGATATGGTTATCGGTGCCTCAGTTCTGGTCGTGATTCAGCCTTACTGAGATAACTTTAGAACTGGCAGTCTTCCCATAAAGTACGTCCGTCTCTACATTCAGATCCTCCTCCTCCTCCTCCTCTTCTTCTACCTTCTTTCACCCTCTACGAGGTCTACCATCATGGACAACGCGGCCTCCATCGACAACATCCTCAACGACTTTGTGCTTCATTGATCCAAATAGGAGTCTGAATTGAGCAAGTACCACGAGCTCAAGAATAGCACCACCACTCTCGACTCTGTTCGCAAGCAAGAACTCGGCGATCAGAGTGAAATCTTGGATGAGCATGCACAAAGGTGCTTCGATGACCAACTCTTTCTACTCCAGCACGTGGGAGAAGTGTAAGTAAAGTACTACCTATTGTACTGAGCACATTCTACAAAGTCAGCACCTGCTATCCATGAGCCTATAGTCATCGATGGACTGGGCTTAATACGTGTTGGATCTCAGCCTGCTAAAGTAAACGTTCCAATGCACAAGGTTGTCACTTCTGGCTTTGCTAAGCGTAAGCTTGAAGCCACCGCGAAACAAGTGATAAGACCGTGTTTGGTCTTTAACATACCTAGTAATTACATTGAGGCAAGCAGCCCGTAAACTTACTAGGATACCTAGCTCAAATACATTTTGCCCTTATACATCTTTGGCCTGTGATCACCAATGACGAGTTCTGCAACGGTTGCATCGTACAAGAAATTGTTCATCGTCATCCTCCACCCACATTCCAAAATTCCACCCGCAATGCCGGCAGTCAGTGTTGTCATCGAGGCATTCAATCAAATCGTCGACCTTTTCCTTTACCTGATCACGTTCCACCTTTAGAACCTCAACCCTTTTCTTCTCTACATTCAAAGACATGCTGAGCTTGTCTCGCTCCGACGTGATGTCTGCCAATCTGCTGCTTCCTGTGTTGTAGGCTTGTTCCTAACCTCTAGCATTGGTGGCGGCTTGTCGAGCTTTTTCGAGCTCCATATTGAGCTTTTTCACCTCACTCTGCTCGGCCTCCAGGGCTTGCTTTAGCTCGTCACGCACGGCGACCGGAATTGTGTCCTTGGTATCTCTTTCCAGGTCGAGGGCTAACTTGAGGGTATCGATCTCCTGAGTCAATGCGGATACCTTAGCCTTTTCTTTAGTCCATCGGTCCCGAAGCAAGTTCCGCTCTGATTTAGCGAGTCTGTGCTCTGTCTCGGAAGTCTCGAGGCTCTTCTGTACTTCCTCGGTCTCTTTACGCAGTCGGTCGAGTGTGTTTGTGGTGACCTCTGCGTCATTGCGTGCCTCGGCGACCTTCTTCTCTGCCTCCACCTGGGAGCAAAGGAGTCGATTTTCGGTGGCTTCGGCACGCGCTAGCGCTTCGGCGGCGGTCTGTTCTGCTGTTTTCTTTGATGAAGTAAGGATTGTGATTTGCTGCTGCAATACATCTTGTTCAGATGATGTGGCTTCCGACTTTGTGCGTAAGTCGTCAACTTGAGTGCGCAACGCAGCGTTCTCGGCCTGCAGGTCCTCCTTTGATGCAGATAGCTCGGATACCTTTCGGCGGAGCTCATTCAATTCAGCAGATATTTCCGGAACTTGTGCAGTGTTGACTTCTTTGATGGCACGCTTGGGGGGCTCATCCTGTTCGCCGAGCCGATACTCGAGCTCGTCTCGCTCAATGCGAAGGTCGGATACTCGCTTTCGTAGTCCCTCAATCTCGAATGACGTGGGGCCTTGGAGCTCCTTCTCATTTGAGGCCGGAACTCGAAGGTGACTGCGGAAGCTTCGAAGGACCCAAGAAGGATCAAACTCATCGGTTGCAATCAGGGAGTAGAGATGTGGGCGAGCTGCCGCAAAGAGGGCCATATGCAGTTCGTGATCGCCCTTATATTCGAGGGCGACGCGAACCACGCCGAGGAACGCTCCGTCATTCCAGTGGAGGGAAATGATTTTCTCAATCTGCTTTCTAGCGAACTCTGAGAGCTTCGGGATTTTGTAGTGAAGCCCCATGCCACTCATGTGTACATGACGAATGAGCAAGTCTCGAATGAAGAGTGCTTTGGCAGGGTCTTTTCCAGTTCCCGCTGCAAAGGGTCAGTGGCCGCCGACAGCCTAGTAATATATTCTTACCAAGTGCTTTTACACTAGGGAGGAGTGCGCAGTTCACTTCATATTCCCTCCTCTTCAGGAACTCAACAAGGCAGTTGACAGCATCAAGATCGAAGTTCGTAACCCGGATGATTGCTTCTTTTCCCTTCTCGTTTGCCGATTCGGCTAGTGCCAGTAAAACAGGGGACTCTTCCGCTGCGGTGTTTGGGATGACAAAAACATAGCTCTCACTGAGGAGCTTCACACCTCCTGTCGGTCGGGTCATTTTGATGTTGTTGGTGAGAGAAAGAGATGGAGGGAAAACAAGCTGGAAATTGATCAAGGAAGGCGGGGCGGGGCAATCATTCACAGCAAGCAATCGACTGCCTTGCTGCCTGATTTGAGCGCAAATCTTTAGTGAATTCTTAGGTTAAGTGATCATAAGGAAATAAAATCTTTGCTAAGTCTTTGTCCATTTAGTCTAAACTCCCCTAAGGGGGTGGCCTGGCTCAGAGTAACGAGTGAGGAGGAAGGATGCTTCACGGAACATGGCTTATGAACGCAGTTGACAACATGGACTGAAACTAAGCAGATAGGTGTTCTATCGGTTTGATTGAGGACTGTGCGAACGGCATACAGCAAACCTGCCGAGGCTGCTTCTTTTGGCGACCCTCAAGTCAAGACCCTCATTGACATGTACTGACAGACATGATGATGTCTGTCACGAGACCCAACAAGTGATTACTCAAAGACCCTAGCCATGTCAAGATGAGATTGCTCTGTAAATACTGGATCGATGGGGGCTACCCAGGGTACCTTGGAAATGTCATCCGTTCAAAGCCTCTCTGTGCAAGAAGCAGACTCACGCCATAGAAATGAAGTTCGGAATTGTCAAGTTTGAGAACTTCGATCCAGTCCAAGACATCGACCTTGGGCAGGCAACGGTTACAATCGACACCCGATTGACCAATATGTCCATGTGAAAATGGGACAGAGCTGAATGGAGTGGTATTCTTAAGGCGCTACGTTCGGTACCACTGTACCACTCATCATGGAGGCCTGACCACAACCTCGGACCCCGATCCTGGATCACTCCAGAAGATGGCATGGAGTCCAACAGTATGCCCAATCCCCAATTTGATCTGTCAAATCTACCAGTGGAGCAATGGGATGCTGAGGATGATACCGTGGCACGGTCACACTGCTCTGTCTTCTGCCAGAACTGTCGCACTTCTTTTAACAGTATCGGTGCCTTAATCCACCACTGTCGAAATAGGCTTTGTTCAAAAAACGGAGATGGACATCCATCTCATGACAGTGATGACAATAGTCCTCCAGCTCAGCATATATTGGGTACGATCTGTGATGGATTGCAAACAAGATAGCTGTCTTGAGAACGTTCTCAAGCAAAACACTTAGAGATTAGTAAACACATGAGAACTCCGGGAAGCAGGTCTGTGACAGAACAATTGTCTTCTAAGGCTTAGACCACTAAAATAAAGTAGCCTAAGCGCTAGCCTAAGTTTTCGTAAGTTGCCTAAATTGTTTCGTCTCTTATGCTTTTGGCGGCCATTTCGTCTTACATTCTGCCGTTAACTTTTGGCGCAGATAGCTGCTGTTTATCCGGAGAACAAGAGTTTGCTCCTTTTGCCCCGTTTCGAGACTGGACCTCGTGTTTCACCCCGCCTCGCCTGCTTCCTGATGTATCCTACCACGCTCTGCACACCGAGACTGGCTGAAGCCGTGGTCGGCGAAAGGAGGCGGCTGCTGGGCTTGCGGCGGCAGCGCTAGTTGTTGATGAGAGCGGGTGACATTTAAGGATCGGTATCATACAGTAGATGGAAATTGTACCGGCTGTGGTGAATGGTCAGTAGCTAAGGAGCTGGTAAGAGAGGTATTGTGCAGGAGTATAAGGGGCAGTGGCATCGCTAGCCGCATGTGTCTGGTCAGCGAGAACAGGGAAGCATACAGCCGGCATAAATGGTTGCAGCTCACATATGGAGAGTTATCAATACAGGGTACCGTGGGAACTCACGGGACTAATAAGCAAATCTCATGGGTAGTAGGTATATAGCGAGATCCGTAGCTACCAAGCCCAAAATAGTAATACAGAAACAAAGATCTGATAGTTACTCGGGGTCTGCGGACGCGTCTGGTGATAAGCCATAGGTACATAACCGTTAAACATCTGAGATCTAGCAACAACGATCCAACCCTCTTTGGTGCAGGGGTAGCGCACTCTTTACCGTTGCCCTCGTGGCCGGTTGTTGCACATGATGCAGGAGAGAGACCCGGGGTCAAATCCTGGAGGGGGGAAATGTTCTTTTTTTGCCTTTTTGACCCTTTCTGGCGGCGGGTGAGGGTCGCTCAGTGTGTTGAGATATAGATAGGGTGCAGCCAGTGCTGATCACTGCACTATTAGTCGTAAGTACCCTGATTTGGAGGCGCGCATATGATTGTTGATTGTGTTATCTGTGATGTTGTATCTTTATGAAACTATAATATATTCTCTGTATTCTTTCTTCTATCAATCATTTCTTTCTATCCTGCTAGTCTAGAACCGAAGGAGAGCTCCACCCTACGGGGTGGCCAATCTGCTGAGATTTGTTTAAGGTGTTGTTTTGTTGAATGTAATATCTTAGAAGGCTAGAATGGACCGTTTTCGGTCAAAGCTAGGTTTTCATTTGCCGCTAGATGGACTTGACAGTCTTGTAGATAGAGTTATACCCCTGAAGAGACTTTTCTTCCAACTCTTCAAAATTCTGTCCTCTGAATCTCTCGGGGTCAAGCGCTGTAATTCGCTTCTCATCCGCATCCTTCCCATCAATAACATCCGTCAGAAACTTGGCTGTACCAGCTGCATGCGTAACCCAAACAGCAACAGCGGTATATAGCCCCTCTACAGACCCAACCTTACCAGCGAGAGGCATGTTATCAGGCGTCATTGAGAAAACACCATTAAACATCCTTCCATCCTTGAACTCCCCTGCAGCAGCGGGGGGTAGTAAGCCCGTTGCAAACTTCAGTGGCTGCTTAAACCAATCCACCCATCCTCCAGTAGCAGTATCCGATGGCTTTTGACCAATAGGTTGGTGATCGTAACTTCCAATACCAAAGTTTGCTCCATGATCACGGGCATAGACGTGATGCTCTGGCCATCGCACGAAAGGAAGCTTGCGAGGCAGAGGACTCCTGGTCTGGCCGTGCATATAAGGATGACCAACTGGGATGACAGGGACAGGGAAGTCAAGGGCTGAAGCGAGACCTTGGGCCCAGATTCCTGTCGTAAGGACAACTTTGTCAGCGTTGAGTTGCGATGGACTACCGTTGTCAAGAATCTCGACACCTGTGATAGAGCCTTGAGAAATGAGGAGCTTCTGGACGTCAGCTTCCACGAAGCTCGCTCCATTCTTCTTCGCTTCTTCCTGATACCAAGTCGTGATTTTGACAGCATTCGCCGTACCATCGTCCGAAAAGAACAGCGCAGATCCGGCACCAGATTCATTTACCAAATTTGGTGCAAGACGATGAGCCTCTTCAATACTCATCATCTTCGCCGGAAGGCCCAACCTTTGTGAATCTTGACATCTGTTTCTCAGTCTTTGAATACCAGCTTTTTCGAAGGCAATTTCTAAACCGCCCACTCTATCAAAACCGCCGGGTATCTTGACATATTCTGAAACGCTGTCGACGGCGAGTTTGGTCAGGACTTCAGATTCGTTGAACTGACCGATGAAGCCTGGGGCGATGCCACTCGATCCGAGAAGTGATGTGAAAGAGCGGTCGATCAAAGTGATCTTTCTCGGCGTTGGAGATTGGGAGAGGAAGTAGGCTAGGGATGAACCGACTATGCCGGCGCCGACTATGATGACTGATTCTGTTGATTGAGTCATTTTTGTATTGACGAACGAGTTGGAGTGAGTTGGTCCACCATAATTATAGAATATCTGGCTTGTGATTTTATATGAATCAATTTGGATAGCTCAAGCCCATTGATTGACATGATGGGGCAAGTCAAGGCAAAGGCGCGCCGGTCACCTCAACGTAGCCAATCAAATTGCACAAATACCCTTGAAATTGACGACAACAGAACCCGCATCGTGACAATGCACGTAACTCCACATTGGTACCTAGTCTAAGCCAGTGGTACCATAACCATAAGAGACGAAAGTAATTACTAACTTTAGTAAAGCTTAGACTAGGGAGTCACCCGTGCTCTCATGTTACGATTGGATCATCTTTTGATAGTGCCAGACGCCCTTATCGTGGATCTCAAATCATTGGCAAGATATCCACGCATCTCTGGTCATAGACCCTGTTAACATTTTATCACAAGACACGCTAAGCTGAGACGTGGCCCTCGGACTTGCTTGATCCTGATGTAGTGACTATCCTCGAAAACAGAACCTAAGACGAATATATCCTAGTCAGGAAATCGAATTGGCGTCTCCAACAGGTAAAGACGAGAACGCGAGAGATTACTCGCTTATCCAGATCGACTATTGGTAGATATGCGGTATTATGTCAGATTCGTACTTACTCAGGACCTCATGCAGTATAGCCATATCTCGTGAGAAAGATAAATGTCAGATTCTTGACGGGTATATAACCACCTTGCTCTAGATTTTGCTTAAATCTATCCAAAGTCTCTCAAACTATCCAAGTCTCTTCTGAAAACAAACATTATTCGCCATCATCACAGACAGCCATCATGTCCACCGATATCAAACAAAACATCGAAGCAACTGTCAAGAGCTATGTAACCTCTTTCATCGACGCGAGAGAAGCCAATGATCCCAAAATTACCAACCGTGACACAACACCTGACTGTCTCCGCAGCATGCTTCCCTCACCTCTCGGCGGCGGCGGTACGATGCCCAACGAAGCCTACGAAGCAATCTTTGCTCAGGGCCTGAAGGCTGGTGGAATGCACGCCAACGATATCACTGACTTGGTCATTGATGTTGACGCTCGCAAGGCAGCCGTTACCACCGTAGCGACGTTGGTTATGGCGGGTGAAGAGATAAGTTTGGACTTTTCGTGGTTTTTGCACTTGAACGAGGATGGAACTGAGATCAACAGGATTGTCGAGTTTGTTGATTCCTTGACTTTTACTGGGTTGCAGAAGAAGATGGCCGGAGGGGCCGAGAAGAGCGAGTAGTTGGAAGACATGTTAAAGTTATAGTAGTCTTTTTACCTGGCTCTTGCCAAGGTTCCCTTATTCCATGCGAAACATAGTTAACTCAAATCTATAATTTACCTATATCAGGTTGCAGATCAGACTACCCATAAATCACCCTACTCATGACGGGAGTCACTTGTTCTTCTTCACTATGCCCTCTTGATTTTCCAGCATCCATCTTACTGCTCCGGCCACAGCAGTATCATGCTCCGATGCTGGGTCAAACATAAGCCTTTCCCTCGCCTTCTGGATACTATGCGTATGATCATACAGGCAATACTCCACCGACATTCTTCTCAACTCTACCGGTGGTTTGGCCTTTCCAAGGCTGAAAGTCCAGAAGAGCCACTCGGCCAGGAACGAAGCAACAATCATGATCCACCCAGGCAATATGGTAATCTCTTCGGAGACGTCCCTTCCACGGACTGCTTCCCATATGACGCGGACGTGATGCCAGAACGGCACTGGTCTACCATCAGAAATATTGAAGGCTTCGCCATCGACTTTTCCTGCTGCTCGACTAGGATCTAGAAGTGCTTTCGCTGCTAAAGTATGGGCGATGGCGAAGTTCTTTGCAGATATGACTTCCACTTGATTCTTCCCTTGGCCGATTCGGACGAGTGGACCGTTCCCAGCAGCGATATTGACAGCTTCAATCATGCCCTGCACTTGTCTCTCCCCATAGGCATGACCAGGTCTCAACACAACAGTCTTCAGCTTAGAGCCATTTGCTTGACGAACGAGACGATCCCCCATGGCCTTGGTGCGATTGTACTCATTTGATCTATCCGATTCAGGCCAGAGAGGAAACGTCTCGTCCGCGTTCGTATGTGGAGGATCGGCGTAGACATCCATGCTCGAAGTGAAGACAAACGCTCGAACAGAATCACTTTCAGCCGCCAGGTTAAGAAAAATCTCGGTTCCTTTGACGTTTGTCTCGTAGAACTCGGGTTCTCGCCATGCTGGGAGCGCTGCTATCGGTGACGCACAATGGAAAACGACGCTGGGTTTAATCTCGTCTATAATCTGCCGAATAAACTCCGCGTCGGTGATGTCGCATTCCACGTACTTGGCTCGTTCATGGGTGTTTTTGGTGACGTTGCGGTCGACGACTGCTACCATTCCAGTGTGGTCATCTTCTAGAAGATGTTGAACGAGATGATAGCCGAGAAATCCCGTGCCGCCTACAACGAGGGCTGCTTCAATGCGCGTCTTGGACGACATGACAGTCAATGTGTGAAGAGAATTGTGTTGAAAAAGAGCGAAAGTTAGTTTGCTAGTCTGAGGGTCATGGCGGAGTACTGTCTCAGTTGTTTGCTGATCAACGAACCTTGTGTTACGCTGTCGTCATCTGGTCTCCGGTGATTGACTTCTCGCCATCAGTGGTACGAGAAGTTTCCATCTTGACATCCAATTGATTACATTCAATCTTCTTTTCCTCCCACAGATTACTTCTTCCGCGGTATCCTCAATTCTTTACTATTATCTCGGGCCCTATCACAACTTAGTGAGTGAATCTGTATCCTGTATCCTCCCCCATCTACTGTAGTTGTCATCTGATATCATGGAAGCGAATCCTTCGGTAAGTGAGTCACAATTGGGAAAAGAAAAACGTATGTAGACTCTTGTAAATATATATTGCCTACAACCGTGTTTGCCTTGTCCTTTCCCCGAACCAGACCGTGGAGACTCACATGGATCTCTACTGCGACGGAAATTTCACTGGCGTGCTCGTTTGGACGCATCTCCACTGCTGACCGCTATACTCTCTTGGTCTTAGCGAGTCTGACCCCTGTAACGGAGATTGAGCTTACCTCGAGTCTTCATTTGTCTTTCACCTCTGCCTTTTCACATCGTTTGAGACATCTCGTATAGACAGACACATTATTCGCCTTCCATCATGACACGAGTAAAGCCAGGAGAAAGAAAGAGGGCTCGTACATCGAAAGTGAAGACGGGCTGTGGAACTTGCAAGTGGGTTGATTGAGCGTGGTCTGTGAGTGACGAGATTGCTAATTCACTTACAGGAGTGAGTAAGGTGACCACTCGATCAAGTATTGGATTCTGACCAGTAGCAGTCCGCAGAGTTAAATGTGATGAGGCTCGTCCGGCGTGCCAACGATGTCAGTTCTTAATCCCCTGACCCTATCGTGATTCGCTAACCTTGTTCAGGTACGTCAACTGGTCGGAAATGCGACGGTTACAAGCCATCACCTTCACCACTCACGCCCGAATCCTCTCCCCGATCCATCATCACAACATATACGAATAGTGTCGAGGCAGAGTCCTTCCAATTCTTCATCGAGAAGACCCTTGACAATTTCCAGACCTTCTTCACCGATGATCTGTGGAATACTAGGATCTTGCAAATGGCGCAGGAGGAAGATTGCATCAAGAACGGAATAGTAGCATTGTCCCACTTTCATCGACACTATCTCACTCATCAGCAATGGAGAAGAATAGAATCGGTACCTGCGTTGAAGCATTATAACCTTGCTATCAAAGAATTACTCGTCCCGTCGCCTGATGCTTTATCTCGGGGGCATGTGCTTATTATCTCGTGTCTGATATTCATCTGCATAGAGGTGAGTCTACCGTCAATCAGCCTCTCTTACCCATACTAATCCACCGAAGCTTCTCCAAGGCAAGACGGACTCGGCCGTCGGCCTTTTCAAATATGGCTGTAGCATGATTCAACAACACAGAAGCTTGTCACCCAAAGACAAGTCATGCTCTGACGTAGAGGAAACCTTCAAACTTGTTGAGGCATGTTTCAAACGGATTGCAGTGCAATTTCTGACAGTAGGTGTCTTATACTAACCGGCATGGACTATTTCTAACGAAACAATAGCTCATTTCTGATATGGACCCCAGTTTGTGGTTCTTATACTACAATACCTTCGGTAGCAGCCTCACTTTCCATAAAGGTTCTTTTGCCTCGCTCGCTGATGCACGTGAGGCATTGCTTGAATTACTGGTCGAGCAGGCAACTCCGGGTCTAAAAGGTAAATCGGCTCGTGATATCATGGCCCATGCGGCAAAGGTGAATCGTTGGGGCGAACTATTCGATGCCCTTGTTTCCCACCTGGACCATAGAGAAACACTGTCGAGCGACACGCAGAAACGATCGATTGCCTTATTGCAGCTTCACCGCAGATATCTAGAGATAAACGTGGCCAAATACACCCTTGGACAAGGTGATCCATGTTTTTGGGACAACTTTACACCCGAATTCGAAGAGATCGTCAGCTGCGCTGCCACAGCGGCGGGCCTAAATAAAGACTGCAAAAGACAAAACCGGTCTCCAGAGTCTTCGCCAGAAGCATGCTTTCACATAGATCTCGGTTTTACGTCAGTCTTGATAGCCGCCATTGCGAGATGTCGCGATCCATTCATTCGGAGAAGAGCCCTTGCAATCATGTTAGCGGAGCGTGTTCAAGAAGGGGTTTTCAATGCGTCGCAGTCGGCGAAGGTAGCTGCGAGGGTGATGGAACTTGAAGAATCCAGAAGCGGGAACGTGGTTAGTTGCAGTAGTGATATACCCCAGGAAGCAAGGGTGAGGACGATAAGGGTGCATTTGACGGGTGGCGACGATGAGAAAGTTAGAATCGTGTATGGGTTTGATCGAGGTTACTTTGAAGAGGAACAGAGTATGGCCGAGTAGACGACCTGAGGAATATACCCTAGAACTCCCATTTGAACAGCGCTATTAGTTGCATTTCTATCCTTAGAAACCTGCTGGGGAATCTTTACTTTCGCAAAAATTAATCGCAAGTAAGCATTGTGGTGAAAAACATGCCTTTTTGATGTTATTTACCAGTTAGTTGGTAAATGAGTGGCGAGCAAGTTCAGGGATTGCGTGAAAGGTTGCGACGAAGCTGTAACTTTTGACAACAGTCACCGGCCTACCGAATTTGTAATTTCACAAAAGATCGTCGGTGACTCTGTCTTACGATAACCAAGTATTAGAACAGCGACGAGATTGACGCAACAAAAAATATGTCTTCGTCAAATCATATTTTGCAAAGAAATAAGAAGCCAAGCTTGTTGGGTCGAAAATGATTCATTTCCCACTGTAGGTTAGAGTATCAAGCCACCAGTGGCTCGACATCACCCGCTAATCCGAAAAAAGGAATCGACTCATACCTGGTAACTCCCATGTCAGATCAAACCTCGACGTTCCCAGAAAAATAACCTTCATATAAATATCAGCGTCTTGACTCCTCATCTTGAAATGCTTCAATACACTCAAACTCACAGTTGTTATTTCTTAAAAAGTTCTTCACTCATGGAATTCCCTTTACCTAAAAAGGCTTCTGGCCTACGCAAGATTGACCCTTCACTTCTGGATCTCCGAAGCGACCAAGAAATAATTGATCAACTCAAAACATACCGACCAATTACTTCAGAAAAAAATGTTTGGGCTATCTGGGACAGAGGTTTTGACTATATGTATCCTACCCACCAGCAAACAGTCCTCAATTGGGTTCGTCGTCTCGGCTCAACTTGGACAGTTCGTCTGATCGACTTTGCCGACGGCTCGCCTAACAACATCTACAACTACGTCAACAGAGATTGGTTTCCCGAATGCTTTGTCAACAAGACTATGGATGGTAAGCACGCTCCGCAACACGCTGCAGATCTAGCACGTCTCCCGCTTATGTACGAACACGGCGGAGTCTGGATGGACGTGTCCAACATGCTACACATTCACCTTGATACTCTATTCTGGAATCATCTCTCATCACCCGAAACACCATACGAAATTGCCGCCTGGATCATCACAGGTCAGATCAGGAACAAGTGGGGGGACTTCGGAAATTTCTTTTTTGCAGCTCGCAAGAAATGTGAGTTTGTCAAGAACTGGCACGATAGCTACAAAGAGCTTTGGAAAGGCCGAACAAATGTCGATGGTTTCCACAAACACCCTCTGATTCAGGAGATTGGTCTTGCTGAAGCTATGAGAGATCCCAAGCACGAGGAGCAGATTTACTGGATGACGGATTACGTCGCGCAAATGGTTCTGGGAGATCGAACACGAAACCTTGTCGATGTCGAAACTGGTTGGAACGGCCGCGAATTCTGGGAGAACAAAGTCTTCATGGTCGAAGGAATCAAGAATGGAATTCTTGGTGCTTTGAAGACCAATCTCTGCGGACAGAAACAAATCGACCTTTTCACAACACGTCTGGACGAGCCTGATCCCACCAAACGAGACGAAGCTGAAGAATTTGTGATCGAGATGCTGGAGAAAAGTCATATGTACAAGGTTTACCACAACTCAATGGCAGGTAACCCGGCTTTGGGCGACCTTATCAAGAAGGCGGAGAATAGCGATGCTACGTTCCGTCCTGGGACCTTTGGAGAGCTTTATCGGTATGGGACTGTTCATTGGGAACCTATTCGGGAGGTTGAGAGGTTGGAGCCTCAGAGGAACGGTGATGAGTTGATATACGGTACGCCGACGAGGACAGCTGCGTCTATGGCGAGTTAGATTGACTGGCTGGGGAGGACGATCAAACCCTTTCTCGCGACATTGGTAACCGGACCCCTGGAAGAGAGGATAGATTAATAGCGTATGTTGACGGTTGTCGGAAGATAGTAAGAAAGCCTTTTATTCTCCTCCTATAGACTTTTGAGTGTTATATAGCCAAATATAGAAATGTCTTGAATAAAAAGCGACTTCGCACAGGCCGTAAAAGATTGAGAAATTGGTAAGATTGGTAAAATAATTATTGCAGGTGCAATAGGATTGTCAATCCCCACCTCGTAGTCCTCATTCTTACACCTCGAATTCACCCCGGATTTCACGTGCGCCTGGAGCGTCCGCTGTACTACTGTCGATTAATCTCTTAGCGATAATCAGCAATATCCAATCGTAATAGAGCGAAAGGCCCGAACCGATGGGCTTGCCCTGCATTAGTAGTGACATCTCCCCCGCATTCAAGCTTAAAGCTGGATCGGCCACCAGGTTACGTCCTGTGTCAATGGATGACTACACTATAATCACGACGGTAATATTGAGATCAGGACGTAGCGCACCAATTGATAAGAAGCCGCTTACCTTGCAATGCATGAAGGACATCGCCGTTCTCCGAAGAGTACAACCATCAACACCAAGACAACGCAAAGCATACCACATCGAGTCATAGCCAAGATGGTCCCGACTGAGACGCACTGCCAAACCAGGTTGTCGGGTCCTCGTACCTACCGCAATTTCATCGCTTTAATTATTGAGCCTTCTTAACGAAGAAGCGGTCAATTGTGCGTGTGGTATTCGCTGGCAGATGCAGGATGCAGCCGATCGCCCCCAAAAAGGAATTGTCGCGTTTCCCCTCACCACTTTACCACCACGGCCCAAACTTATCCCAATCCAGGCTGGGAGAAAACAAAAACATCGCAAGGTGGAAAATTCATCATCAATGATTACACCAGTGGACGCGTGCGACGCAGAGCCTCAAGCGGGCTCTGGCTCGCTCGCCCCCAAGTTTGCTCTTCATTCTTTTCCCTCCTTGATGCGCCCCGACCATTCACCGACTTCTATGCTCGCGATAGAACGCGAACCTGTCGACAAATCTGGTAGTAGTATAGCGAGGCAGGTCATCCGTGTACGACGACAAACTGTTTAACGGCAAGCTAGCTAACCGTCGGATGATACAGGCATCTTTCGCGAGTCGCGACCCTCCCATTATCCGTCTGCGAACAGTCCAATTGCGTTGAGTCGAGACCTCCTGGCGCCCAACCTCGATTGCCGTCAGCCCTGGGATAAGGCAGCATCAGAAGCCCATCGCATCTCCCAACATAGACCAACAACAGAACTACCGACGGCCAATCGAGGCTATCATCGACACCGACACGAACGATTACCCCGATCGGCCCACCGACGGGCGCAATAGGCTGTCGACGTCTGGTGATAATGCCAGGTGCTAGACGCAGTCGCCCAAGCAATTCGTTCCTCTGCGTTATTGCAGATCAATGCCCAGATGATACCGATTGCAACAAGTCATTCCCTACCATCGAAAAGCATAAGTTAGTTAAACCTCTTGGTCATCGAAGTGTGTCAGTACTGACAGTACCACCAGTGAACATCTGAAGCGCTGCCATTCGTCAGACTTCTGGTGTTTGAAGTGTCTGCACAAGTTCAATTGCTCCTTACCTGCAGGACCCCTTAGACTCGCCAAGAAGGAGCACGAGAAGACGCAATGCCCAGGCGTACCTTCACAAGAGAACAAACAGCTCTGGAACAGCGCATGCATCATGACTCCAGAACAGTACGATCGCTTCAAGGATCGAGGATGGAAAAAGACCCATGTGTCCAATGAAGTGTTGCTAGGTCGCGAAAAGGAATCCGTGCCACAGACGAGCTGGAGGAGAATTCGTGAGACTATCTTCCCTGGATCTGAGGCGGCCAGGGAAAACATCAAGGGCATGCGAGATGTCATGGACAGGGTGAAAAACAGATCACCACTTATCATTCAACCCGGCTTTCAAGCCCCTAGAGCGGATGCGATGCAACCAGCATGGCCAAATGTCTTTCCTCCGTCTTTGACTACAGACGACTCTCAACTATCGATCACTTTCTCTGAAGGGACCGATTTTGAGACTCGCCCCTCATCGCGCGTGTGGTCTCACTCTGGAGGCGACGAACAACATCAGCTCTATCGTTCTGGGCCTGACAGACCTCCAACCCTTGATCCCTCTTTCCTCCAAATACCCGAAGAGCTTGATGAACGCCAGACCTCAGAGCTTGTGGTGACCGGCGAATACGTCTTGGATCCGATTCCACCAGAGGTCCTCTGGCACTTCAGCCTTTCTCAACAGCAAGAAGGAACGGGCAAATAGACGTATATAGTGTTTGGACTGGAGTTCACATTGGGGTGTCGTGTGAATCAACACAGGGGTTGGATGGTGACGATATCTGCTGAAATTGTAACGAGATGGACAGAAAAAGAATGGACCCAGACCTGGATTACCTTATTTATATATATAGCTTGTATTGTGAGATCGTTGCCTCAGGTATAACGTTATTTTCAGTTTACGCGATCGATTGGTCATCGTTGCCTTGAGGCCAGCTTTGTGATTTGGGCTGAAAGTACGGATGTGATGACAACGACGCGTTTTGTGCTTGAAATGAAACATGACGTAGCAAGGGTCTGCCTGATAGATAACAAGGATTATTGACCACGCTTGCCTGCCCGAACCATGCTGAAGAAGAGATAGGCATTTCGGTTCGGTACTTGATTAGCGCTGAACGATGTCGATTGCACGCCCTTCCCCGCAGGCTACGGGGAGGTTTCCGAGCGTAGCATCTGCCATGAATATCAACACAGCTGCGGAGAACAATCCTCAAACACCGCAGTTATCCATCTTCATCCAAACTCTTACTACGTTCATTTAGAAGCTCTAGTTCACGTCGTCTCTTCAACCTAGTTAACCACCATGACATCAAATGAAAAGTTCGTCGTCTTCGATATCGTCGGCACCGTCGTAGGTTACGACAAACTCGTCGAAGCACTTGACAACCAACTCGGCGAGAAGCTCCGCGCAGAGAATGTCAAGCCATCTCTACTTATCAATCTATGGATAGAAGCCGCCGAGAGAGAGTACACCTATCTTAGCATGACAAACCGCTACGTCGAGTTCGACAAGCTATTCTCGTCCCTCTTCTATCGCATACTTTGGCTATCCGGCATAGAAGAGCCGCGCAGCTTTGCATCCGAAGCGGATATCGAGAAGATCACGCAGGGATACTTTGCTCTTGAGCCCCGACCTGATGTCAAGGAGTGCTTTGAAAAGCTGCGCGGTGCTGGGTTCACGGTCAGAGGTCTTACAGCTGGAGATTATGACCGTGTCCTGGGGTATTTTACTAAGGCAGGAATTGAATTTCCCAAGGAGCACCTCATCTCGTGTGACTCCTTTGGTGTGGGAAAGCCTGATCTAAAGGCTTATGCTTCTACGTATGCTGAGCTGAAGGGGGCAAAGGAGCTTTGGTTTGCGGCTGCACATATGTGGGATGTTTCTGCTGCAAAGCAGGTTGGGTAAGTGTGTAGACTCATGGTTATTTATTCGCTAACGGTATAATGTAGATTCAAGTCCGCGTATTGCTCTGTGCTGGAGAAGGAGGCCTGTGTGGATATCTTTGGCGAGATGGATGTTATGTCAGATAGCCTATCTGAGATGGCTGATAAGATTATCCAATCCTCTTCTTAGACGAAAGAAGACGAGGTGTTCCGCGTATAGTCAATGAAGAACACGTTCTCGAGTTTTTCCACTTTGCACAAGCCACCAGGCTCCTCGTGACACATTCTATCATATCTATTGGCAATAGGCAGATACTTGACCCTTTTCTCATCTCATCAAAAGCTAGCCAATGGTAAGTTTAATTTACCATGAGCCTTGTGCATTCTTGCTGATCGACGTTTGCGTCTAACAATGGAATGCCTGTCCAGCAATCGCACCCTGCACGTTGGAAATGCCATTATTGAAGGTGAGGGAAAACAAGGCATTGTGCCTATCACATATGAAACAAAGGCTTATCAGAGACTAAGATACGGTAGAGTGTCGATTAAAGTTGGCGAGACTTCGATCGTCACATATCTGATGTTTTACATTCCAACCCCTGCAAAGCTGTCTGAGACACCTCGCCCTCATTCAACTTTGCCAAGCGAATTACCGAGTGGGAAAAACTATCATTGGTCTCCAACCGTTCCATCCAGAACTGGTTTGGGTATTCAAGGCGAGGCCTTTAAGGGCGGATCGTCGCGTGATGGGACTGATTTTATCAATTTGAAGCGAGCACAACCGAACGTTCCCGTTTGCGACGGCCAAGCGACCACGAAACCAGGCACGAGTCGAAGTCCATCAAGTGGCGTTTTGGCCCCTTGCGGCTAAAGACAATTGCAAGGCAAAGTGCATGCCAAGCGTTATGTTTCTTGCTTCCCGGCAGCCTCCCTGCGGAAGCGGAGATAGAGTTTTTAGACGAAACGACGAGGGAAAACTTGGAAATCTCAGAGGAGCTTGGAATGTCATCATCAGCCCTTTCCATCCTAACAACAGAATGGTACTTTGTCGTACAATACCGCGGCCCGCTGTCTTGTTTCTAATTCAATTCCTTATGGTCAAGCTGAACCGGATAGGGTAGGCTTGGGCCTGGGTCAAAGAGCAGCTACAGGCGGCATGCCATTCATCTCGATCCGCTTTGGAGATGGCGCTAGGCTGACAAGCTTAATTCTACTGGAGCGACATGGCCGGTCTGGTTTATCACAGATTAAGATAATCGTTAAGGATGGAACGTTTCAGGTCGGTCAAGACGAAGGTTGTACGCGATGACTCAAGCTTAAACTAACCTTGTACTAAGAATCGAAGCGCTATTGCTCTCTTTTGGGACGTTTGATCTTATAATTTCAAGCTCAAGAGATCAACGTGATTTTATCGAGAGGCCAATGCCAAGTGTCAAAGATCTACGGACCGTGTTCTAGGTTGGCAACGTCTTCCATGATCTGCAATTGTATTATCGGAATAGATATCTACTGGAGGTCTCAGACATTGATACTCTATCAAGTACCACAGAGGTATTTGCTGAGTTAGAGGTCTAGCCCTTTAATCTAGCAGGAAGACCTGCATCCAGGCAAGTACTTGTCGCAAAACCTAGAATGGCCAAACACGTTCCTGATCAAGCCACAGGAGTACAAAAGCAAGATATCGAAATTCAACATCAGACGACTTTCCTCTTTGTCTCCCTAGACATTGGAATTTGAAGCTTGGGTTTGTCTCACTTGTGTGTCTTGATAGTATGTGGTGGCGTTGGGGTCTGGACTGAACACGATGTGCTTCACCCATTCCACGATATCAGCAGAGTATATAAAGATTCTACTCAGCATGCCGAATATCGATTAAAAAGAACAAGCAGTCCAATCATTCGTTCAGAAAAGCTACCTTGTACAAGTCACCCTCGAGCAACTGTTGGACCCTCAACACCAGGACCCCCTATCTCTAATGCCGACCCTCAAACTTCTCGCCCTCGCGAGCCTAGTGGCACAGATCGCTGCTCACGGCCATGTCGACTGGATTATAACGGACGGCGTAGCTTATCGAGGCTACGATGCCCCGGCCTTCAGTTGGGTCAGTGGTCCTCTATAACCTCTCATATGCCATAACGATCACGAAGCTGACATTAATTAGAATCCGAGTAGCTTTCCAGTAGCTGGATGGATCACCGCCGCTACAGATAATGGATATGTCGAACCTTCGAAATATTCTGACCCTGATATCATCTGTCATAGGGCTGCCCAAAACGCCAGAGGCCATATAGCCGTGTCTGCTGGTGATAAAATCAACCTCCAGTGGAACACATGGCCTGACTCTCACAAGGGCCCTGTTATCGACTATCTGGCCAGGTGTCCCGGTAACTGTCAAAACGTGGATAAGACTGAGCTTGAGTTCTTCAAGATCAGCGCCGAGGGTCTCATCGACATGTCCATAAACAGCGGCTATTGGGCTTCTGATGTTCTCATTGGTAACGGCAACTCTTGGACCGTTCAGATTCCTTCGGATTTGGCTTCGGGCAACTATGTTTTGCGTCATGAGATCATTGCTCTCCACGGGTCAGGCCAACCGAATGGTGCTCAAAACTATCCTCAATGTTTCAACATCAAGGTTACAGGTGGTGGGGACTTGGCTCCTGAAGGTGTCAAGGGCACAAAGCTGTACAAGGCTGACGATCCTGGTATCCTATTCAACTTGTACACGACTCCCCTATCATATAAGATCCCTGGGCCTACTCTGGTATCAGGTCTTCCTTCAACAGTTCGGCAAAGAATCACAAGTGCCACAGCAACCTCCAGCGCCACGATTCCAGGCCAGGGACCCACATCGTCTTCCTCCTCTTCCTCCTCAAAAACCACAACGACAACGTCAAGTCATTCCAACTCTACAACCTCTTCTACTACCTCTAGCAGCAAGGAGACAACACTCAAGACTACAACCTCGAGTCGGTCATCAACTTCAAGCACTTCTGAACAAGACTCCGAGCCAACCGGCGATATCATGTGCGGACCCGTACACGGACAAGCGAAATACGCCCAGTGTGGTGGAAAGAATTACGTTGGACCTACAGTTTGTGCCTGGGGTGCTACGTGTAAATTCGTAAATGAATATTACCACCAGTGTTTATGAGGATAATAATAAGCGTTAGTCCTCATATGTCTTCTCAGCTTGCTGGCCTGAGAATCCCGCACCTATCATTTGACTGCCGGGTTGTTTTTTGACGTTCTGTTTCTCTGCTAGCAAAACGTGTCTATTGCTGGTTTATCTTGATAAATACAAGAGATTCCATGAATCAAGCGTCTTTCCATTGATTCCGTCCATGCATTATCTTGGTAGAGTTGGTAATATCAATATCGGTGACATAATGCAAATCCACGACAAGAGTTTTCGGCTACCGGCATTTTGGGACAGGAAATTCTGGAACAGAAACCTAAAATAAAGTTCTAAAGGCTTTTATTAGTCAATTATTAATTCTTTGCCGTAAAGCCTGGTGGTTAGTTAATCATCGACGTCATTATCGTAGTGCTATTCTTTTTGGTGTTGGTATCTCCGCGGCCCGTAAGTTCCGAGAACATAGACGACAGTCCTGACTATTTGAACGACATATCCAGGCCAATTCACCATTAACATCAGTACCACATTCCCCCTGTCGTCATCATGCCTCATAATATACCATGGACAGTCAGGGTTCAATCTCATCCTGGCTCAACCGCTGATGAAATTCGGAATGAGCCAAACTGGACAGCTGGTCACCAGCATCGAGTTGGTTTTCGAGATCGCAATGACAGACTTCCTGGAATCACCCATCAATATGATGAAGCGCATAGCGAGGATATCAAACAAGAAAAGGAAAGGTACCGCAAGTTGAAGAGCCAAGCCAAGGGCGGAGAGTTGGTCAATTTCCGGGACATTGTTGAGAATCAAGAGGTAGGAATTCTGTTATTAATCATAGCGGCAAAAGACTAACATATTGTTTCTAGGACTTCCATCTAAGATATCCTCAGAATCGCTCACTAGGGTGGAGATATGTACTCAACACAACTGAAGACTGGGTCAAGAACAAAGAGCCTTGGCCTGCCAACTTGAAGAAAAAAGAAGACAAGGAGCGCAAGGGAGAAAAGGGCCAGAAACAAGGCAAAGAAGCGGAACATCAGGCGGAGGGTACTGCTGACCAAGAACATTTGTGGAAACGTCCCACTGATAAAGACAAACACCACGACGCCTATGCTAAGGGAAAAGACCACAAAGAAACGGATTGTGATGAAACTTCCGAAGAAGATAAACAGTCCAAGCTTTCAGAGAAGTACACGCCGGCGGAAATCGCTCTACTCAAAGCTCTTCAGCACGAAAAAGAGTACATATATCAGCTGAAAGAGAACGACGGTAAACGAAAGTCTCCACAAGAAAACAGAATTACCCAGGTATCCATCGATGAGCAGGACCAGTTCAGCCCAGATAACTGGCTACCACGGTCTTCTGATCTCATTCGCCTCACGGGCAAGCATCCTATGAATGCCGAGCCTGATCTAACGCGGCTATATGAGGCCGGTCTGATCACCCCCAACTCTCTCCACTATGTACGAAACCATGGTCCGGTTCCAAGAATTCTTTGGGAGTTCCATGAGCTGGAGATCACGTGTGAAGGAAACACAAAGACGCTTTCGATGGATGATTTGAAGACTTTTGATGCTATCAACATTCCCGTGGCGCTTGCTTGCGATGGAAACCGTCGAAAAGAGCTCAATATGATCAAGAAAAGTAAGGGCTTTAGCTGGGGTTCTGGGGCAACGAGTTGCGCTTATTGGAAGGGGCCTCTTCTGAGAGATGTTCTTCTTGCGAATGGCGTACCTGAAACTCTGAGTGGTAAGCGGTACTGGGTCAATTTCGAAGGCGCAGATGAGCTTAGCGAGGGAAAGTACGCGACGTGTATCCCGTTTGAGTATGCTATGGCTCCCACTAACGATGTCATCTTGGCTTACGAAATGAATGATGTCCCTCTGCCACCGGATCATGGCTATCCTGTTCGTGTTATCATCCCAGGATACGTGGGCGGTAGGAACGTCAAGTGGCTAAAGAAGGTTTGGATCAGCGACGTGGAAAACGACTCTTATTATCACATTTGGGATAACAGAGTACTGCCGGCGTTCGTCACGGAGAAGGACGGTCCGTTTGCCGAGACACTCTTTCACCATCCCGATACTGCCTGCAACGAACAGAATCTGAACTCGGTTATCGTTAAACCAGCCCAGGGCGAGACAATCTCACTCGATAAGGCCAAGAAGGGCGAAAGCTACAGAATTGAAGGGTATGCTTACGATGGCGGAGGTCATGAGGTACAAAGAGTCGAGGTCAGTCTTGACGATGGACAAACATGGCTTTATTGCATACGCAAGTTCCCCGACTATCCCATCCGACATGGAAACAAGTTCTGGACATGGCTTCATTGGCATGTCGATGTTGAGCTATCGCATCTGGTTCGCGCAAAGAGCATTCTTTGTCGATGCTTTAACGTGTTTAAGAACACACAGCCCAGAGAGCCAAGTTGGAACGTCATGGGTATGATGAACAACTGCTGGTATATGGTGTATCCTGAAATCATCGAAACTGAGGACTCAGAAACTGCCGCTATTCTTTTCAGACATCCTGTTGAGCCAGGAACTAAGGATGGCGGCTGGATGAAACCGAGCGTTGAGAACAGAATTGCAGAAGTGAAGCAGCAAGCTGGGACACCCCAGAAGGAGTTCACGAGAGAAGAAATCGAGAAGCATAACACTCAAGATGATTGCTGGCTTGTTGTGGACAACAAGGTATATGATGTGACATCTGTGCTCGATTGGCACCCTGGCGGCGCTGCGGCGATACTAGGTCATGCTGGAAAGGTTCATCAACAGACTAGTGATGAATTTGCTAGCATCCACGACGATTATGCATACAAGAAACTAAAAGGTAAGTTAGCTCCATACGTTGTCTGTAATAAGCTTAACCGATTATAAAAGAGTGTGCTCTCGGAGTTGTAACCGAGAAAGCCGCCAACTTCATCAAGCAGACTGCCGAAGCTGCTGCCAAAGAAGCGTCCGAGTCAAGCAACAAGGACAAAGATCTGGCCCTCGAGAAGCATAGATGGATTCCTGTCAAGCTAATTGAACGAAACGATATCTCCGAGGATACCAGATCATATACATTCCAATTACCGGAAGGTAAGAGTGTTCTCGGCCTTGGAACATGCCAACACGTGCAAGTTGGTTTCCATATGCTGGACCGGATGTTAATCCGCTCTTACACCCCCACCAAGCCATTGTTGCCAGCGTCGGAGGACGATGAGACGATGGTTAATGGAAATGACGACGGGCTCCGAGATGGAAATGGAACGTTTGAACTTACAGTCAAAACATACTTTCCAGACGAAAACCAACCTGGTGGCGCACTTTCCAATATTCTTGACTGTATGCCCATCGGCGAGGAGGTTGAGCTACGAGGTCCAACAGGAGAGATATCTTACCACGGCAACGGGAAGTTTACCATCGAGGGACAAGAGCGTCACTTTGAAGAGGTTTCTTTGGTCCTTGGAGGATCTGGCATCACGCCCGGTTATTCTTTGATTGCTCGTATCCTCTTATCTAACGGCGATAAAACCAAAATCAAGGTAGTGGATGCAAACAAGACGGAAGCGGACATCCTGCTGAAGAAGGAACTTGACGAGTTTGAAAAGACCTCGAATGGCCAGCTTAAGATTACGCACGTCCTAAGCCATCCCGACGATGGCTGGACAGGGAAGAGTGGCCATGTGAACGAGGACATTATCAAAGAATGCCTGTTTGAACCATCCGAGAGAAGTGCGGTGTTCCTTTGTGGACCGCCGGGTATGATACAGAAGGCTGCTCTTCCGGCATTGAAAGGTTTGTCCACTGAACAAGTAATGTTGATGAAGGTTGAGTAACTGACTTAATCACAGATTGGGGCTATTTGGATGATGAGAACATGTTTGGATTTTAAGATACTTTTGTTGAGCCAAGGGCTGCTTTGCGAAGTACAAAGCCATTTTCATGGTTCCTATCAAGTAATGTGTTTGGTCTCTAGGTAAATATACAGTAGCAATACTAAGTCTGTGCTCTGACAGGTCAAGTTTCAAACCCCTTTGTGGCTGTTAGTCAGAGGAATCAGTTGCCTACAGCATAAGAGACGAAATAATTTAGTCGCTTTATGATAGTTTAGTCTACTACTTAGGATACTTTATTTTCGTAGCCTAAACTTTAGAGAATAACTCTTCTGCCACCTACCTTGGCATGTTTTGTAAACAAAGCTTCATAGAGGCCAAAGGTTATCGGCGCATACACAAAAGTTAACATCAAGGAGACTATAAAAAGCTGTTCCTCTTGCAAACTATTAGCAGGCAAACGCTTCATCACCATCATCAACATCAACATCAACTACAGCAACAGCAATACAACAAGATGCGACTGCGACTCAAACTTGCAATTTGTCTGTACTTTTATTGGAGATAGACACAGCCAGTATCCTTTCATAACACAAACGTATCCTTACTTTTCGACCTCGATTAACCCAGGTCTGACGACAAATTTCAATAGCACCTACTGAGTAGACTTTGCAACAGGGTTCAGCTCAGCGGGAGATGCCTTCTCAAGTCCGAGAGTGGGTGCATGTCCGTCTCTATGACCCTCACTCTTCTCATCACTGTTACTCTCATTCTCATGAGCAAGCTGCTCTTGAATTTCAGCAACCTTCTCCCGCCTCCAGATCTTATCGTCAAGATATCGCAAGATCGCAAGCGCAAGACCAACAGCGAGAATTGCGATGTTGACGCTGAAGCCACGGCGATACTTTGGTCGATCATCGGATCGGAAGATCTGGGCGCCGGCGATTCCAGCGATGTTGGCAAACATGATAACCCTGGGCATGTTAGATGACAATGAAAGAGGAGGAATGGTTGATGGGGGTTCTTACATGGCCATGGCAAGGGCTCGTTCTTCGGAGTCATCACAGGCAAGAGACATCCATGCAATGTTAAGAGGATGCGAGAAAGTACCAAAGGTCTGAGTCCATACGACTCCAAAGTAGCTGACACCCTTGATGGAAAGCTCTGTAAAGATGCGATCGAACACGTAACCGAGGAGATGCATACTCAGACCCGCCATGACAGTTTCAGGTCTCTTGTTGCTTTGATATGCGTTAGCATGAACATTCTCTCTTGCACAAATGAAACCCACTATTTGTCTGATACATAACTGAAGGACCAAGATACAGGGATCTGAAGGAAGAGACCGACAGAGGCGAGGGCGTTACTGGTGAGACCCACAAAGCCAAAGCTCTTGACAATGGAAGGGGAGTATGTGTCGAAACCACGTTGGGGCGCGTTGTTCGTGAAGGAAATAACGCTATGCACCCACAGGCGCCAATTGGAGAACTGGCGATGTTAGTATACCCTTCAGGCTCTTTGATTGTCGCATGACTTACTGCTTTCTTGAAGGCGGGCAGGCCAATCTTCTTCTTCTTCTTGCCCTTCATGGGGTCATCAAGTAGAACTCGAGTTTGCAAGATTTGCAGCTCACGTTCATTAAAGATCTTGACGTTTGGCAGGAAGGTACTTCGTGGGTTCTTGAAGGAGTCTGGAAGACAGCAACCTAGGACGACACCACTAAGGACCGTGAAGCCACCCATCAATGCGAAAAGCCAGAACCTGAGGTACAGTTAGTAAGAATATTCCAAGCTAAAGAAGAAGGATACTTACCAGCCAGGCTTGCCTCCGACACCTCGCATGTGAAGAATACCATAGGCGAGCAGCTTGGAAGAAGCTTGGCCAAACTGGTTACCAAAGTAAAAGAACATGACTCTTTTAGCAGTCTCCTTGCGTGTATACCAAGTACTGAGTGTCCAAAGTCCACCAGGGATAAATCCAGACTCAGTAATTCCAAGCAAGAAGCGAGTCGCCACAAAAGAACCGTAGTTGTTCTGGAAAGCTTGGAAGGTACTGACTGTACCGAAGAGAAAGAGCTGAATAGTCAACCACTTGCCTGGGCCGACGCGGTAGAGGATCATGTTGCTAGGTATCTCGAAAAGGACGATGCCCAGGGAGAGCATTTGTTGGCCAACGTTGAACTGATTTTGGGTTATGCCGACGTCGGCAAAGAAGTCGTCTGTCAGGGCATTGGCAATATTTCCTCGATCCAGTTCTATCTTATGGTTAGATTGTATGAACTATGAATGGTCAATAGATCTTACGGAGACAGAAGAATCCAAGTGTCAACAAAGGCATGATAATCAGGTCCAGTCTGGAGGCAAGGTCAGTAAAAGCCACACAACCAGGTAAGAGAATCTTACTTTCTCTTAGCCTTCCTCTCTTCTTCTGGAGTCCAATCCTTCTGTAGAGTAAGACTCTCTTCATCATCCCTTGGGACTGGGAAGTCCGTGTTGGACTTGGTGGTCTCTGGGTGGCCCATTGTAGCTGTGCCGGATGCTTCTGCTGGTGCTGAACATCTTGCTCTTCACATCGGGTCCTCGCTGGCTCTTATCAATCATTCTGAACGTTGGCAGACATGACTCTGGCTAGGTAAGCTAAGGTCTGGGCGGCCTTGGCATGCAAGCCGAGGTGAGCACGCAATAGACAAGTGCCGGGGCCATGGCTCTAGTATGATGAAAGTTAACAAGGGAGGAAGCTGGAAGGAATTGATTGGCTTGGGTAGTGTTCGAAGTGGTGTTGTCGCGTCGGATATGCTTGGTAGAAGACAGCCGTCCTTTCTTCTGTTGTCTCAAGCTAATAGTGAGCAAGAGTTCTAGACCAAGGGCATGTCAGCCGTGGCTCTGTCAGACCCTACCTTGAGGAAGCTCCCCGAGCTGTCAATAACCAAGACAGCCAAGCCAATGTTAGCTTGTTCAATAACCTTCTCAGTGGGGGTTATGATAAAGTAAATGACTCACCGAAACAGAAAAGGTCCAATGATATTCCCTGGTGATACATGCTCCCCGACGAGGCGTCAGTGGGCGACGAACCGTAAGACATGCCGAGAGATGAACTCCCCGCCAGACTTCCCAAATGTCACTTAGCGTAGTCCAGGTGGCTGGCCAAGAAAAATGAGGTGACGCCAAGGTCGTTGAGGAGGGTGACGAGCGGGGAGTTGGATGATTGCGAAAGAGAAGAAATGTTCCTTTTGCTTTTTTAAAGCTTTGACCATCCAATGAATAAATTACTGTTGACGCTATAAGCCTAAAAGAATGCAGTAGTTCCTTGATGAAGTCGAAATGAGATTCACGTTGACGTGATGCCAATGATGGATGGTGTGGAAGCGATCCACTGAATAAGGCCTCCAACTACTTGTTAAGCTTATTTCCTTCCATGCAAGGTCTGGGACCAAGAAGAGAAGAGATCGTCCACACCAACCCCATGCAAAGATAAGGCGCAAAATGATGACAATGAGCCATCTGTAGATCTTACGCTGCTTCCATCAGCCAGTCTCAAGCACGGTTCAACTCCTAGAGTTGCCATATTACTTTAATTGAGTCTGCGAGAGAAATAGTAAAGCAAGTTCAACTGGTATCGACTCTCTAACCGGTGTCTACGAGGTGTCCGATGTTCCGATCGTGATACGTATGCTTGTGGATCAATACCCTTGTCTCTTCGGATGTCGCAATTCCAGCCTCGGATTGACCATACAAGACTTGACCTGGGTGGCTTGGCTAGCACAAATTGCATAATTCACCCTAAGGTTAGACAAAGTGATATAACCCTGCCTAAACTTGCATAACGTGAACAAACATTTTGCCTCTTTTATTATCATGGTGGGCAGGTGATGCCATATTTTCATGATTTCTGACATCTCTTTATCGGCCGTGGGATGGTACCAGTCTACTACGATATCACGTCTCATCTCAGCTCGGAATTCGCATAAGTCAAGTTGTGTCACAAACCAGTTCCAACCAGATACATGGGGATTAGGCTGGGTGTTGCGTCAAGACAGCAGGATTATCAAAGGCTACTGGAGATGTCAAAGATTGCCTCGTATCCTAGACACGAAAACAAATACTCGGATACGTTACCATGTCTTGTTAGACTCCTCCTTTTCCTTTGCCTTGGCCGCATCCCTCTCCAGCTTTCTTTTCTTTATTTCGGCTATCCTTTCCTCTTTCTCTGTAGTCTTTCTCTTAATCTCCCTCTCCCTCGCTCTCTTCTGTTTCATTTTCATAGCCTTCCTCCTTTTTCCCTTCTCCAACTTCTCATCATCCCACAGCTCCTTCTCGTCGAGTGGACCGAGACGATCAAGCGCTGCAAGTCTCTTTGGAGATATCGGCTTATTCTTGACAGCCTTGGAGAGCTCAACAGCTTTCGATGCCGCGGCCGCGAAACCGCTTTCCACATGGAAGCCAAGATTGGCATCCTCAATCTGATCATACAATTAGCGATTGTCTGCAGAGCGTAGATTCACATGATGCCTACCATTTTCAGACCAGCTTCGGCGTTTGTGCCTTGTAATCTGACTACCACCTCTACGCCAATGAGATAGTCTTTTGCTGCCGCGATGATAGACTCTGCAATCATGTCACATTTCGTAATACCTATTCCATTCGTTAGTCCAATCCAGTAAAAATGACTCTTCCCACTTACCTCCATAAATATTGATGATGACAACTTTGACTTTAGGATCACTCATCACAACTCTGAAAGCTTTCTGCATAGTCTCCGTAGTTGCCTGGCCACCAACATCAAGAAAGTTGTTGCTCTGCCCTCCATATTGTTGAATGGCATCAGTCGTTGACATTGCCAGTCCCGCGCCATTAACCACAGTTCCGATATTGCCGTCGGACATTTTGACATAGACAAAACCATGAATTTCTGCGAAACGCTCTGCTTGAACCTCAAAAAGCACCTCTCGCGACGCAGTGTATTTCTTCCTGGCAAATTTTGGCGCGTCGTCGTCAAATTCGAAATGAGAATTCACACAGATGAGTCTATAGTTTCCCATCGGACGCAACAGGTCGACCTCAAGGCTGAGCGCTTGGCATTTCGTGAAGATTTCGTGCACGGCAGAGAGTATCTTTTTAAAGCTCTCTCTCAACACTTTACCCAGCTTATGGCGTGCTGCGAAGTTGGCCACGAATGGAGCGAGCTTTTCCTCGCCGTCTTTGAGTTCGAAGTGGTATTGCATCCCCGAGTATGAACCATCTGGCTGTTTTACGGGGTCCTGCAGGTCTCTGATCTTGATAACCGGCGTACAAGTCTTGCGGTCTATTGTCATCGTTAGACGCCAGCGTTGATGAATTTTGATCGCTTCATGCACGTAGATTGATGCTCTGTGGTTTACTCCTAATTCGTCGCACTGAGCATTCCTTTCAGCAAACCATTCCTTCACCATTCGCATTTCCTCAGAATGCTGGGTAAAGGATCCCTTCTCTACGTATAAGACCGGGTTTGACCCCATGGGATCCTGTCTCTTGATATATGCAGACGAAGAGGCTGGATTCAAGTTAGCCTGAATTTCTACCCCGATCCCGCGTCAGATGTCGTGACTTACGATAGCTTCCTACCGTTGACTGCAAGGTGCGCGTATATAATAAGGTAGTAGCTGAAGGGATTTTGAGATCGGCCTAAGGTTCTAAGTCAGTTAGCTGGTTCAAGGTATGGACAAATCATCATACCCTTTTCAGCATAGCCTGGGAGTGATGCTCGAACAAATGCAGACTTCTGATCTGGTTTGAGATGCTTGGTTGATGTCTTAAGGCGAGTTTCGACGACAACACGCCGCAGTTCCACGGCAGAAGCCGGTCACGAAACGATCCAGATCCAATCTTGGTGGCCATTGTCGATAATTATTGTCTTAGTCGCATGGGAAGCGATGAGAATCGATGCGGCTTTGAAAGAGGAGAGATTTCTTGGCTACTGTTGACGTGAGGGGTGAACAGGAAGCCCCACTCGAATGTCGGTTAATTCAGTATCTCCCTAAAATGGCCAATTCGCTGTCATAAGAGAAGTTGTAAATTAAGAATTACGGGCTTGAACTTGTGTACTTCAAGGTCAAGGTTTATCTGGGGAAGCTATCGCAAAATCCAAGTCGCGACTGGGCACGTGACTTCATTCTCGGGCACGATCAATGACGAGGTTCGACACAAGTGCAGAAAGAGTAAGGAAGAAGTAAGAGAAATAGAGGAAGGGAAAGAAGTCGTCTAATACTATAAAGCAGAAATCTATTTGTACTTGAAGGTGCGAAGGAAGGGGTCTGCAAAAAGAAAATGGTCAAAAGGCAAAAAACATACAACAGCGGGGATTCGCTGGTCGTCACCGACCCAACTACTAATCCGCCGGTTAGTGGCTTGACTATGGGAGAGCGGACGGGATCCCGTATTTTCCACTACCTTTGGTCGTATGTGCTAGAAACAAAGATTTGATGATATATATACTTTACAAGCAAGAGTAAAACGCTCTCAAGTCTACAGTAGCGCCTTGGTTGTCCCCATCAGTTAACGGCTTGACTATGAACGAGTAGACGGCCGTGTAACCCAATCCCAACAATGTGAAAATGATTGCTATTTAAATTTCCACTGGCCGAGCAGTCAATACTTAGGGGAAAGATAGAAAGGAAGGCGCAAGTATATCCTTCGGGTTAGAAAAAAAGACTTTGCTTTCCCTTGGGAGTCCTACGGACTTGAATTCTTTGAGATAGTTCCCTCACTGCCCCGACCTGCCCCTAAACTCCAGATACTGCAGGGAATCCGCTTAGGAGGCACCCGCTGTAAGATCTATACCTACCTAGGTAATTTGGACCTTTTGCGAGTGAGGCTGTTCCTTGCGGGTCCGAAACATGTCACATCAGTCAGATTTGTCTGCCTAAACTGGAAGTACCCGGTCGTGAATTAATCGTGAATTGTTCGTTAAATCAATGGGCATCTTATCACCTGTAAGTGAATGCATTCCCACTGTTGTTCCGTATTCTTGCAGCCCTACGACCCAGAATTAGTCAGTTTTCTCGTCTTGGCTGCGTGAACAACCCAGGCAGAAGTGCGTCGCTCAGACATTCAGGCCCCCAACTACCAGTAGGATCACGACACATCTAAGCGAGGTCTTTATCTTGAGGCTCAGACTCATCTGTAAAAGAAAGCCTTGCGAACCAGAATAATGTAGTCGCAGTTGCCTTGGCTTACCTCTTCTTTTCGTATATTTAATGGTGGTATAATCGCACAGTTCAGAGACATGCACTTTAAATTTTTATACTATAACATTTAAAGACAACTCACCTATCACCATGCCTTACATTGACCCTACACCACCTCAAGACGATTCATCGTCCAATCAGCCTTCTGACGCGGATCCCTCATCCCGCTCTGAATCCCCTGCTGAGGATCTTCCAAAGACCCCAGACTCGACCCACTGTGATGGCCCTGAGCCGGTCGTGACCGATCTACAAAATCTCAAACAAGATGATGCTCAAATTGTCGCTGACAGTATCGCTAACCTCTTTGTTGATGCGGTCGCATCCCGGCTGGCAAAGTTGAAGAGCCTTGAGGAGCATGCCAAAGAAGCAGCCGAGAATCAAGAAGAGACTAAAGAAGAAGAGACCAAGGAAGAAGAGACCAAGGAAGAAGAGACTAAGGAAGAAGAGGCTAAGGCTGATGAAGAGAAGTCAGAAGCAAAAGAAGAACCAGAGCTGAAATGGACAGACCTTCTTGTGGATGAAGATCAAGATTTCGAATTGGTAGACGATAAATCGCCCTCGCAGATCGAATGGTCAAGACGGAAGCGAGAAGAAGGCCAGAAGAACGAACACATGGATCGTATTATGGCCATGGTCGGTCACGAACAGGTCAAGGCTTACTTCCTATCTGTCCTGGATAAAATCAGCATATCGAAGCGTTGGGGCAAAAGCATGGATGACTGGTCCTTCGACCTTGTGCTTCACGGTAACGATGGCACTGGTGAGTTCCATCTACCCAAGCAAAGTCCTGTGCTGCGTTTCTAACAAATTTTAGGAAAAAGAAGAATCGCACAGCTATATGCAGAGTTTCTGCATAGTGTTGGCGTGGTACCCAATCGCAAGTTTGCCATCAATGACGGCCATTGGGCATCAGATGAGGATGCAGAGGCTTCAGTAGGTTTTACCGGTCACATCATTTACCTAGAGCTCTGCTGATCTACCAGGTTATCTTTTTCTGCGCAGCCGACGGTATCGACCGAAACTCTGAGGTAGAGAGGATCTTGGAAGTTTCCGAAAAGTCCGAAACCCGCGAATCCCGTACTGTGGTTATGCTTTCGTACAAGACCTTCAGCTCTTCCTCACGAAACGTATTAGATGTTTCCGAAGTCTCCCGACGCCGCTTCTCAAATCGCCTCACCCTTGAGAACTACAAAGAGAAGGATATACTCCAGCTGCTGAGGCTTTTGTGCAAAAAGCCCGAATACAAGCTCCAGTCTGACAACGTGCTCGAATTTCTGGCACGACAAATACAGAAAAAGCACGCCGGAAAGGATAAATTCAGGAATGCCCACAAGATTAAGGATGAGCTCGAAAAGGTCTGGAAGAAAAGTCAAACTCGAGCAGACGAAGAGTGGTACAGCTGGGCAAAGACGCACTCTCCTGAAGACGGTCTGGAATTCTCGAAACAGGATGGAATCACTCTTGATGATATTCTGGGACCGGCACCCGAGAACGTCAGAAGCAAGAGTGAAGCTTGGAAGAAGCTCGAGAACATGATCGGACTGGAAGAAGTCAAGGAAAACCTGGGGCGTATCTTCGACATGGCTGAGTTCAACAGCCAACAGGAGCGACATGGACGTCAACCTCTGGATGCAAGCTACAATCTCTGTTTTCTTGGAAACCCTGGAGTCGGCAAAACCACCGTTGCGGAGCTTTACTCCCAGATTCTCAGCGAACTGGGTATCGTGTCTCGTGGGCATATCGTATCCAAACAGGCTTCTGACTTGTTAGGTGAATACATCGGACATTCGGAGGCCAACACCACCAGAGCTCTTGAAGAAGCGAAAGGTGGTGTTTTGGTCATTGATGACGCTCACCTACTCTACCAAGAGAGTTGCAAAGGCAAAGGGTCCTCAGATTCGTTCCGAAATGGTATCATCGATACACTGGTTGCCAAGATCTCTGGCGGCGCAAGCGAGGATCGCTGTGTTATCCTGTGTGGTTACACGGACAGGATGCAGAAGATGTTTCTCAACACCAACCCGGGCCTGCAGAGGCGGTTCCCAGTCGAGAGTTGCCTCAAGTTTGAGAACTACGACGACGAACAACTCCAACAGATTCTGAGACTGAAAATGAAACGAGATGAGCTCACCGCGACGCACGAAGCAAGCGAGGTCGCTCGTGAGGTGCTGAACAGGTCCAGGAGAAGGCCTAACTTCGGAAACGGCGGCGACGTTGAAACTCTCTTGTCCCGAGCAAAGACCCGCCGAATCACACGATTAAGGAACGCAAAATGTCCCTTCTTGGAATTCCAGGACCGGCCTTTGGAGCCTGAAGATTTCGATCCTGATTTCGACAGGGCCTCAAGGGCGGATAAGCACCGCAATGCTTTGTTCCAAGACTTTGTAGGGTTTGATAATGTCACTGGAAAGTTCCAAGAATATCAGAAGATGGCAATTGGAATGCGGCGCTGTGGGATCGATCCCAAGTTATACATTCCTTGGGCATTTGTCTTCAGCGGACCTCCAGGAACCGGCAAGACGTGAGTACTCCACTGCCCGTTCTTAGGTATAAACTAACAGCTTTCCAGTTCAACAGCCAGAAAGGTTGGCAAGCTCTTCTACGACATGGGCTTCATCTCATCAGATGAGGTCGTGACATGTTCTGTCACAGATCTCATTGGCCAGTATATAGGAAGCACAGGTCCCAAGGTCATCAGCCAATTTGAACAGGGCCTCGGCAAGGTTCTTTTCATTGACGAAGCTTACCGCTTGGTGGGAGACTCTTACCACAAGGATGCCATCGGAGAAATTGTCGATACCATGACCAACCCACGCTTCGCTCGCAATATGGTTGTCATCTTGGCAGGATACGGAGACGAGATGGAAACTCTCTTGAGCACCAACCCAGGCTTACGAAGCAGATTTCCGACAATCATTGAGTTTCCTCACATGGCACCTGAAGATTGTTTGTGCCTTCTTTCAAGGCTACTTGCGAAACTCAACATTCACCTTTCGTCTTCGGTAACTGAGTCGGGTTCGGCCCACAATACCATCATTGGCATATTGCGGGCACTTACTGGCACCAAGGGATGGGCCAGTGGACGTGATATTGAAAATCTTAGCAGGACTATTACTGAGCGTGTGTTTACAAAGGTAGGTGATTTTGAGGAGGTTGGTGAGCCTGGGGCGCTCGAGATTTCTTTTGATGAACTCGTCGACTGCTTGGAAGCAATGCTTAAGCAAAAGGGAGGTCGGTATCTGGAAGAAGTGTCCTAGGAGATGGTAGCACTGGGAAGGCTTGTGGCTGCTCAGCAGATATCAAACCAACTCTGTCATTATCGCAGTTCAAATAAGATTAAGGTTTACATCAAAGGGGTTAGATAGCGTCTTAACAAATAACATGAATTATATGAATGATGCCTATATGCTTAATCAAATGCTCGACGTCCACTCTGGATCGCTTCGTTTATGTCAACCTTTGGCTTGACCTTTGTCATCACCTGAGGCAGTGGTTTTCCGCTCAGCAGTTCTGCTATTTCTTGCCCCAGAGCTCCCGCATGACCAACAACCGCCACACCAGCTTCCTCTAAAGCCCTCATCTTCACACTTGCGGGCACATCCACAACACTTCTCAGAACTGCTCCAGCATGGCCCATGATCTTTCCTTTGGGTGCACTCTGACCAGCTATCATTCCAACGATAGGCTTTGGGTTCGAGGTATTTCTTCGATATTCTGCGATGAGGTCTGCTGCTTCAAGTTCAGCCTCCCCTCCGATCTCTCCGATCATAATGATTCCCTCGGTTTCTTCGTGCTCGAAGAATACCTTCAAAGCATCTGTAAAATTGGTGCCTGGAGTATGTCAGCATAGCTTCGCCCTGTCGAGAAACTTGAATTACCTGGAGTCAGATCTCCTCCTACTCCTATAACCAAAGACTGTCCTAATCCGAGTTCCGTCGTTGCGCCAACTGCTTCGTAGCTCAAGGTTCCTGATCTAGACACAATTCCAATACGACCACACTTGTACTGCAGGTAGGGCATGATTCCAACGCGACATTGTTCTGGGGCAATGATTCCAGGACCGTTCGGTCCGACGAGCCTGCTCTTCGACTGGGTTCTCAGAACCTCGTGGACTCGTAGCATATCGTGAGCTGGAACATGCTCTGCCACAGAGACAATGAGAGGAATCTCAGCTTCTATGGCGTCAATAATGGCATCTGCAGCCAACGCTCCACGAATAAATACCGCCGAGACGTCAGGCTTCAATTCCTTAGCAGCCTAAGGTTCTTATTAAATTGGATGACCTGGAAATTTGTTTAGCCCTCTACTTACATCTTTGACTGATCCAAATAGTGGTAGATCCAGATGTGTCTCCTTATCTGGGTTCAGAGTGACACCTCCAAGTACTTTTGTCCCATAAGCAATCGTGTCTGTAGCATTCTTGGTCGCCTATGGTGCAAAGTTAGAATGTGTTACGCGCCCTAGTCTCGGTTTCCATACGACTTGACCTGTGAAGCCTGTATAATTGATACCATTTATCAGCTTGCTTCATTTACAGTCGCGTTCAAACTCTGAGTCCTACCTTGATATATAACTCTGGAATGTTCATTTATTTTTAGGTTTTTTATCGTCTTTTCATATGGGCTTATATGTGCGGAATTGGAAAATGCTCCTTTTGAGACCCCTTCCGCAGCGAGTTTAGCTACAGTACGCAATCGTGAAGCCGACATGGCGGATGACCTGTCGAGATGAATGAGGTTTGACTGGATGATAAATTGGTTCAGTCCATCAACAGATGGGCACTCTAAAAAAGAGGGGGCTCGAAGACCCCGCCGTACGCCGCCAAAGGATGGCTCCAGGGGGGCTCCAGCTTTTCAAGCGAGTGGTACAGAGTCATTACAGGGGATCCGGCGCGGTCACATGACGTTTGTCCTCTGTAAGCTAGCTCGCTACAGCTGCCCGGGCAGATTCGTTAGGTATCTTGGGCTGTCTTCACTTACAGCAACAATGGAACTGAATGTAATTCTAGTCAATTGCATAACTACTCCTAAGAAGTAACCTAATCTATTGACGGGATATTCTCGACAATATCGCACCTGTAATCAGAGCTCTGGGTTGTTGCGTAAAAACTCCTCCAAGCCTGTAACCTTGACATCGAGTTTATCGTTATCCAGTTCTCCAAGAGACCATGTCCCATCACCAGTGAACAACTGGTAGAACCAACCGATATGCGGCCAAAACATATTCCTTTTCCCTTTCTTCCTAGCTTCCAACGCTCTCTCACGCAATTCTTCCAAATTGCCTTTCTTCTGAACATGCACCTCACAGTCTCTGACCTTTCCATATGTCTCAGCGATCTGCTCAAGGGTACCGGACCCCGAGCAAAGCGTCCAGAACCCACCCTCGGCTGCATCATCCCTCTCGATAACAGCAGCTGTGAACTCCGCCGCATCGCGCTCTGCGGTCCAGTGCCAGATTTCTTCTCCCGTGCCCCAAATATCCATGGTCTTTCGCTCAGGGTCCCAGACACCATTGTTAGCGGGGCTAAAATCCCCATGACCAGGGAGCGAAAACAGAACTTCTGCCAAAACGCCCGTGAAGAAGTAGATGGGCTTAAGGTCAGAGGTGAGTTCAACCTGGTTTCTGAAACAAATGTATGGATCGTAACTTTCGTGAACGCCAAGCTGCATGTCCTTCCAATTATAGTTCCATGAAGAGGCTACATACTTGTTGACGCCTGCTCGCTCGGCAGCGCGTAGAAGGAGGAGTTGACCTTCGAGGGCTAACTCGGGAATGCCTGTGTAGACGCATATGACCGCGTCGACGCCCTTGCAAGCGCGATCCAAGGCGGTAATGTCGTAGTAATTGTCGCTTCGTATGAAGCTTTCCAGTTTCTTTCGACTAGACATGTCGAGCTTGGAAGGGTGACGTCCGAGTCCACGGACTTGATGGCCCCGGGAATGAAGACTGTCGATCATCTTCTGGCCGAGATTGCCAGTCACGCCAGCCACGAGAATGAGCATGATGAAATATGGGCAGGAGACTAAATGAATGATATACTGTATTAATCTTTTCCTTCCTTTGAAGCGACTTCATATTTATATTAATGATGGGGGCATGTCAGCATCTAGACTTACCCTGGAATTGTACATGGTTGTTGATCTTGGTGGGTCATTACCGATGTCTGGCAAAGGTCTGAGAGGTTGGAGTTAGAGGAGGGTGACGTCCTCGTGAAGGCTATTACTAGAGCCATCATTTGAAATTGTCCGATAGTCCGACGTGGGCTGGCTCGAAAAGGATGCGATACCCCAGGTTTTGAGAAACATCGAGGGCTGTAAAACTTCCACTTTAACCACAGCAAGACAGGGACTTAAAAATACCCCGCGGTAGTAAATGCAAGCAATGCCTTGTTGTTAAAATATTTATGGAGGACATGAGGCTGCCATTATCTCTGCGAGCTCTTGTAGAGCGAGCTCGCAACTCTGTCATTTAAAAGAAAACCAATGACTACCAAGGTTTCTATTTCTCTTCCATCAGAAACAATTAAGATTGCCAATATGTCGTCAGTAATTAACTTCCATCCTCGTCCAAACTCGTGAAAGTGGAGCACTAGCCCATGTTACCGCCTACCAGAATAGAAAAGACACAGCGGCAGAAATTTGTCGTCCCCCACCTGAGATCGAGTTTTTTGCGACATGCGCCGTCAAACTTCGTTCCATTACTCCGCCAAGCATAGCAGCAGCTCCCAATAATTCTTTCAATTAAACGAACGACCTAACAGACAAACAGTCAATATGAAGGTTGTTCTTGTGAGCGGCGGAGTCATTTCCGGTGTCGGCAAAGGTAAGCTTCACTGACCCTACCTTCGCAGTATTGGCTTCTGTACTAACTTTGATCTCCAGGCATAATTGGTATGACTCTTTACGAACCTCTCGCAGACTTCTCGACGACTAACAATTCTCAGCCAGCAGTGCTGGTCTTCTTCTGAAGACCATGGGTCTTCGAGTTACGGTATGATGCGACAGATCCACGATTGAAGATCTTTAACTAACACCACCAGGCCATTAAAGTAATACCCCGCCGACAGCCCGACTCGCTCACGACTCTAACAGACGACTAGACCGATCCTTATATCAACACCGATGCTGGTCTCTTGAACCCTCTCGAGTTAGTGCGACCTGAGCTTCTCAATTACACCTCCGCTAACAATTGCTAGGCACGGCGAGTGCTTCGTTCTCGACGATGGCGGCGAGGTACGCTAGTTCTACACCGACACAAAACTTGCGCTGACTCTTCAGACCGATCTCGATCTCGGAAACTACGAGCGGTATGTTCTTCGACACATTACCGCAATCGAAACCCACGACGTGGACTAATACGGAACCAGATACCTTGGCATCCAATTGAGCCGTGACAGCAACATCACTACCGGCAAGATCTACAAGCAGGTCATTGTACGAACTTACGCGACTCCTTGATATGCGACAGGCGACTAATACAATGGATGTAGGAGAAAGAGCGACGAGGAGATTATCTCGGAAAGAGTATGTATTCTGCTATACGGTAGTGTTGAGTTTGTGCTAACGGTGGAAATAGCTGTTCAGGTACATCAAACCGAAATCGAACGATCAAACGACGGGACTAATAGTATTGAAGGTCGTTCCTCACATCACAGACGCCATTCAGGACTGGATTGAGCGTGTCGCTAAGATCCCTGTGGATGCTTCAGGAGAGGCCCCCGATGTCTGCATTAGTACGTCATTCTGAGATTTAACACTGGACGAAATACTGACTTGTGGTAGTTGAGCTGGTACGCCAAAACAATTCGCGACTGGTAGGAACCAGTAACTGACCTTGAAACTAGGGTGGTACAATTGGTGACCTCGAGTCCGGTCCATTCGTTGAGGCCCTCTCTGTAAGATAACTGCTCCTCGATTGACGACGAAAAGCTAACGACTTCAAGCAACTCCGCCACCGACTTGGTCGCGACAACTTCCTAAGCATCAGCGTTTCCTACGTCCCCATTATCAACGGAGAGGAGAAGACGAAGCCTACCCAGCATGCCATCCGACAAGTGCGAAGCGCTGGTCTCATTCCCGACGTGGTATGTATTGCGATTCCGGACGTCCTGCTTTTCTAACAGTTACAAGATTGCCTGCCGTTGCGAGCGAGAGCTTGACCAAGCTACCATCACAAAGATCGCCCGAAGCTGCCAAGTCGAGGACGAGCAGGTCATTGGTGTGCGCAACATGGACACCATCTACCAGGTCCCTCTCCTTCTCGAGCAGGAGGGTCTTCTGAAGCTCCTGAAGAAGGGTCTGGCCCTTGAGAACTGCCAAGTCACCCCTCCTATGGCTCAGAAGGGTCAGGCTCTCTGGGATCTCTGGAAGAAGACCGTCGTTCCCGACCGACACCTCGAACCCGTCAACATTGTTCTTGTCGGCAAGTACGTCAGCCTCGACGACTCATACCTCAGTGTCCACAAGGCGCTCGAGCACTCAGCCATGCGATGCAACCGAAAGCTGAACCTCGTTTCCGTCGACTCCGAACACCTCGAGCCCGATATGCAACAGAAGGACCCTCGCAAGTTCCATGAGGCTTGGGCCCATGTTGTCCGCGCGCAGGGTATTATTGTTCCCGGAGGCTTCGGAACCAGAGGTATTCAGGGTATGGTCGATGTTGCCAAGTGGGCTCGTGAGCGTAAGCTCCCCTACCTGGGTATCTGCTTGGGTATGCAGACTGCTGTCATCGAGTATGCTCGCAACGTCATGGGTCTTAAGGGAGCCACCTCCGAAGAGTTCTCTGCTACAGCCGAGCACCGTGTCGTTATCTTCATGCCCGAGGGTTCCAAGGAGTAAGTCAACAAGAACCGACACGAAAGAAAGGCACTAACAAGTGACAGGCAAATGGGTGGTACCATGCGACTTGGTAGCCGCACATCTCACTTCAAGGAGGGTACCGAGTGGAGCAAGCTCCGAGGCTTGTATGGAGGAGTTCCCGTCGTGGAGGAGCGTCACCGTCACCGTTATGAGGTGAACCCCGAGTACATTGAGGATCTCGAGAAGGCTGGCCTCTCCTTGACCTCTATGGATGACCAAGGTGTCCGAGTTGAGACCATTGAGTTGAAGGACCACCCCTTCTTCGTTGGGTGAGTATCCGCTCGTCGCGTTCATGTGTCATTCGCTAACCGTCCCCAGTCTCCAGGCTCACCCTGAGTACAAGTCCAAGACTCTGGCGCCCGCTCCTTCGCGTGAGTACCTCAACCCTAATACATCTACCCAGACTAACAGTTTTATAGTGCTCGGCCTTGTCGCCGCCAGCTCTGGATGCCTCGACGAGATCATCGAGGCCGCCCACCAGAAGCAGAACTCCGCCAACGGAGTCAGCGATGTTACCAATTTCTAAAATGGGAAAGTCAATGCGCGTTTCGGTACTGGGAAAGGATGAATAGACTAGGTCACGGATATGAAGGGAAAAGGGCTTAGAGCTACATAGGACGTGAGATAATGAGGCTTTTTAGACTGCATGGCTGGCGTTGGTTGCTTAAAAATGAACTATACCTGGGAGAAAAATGATAGACATGAAATTTAAAATGCATTACAGGCTGAAGTGCTCTCGGTTTGAAGTTCTGGGTCCTTGCTCGTGATAATTTGATACGCTACAGCGCATCTCACAATTAACTAAGCGTTGAAGCAATTGCGTATATCTTCAATAGACAGGTACAATAGTCCATCGTGGCAAACCATTAGATGGCAAGAATACTTGATACAATTTCAGTGAAGGCATCGAGGATTAATTAATACAGCCAGTGCAATCTGTGTTGTAATCATGCGGAGTTGCACTTCGGTGAACCTGACCTTGGATGATAATGGTGGCCTCTGCTGTTTGCTTCTCTTGGTCAACTGAGGAGTGCATCGATCTGTATAAGATGGAGTGTTGCAAAAGTGGCGGCGTCTTGGTGTTAAATAGAAGCGGTTTCACTGCAATTTTAACCTCACTCGATGGGACGGGCTTGGAGGCATCCCATGACGACAGAAGCGGATTGCAGCTTTCACATCGCGGCGCCCGCTGAAGCCGAAGTTTCAGTGGACTCACCCGCTATAACTTGGTATCGTTACCACCACCTAAGCAATCATGAATCTACAACAAACATTTAGCCAGCATCGGATCGATCAAAACAAGCAACAGCATTCGTCAATACTTTGACATAATTCGAAACCTATTCACGTTATACACCCAAATTGCCTTAATTCTCCCCATCTCCAATCCCACTGCAACGTACTACGCTCAACACCTTGTCACTTTCTAACGAGATCTCGCTGGCAGGGCAGGTCAAACAAAACTACCGCGCCGTTGATGTGCGTTCTTCCCCAGCACGTCCCACATATCCATGCTCTCTACATAACTCTGACATGAACCCTTCTAGTATCGCACTGAACTCTGGGATTCATGTCAAGGGCATGAATGTGGGTTTGGACCGAGCAAGTCAGAGGGCATGAGAAGGACGCTTTTTGACCGCTGTGTCCGATATTCGCCGTGACGGACGAGAATATACAGGGTCCCAAAAGCCTTTTACTGCTGGCTGTCTGTACCTAAAGCTGTCCATCGCTTTGGCGTCTAGTCAGGGACCTGCGGTAAGATCGCCTGCCATAACCCGCCCATCTGGTCGAAGCGTCCGACCACAATAACCTTATCTCGAATTGGTCTTGGCGGATTAACGGCACATCCCATCGTAACATCACATCACGACCCTTACCGATTAGCGATTTTTCATCCTTTTACTCAAAGCCAATCAATCCCCTGTCAGACCATTCTCGATTTCTCCGACCATGTTGCGTGTCCCATGTGGCTCATCCCTGAACAATATGACGTCGGCTGTGCCACAGAAGCAGGTTTTTAGCCACACCATAACGGCATGGCATCACAATGCGTCTATTGTACAACCGTCTGGATGATGGAAAGGACCAGTGAGGATCTACGTTTCAGATCGAGCACGGCAGATCCTTGCTTGTGATATGACGTATCTTTTCATCATGGGGTCTAGGCGTTGTGTATAAATCTGCCTGTTCGGCTCTTGACTTGGAATGGTTCTGTAACGGTTTAGACTCATTTACAAGATACCATACATCTTTCTATTTACTTTAATATTCATCATGGAGTACGCAAAGGAGACATACAACTCTCAGTACGAGAAGTGGGTTCCCTGGCTCGAGGACGTCTACCTCCGCTGGTTCACAAAGGACAACAAGGCTAGCTATGCCACCAAGCGTACGTCTTTTCTCCTTCTACCTCCCTATCAACACTAACACCTTATAGAAAATCTCGACAAGACCAAGGTCACTGGCGTCGAGCAAGTAGACACCCTCCAAGACGGCGTCAACAACCTAGCCACCAGCCAGGTCGGCCAAGGCGGTCTTCTCCAACCAGTCGGCGACTTGGCTTCCAAGGAAGGCCTCAACCGAGCCGAGCGACAGGGCAAAGATGACGATGGTGGTTACGTGAACAAGAATGCTCCTGGCGCCGGTGCTATGAACAGCACAGCTGAGGCTGTTGTTGGAGGAAGCAAGGGTGCTGCCCAAGGCCTGGGAGATGTGGGCAAGGGTGTTGGAAACACTGTTGGAGGTCTGCTTGGTGGTAAGAAGGAGTAATACTTTTTAAAGCCTGCTTTTAATATCGGTGTTTTGGTAAAGGGATATACCTACAAGGATGGGATAAGGAATGCACGAGCGACAGGAATACGTACGCCAACGCTTAATGATAGCAAATCTGCCAAAGTTTTACCATAAATGACGAATGCACATGATGCTTCCAAAGTCTGTTATTGACCTGCCTAATTCGGGTGCAATATCCGGATACCAGAACTCGCCCGTTTCGAGTCGAAGATTTGCTCACATCGTAGGAAGCACTTTCTTACGGCATCAACTTTCAGAAACTACACGGGAAACAGGTTGACTTATCCACAGAATACCGGCGTTTGTGATCTTTATCATATATCGAAGCTAGGCTACATATTGGTTCCATGCATTGCCGTCAGGGCAAGAATGAGAGCATAAGAGACGAAATAACTTGGTCACCTTATGGTAGGTTAAGCGAGTACTTAGACTACTTTATTTAGGTGTCCTAAGCCTTAGATAATTGCCCTGTTGGACAAACGACTGTCTACTACTTAACCAGTGACTGGATCATGTAATGATATTAACGAAACAATCAACTGCCGAAAGAATCAAGGAATGACTTGCCACATTCGGGCTTTCCAAGATCTGCTGCCAGGTTTGCATGACACAACCTCCCGCCCACACCCCATCCCACCAAGTGACATCCACCTAAACGCTGGTTCGTCCAGCCTTGTCTTGACCCCTCTGAACCTCACTCTCTGCATGATCAGCACTAGCGTAATCATCCTCACCAGAGAGCTCCTCAAGTGTCTTCCTTGCAGTCTCAGGAATCAAGAGTGTAGTGAGGATACCCAGAAGCATGAACAAAGCGTAAATTTCAAGAACGTGGTCCATCCAAGGCGCTTCGTTCTTATCAGTTGCACCATGAGTTCGAAGGATAGAGATGGCTCCTTGACCAATGATAGAACCAACCTTTCCGGAGGCGGCGGAGATACCATGAGAGGTTGAACGGTAGCGAGTTGGGAAGACTTCTCCGGGAACGATAAAAGTCGTCGTGTTGGGGCCGAAGTTGAAAAAGAATTGAGCAAGGACGTAGATTGCCAGAAGACCGTTGGAAGGGATGTGATTGTAAGCAAATCCCATAACCTATGTGTGTTAGTCCAACTCCATGCCCCTGACAGAATCAACTTACGATGAAAAGAATAGTCAAGATAATAAAGCCACCAAGTTGAATAGTCTTTCGTCCAAGAGTATCAATAGTTGCAACAGAAACCCAGTAGCCTGGTACAGCTCCTGCGAGTACAATAATGATGTTTCCAACAGCGGTGTTGTACAGAAACTCATAGACATTGTTGGCATCCTTGGTAGAATAACCAATAACCTTGAGAATAGTACCGTTATTCAAAGAGAGACCATAGAAAGCCACATCAAGACAGAACCATGAACCAGCTGTTCCGAGAAGGAGAGAAGCGTTCTTCCACTTGCTGTAGTGCTGGAAGAAGTCTCTCCAGCTGGCCTTGGGAACTTCGAGATTCTGCTTTGCACTGGCATGGACTTGAGCACGTGAAACTTCGTCGGTGCTGCCTTCTCGCTTGCCGTTTATGTAAGCTTTAACGTCCTCGTCTGCCTGTTCGACGTCGCGGGCTACGTCGAAGGTATAACGGGGGGTCTCAGGGATGGTGAGACGATCTGTTGAGTGTTATTATAATGGGCTTTGATATCAAGACTAAGGCTACTTGCAATAAAGAGCGATACAGGCAGGAACTGCACCGAAGCCAACGAGTGTTCGCCACATTTTGTCGACGGCAACTTGGCAGTCTCCGGTGCAGCTCTTTGTATCAGGAGCCCCCTCAAGAGAAGACTTGAAGCCAAGAGTAAGGAACATCATGACAAGAGCTGCTACGAGTTGACCAATACCTTGCATGGCAAATACAGCAGCCATCATGGCACCTCTCCACTTGGTGGTGGCGAACCTATTGATATTAGCAAGAGGCTCAAGGGTCAAGGACTGGAAACACCCACTCAGAAGTAATGATGGAAGAAAGGGGATAATCACCACCGATACCGACTCCCATGATGACTCTCCAGAAGATGATAAGTCCAACAAGAGACGTCGAAGGCGAACCAGCCGTCAAGGCCTGAGCAAGGGTAGCGAAGATGATAACGATCAACTCCAGGCCATACATGCGCTTTCTGCCCACAATATCGGCCATCATACCAAATCCAAGCTGTCCAAGCACAGTACCAGCAGAAGTTGAAAGCTTGATAGCATTATCAGAGCTGGTAGGCAACTTGCCCTTGGAAGGGTAGTACACGATGCCGAGCATGATAGTCAGCATGGACACGCAGAAGATGTCGTAGGAATCTGTGAAGAAACCGACACCTGCGACGATACATGCTCGTACATGATACCAGCCAAAAGGCGCTTTATCAATTTCTGCGAGGGCGAGACGGCGGCGTTCGTTGGGGTCGGCGATGTGGGCGAAGTCGTTGTGGAAGTTGTGGAAGGCATTGTTCCCGCCGCTCGTTTTGGCGACTGGACGAGAGTCTTCGGCCATTTTGAATGATTTTAATAGAATTAAAGGGAATAGTTAATAGTAAATGGAATATAAATGATAGGTAATGAAGTATAGACTGGCAAGGCGAGTAAGTGTACAAGGCACTCAATGAGCATATCCTTACAGCCAAGACAAAGCCAAGAGATTCTACAAGCGATCTCCCCTGCAGTATAAATATTTCCGAACTACAACTATTAACAATTCTCTTTTCCAGCTCATGTCTTCCTTCAGTCATCCATGAGCCGTCCGAACCGAGAAACGGTAATTATAACGCCATACCCACAATCAATCACCCTATCATGTTTCCAAATTAAAGGACATGCTCTCCTGAAGAGATTCAACTTTTATCTCGGTGTTTGAAGGAAGCACACGACAATTGAATGGTTTATCGAATAGAGTCGTTGATGGAGCCACGTGCTCCCCAGCGCCAAGATTGCTTGGCTGACAGAGCCTCTGGGGTCGGCAAATCGGCAACCGGGGACCCGCCTACCAAACCAAAATTGTATGCATAATATCACACTCTAGATCAACCAAGACACCGAGACGTCAGGCGCTATTACTTCTGACAGCTTCTCTTTACAGGAGATTCTCCTTTGGGATACCGAAGGTCGGATATCACGGCTTCAGCTTTGACGCGCATCGTGTTGCCGCCTTGTTTCCGGTAGCGAGACCTGTCTGCGTCTGGGCAATTTCATGATTGCTTCATCAGCTTCACTCTTCTTCTCTGACTCTTGAACATCTCCTTGGTTTGTCGCATTTGGTGCATCCTAAAATATGATGAGGCTCTGACTAAATACGGTTGGCACCAGGTATCTCCTCGTTGATCTCTCATAACCACCTTACCTTCAATCACGATGTCTCAACCATCAGAACCACCGCCACTCTACATCGGATGCCTCATTTCCCTCCATGAGCAGCAAGCAGCCCTCAAACTCATCGCCGACAGCGTCGCCCAACAACGCCAAACCGCCTCACGCGCGCTAATCTTCAACCCCATCCTCCTCTCTTTCCTCGCGGCGTGCCTCGCAGCCGCTCACTACAGCTCCAGTGACATAGGCAACATGCTGATCATCTATCCCGGCATCGTCCTCACTTATCTCGTCGCGGTTCGCTACTTCACCAGTGCGTATATTCGCATTGCGGAGGAGACCAAGTGGGCGAAATGGGCGAAGAATGACATTCTCATCGGAGCGCGGTTTGGGGAGGACATCGTTGGGGCGGTGGTTATGAGGTTGCAGAGGAAGTTGGAGACTGAATATGTGGAGGATAGCACTGGATGGGAGACTGGGGAGGCGTTTATGAAAATGCCCCCGAGGGCGATTATCAGGGGATGGACAACTAAGACAAGGTATCGGGGGAGGGGACTTGGGGGTGATATGCTGGGCAAGAGTGTCGAGATCGCAAAGGAGAGGATGGGGAGGAATTGTCGAGTTGATTTTGCGAAGGATCATGCGAATAGCCATATGCCTTTGTACACAATCTTCAACGGACCTTTCCTGGAGAGGGAAGCAAAGGCGAAGAGGGCACTTGGAGCTAAGTTGAAGGACTGGGAGAAGAAAAATCCTTGGCGGTAGCAGATACAGACAATGAAGGCATTTCGATATATCTTGCGAGCATCCTCAGAAGGGCATAAATCCCATAGCCAAAATTGTTAACTGCTTCGTGTCGGAATTCGATTGAAGGTGGTTGTGAAGCTCTCAATTGTGTAGGCCGAGGCTCATCCCAGTATCACGTCTCGTGTCATGGCTGATCTCAACAACGATGCCTTGAGTTACTCATTCATCTTTCTATCAGTGATGAGTCAATTGCCCTTTCTCATATCGGCCATGTCGTCTCATACATCGCAGTTGTATCTCGGCTGGGAGTCCAAGCTTAGAGTTGTCTATCATGCCATCCTGCCTGACCTCCGTCGCGCCCAGGCTCACTAGCATATACAGAGTACAGTTTATAATTAGACACTCATTGAGACCTATCATAGTAATGAAGCGATAAGCGCGAAGTGAGAGCACGCGACGGGCGGTTCTCGTCGTTCTGCGACAGAGACCATGATACAGAAACGTCTCGACAACATCCTTACATAGAATATTTCTCACTAGTCACTACTCAAACATGAATAAAGATCATAGCAACACCAAAGACATACCTGTGCTCAATTGTACGAGATACAGGTTGTGGTGCAGCCGGGGATTCAACGGCACCAAGCCAGACACCCAGCAACTACCTGTGCCGCGCGACACCACACTCAACAGCCAAAATGAACAGGCACAATACCAAGACTGGATGGAAGGTTGAGAATCAATCACTGTGGGAAGAACGCGCCAGTAGTCAATATGCCGCCGCTGCTCGCGACTGGGGCGACAGCATCAACCTCGCGCAAAGTTGCAACAACGAATTGATCCATATGTCCTCTCCTCTCGTATCGCTCGCTACGCGTAGATCAGCCCCTTCAACAACGATCTCAATCCATAGACCCCTCTTGAAGGGTGGTCAATATCGCAGCCATGCCCGGCTTCACTTGAGACGCGTCGGGTCTGCGTTGGCGTTCTTGTGCATTCAATCTTGCAGAGACAGGCCCTGGCAAGCTTGACGATCGAGCAACATGCCAGAAATGCCTTGACTCGTCATCAGGAGTTCAGGTCTTTCGACAAATACCGATCATGCGCCTGAAGACTTCCTACCAGCAACTCTCATCTCAATCTGCGTCGCGTACACAAAAGATGAAAGTGGAGGACAACATCCTCAACACCATCTCGATCTCGCACAACAGCTCCCTTTATAAGGATATTATGCCGTACTTATGGCTATTCAACCCTTCTTCATCGAAACGCCACAGCGGCTTCGCATCTCGGGTTCCAAGGGCGGCTCGAGATCTTCAATGTCTCGGGGCGTTTGTCACCCAAGTATGCTGCGAAGCCATCCTTTCGCGCCCGAAATGATGATTACAGCTTGACTTCTAAGGGCGAGTTCATAACTCGATGAGTACTTCAAGATGGACTTCGGTGACTCTCCGCTTTGTCCTTATTTGGTCCAGATTGCGCACCAAGAAGGGCGGGCTCGAGTAAGCCTAAGAAGGGAGGCTCAATTGAGGCATGGCCCGGATATCTGAGTAAATAACCCCTTGAGCATTCCAATCGTGTTTCAAGACGTGTCTCTGGGGGCCATTCTACAAATGAACGGCGATTATTCTTTGGCTATGCCACTGTGGTGTGGGCTATACTCCAAAACGTGTGTGGTGGCTTTTGAAGCACAACGGGATCTCATGTGCAACACAGCAAACAAGAGTATCGCGATGAGATTCGTAGTCATCGTGTGATGGTACAGGGTAGGATTCTCATCAAAGCCATCATGAGTGGAGGTTGGTATGGAGGTTCCTGGTATTTTTCGGTGTCGCCTACAGTGAACCAGACACCTAAAATTGATGAAACGAAAAGTCTCATGGAAGAATGGAAATGAATCATGCATATTTTGGGTCCGAGACATGAACACCAAAAATTACACCACCACCAAGAACTCTCTCACAACATCATGCCCGAGCTCGATCGTTCGCCAAGCTTTACAGTGGAAATAAACAGTGGATGAAGGGAAAAGAGTGCTGACATGGTCCAAGTGCGATCCTCCCGTGATGGATCAATCAATCACATCATTCCCCCGCTGTAATGCTGTGTAATCTTTCGGAGCACCGCTGCTGTAAATGAGGGAGCCCAGATATTGTCTTCACATGAATGATATGGTCTGTCCAGATTGTAAAGTGTCATTCGGACATACCGCTATCATGCTCAATCAACAAACTGTTGGCCGACCGTTACAAAGATAAGGACACAGACCCTCAAAGCCCCTGCAATCATCACAGCCTTGGAACTATCCCAGCATTCAATCCAATACCGACGGCATCTCTCATTTAATTTCCACACAACGATAAGCTTTTCTCTCTCACTAAATTTTTCACAGGCCTGTTGCACTAACAAGGGCGACTGATGCAAGGTACCGATGATCCCCTTGGCAGAGACAGCTGGGCAATGCTTAATTTCGGGGCCAAGGCTCTTAAGTTGCAGAGGTTTATTCTATGACGGATGGGATGAATTAGTTCATATGCTAAGAAGAGTGATTTTTTCTAATGGACGGTTTTTATACGGGTGAGATCGACGATGAGTTATTTTTGGGCGTTGCAGTCGTAAGGAGGGCTGGGTTCAATGCGCAACACCAATTGAGTTTGAAGGGATCTCAACCGAGGACACCTTTTCACGTGGTATTCGGATCAAGATACTGGATGAATATGCTTAAACCCTTGATAATAATTGCAATGCTCAAGTAACTCTCACGGGAGTGGCTCATCAGTTCGTCTGGCAATGGTAGACATCCATTGCCACCTTATACGGCCCGGTAGAGTAGCCTTCACCAACGCACCAGTCCATCACGAGTTTGGTGTCCGAGCACTAAGACAACGTCGCTCCGCTTCTTTCGTGTTTTCTTTCTCTTTCTGTTATCAACACGACGGCTAGACTAAGCTAAGCTATTGGGACGGCTACTGATGATCGGCATACTGGAAAGAGTCCTCCGAGGTACTCTGTAAATAACACCCATTTCTCAGGAGGATGCTGTATCCACTCATGACGACCATATTGAAGTGTTTGTTATTGTGAAAAGGGTTACGTACGCTCTGAGTGGTTAACCCTGCTGGTGATTGTCACTCATTCATTTTGACTGTTGGTTCCAAAGTGTGGCTGTCGCTTTGACAGCAGACCTCCAGCTTCAATTGTCCAACACACACTACTACCCCGTAACCCATAGTAAATACGTCTATTTCGTAAAGTATTGGACATCAAGAATTGCGCTGCGATAGTTCTAGATGCCAATAATGCCTTGAGAACGAGAATTCATTGTATGGATATCATGCCAGCTGATGGCAGGGTTCTATTGCAGGGATGGCTTTTTTGGTAATCGTGGTGGGGCCTGTCCCCTGTCACTTACGCAAGTTACTGATAACCCCTTCACGGCAGTTCGTGTTGGTTGACTTGACTTCCATTGTCAGCTGTGTTCTCATAATCTGTCATCAAACAACAATTCCAATTTATGTCAACATCATGGACCTGGGTCATGAACTCATAAATGCATTTGATGAGCAAAACCAAGACTGCAATTGACAGTCTCTCGGTTCCTTCGGCACCATTAAAGTTCGTCACAGCGCTACCGAACACTGACTTTCAGGGCCCGGGCGCTGATCTGATCGTGTCCCCCCACTGCAACGCTAATCGCACCCCCCGTAACGAACTCTTACCATGTGCAAATCCTGATCAAAGCTCTTCTCTCCCTTGACCATCACTCGCCATACGAAGTTCCTCTTCGCTCTCTCCGCTCCTCACACCAGTCTAGCCATGCATTGCAAGCCACGGCGTTATGTGTAATTAACTCCCCCTCTCTTGGTTACCGTGGCTGCCGTTGTCTGTGTTTGTTTGACGCGGTACATGTGTAGTAGTTTAAATGTTATCTTCAATTAAAAACGCCGCCTCATTATTCTATAGGTAAATAAACTCCGTATATGTAAAAGACGTTAATGCATATTTGTTCAAGCCGCCTTCTTGCCAACGTTTATTGACAAGTTGGGCACGTCAAATGTGACCGTTGTGTTCACAGAGTAGGCTTCTGTTCCCCAGGACATGTATCCAATGTAATCCGACGCAGAAGGGTAGTCTGCGTTGTCCATGGCGAGAATCTCTTCGATCAAAGGCCAGAGATCACCGTCGAATTTCTCGGCTGGCTTCTCGACGTACCATGTCAATACCTTTTGCTTGGCCTGGTTGATATCGTAGTAGAGTTTGCTGCGACAGTTAGCTTTACACCATACCATTGAATGATGAGGGCAGCACTCACAACTCTGTCCCGTGTAGTGTCTTTGTCGCCAGAGGATTTGACCCATCAACATTAAAACCCAAAGGCTGTGTCGCTGGCCCAATGGCCGCAAACCACACCATGATTTCGTGCGAGGCATCTTCAGAGTCCTGCGCCTTTGTCTTATCCTTATCCATGAACATATCCATCGCGACGTTAGCGTTCAGAAGATGGTCCTTCAAATCTGTAAGATCCGTCTTTGTCGCTGGCTTTGCGCCTTTGGCGGATGCATTGCCGATAGCGTACGTCCATTCAAAGTCGATGTCGATCTTGTCAATATCGCTGAGCTTTGCGGGGAAAACGTCGCCGTCAACCTTGATGTTAGGAAAGGCGTGGACGGGTGCTGTTTCGGGGCCCTGAGGGTATTGCCAAACTACGGACCAGCGAGGGGCGGTTTCCTTTGTGGCGTAGGTCTCGTTGTTGTTCATGTCGACCTGAGATCCAATGAGCATGATGATAATTGTCATGGCCGTTGAAAGGAACTTACATATAAGCATAATCCTCCATCATCACCTTCATTCCAACCCCACTGGTTAGGATTAACTGCAAACGGTCAGCTCTGCACTCAATTGAAGTCGCACAAGCCGGAACTCTGCAGCACGAGAATTTCTTCTTCCCGAAAACAAAGTAAACTCACGTGTATACTCCTGTCCCTTCGTCTCCGGGTGAATACCATACGACTTCTGACAATGCTGCTCCGTGGTAATGCCATGCTTCTTCTTGGGTGCCGTAGGTTTAGGATCAGGCTTGAACAAGGGCGGTCCACCTGTCGCTGTACGCTGGCTTTGAAGACCGATCAATACACCCAGCGTTATGGCGATGGGCAAGGCCAGGAGGCCAAAGTTGACGAGGAATCGGATCGTCATGATGTTTGGTGATGGAGGAGAGTTGAATTGAGGTACAGCTACTCCGTAGAACAAAAGATACCGACAGAGGCCCAGCAAGGGAGAAAAAGAACAAGCTTTTTACAAGAAAACCCGGTAGAGGCCATCTTTTACACAGCCTACGTTTCCTATTCTGGCCCTCCCTTGCAGCGGAGATAGTGTACTTGTGAATACCGACATGCCAGAAAAACACTTCATTCAGTGACCCAATCAAACACGATCAAAAGGAAAAGACGAGCTGATAGCGCAACGCACCAGCTGAAATGTACCCCTGATCTATACCAGGGTTGCCCTGGTCCGTGGTCCACTAGATCTGTCGATACGAGAGGGAGGGGTGTGTGTCTTCTGTCTTGTTCCTGGGACCAAGCTTTTTTAGGTGCAGTTCTCACTCGGCATGTGCGGTTCGTGTTGTGTACCCAAGAATAAACACAGCAGTGGACACTTGATTGGAGCTTTCGTCTAAGAGAAAACAATGATAGACTCGTTGATTGGTTGCTGCCGATGCTGTACATACTTCTCAGAGACTGGTCGGGATGTACCAGTCTTCCACTGGAACTCAAATGACACACCCCCGGTTCGTCTGGTCCCTCTTCCTCTCCCTTGTCTTCCGTCTTGGCTATCTTTCTCTTGTTCTTGTTCTTGAATACCTCTTGGTTGTTTTCTTTTCCTTCCCTTCCATATTCTTTTCTCTCGTTGAAGAAACAGTCATTCGTTAACCACCATTGTACCAAGAAACATAAATCTACGCCAAGTAACGCCCAGCTTCTACATCTAACTTTACAGTTTAAACTACCGGCAGGCACAACGACACATGCGTCAAAGATGAACGGACAAGGGAATCGTGACGATGAGTACAGGGAGATGGTAGAGATCGACGTTCAACGTCAACATCAGCAACAGCATGAACAAAGACAACAGCAGCAGCAGGAATACTTCCAGCAAGACCTGCACTCACCATACGGTCCTCCCGAGCGATCGTTCACTCCCTACTCACCGTACCAATCTTCAGTAGAAGACATGCAACAGGGTCGATCCATCACAGAGCAAGGAAGACCTGCTCGTCCTTCGCAAGCGCATTTTGAAGACTACAGTCCAGCGCCTGAATGGCCTCCTCAAATCGCCAATAGCCCTGGGCAGTACTTCAATGACACACCTGGTGGCTCTCGCTCAGCGACCCCCTCTCTTCGCAGCGGCCAGGAAACGCCCGCCCGTCTGCACTACCACGCGGGCAACTCGTCCGTCGACTGGAGACCATCCAGCCTAATGGTACCCAGCCCCAGCACCCGCACCCTCGTCAACAAATCGTCCAGTGTCACTGACCAGTCTTATCGCGACAAACAGAACCAGAGCCATCTCAGTCTTGCAGCTCTATTGCCCAACGGCGCTTCCACTCAAAACACCAGCAGTCAAACGCTAGCCAAGGAGTACATCGTCGACACCAGCGCTATCCAGCATGTGCATAAGCGTGATGATGTCGAGATCTGGAAGGGCTGGAAAAGATGGGTATTTAAATTAGTCCCGCTGTTGACGTTTATGAACACTGGATTCTATATGGCGTATCTCGCTTTGAGAATTGCGTGTGTTATCTGGGCGCAGAATGCGGCGGGTATGACTTATGAGGGAGCGTGGGTGTTCATCGCTGTTGAGATTGCGGTTGCGATCCCTTCGCTTATGCATAATACTTGGACGATGTGGTCGATGAAGAAGAGACAGCGACCCAAGTTGAGAGTGACTGGCAACGACATTCCCACTGTCGATGCCTTCGTCACTTGCTGTGGTGAGGACGATGATCTGGTCATGGATACTGTTCGAGCGGCGTGCGACCTGGACTATCCTCAAGACCGATTCCGAGTTATCATTTTGGACGATGGAAAATCTGCCGGTCTTGAAGAGCAGTGTGCGAAGTTGTCCATGACTTATCCCAACTTGTACTACATGGCTCGAGTCAAGATTCCCGGTCAACCCCATCACTTCAAGGCTGGTAACCTCAACTATGGTCTCGACGAGGTGCACAAGCTGCCTGGAGGAGCTGGTCAATTCATGGCTGCTCTGGATGCCGATATGGTAAGTCTCCCAAACTCGATGAACAAAAAACGTACTTACAATAGCAGATTCCCGAGCGTGACTGGCTTCGTGCTATCATTCCTCATCTCCTCATCGACCCCAAGATGGCTCTCGCCTGCCCACCTCAGCTCTTCTACAACACTCCCCCCTCAGACCCCCTCGCCCAGAGTCTCGACTTCTTCGTGCACGTCATTGAGCCCATTAAGGATGCTCTCGGCGTTGCATGGTGCACAGGATCCGGCTACGTCGCCCGCCGCGAAGCTCTCGACCAGATCGGCAACTTCCCTCTCGGATCTCTCGCTGAAGATGTCGCTACTTCAACGCTCATGCTCGGTAAGGGCTGGAAGACAGCTTTCATCCATGAGCCTCTGCAGTTTGGTACCGTTCCTGAGGACTACGGTGGTCATTTGAAGCAGCGTACGCGATGGGCCATTGGAACGGTCGATACCTCATTTAAGCTCAACTTTTGTCTCTGGGGCGATAAGGTTCGACAAATGACCACTGCCCAACGGTTCTCGGGTTTCTTGTACGCCTCGTTGAGTCTGTACACTGTCCTCCTCACCATTTCGATGTTTGCCATTCCGATTATCTTGATCATGCAGAAGCCTCTCGTCGCATACGCAACTGATGAGCAGCTCCGATGGTTGATTCGCGCCTGTTTCGCATCCGTCATCTCCAACCGTATCTGCGAATTCGCTCTCTTTATTCCAGCAGGCTACCACACCGGACAGCGAGGCTCGCGTTACCAACTTTGGATGTCTCCTTACATCGCGCTCTGCATCATCCGTTCTTTCGTCCTTCCTACCTGGCTTGGAGGCCAAACCCAAGCCTTCAAGCCTACAGGATCCCTCGGCTCAGCTCTCAATGAACGCGACGCCAAGCTGCGCAAGAACATGTTCCGCCGCCTTTGGGGCATCCTCGTCAACTACATGGCTCTCTTCCACCTGTTCTTTGTGTACCTTACCCTCGTTGCCGTGGTGCTCACATCGTTCCGATCATTTATCACGACCGACACTGTCCGCGACACGCTCACCGCCCTTCTTACACATGCTTTCTGGCCGCCTTTGACCTTCCTCTTCATCTGCAGTTCATTGTGGACGCCTATCTCATACGCGATTGATCCCCCGGCGATGCCCGATCGTGAGGACCTGCTGAACCGCGATCCGAAGACGCAGGTGGCGCATCCCACGCCACAGAGCAAGAAGATCGCATTTGGCGGTCAGGCAGCGTGGTTCGAGGCGGAATACACCGTCACCACGATTTACACGTGTCTCGTGTTTGTCGTCTCGTTCATTTTCTAGAATGAGGGACAGAGGGTGTAATAACGAATTGTAACGATAAATGTGCGAGCATACGAACGAAGGGAGGGAAAGTCAGTCAGAACACAAACGGCGTCAGACCTGGGTAATTTATTCTAACCAATCTCTATTATACTATTGCAGGGGGTTTTACTTTTTGTTTCATTTACAGTACTGTATATAGTGCACGCATTACAACCTTACATATAGATCATTAACCTAGAGAGATGCTTGGAGAAAATACGAGCATTGAAGAAATAATAGAATGAAATACGATACGCATTTACAGTTACGACCGGACGTATACCGATTGGACGAGACTTGACGGTGAACCAGTTCCTGCATGCACAGAAAAGCATGTGAATGTGAAAGTGAAACCTTGACTCGGAACAAGCTGACATGATTGACTCAAGATGAGGCGCTATACCTTGACTAAATAAGATGGTCTGGTTTTTGACAAAAGTTAGAATTCATGCTTTTCTCAAACTTGTTCGATGATCGTGAAACTGATTGACATTGACCCGAAGTCTGCAGTCCATCTCCATCGGCATAAGAAACGGTCACGCTTGGACATTGAGATTGACAATCTGTCACCAGAGATAAGCTATCACTACTCCAACCGCGGATATCAAATCATGGCCCCGGTCCCTCTTGGCCTCCTGTTTAACTCCACTTTACGACTCGTTGAGAAACCAGAGACCGAAAATTTCGAGAAAACTGCACGGAAGAACCTTTTTCTCCCCCCATCTTCTAGAGCCTCTAAAATAACGTGACTGAAAGCCACGCAGCCACTCAGACCCTTATGTGAGACTTGCAGGTCCACTCTTCAGGCACACACTTGAATCTCAGATTTAGTAGATCTTCATTAATCGCATGAGAAGAAGTAGATAAAGGAGAGTGTGGGATTGTCAAGAGGCAAACAAACACGCAATCCTTATGCTGGCGAAAGAAAAAAAAAGAGGCGCTGTAAAGAGATGCCTGCCCGATATCTCACCGCAAAACAGCGTTTCCTCAACAAAAACGAGACCCAAACGTACAAGGTCCCCTTGTTACCCTCGGTTAATGTTATTTGCCTTCCAACAGGGCTAAAGCTCTCACAAGCTTTACTGTAACACTTCTTTCAATGGGGGCTCCACATGGGTCGAACAACAACACGTCTCCATGATCTCCCGCACATCGTGGACCATTGAGCCGCGTCTCATTGGCCTGTCAGGGGTAGCAAATGGAGTCTGGACCCCTATTCACCAGTCCCTGGAGGGTCCCTCAGGCCCTGACAAGAGTCGGTCTTCGAGAAAAAAAAGTTGTATCCGCTTCTTTTTTTTCGTATGGGCTTGTCGTAAAAGAGCTATCGCTGGATTAGGTCAAGATCGAGGGGCTCAATCCTGAGACTGGACTGTATGGAGAGAGTAAGGTCTCCGTAGCGAAATATTTAGACCATTGTTGGGGAGCGCAAAAAGGTTTTGAGATTTTTCTTCTTTCCTCGTCTTCTTCCTTTTCCTTTCTTCTTCTCATACATCCCCCTCTTTGCTGAGTCTCGTTGTACACTCTGCAATAACACCTCCAATTGCTAGGCACAATGGCGACCAGACAGCGAACTGCCACCACTGTTGTGGTTGAGAAGGACCTCCCCAAGGTAAGCTCAGTCGGTCAAGCTTTTGCGTGAAGCTTGTTTCTAACATCGTGTCTTTTCAGGTCACTCTCGAGGCCACTTCCCAGCCTCAATTCCCCGACATCAAGACCATCAAGGATGCCATTCCCGCCCACTGCTTCGAGCCCTCACTCATCACCTCATACTACTATGTCTTCCGCGACCTCTCCATTGTCGGCGCCCTCGTCTGGGCCGCCCTCACCTACATCCCCAGCATTGAGGACCAGTACCTCCGCGTCGCCGCCTGGATGGTCTACGGCTTCGTCCAGGGTCTCTTCTGCACCGGTATCTGGATTCTCGGCCACGAGTGCGGTCACGGTGCCTTCTCTCTCCACAGCAAGCTCAACAACGTGACTGGATGGTTCCTCCACTCGTTCCTCATGGTCCCTTACTTCAGCTGGAAGTACTCTCACCACCGTCACCACCGCTTCACCGGCCACATGGAGCTCGACATGGCCTTTGTGCCCCGCACTGAGCCCAAGCCTTCTCTGTCCTTCCGCATTGCTGGCATGGACGTCGCTGAGCTGATCGAGGACACCCCCATTGCCCAGGCCGTCAGGCTCGTCTTCCACCAGCTCTTCGGATGGCAGGTGTACACCTTCCTCAACGCCAGCGCCGGCAAGGGTAGCAAGCAGTGGGAGCCCAAGAGCGGTCTTGCTAGCTGGCTCCGAGTCAGCCACTTCGAGCCCACCAGCGCTGTCTTCCGCCCCAGCGAGGCCCCCTTCATCCTCATCACCGACATTGGTCTCGCTCTTATGCTCACTGCTTTGTACTTTGCTTCCAAGCAGGTCGGCGTCTCCACTGTTCTCTACCTTTACCTCGTCCCCTACCTCTGGGTCCACCACTGGCTCGGTAAGTTTGATGGCGCGACTGAATCGCTGGACTGTCACTAACGTAAAATTAGTTGCCATCACCTACCTCCACCACCACCACACCGAGCTTCCTCACTACACCGCCGAAGGCTGGACCTACGTCAAGGGTGCTCTCGCCACTGTTGACCGCGAGTTCGGTTTCGTTGGCAAGCACATTTTCCACGGTATCATTGAGAAGCACGTCATTCACCACCTGTTCCCGTAAGTCCAATTGATCCTCAATTGATCAATCAGCCTCTAACCCCATCGCAGTAAGATCCCCTTCTACAAGGCTGACGAAGCCACCGAGGCTATCAAGCCCGTCATCGGTGACCACTACTGCCACGACGACCGCAGCTTCCTCGGACAGCTGTGGACCATCTTCGGCACCCTCAAGTACGTCGAGCACGACCCCGCCGTCCCCGGTGCTATGCGCTGGGCCAAGGAGTAGATCTCCGATCAAGGGTCAATCGATCGAGGAGGCTATGCTATGTTATGAGACGATAGAAAGAAGACACACTCGACAAAGAATCGAGATGTGATAGACACACGCAAAAATGATAGACTAGACATACGCGATAGACGCGCGTGATAGAACTAGAGCTTTTTCTCGCGCCTGGGACGCAAATAAAAATGGAGTTTGTTGTTCATCAACTGAATTGACTTGTCATTGAAGGCGAATCTGTGGATGCATTTGTGAGGCAACGCAAGGGTGAAGGATCACGTCCCCGCATCGCCACTTCCTGTCCAGACCCGGCTCGTTCGAATAATGTTCCGCGAGAAGGAATGCCAAGGCGGATTGTGCCCGGTTCTTTCCACTTTAAGATGGGACCCAAAACTGTTGAATTGACCTGCGGCTAATATCACAATCCGCAGAAAAGGAACCTTGGGAGGTTTATCAGATTCCTCATTCTTTATCATCGGCGTAAATAACAATCTCGGCATCATCATACATTATCTCCCTCGATTGACAAGATAAGGAGTGATATTCAGGGATGCAGCTCCCAATTCACATGGGTCGATGGTCGGTGGTCGATGTCGACATACCCTAAATCCTTCCTTCAGAACCCAGTAAAGCACGGGCAATCTGGATAGCGGAGTTTCAGCGGGGTTTCCGCCAACTGCGCTATCCGACAGTGATCCATTAAATTTACGTCGCGCGCTACTGCAGCTTCACTTACCCCCTCAGGTTAATCGCCTCTTATCTCTTACGATGGAAGCAGTATCGAGTAGAAGAAAAGGTAAGCACAGCACATCAAATGATGTATCAACAGGTGGGATTAATGTTGAGTGTTTTTAGCATGTGATTATTGCGTCGCGAAAAAAGCGAAATGCGACGGGCGCAAACCGATTTGCTCTAATTGTACCCTGCATGCGGTAACTTGTCGGACTACCGCCACGGGTAGGAGGAAAGCAGCACCTCGGGAGACAGGGCCTCAGTAAGATTAGCTTCTCTCTACGGTGCTTTCGTTTTGCTGATTGCCAAGATCCGATCGCATCGCTTTTTTGGAGGAGCGATTGGCGTCGATTGAAGCTCTACTTAGTGTCCTTACGGGACAAAACCCAGCACAAGTTCAACAGAGCGTCAATGACCCTCCAAACAATGGAGTACTGCCTGATTCCATAGGCGACTGGGCAATTTCGCCTGCTCATACAGTTCAGGACACGACAGGCTGTCATTCTTCGTCCGATACAAGCTCTGTGGCTGCTCCTGCGAGCGCCCCAACGTCGAACCAGCTCGAACTCCCGCCATTATCAGAAGTCCTCCCCGCCGTGGACAATTACTTCCGGAACTACAACATAATAATCCCACTATTCGATGAAACTGCCTTTATGCGCATGCTTCTCGACTTTTTTGCTCAAACGACCAAGCGGTCCATTGTCCCTTGGGCGGCTATAAACGTTGTCCTCGCGATTAGCTACCGTGTCCTGGAAGGCAGAGGATCAGATGACTCGTCGCTTGCACAATGTCTTCAGAATGTTCGATCTGTGATGTCTGAGTTGATGGTCCAGGGAAAGGACCTTATGGGGCTGCAAGTCCTTTTGGGTATGGTGATCTTGTTTCTCGGATCTTCCGACTTTCAGCTCGCCATTGTCTTGACAGGTAGTGTTGTGAGAATGGCCCAGAGTTTGCGGCTGAACTCGAAAGAGGCATTGGAAGGATTGACAGGTGCTGAAAAAGCACACAGAACGTCCTTATTCTGGCTGTCATACATATACGATAGAGTACGCCTGTGTTCACAAATTGTGCTGTGCCTCACTGACCATTGATAGGAAATGTCTCAACGATCTCAGAGTCCATATCACCAGCTTGATAGTGACACAGATATGGAACTTCCAGAACATGACTCTGAGACAAATATGGGTATCATAACATCTTCAGTAGACAGCATCCGCTTCAACTATCTCCGTGTAAAAGCCCGACTTGCACATATCCATGGCAACGTTTACAATTTGCTCTACAGCCCAAGATCCAAGACTTTAACACAAGCGCAAAAGAACAATACGATAATTCGTATAGAAGAAATGTTAGCTGAGTGGGTTCGAGAGATTCCCACTGAGTTGCACACCGCTGAGGGCATTCGTTCACGACTGTCTCCAGCGGCGAGTGACTTGATGATGAACTTATGGTTCCATCATACAGAGTGTCGCATCAAAGTCCGTTCAATATTTACATTTGAAGATTCGTGGGTCAATAGAGTGAGATTATATCTGACACCAAGTGTTGTCGATCTGAGTGATGGGGTCGATGGAGTTGTAAGAGGTGATATCCCGCCTCTGCCGTCTGGATGGGATGAGTGCGTTCGATACGCACGGGTTTGTCTGGAATTACTTCTGAAGAGACAACCAACCGAGTACATATTATGGTAAGTCTGGATGGCCTAGAACTTGCCATCATCCTGACCTCTTATAGGCTTCATACCTGCGGCTCATTCTCATGTTTGGTTCTCCTCATCGTCAACCTCCTCGAACATCCAGAACAAGCCTTGATCACGGATGATCGTCAGCTCTTGGACAACTGCTTTCTGATCTTCGAGGGGATGAGTAAGCACTTACCCAAAGAGCCGTACTGGACTATGCTTGCAATGGCTCATGAGTTGGACGAGAAAGCTATGGATCTGGCGAAGCGTGCGAGTTTGGCTGCAAATTCTTACGAGGCTCGCGATCATTTGATGAGTCCTTCTACGGCATGGGCTATCTTGGATGATATAGAGTTTCAATAGGCTGGTTCTCATATCTTTTGATCTATCAAATATCTATCGAGTATCTGGAAAGTCTTCATCTATCGGAAGTATTCAAGATTTCATGAAAGTACTTGCACATCTATGGAATAGCACCAGCAGTTCCCCTAATAGCCCTTATATCCTCATCCTTAAGCTCAACGCCAAAGTACTTCCTCAATACCTCCACCCTCTCATCCTCATTCGCAAAAGTCTTTTCCATCTTGACCTCGCCCTTCTTTCTATACTTCATAACATTCCCATCGATAAACACACTGCCATCAATCTCACCATCAGTCTTACTCAAATTTCTGGTCTCCATATTCGAACAATCCTCTGCCGCAGATGTAAACTGTACAGCCATGATTCTGAAGGTAAAGAAACTGGAGGGACTCTTCGATGGAGACATATTCATAACGCGAATATCATCCGGCAGAACCTCATGGTCTATGAAGCACCACTGCGGGGTCCACTCGCCCTCGTGGCTAGATCGAAATTCGTAGATCCAGACTTTTTGCTTGCTGAGATACTGAGGAATCGTGTCGTATATGAACCTCATCTCCCCAGCATCAGACCTTTGGAAAGTCTTCCCATCCATAAGTTCCATGGGCACAGTCGGTGTCCGCGCTCCAAATCCAACATCAACAGCGTAAGACTTTCCTCCGATGGTAACAACGTTGAGACAATGTGTTATCCCGCCATATCTCTTCGCATCAGGACTGAAGACCCTCGCAGCGACCATGTAGACTTCGTAACCCAGAGATACAAGAACTGTATGGAAAAAGGAGTTGTTTTCCATGCAGTAGCCGCCTCGTCTCTCGTTAACAATCTTGTTGAAAAGATGGTCCGCGTTTACGTCGACGATCTTATGCCACGAGTAGTGAAGCGTGAGATTCTCAAATGGAACCGCGAGGAGTTGCGCTCTTGTAAGTGTGAAAAGAAAATCGAGTTGGTCATCGTTTTGGACGTTGTATTTTCGTTCCGATTTGGGGAAGTTGATGCGGTTGTAGTAAGTCTCGAGTTGAGACTCACTATAGGTAATTCTTTCCATCATGTCGTATCAATCTTGGCTCGTATATACTCTGGAAGTTTGTGATGCGGCGGTTGTTCTTCTTTTCATATAGTCGGTGAAATGATGATGTAAATAACGTCAAAATGAGTTAGTGATCGGTTATGAACCGGCGGCCCGCCTGTAGTGGAGCGGATGACAAATCAGAAGCCATTGCATGATGGCGGCAATGGGGTCGGCAAAGGGCAGTTTGAGGTTGATATTCCCATCAACCCTCCCATAGTATGAGTTTCAAGATGAGTTTAGAGACCATTTAAGGTTGCACGAGGTTCAACGGGCGTACCGGCGTGGATCACGTGCTAACTTATCCCTTCATCTTGAAGCTGCGTATCACTCGATGTGTACAATGATCATGAGACTCATGACTAAGGAAGTCAAACTATGATGCTTACGGAGTTTATGTCACTTGTTTAGGCATTTTGCATAGGCCAGGAAATGGTATATGGAGGTCCGGAGGCTTGGGAGTTCCTGGGAACTCCTCGGAACTCCGGACCCACTTCTTCCGCTCCGATCCGGGACAGGAACTCCGGGACCCCTTGAATACTGAGATTTGGTGCAAACTGAACGACATATAAATACCATAGACACTAGCAAATACAGAAGAATCATCAGAGTAGTTAACAGTGTTGTCCCTCGTGCTAGAGCTGAGTCCGACTGCCGACTAGAAACACTCTCACTGAACGACTTCACAATGTCGAAACCATCAACAGGAACAGTCTTGATCACCGGAGCAAACGGCTCCTGCGCCATTCCCTTCATCTCTCACATCAAAACCCACTACCCCGATCTAACAATCATAGCAACAGTTCGCAATGCCTCTTCAGATGATCCAAACACAGCCCATCTCTCCTCGATAATTCCCCCATCCTCCATCGAAGCTCTCGACCTATCCTCACTCGCCGCAGTCAACAATTTCACTGCTAGACTCTCCAGACGCTTTGAAACAGGTGAAGTACCGCCTCTGAAAGCCATTGTCTGCAACGCCTTTACAATGTCCCTGAAAGACCAAGTCTTTACATCAGATGGCTTTGAACAAACGTTCCAGGTCAATCATCTAGCGCATTATCTGCTGGTGTTGAAACTTCTGGGATCTATGGCTGGTGATGGAAGAATTGTTATGCTTGGTAGCAACGCCCATTACACAGATCGGAAACATCCCCTTTTTGATATGACGGTTTGTATACCCGATGATATCGAGAAGCTTGTTAAGCCGGGGAGAGATACGCCAGGGAAGGAGTATTCTCATGGTTTTCAGAGATACGGAGTCAGCAAACTTGCGAATATCATGTTTATGCATGATCTCAACGCAAGACTAGCAAAGGTACTTCCCTCTGTATCGCTTCATTTAACTTACTAACATGAACCAGAACCCCAGACTATCAGGCATAACAGCCATAGCGATGGATCCAGGTGGCATGGTTGACTCGCGTGCGCACAAGATCCAAACGCCGCTCATACGCTTCATGTTCGGTCTAGTCCTGCTATTACTTCCCATAGTGAAGCACTTTACCGATGAGGTTCGAACTTCGGCTCAGTCTGGGCAGGAACTAGCCGAGCTAGCTGTTGGAGACGAGTACAAGGGAACAAAGGGATATTTCATGGGTTTGCGACGAGAGAAGGAGGATTCGATTTGTGAAGACGTCAAGATTAGAGATGTTTTGTGGAATGCTTGTTGGGAGTGGGCTGGGTTGAAGAAGGCAGATACTGTTTTGGAAGAGTAACAAGAAGTTTGTAGTATCAGATCACGGGTATGAAGTGGTATCTTTAACTTATTTGTATTTTCTTGCTCGATGCAAACGGCAAATTGTGACAAATCTAACTGTGATAGCATCGCCAACTGGCAAGCTCCAAGATGAGGTTAAACTAAACGTACTTGATATCTATATTCAATCTACAATACCCCATGGTACCGACCAGTGCAATAATGAGTTTCTACCAAGCAATGCAAACATCACCGTCTATCCAACTAACAGAAGATCAGGCTACTCTGATTCAAGCCTGAAAAGGCGTACGTCGTTTAATACAGCTAAAACATGTTAGTACGTTACAGAATAGGGTATAATGATCAACTTACCCAGTTGAGTAGCATCATAACTCCGAGAATGGCGCCTACGCGCAGGTGAAGTCCGCTGCTAACAGACTTGCAAAAGTCCCTGGCACGCTCCAAGTGCATGCTGTTAAGCATCGGCATCCTCTCCCACACGGGCTCAACAATCTTAAGTTGATTCTCATCGTCATCCTCGGGGTCATGAAGAGTTGGTCTTTGCTTGGACTCGCCCATGATCATCTTCACAATGTGGCCAGACGCTTCGGCAACCAAGTGGCTGATCCAGAAGAAGATGGGAACGAGAACAGCCAGGTCGCGCCAGCGATCGCCCAAAAGACTACCATCACCCTTGAAAATATCCAAGAGAAGAACACCTCTGGTGTCACCAGCAAGGAAAACGTGGAACTGGAGGATGAAAGTCTCAAGAGAGCATTTGCCAAGCCATGCTGAGGCCGTGGAGTAGTGGTTGCGCATGGACGTCGAAGCATTTCGAAGACAGATAAAGGCGAGGACAGGGAAGATGGAGATGATAGGATGAAGCATGACGTAGATAGCCTTGTCGCTCATAGAGCTGCACAGGTATGTGAAGCCTGCGATAGACATGATCGATGGCATGATCCAAAACTTGTAGTTGGTGTACCAGAATGCGTCGCGCTCAACCCGTTGGTGGATCACACCAGCCAGCATACCAACGAACACAATAGCTCCATCAAGGGTAACTCTGAACTCCCACTCAGCGAGATCCCACTTGATGCGGAAGACGAGCTCGAGGATGGCAAACAGCCACTTCATCAGAGGTGTGAAGTTGAGCACCAGACTGACAAAGACGAAGGATGCCAGAATCTTGCTACCCAGAACCTTGATGCTGTCATTGAACCCGGAACAGATAGCCATGGTGGCATAGACTACCATGAACCAGAAGCTGACAAGAGGCGCAAAGTAGTAGAACATGTAGTCAGTGCCCATGACGTATGGTAGTGCGCAACTGAGGATGTTGAGACGAAGCATAACACTTGCGACGCGGCGGAACGAAAAGTCTCTCTTGGAGAGGAAGTAGATGGTGTGACCATACCCAGTTTGGAACAGATAGGCAGCGACGAGCAACCGAATGAAGATATAGATAGGAAGATCCTTAGAGGCACCCGTCCAGTGGTAGACAAGAATAGCAGCTTGCATCCATCCCTTCCATTCCTCAGTCTGGTCTCTGGCTAGGATGCCAGCATCCTGAGCGGGTGTCGTGGGCTTAGGCGGCGCTTCACGGCCACCCTCGACTTCGGCATCGGGTGCGGCGACAGTCATAATCGTGGGGAGACGAGGCGCGCGAAACTTAACCATGCGAATGGTAAGTCCACCAATAAGTGAACATATCGTAATGAGAACCCAGAATTCTCTAGGAACGAATTCCTTCATACCCTTAGGGAAGAGATGGGTGCGGTCGGCAGCGAAGCAGTAAATGAGGGCGACAGCAAAAATGCCCACCTTCAAGTCAAGCCCTCTGATCTGAAGCGAGGAAACGAAGGTGAAACCCTCGAAGCAAACGCACGCGACGGCGTAGACAGCAACAAAGAACAGAATAAAATTCTGGGTCCATGAGCGACCTCCGTAGTCAGTGCAACAGGATCGAGTGTATGGGTAGCCATACATCCGGTCAAGTTTCGCATTACAACGAGCGTTGAGGAGAATGTTGGCTTTGATCTCGGCCACTGAGTCAATGACATGGAAGCCAGTATCCGTCTTGTCGACGATCGCTTCAGGCTGATTGACGGACAGTTGAGGGAAAGCTCGGAGTAGGCGGATGTTCTGCGGGTCCTCCTGCGTATAAGTGTACTTGTCGATAGCCTCGACCTCTCCTTTCTCGACACCTCCAGGCCCTGTTCTGCGTGAAGGCATATGGTCATAGAACGGGGGTGCGACAGGAGCAATGAATGCCTCGTTGCCCATACCTTCCACAGGGTCCATGGGTGTTGTGCCCCATCTGGGCAGATCAGCAAACCCAAGGCGCTCGGTGACGTTGTTCAATGCCCCTTCCCACTTAACCGCAGACTCATTAGGATGGAAGTTGCCGGCGTACCAAGCTCCAGCACCGAGCATAATGAGCCCGGGTGATCCAAGTTCCTGTTTCTCAGTGGAGGGATCGTGCTTGTGCTTGTTCATCAATTCGAGTTGGTCCGTGAAGGAGATCTTCTTATGCCTCCAGGTATTCCAGAATGGGTTCCAGATATGTATCATTCGGACACCTCCTATCGTCATGTTGTAACTCTTGTGAGGGTTGAGATGATGGCGACCATCATTAGCTTTTTCGCGATTCAGCTAGAGCAATCGTCAGTGGCAGCACGAGCAAGCAGAGGGCCGATTGAACCTACAATTCGCGCCATGCCCCAGAAGATCTGTCTTGTCGTAGAGTCTCCTGAGAAGACAGCATGTCGTTCACCCATACAGTCCCTAATCTCCTGTGCCTTATAGTGGTGCAGCATGCATCCGTCAGGTTGCCAGTTGGTAAAGGGACGCCTCGCGCCGTCGATATCTGCTTTGTGAAGCCAGCTTCCATTTCGCTCGCTGTTCCCCAGCAGCGCTCTGCATCGATATGGATCGTCGGATGGAAGTACTTGGTGCACTGTAATTGCGAAGAAGAGCAAGACGGAAAATATGACTGGCAGTAGTCGAACCACGAGGGCTAATGTCGAACGCTCCGTCATGATCAAGCGCTTGATGATGATGATTCTGTGACGGATGAAGTTCAAAGCCAAGACGGGTAGCCGGCCAGACTTTTGAATGAGTGAAGAAGCAAGAAAATAAATGGTGTCGACGGGTTTGGACAGGCCTGGTCCGGCTGCGCCTTGGGAAGGGTGAATCAGGTGGCGTAAGGAGGGCCGCTTCCCTTGCCTGAAGGTCTGAGACCGTTGGGGCATATTGGCATGAAGACAGGGTGCTTGGAATGGATTATCGACACCCTAATCCTATGCATGTCCAAATCGAGTAGAAGCTGTGCATAGCATTGGTTGTCCGTGTATTGGCGAATGAGAAGTTGGGCGTGAGTCACGATAGCGTGTATAAAGTGTCTCAGTTCAATCAAGGGAGGAAATTAGAAGAGCAGCCACGAGAAAAGGAAGGAAGGAAAGAAGGAAAGAAGGAAACAGCCGATTGTTATGTTATGTTATACCGGTGTCGCCTGCGACGGAAGGAACTCTGCAGCGGAGTCGCACCTACCATTTGATGAAGCTCATCGTGATACCTATTGACAGCTATTGAGCACTGTACGAGGAAAGCAAACATCTGCCCAAATCGCCCGTGCCTGGCGACAATAACGTTAGGCGAAGGCAAAAAGTAAGGGAACAAAGAACTGGACAGTCTGGCCCCCTTGTTAGTCTAGACTACCTAGCCAAGGGATAGCTCCCCCTCAGCCGCAGCCCACAACGGCCACCCTTTTCCCCCCCTGCATTCCTGTCTAATAAACAAGCTTTTTACGGTTGTCATTAGCCGTTTCTTTATAGTTGCCAAGGTGAACTCACTCTAATTCCTGGTGAACTTTTTATCGTGATTAACTCTAAAAGAACGACCCCGAATGCAGGGACTGTTCTCCCGCTATCGAAGCTTATGACACCATTGAAGATCAGGGACGAAAAAGCAATTATGATCCCCTAATACTGTACTGAATCGCGCATCAATATTGTAATTTATCAATGTGATAATAGTTTTGGTTACTTGAGCGCGTTTCAGCTAACGTCCCAAGGGAGTTCTTTGTCTCTGCCACAAGCCTTATCAGGAAAAGACGCATGCGTGGCAATCGGCCAAGCTCCGTTGACAGATGGAAGCTGTCAATATTGATCCATTACAAAAGACCGCGCGTCGTACCGATCGATCTGTCATTCTGTGTTTGTGTCACTTCTTGTGAGACAGAGCAGTCTGTTACACGCGACCGTCATGATCCAACTGCCGGAGGATAAAGGCTTGGCTCTTGCCGAAGATCATAATTTGTTCTTCTAGATGCTGACGTTGGCAGCTTGTATTGATGTCAGTGATGCTCAATGGTCTCTAAAAAGGCGTGGTTATTAGGAGAAGGAACCAGCCGGAGTAGAGCTTACCCAAGGGTGCAGGGCGTGGTTCTTTATCGACCGGCCCGGAGTCGGGGAAGGAGCCCGATCGGCGTGGCTTTCCGTTTGAAGACCATCAAGCAATAATGTCCACCACAGTTACGATAGCATCGCTGGTACAAATAAAATAAAGATCAATCTCAATTAAATCACAAACAGCCTCATCACATAAGTATAGTCAGAATGTCTTTTTGGATTGACACAGAAGACTGGCATACAGGTACCTCATCCCGTCACAATCTCACCATCTAAACTAACACCCCCAGCCGGCGAACCATTCCGCATCGTCGATACTTTACCAGAAGACCATCTCCCAATCGCCCCAACAGTAAAAGACCGTCGTTTGTCAATCATAAACACACCCTACCATCCTCTTGACCAACTTCGCCAATCACTATGCCACGAACCCCGCGGTCACGCAGATATGTACGGCGGCTTCATCACCCCGCCCGATGACGCTGGCGCTAACTTCGGCGTTCTATTCTGGCATAAAGATGGATTCTCTACCGCGTGTGGACATGGAACAATAGCCCTTGGGTACTGGGCCGTTGAGCATAAGTTGGTTGATGTGCCTCTGGATGGCGAAGTGGATGTTGTTATTGATGTTCCCTCTGGTCGGGTCACGGCTAAAATCGCTATTAAGGATGGGGAGCCTACCCATGGAGACTTTATCAACGTGAAGAGCTATCAGATTGCCAAAGACCTAAATGTCACTATTCCATCAAAGGACATGGACATTAAGGTCGATTTGGCTTTTGGAGGAGCTGTATATGCTCATGTTGACGCTGCTCAATTGTCTCTCACTGTCGAGCCGAGCAAATACATCGAGTTCATCAACCTCGGTCGCGAGATCAAGACCTGCCTTGGAACAAGGGCGCACTACGACACATACGACCTTTACGGCGTTATCTTTTACAACGAAGGGCGCGATGAACAAGATGGGAATGTCAGACAGCGAAACGTTGTCATCTTCGCGGATGGACAAATTGACCGTTCGCCTTGTGGTTCGGGAACATCTTCACGAGTCGCTGCCCTCATGGCTCAGGGAAGACTAGACCATGGAAAGGGAAAGCTTATACACCGTTCCATCATTGATACCGTGTTTGAAGCAGACGTCGTTCGCGAAGAGCAGAGCCCTGTGGAGTTTCCCGCTTGTATACCTCGTGTCAGAGGAACAGCAAACCTGGTCGGAAGGATGAGCTTCTTCATTGATCCTTCTGAGGATGTTTTCCCCGGTTTCCTTCTACGGTAGATAACAACTCAATCATTATTCATTAATTCTAGTTTACGGCGCTATGCCTTTTTTCCAATCCCATTAAGCCAAGTTCAGGTTCTGTGTATATGGACTCACAAAGTAATTCCAATCATTAGCATCTCCCATTCCAACAAGAGGCGATTCCCTCTGTGTATGTAAATCTCTCATCCTCCAAACTTTGAGGATAACCGCTTTTGTTCGTTCAATATTCGCAAGCGATGAACCAACCATCGCATCAAGAATCTCCAATACCAATTGTCTTCCCGATAAATATGTGCCTAACCCTTCGTGTAGGAATATGGTCTCGTCTTGTAGTGGATCGAGTTCCACAGCTGCCACGAACAATGGGAATAACAGCCCTGCTGCGCTGCCTTGTTGAATAAGATTGTGAATGGATTCCAAGACTTTTGTGACGAGGCGTATGACTTCCGGTGTCGAAGGGTTTGCGTCTCTTAGAAGACAGTGGAAATAAACCTGTACTGAGGTCTTCTTGAGATCAACGCTCCGTCGCACGTTCTCATCCATGGCCTCAACAGCTGTGACATTTGAACTGACAACCGCCAATTCCCTGTCAAGTTCCTCAACTTGGACATCGTATTCTTTCTGGGACATACTATTTCGGTTCCTCGTCCGTGCAAGCTCAGTGATCTTGAAGATAACAGAAGCCATCGCCGGACTACATCCCATCCACGCATCGATATCGTCCGCATGATCAGGCCTCTGCCAATACTCCAGCCCAAAAATCGGTGAGTTTCCACAGGCCGTTCTGCTGATGACATCTTGAAATGCGAAATATCGCTCTGCAAACACAGCAAGACTTCCAAAGCCCGTATTGTCACAAGACGGAAGCGCAAGCTGCTGTCGTTTTCTCATAAAGTTCTGACTTGCCTTAAGATGAAACACCCATCGATAGTCTCCATTGTCAAGAATTTCATAGAGACAAAGGAACATCATGGTTGCTGGAACTTGCGGATCAAGTATAACATCCGCTGTTACATCAGGTGACCGGATCTTCTGGAGTAAGCCCGTAAGGGCCTTTCCCTTCATCCTCATCGCCGACCGTGCCCAAGACGGGTCTTTTATACTCCTATGCCGTGCTGCAAATGCCAGAACCGACTGAACGAGCAGATCCTGCCCAGCATGTGTAAAAAGAGGCGCAACCATACTCGCAAATGGTGAAGATAGCTGTGAGGATGGCGTAGTAAGAGGACATAGCTTCAGAAGATAGTATTCAAAAAGATTTCGCTCCGGGGTATCAAGGGTAGGAAAAGCAGACAAACATGGTCCTAAACTGGGTTTTCTCATAACAACAGCCCCCTCCTCCCTCAACACCATGGCCTCTCTAACAAGAGTCTTTTCCAGATTCGGATCCCTGACAAAATCACTATAGTATGTATTAATAAAATGTCTCGGCTCAACCGACGGTCTGAGAAAAAGCACTGGTGAGTGAACAACCGGATTTCTCTGCCTCGGTCTATCTTCCTTGGTCCAAACGCCCTCTCTCCCAAACGAGAGCCCTCTAGCAGTGAACTCGGACTCCCATTTTAGCTGCAGAGCGTTATTACACGCTAAACCCCTTGAGGAGCAGTTGCGGCAGGAGGGTTTTGTCTCATCGCATTTGATCTTGCGGGAGCGGCATGTTTGGCAGCCTGAGCGCGTGCGACGCTGGACGGGTTTTGGGTTGCCGGGAGGTCTTTTCCTGGGCATGAGGATGGATACCGGTAATGATTGGCTGTAAGAAGGAGAGATGAGATAGACTGTCGGTATGAGGAAGGTAAAAGCGAGTCTCAGTATGCAACGGTGAAGTGCGAGAATAAAAGCGGGGGATGAGAGCATCAGGATCTTGCTAGAGGAGCTTATTCCCGGTTCCCATGACTCTCCACTTGGTCTACGATCACATGACGATCTTTTCGACTACCACATCCGGCTTAGATCGTTTGATCCGTTGAACTTCACAGATCGAGCCAACCAATCGGAGTAAAATAGCTTCAAGTGGATTCAACGTCGTCTTCGGCTGGACCTTCGTGAAGAGGATGTCATGATTGGGGATCTACTATATTTATTGGCTTTGGGTTAGCTCTCTGATCCTAAACAATTCCCCATCTTTTCTTTCACTCATCTTGTTCATTCAAGCTCGGTCCTCAATATGGCTTCAACTCTTACTAAAGAATCCTCCATCCTTATCGTTGGTGGCGGAACATGGGGATGTTCAACCGCTCTCCATCTCGCTCGTCGAGGGTACACCAATGTCACTCTCCTCGACGTCAACCGCATCCCATCACCTATCTCAGCAGGTCATGATGTAAACAAAATCGCTAGTGGACTCAGTAAATCATCTCCACACCCAAGCTTGACGGCATGAATTTCTAACATACGCAGACGTCCCCGATAACAAAGGCGACTCACATGACGATATCTGGCAAGCCCTCACCTATGCTCAAGCCCAAGGCTGGCTCCACGACCCCGTCTTCAAGCCCTTCTGTCATGACACAGGCTACGTCGTCTCAGCCTCAACGCCCAAAGCTATCAAAGCGGTTGTTGAAGACGAAGTTGGCGATAAAATAGACGAGTTCACGCCTCTCAACACCGCAGAAGAGTTCAGAAAGACTATGCCGGAAGGTGTTCTCACAGGAGACTTCCCTGGCTGGAAGGGCTTTTACAAATCAGAGGGCTCTGGATGGGTTCATGCTCGAAAGGCTATGACTGCTGCTTTTGAGGAGAGCAAGAGACTTGGTGTCAAGTTCATTACTGGCTCACCTCAAGGTGAAGTCGAGAGTCTCGTCTTTGAGGATGGAGATGTTAAGGGTGCTAAGACTGTTGATGGCAAGGAACACAGGGCTGATCGCACAATTCTTTCGGCTGGTGCTTCAGCGGAGCGCTTCCTCGACTTTGAAAACCAAATTCGCCCAACAGCTTGGACCCTTGGTCACATTCAGATGACCCCTGAGGAAGCCAAGCTATACAAAAATCTTCCAGTTCTTTTCAACATCAACAAAGGTTTCTTTATGGAACCAGACGAGGATCTCCACCAGCTGAAGATGTGCGACGAACATCCCGGCTACGTAAACTGGGTCGAAAAGCCTGGTGCTAAATTTCCTCAATCCATCCCCTTCGCAAAGCATCAAATCCCTCTCGAGGCAGAGAGTCGCATGAAAGATTTCCTGCGAGACATCATGCCTCATCTTGCAGACAGACCACTCGTTCATGCTAGAATCTGCTGGTGCGCTGATACATTCGATCGAAACTTCCTCATCACCTATCATCCTCGTCATCCTTCGCTTGTTATTGCATCCGGTGATTGCGGCACAGGTTATAAGCACATTACGTCTATTGGCAAGTATATCTCTGATTGCATGGAGGGAACTTTGGAAGATAGATTTGTCAAGTTTTGGAGATGGAGACCAGAGAAGTTTACTGCATTTTGGGGTAAAGATACTTTGGATCGGTTTGGTGCTGATGATACCATTATGGATCTGCCCAAGAGTGAGACTGAAGGATGGACTGATATCAAGGAGAATAGTGCGAAGCTGTAGTCTGTTGAATAATTTTACATATGAGTCTCGAAAAGAGAACGATGTCTTTTTACTTCCCATATTGCACGGTTCTGCCCTCGAAACATAACAATCTGTGAAAATCCAAGCCGCAACCAAAAAGATATAAACGGCCATTGAAAGAACTATACTCTTCGTAGCCAGTAATAAAGGCTCTTTACAAGCCCACGGGCTCTCATAAAGCTTCCGATGACCTTCGATTAGCAATTCATCAAGACATTCTGGAATTACCGGATAGCTCTCTTCCTCTTGACTGATCAAGCAATCTCGGCCTGTTGAGTCTCTGGGAAATTCTCTTCGGTCTCAGACTCGCATCCATTGTCGGGGGCATCTTAGAACTGGTAGAAGTCATCTTCAAACCCAATTAGCTCTCCCTCAATTAGGTCTGGATCTGTTGCAGCCTTGGGTCTGAAGCTGTAAAAGCCAGTATCATCGAGGCACTCCCAATAGCCAACCCGCGAACGTGGGCACCTCCAGTCATGGAGATGACCGTGTATATCAGTGCAAAAGAACTGAAATACTAGTAGACATACTCCGCAGTGGCAACAGTCCCAACCTTCGACCTCCTGGCAAGGCTGACACATGAGGCATGTCTCTCCAGAAAGCACCAATTCGTACGCCTCTTCGGCTTCTGGAGTCGGAAACTCTGGCCAGGACTTATCATCCCAGTATGGACAATGATCTTCCCTACCCTGCCACAGCTCTTCGAAAATCTGACGTGTATATCCGTCCCCGTATCGAGCCCGGCGAGGATGGCCATTCCTGCAACTCATGATGTCATATCCCGCTCGGTCGAAGATAGTGTCCCAGAAGTCACCCCACAGTGAGGATCTGGACATGGAGCAGGGCTTGCACAGCCTATATGCATGACCCGATATTGATGACCTTTGGGGAAGGGTCTCGTCGGTGCGTCCCCACTGTAGCATATACGCTAAGAGATCCCTTCGTTCGACAACCTTTGAAAGTAACAGCCTGTCACCGAAAGCAAACTCTTCGCAGTCCTTTCCAAAATCAAACTGGTGTCCACGTTCCAAAAGAAGCTCCAGAAGCTTCCGCTCTCGATCCGGATCAAAGCATTCTGGCGGTGTGGTTGTCCATCTTGAGCAGAGACAATTTATCAGACTGAGAGAATTTATGACCTCGTGGTCTGAGGAAATGAATGGGTTGGTGCATAAGACCTGTTGAAAGAAATCCTTGTCCTACGCTTGTTTGTTGGTTATCTCCATTGTTACGTCGCAGGGAACTCATACCTGTGTTTGTGTTTTGATAGCGAGCATCCTTATCCAGCTAACGAACCCGGGGGTTTCCATAGTTGGATCGGCTCCGGCCTGCAGAAGAGCGACCGAGTTTTCCTTGTCTACTCCGAGAGCATTTGCGATATGCAGAGGCGACCTGATGTTTGACCATGTCAGCTTTAATACACGATATAGCTTTCATATTGAGCATTACATTTGATGGTTGGAGCCGTCATTTGGAATCTCGTTGACATCCAGTCCCTGTTGAATGAGAAACTTCAACATAGGAAGATTTCCAATCGCACACTAGGACAAGGAAGGGAAGATCAGCCAACTATCAACGGAATCATTCATAAGTTGCATAGGTACTCACATGTAACAGAGACCACCCACGCGTATCACGGATGTGGAGACTAGCATCTCCCGCAACTATTAGTCGTGCAAGATCTTCTACTGATCCATTCCTAGCCACAAGAAACACTTCAGCTTCGCAATGCAGAATTTCGGAGACTATCACTCGTGGCAACATGTTGGTGAACCTTTCGAAAAGCGTTTGTCTCTGCTCAGTCGATATAGTAAGCATTGCCTTTTGCTTTTTCCACTTACAAGCGACGTTCGCTAAAAATTCATTTCTGGGTTGATCCGTCTGCCATGTACCGGGGGGGAGCAGCGCTTGACGTCTCTTGACGGTGGTCACCATGATGGTGTAATCGTCGGTGTCGATTATTTTCTTCTTTCTTTCTTGCCATAATGCAATTCCCGGTACTGCGAGCTCTAGTACCCCCGCTGGTTCTGTTCCCAATGTTTCAGTAGTAGATATTAAAGTAGCGTTAGTAACATACCGCTTTTGTTGATCATCACAGATGGGGAAGATGCAATAAGACCTTGCATGCGTTTCAGCTCTGTGGAAACATCTAGATGACCTCCTTGCATCCTGTTATTTCTGTTGGCTTGTGCGAACTCCTTGCAAACGGAAACTATCAGACGCTCCAAGTCACCGGACAGGTGTGGCATTCCATCCGTATCAACAATACATGGCTTTATCTCTAGCAAACGCATCAGTCGAGTAATACTCCCATCTAGTACCGAGTCCTTCTGAACAAGTGATGCTGTGTCATCTAGTTCTGTGACCCTTGCTTCTGTGCCTGGTAAGTCCGCGCAGTCGTTGTGAGAAGAGGTTTCGGTTATCTTCAGAGCTCCAACAGCCTGCGAAAGCTCCTGGAGAGTGCCTAACATTGCAATTGATTGCGTGACTGTGAAGGATGATTGCTGGGCCTGGATGAGACCTAAGCGCAGAGTCAAAATTTGAACATGACCTTGAATGACATGGCGTATTTGATGCAGGTCTCTCTCTTTGAAGGAAAGCTTCAATCTGCCCCATAGCCGTCCCATACGACCGCCACACCCCGAGATGTCAAGGTGAGAAAGCTTGGCATTGAGACTCGCTAGATCATCCTCGCACTTCTTTACCAGACCGATGAGTTCTAGCCTCTCCGTATCGCTGATAGAGGTAATGGAAATCTGTAAGAGCTTCTGTAAGACACTCTGTAATTGTGAAGTGTCACCTTTGAGAAACTGGATGATCTCAGGCCCATCCTTAGCGGCGGCAAGGGCTTCGTTGATACATTTGGTAAGTGAGAAGGTGACAGTGAGAACAGTGAGGATGCTGGCACAGGTATCGATCATCACTCGTGCTTTGATTGTCAGTTTAGGCTTTATTGAAAATTCATGAACAAAAAAGAATGGGAGCAAGAGCCCGGCAAGGTTTTTGAGGGGAAAGTACGAAGGAGGAATCAGCGGTATGGAAAGTATCATTCAGTTCGCAAAAAGGCTACAAGGCACAGCCCGAATTTTGACACGGATGGAAAGACTAAGCCACCACCTACATCTGAAATATGCACGACTCGGCGCCTAATGGCCAATGATCCTTTGACACATCAGAATTGATGCCTTTGTACCACTGTAAATTCACAAACCATCACCGCTGAATTGCTGCTGGTCAATCAGAAGTAAAAGAATTGTCACCTACACAGCATGACGGCATATGAAAAAGCCATCCTCCAAGCTCAACCTGTGCAATTTGGCCGATCATCGTCAAGTTCAGAACGGACAAGCTCTCCAACGGTCAGCCACTTATCTCAATTCATTTATAATGTTAATGATGGGCAGCATAGTGTTGAAAGCAAGAAGAACTAGGATGTTAGGGACTGTTGAGGCATATGTTCCAACATGTCGAACATGACAACATCTCCAATCACGTCGCAGTAGCAGGACTTGTACACTTGTGTTTATATTACAGAAACCTGATAGAAACCGTGTCCTTGGTAGTTGGACTTACATGCCATGAACTGAGGTTGGCGACTGAGGTGGATCAACATTTCGGCGGATTATCCGAAGTTGCGGGCCCTCAGCCGAGCTGAGTCTTGACTCATCACGACCATGCGGCGCAGTCTACCGACAACGAGTATATAAACATTCATACAAGCAACAATCACCAACCAATCAAATACACCACGAAAACTTGAATCCGAATCAGAATGTCATCTCCTCAAATTGGCTGGATCGGTACGTCCCACCACCGACGGAAAGTATATCACTAACAGTACATAGGGCTGGGGTCAATGGGTCTTCCCATGGCGACAAACCTCCAGAAACATCTCAGCTCTAACGGATCTTCAAATCTGATCTACTTCAATCGCACCATCTCTCGCGGTGATTCACTAAACGACCTTGGCGCCCAACCAGTATCATCACCTGGCGACCTAGTTTCAAAATGCGATATCATCTTCTTTTCTCTCGCCGACGACTCCGCCCTGGACGCAACTCTCAACGCCATCTCCTCTAGTCAATTGACTGGAAAGATTATTGTTGATACTTCGACAGTCCATCCTGATTCTTCAGCAGAAGCGGAGACCAATATCAAAAATCAAGGAGGCCAGTTTATTGCCTCGCCTGTATTTGGGGCAAGTCCTGTTGCTGCGCAAGGGAAGCTACTTTGGATCACTGCCGGGCCGAGTGGCGCCGTGGAGAAGATACTGCCGTATATTGAAGGTGTTATGGGGAGGGGCGTCATTAGGGTCGGTGAGGATGTTAGAGCATCTGGCAAGATGAAGACAGCTGGGTAAGTTTCCTCTCTCTTGATATAACGACAAACCTGACATGAAACAGAAATTTCATCACGGCTGGCTTCATGGAAATCATAGCAGAAGCACATGTCCTAGCCGAAAAGTCCGGTCTAGGAAGCGAGAATCTGGAGGCACTGATCGAGCAACAATACGGGGCTCTACCATTCTCTATGTCTCAACGACTTACTACGGGGGCGTACATGCCAGCCAGAGGTGACCGACCATGGTCTGATCTCAACCTAGCAATTAAAGACGTCGGTCATGGAATTGCTCTGGCGGAAGAGTCTGGAACAAAATTGGAGGTTGCAGAAGTTGCCATCAAGCATCTTAAAGATGCGAAGAGATTTTCTGACGATGAGGGAAGACCGCTTGATTCGTCTTCTATGTATGGAATAATACGGAAAGAAGCCGGCTTGAACTTTGAGACCGATTTGGTCAAAGAAAGAGATGCGAAGTAAGCAACGGAGATTTATATATAAAGTCCGATCATTCAAACAGCATGAGGATCCGTATATCATATTGCTTTTCCCATTCCCGGCCAGGGATCTAATGTACTTCACTCAGAAGATTCGGACCTTGTTGAGGATACGGTTCATCAGGAAAGATAACTGTCAAATGGCAGTTCGTGTGATCAAAAGTGTTGTTTTATTAAGTACGCATTGCGGGCATCTTTATCACCAGATGTGTCATAAGCAAACCCCGAGTAGTCACTCAGAAGATACTTTCCGGGGAAGCTCAATGCGCTTGTCATATTTTTCTGAGAATCTTATTCAACATGAATGGGACCTTACAAAAATGCAACGATCGCATTAAGATTTTCTGGAAAGTATCACCTGAGTGAAGCACACCAGATCCCAGCCCGGCCTATTAAATCGTTCATATATCCACGCAGGTACCACAAAGCTCAAAGCGCTGCTTTGCCCCTCGACTCAAATGGCATGAGGAGTACCAAAAGTCCAGCAGCGATGAACAGGGCACCGCTGGTATAAACGGGCGCAGAAGTCTCCAAGTTTGCAAAAATAGCAATAATTGGCTGGGAAAATTAGTTTGAGTTAATAGAGAAGGATGGAGGACTTACAGCCATGATGCCAAAGATTCGGTTACAAGACGCACAGAGTGCATTGCCCGTTCCTCGATGAGGCGTAGGAAACAATTCCGGTGTAAAAGAGTACAGCACAGCATACATAATATTGCTGAAGAAGTTGAAGGCACACTGCCACCCAAGCAAAGCACCGCTGGAATTCGCAGTAGTAGAACAATACAGAAACACACCCGTGAGAATAGTACTCGCGGAAAGTGTACCCTTACGTCCCAGACGTGGCAGCTCAACGAGCCATCCACCCAGTAACGCACCGGGGACCCCAAGAACGGCGATGATAAGACTGTTGCGGTATGTGATGTAAGTACTTCCATCGCCGAAATCAGCACCCTTGGTTGCTTGGATGAACGGGATGAAGGCGTTGTAGAGGGGATATCCCAAACCGATAAGGGCCCATACAGCCATGATGAGACCAGTGCTTAGACCGAGTTTCCTTGTTGCGAAGAGTGCCTTTATGTGAGAAATGTCGACTTTTTCGAGATATCGCTTTAATGCTGCGCTCGTATCTGTCTGTGCGACGTAACCCTCTGGTTCGCAAGCTTTTAGATCTTCGAGCGTTAATGTCGTCGTTTTGCCGTTCTTCTTTGCCACGGTGTGGACAACCTTGACAGCTTCCTCATCGCGGCCCTTACTCATAAGATATTTCGGCGACTCATAAATCTTGAACAGAATAAAGCGCGCGAGAAACATGAGAAGTGTAAGACCACCGACCGTGATGGTAAAATATCGCCAACCCATGTTATCGCTGCGTCGACAGGTGGTGGCGCCTTGTTCGCATGTATAATTTCCGAGGAGCGGCCATGCGATGAGTGTACCGATGACTTGCGCGATAGCCCAATCGATGGACAAAACTGTTAGGAGGTATTGATGCGACGCTGGCAAAAATTCAAGAAAAATTGCTGAGTCGACGGGTAAATTACCGCCTACACCGAAAGACCAGAGGGCGTCGAAGATGGCGATGGCTGCAAAGTTAGGCGCTGAGGCTGCGATGAGACCCCAGATTGCTGTGAGACCGAGAGTAATGTTAAAAGCCCATTTGCGGCCAACTAGAAGAGTCAGTAAACAATCCAACCATCAATAATAAAAATGTGAATGACTTACAAACATCACAGCCAAACCCCCAAAACATGGCACCAGCCAATAAACCAATATTCTGCGCCAGAGTCAAATACGGGGGATTCGTAACGCCAAATTCGTTGGCCACAGCCGGTAAAATAAGCGACGTGACGATTGGCCAGAGATTATCGCTCGCCCAGCCAAAGCCTATAACGATGAAGAGCTCCCACTGATAACGACCCATGCCTAGATCTTGCACCTAAAAAGTCAGCTCACCCTCACCAATTGGAGGATCATACTCACTGCCCGATTCAATATCCTCGCCTTGGCTTCATAAACAGGATCAAGCGCCCCCTTGGGAATAATCGCCTCATCATCAATCGCTTCGACAATACCGTGCCCCTCCGTCGCACCGTATTTCTTGGGTTCTGCTTCTGTAGTGGGCGCACTCATGTTGGGCAAGAGACGTTGCGCCTCGGAGTGAGAAGCGTCCGGCATTGGAGGAATTTATCCTGTCTTATATACCTCCAAGCACGCAATCAATAACCAGTTAAGAAAAGAGAGAGATACAGAAAAAGATCGTCAGTGGCTTGTAAGGATGAGGTGCCCTTCAGTTTTATTATCAACTCCCCGGCTTCGCGGGGTCAAATCCCACTCTTGGGCTGGGAGTTGGGTGCCACCAGTGACCAGTTTTACAGGGATAGTGGTGACATCCCGCTGTATGGCGTCATTGATCAGAAGGGTCAGTAAGCAGAGGATCTGTAATCAGAGACTCGGACAGTACTCGGGAAGCTGTATAATGAGGAATCAGAATGGTATTATTAGTGAATTAAAAAGGAATAGGAACTGACACAAGGTTATATATGGATGTTTAGTTATTGATCTTCCACGGAACCCGATTCAACATCGACCCAAATGATCATCCCGCAATTGTCACATTGATGAACCGGACTCCCCGCGTCGCCAGCCACAAACAAAGCACAAAGTTAAAACACCTTCTCTACGAGGAAATGATCGCTTACCGTAAACAAGCACCCAGAACTCTTTATTTTCGTTGCTCTTTATCTCATCACAACTCTTCTTTTCTCATCTCGTCAAGATCTTACTTTTCGTCAACCCGGAGTGTGACTTCGACCCCCACGCATCAGCAGACCGACCTTGCTGCGACAGGCCGTAAGCGGCATTCAAGATTGATCCCATGGCCCAACCCCATAATTCGTCAATTGCTCGTCAATGCACATCGTCTGATCGGCTTGAGATCGACGTCTTGGAGGCTTAAATGCCCCACTAAAGAAAATAATAACGTTGTGAATGTCAATATCCATTGAGCGATATCTCCCAGCACGACTAGCCATACAAGTATTCGCTATCATAACAATAATGCTCCTCTCCTCGCTTTTCCTCTCACATAGAGCCTACGTATACATCCTCCATGGTGTCCCTTTCCAGCACAACTCCTCCGTTGCTGCGGGACACTCATTCGCCAACTTCTCCATCAGCCTCGTGCAAGCATCTGCTCTCTCCCACATTTGGTTCCTGCTCTCACCGTCATCCTCCGACTCAACATCACACATCTTTCTCACCGCTTCCACCAACAAATCCGAGTCTGTCTCGTACGTCACTAGGGAAATCTCCTCATCTGCCCCAGCCTTGAATCCGACAACCCTCATGTATGACTGCACGTTAGGGAGCGTATACCCGCGATGGATTGAGGAACCAGATTGCTTTCTCAAACTCGCAATAAGTTCAATCAACGCCTTGACGTTCATCTCAATATACAAGTATCGAGATTTACTCAGGTTAATCCCATAAAAGGATCTGGCATATTTTCCAGTAAAGGGCCCTACGCCCGGCCAAAACACAACCGGAAGTCTCATCTCCAAGCTGGCACCACGGTCGAGGAAAAGTTTTATAAAGAGTGATACCCAATGGCTGATCGATGTATCTTTGGACTTGTCCGCTGACCTGGGGAGATTGATGATAACCAAGAGAAATTGTACCCACGGAGTCCCAAAACAGCCTGCCGTTGTGTTCTGGGCTATATTCCAATCTGGTTTGTATCCCTTGTTCAGGATATTGAAGATGCAATCCAGTGCTTTGTCTTTGTTTTCGAGACTGTAGCTGGTGCACATGTGGTAAAAGACACAATACATGGTATCATGCTCATCGCTGTCGTTGAGAGTACGTACGGCATCGCATACAGAGTCATAGCGGTGCAGGTTGGCCAATTCCATAAGAAACATGGCTTTCTTGGATCGGGGGTAGGGCATCATGTTGCTTTCCGGTTCTACCACTGATGGTAGATTATCCTGCGATACCTGTCTCCATGTCATCTCAATGAGTTCTTTGATTAGCTGTGGAGGATAATCATCTTCCCATTGTTCCAGCAAGCCAAGTAGCCGACTCGAATCTGAGTCTACTGGCTTTTTGCTGGGATAAAATCGACATGTGGCCAGACGAAGCTTCCAGTCGAGGATGCGCATGTCTTTCTCTGGCAGTCTGGATGACTTCCAAAGATCCTTTCCCGCTCTGGTGCGCCGGAAGAATCCTTCGACACAGTAGTGGGCCAACGTCACCTAGGCGACTCCATTCCTGTTCTCGACATTGAATATTGCTACAAATAAGCGTTCCAATATTCTTTTGCTGGTTTCATACTTAGTATTTAAGTCGGCTTCAGATACTGGTTTCTTCTTGAAAATGTAGTCCTCGAGTAGTTTGGGCTTCACGGCCATCATGACTTCGAAGACCGTGACTTTGTTGCGGTGATTGAAGAGTAAGTCGAGTGTTATGGAGAGGTATTTGTCAAAGAGTGCGCCGTTGATGGCGTTTTGTTTTTTGATGTAAGTCCATAGACCCTCCATACCCTCGGGCATCCTGAAGAGCTCTTCTATGATATCGTCGTGCGAATCTCCATCGTTCAGGTCTCGCATCGTTGATCTGGAAGCCATCAGACCCCATAGAAATACGCCCTCCGCTTTTTCTGCTATGTCCAGTACCAGATCGTCCATTTTGAAACCTGAACGCTTGTCTGTCGCCACTTTTTCCAAGGTATTCTTTGCAATGGCTTCTATGTCAGGCCCTGAAAGCTCGTGCATGTCGAGCACACAATGTGCTTGAAGTCGTTGCAGAATATCCTCATTCATAGAGCTCAACACGCAGAACTTGAATTCTGACGTGGCCGATAAGTTGATAAAACGAAGCAATTTTGTCATGTCCCCTGCAGCAACTTCATCTAGACCATCGATCATGATGTAGAGCTTCCGGAATGCATTGTCGCGATAGTGTAAGAGTATAGACTCCAGCTTCTTCTCGTCCCAATCATCCAATACCTCGCCTGGCTTTGCCCGCATTTTCTCGCGCAAAATATCGCCGGCTGTGAAGTCATTAGAAAGCAATTGATGCAGTACAGAACAGAGAAACCCTTTGAAAGACCGTTGTTTCGAACTGCCAGGCTCCCAGAAGAAATGAGAGACGATATTGATGTCTGAAGGCCACTTCTCAAGAAGACGTGCCAAGAAGCTACTCTTGCCCGATCCTGCGTTACCGGCAATCCAATAGATTGGTTCATCCGATGCCACCCACCCTCTTAATTTATACCATTCTTTTCGTCGATTCTCTTGGGCTTCGCTAATCTCGGTATCCTCTTCGGGATCTCCATGTTGCATCCATGCGAATGCGTCTGGATACTGTTCAAGAATCTCGTTTTCCCGGTCGTCCAAACCAGGAAAGTGCAGAACTTTTAATAGATAGTTGCGTTCGGATTTGCCAGCCCTTGGATGTCGTGTCAGTGAGTATAAAGCTTGGAGGTGATTGAACTTACCGCAACATCTTGTTCCAATTCTCAAGAAGAGCCCTCGTGGAAGCTACTGCCGACTTCCTTGCATTGTCTAGCCACTCAGCTTTCTGATTGCCGTCGCCATAGTTGGAGATGCCTTTGATAACGACACAAGGAAACACCTTCGATACATCGAGACTTCCTACGTCAACTCCAAGGACTCCCATCTGCTGCGCCAATTGAAGGGCTTTGGGGTTCATATATATACTGCCTGAAGTGAGACTTGCGTAGTACACTTTTGGGCTTGTTCTTTCGTTCGGATTGCCTTCCGCAGCTCCAGGTTGAACATCTTCAGACCGAGCGGGATCCTTAGTGGCGCCTTTCGATTTGTATTGTTTTTGCTTTTGCAGGAGATACCTCATCTCGAGCACTTCCCTTCCTTTGCCACCCTTTGGTAAGGTACCTATGATGCTGTGCCTATCCCGTTCTTGATCATAATGCATGAGGCGAACGGCGATGATAACATCGCCAGCGAGAGTATCGCTGCCAATATAGTTATGTAACCCACTGCAAATACCAACCACCAATGCTAGATGGACATTGATAAAGCTTTTGCGGCACCATTTCGCGATGTCCCCAGACAGGGATTGGTCAGCGCCAGGACGATAGGCGACCACAACATCGCGCCCTGCTATAGTACCTATTGAATACTGATTGGGATCATCACCAAAGGTACGCCCGTATGATTCGTCGGTATGATGCTCATCGAAAAGCGCAATGATCGAGTGTGCTTCGCTTTCTTGAGGGCAGAGTATAGAAATTCTGATAGACCGGCGTCGTCTGGAGCTCTGAGATGCAGGGTTATCCATTTTCCTTTTCGAATGAAATGTCTGGTCGATGGATACTTGAAGTATGATAGCTGTACGATGAATGTTTGAAGTATGATTCAGTCAAGTTTGACTTGATCCGAGAACGCGAGGTTGTCATTATGCCCCAACAAACTTAACCACGGCAGGTGGATTCATCTTCAAGGGAATGTGCTGCAGGTGCGCTCGACGTATGCAACTATATAATAAGAGGAAGAATTTGTTTGGGCAAGAACACTTACCCTGACATCACTGCTCTTTCAACTCTTCCAGAGTTATCTCCGTACCGAATTCTGTTTCCTCATCTTCAAACTTGCCACACTCCTTTCCACGTTCACAATGCATTGGCAGTACATTTTTCTAGTTCCGATATCATGTTGGTTCGGAAATCGTCATTGTCGATCAATCCTCGACAAACACATTGAAGCTGCTATCGATCCGCGATTGAATAACGACTCACTAAAAATGGTCTTTGATATCGACATTTCTATTGAGATCTCACCTCAGCCAGAATTTCGATATAGCGAGACGCTATTCCCTTCTGCTCTACCAAATCCCGCCATGTCCGGCGCCAAGAGAGTCTTGGAACGTCGAGGCCTGCTGGGTTTTGGTGAAGTCGAAGGTTTAGCCAAGCAGTTCGACAGCATCTCACGTCTCGTATACATGGATGACACTATGCTCTACGAAGACGTCATCTTCGACTTCGACAAGACGGCGGAAGAAATCACAAGTCACGCAAAGGGATTCGACAATCAGTCCCTAGCTGGAATACTCATCGAAGACTTTGAATAACTAGCCGGTCAATTGTTGAAGAAATGGTTCAGGATGATATTCTTTCTGAGCACTCATGGCACGAATGTCACAACACAACGCGTTTGCGTCCAAGAGCTTGAAGCCGAAATTGCTATCGACATGCTTGGTGATGTTCTGGGGCACCCAAAGAAGAGAGGCCAGCTTGAACTTGTATTCCTACAAATTGAAGCTTGTATGAACTCCCTCCTCCAAGACGTCATAGCTATGACCAGGTTTATATCAAGTCTTCGTCGTACAATACGCCTCGACCCCGAAAAGAGTGATTCTGATTCTGAATCTCTCCTCAAATCGATGTCTAGCCTCGACCGTTTGCTTGAGACCATAGGGCAAAGCTTCTCTGATGCGCAGTCGCTGTCTCGCGCTGCAGCGGCCGAAACTACGACCTTGAGAGAGGTAGTGCGAATATTGGAGCATAAGAGCGGCGATATCGGCACTATCGGGGATAATGCATGTACGATGTATCGATATTGCATACCTTCCTGTGCCGATATGGAAGTGATGTTGGAAAATAGTCAGAGGGAGATTGAGTTTGCCAAGGCCGACACAAAACCACGTTGGCTCACTTGGAGGACCTGGATGGAAGGGTCGCCGACATGAAAGGCAACGCTTTGGGCATTTGCTTTGCGATTGGACACACCGCTGTTGGATCTGTGGTGTGCTGCCCTTGTTTGTTTATATGGTTCGGTTGACGTAGATTAGCGAAAGGTCGAAGACTAGTGTTTTGTATTCAGCCTGCAGCTATGTGATGGTAGCTGAACTAGAAGCCACGAAGGTCCGGAGAGTTTTTCATGAAAGAGTCTTCGGGATAGACTTCGGCATCAGCTTATTTTATTTATACTCCGCGAGGCACGCGGAGGGTTCCGGGCTAAACCTGTAGTCTCCTACAGATAAGGACGCTTTGCTGCGCCATCAAATTTTCATTCATGCTCGATGGTGCGTAGGAGTGCGTAAGCTACCATATAGAAACAAGTCTTGAATACCGAAATTCTACACTAAGTATCTTCCAATGGAGATCGCTGTACAACGGTTCAGGCTCCACAAGTCGTCTCCTGTTCTCCAAGAGCCTTCTTGAGCTCATATACCTCCAACCACACTCTAGGCTCCTGGCCCCTGCTTTTCTTCCGCAATAACCTCGTAATGACATCGAAGTTGGGTGCAAAGACACTCAGTGTCAAAGGCCCAGTGAAATCAGCGTTCCAGGTTTCCCTAAACCGATGAACCACTTCTAGCCCTTTCATTCTTATGACCAATGTCTCCATTCCCGTGCACGCGGCTCTTTTGGGAAGCTTGACAATTCGAGCCCACAGCAACTCTCCATTCGACGAGATCCTAGCGTCAGTGAAGAAACTGTCTTTGTTATCCTCTCCGTGAATATCAGACACCGATAAAGAGGAAGACGAGATAATAGTTTCGAGGTTGACATCAAAAGTCATTATTTGAAAACCCCTATTTCGGAAGCCGGCGCGAGCTGAGCTGCGACTTCTCTTCTTACCTTTCAGTACAGTTATCGTATTATTGGTTGACGCGATACCCAGAGTCTTTCCTCGATATTCCATACCATCTGGCAGGAAATAGACCCCGGAAACATCTCCGATGTGTTCCAAGCTGGCTGCAGGCTCTTCTGAAAACCACTCTGCAGATAGCGTGTGAGTCTAGATAATCGACCCTTCCTCATTGTCTAATACGTCTATGATTCTCTGTCCATTCTGCGATAACGCGGCAGTGCAATTTCCAATTCTGGGGCTTGTTCTTTTAGGACATTTTTTATAGTTCCACGCCAGTCCTTCTTCTCCACTCGAGGACACCTTCCGGCGAATTCGATTGATGGTGTATCCCTTACGGTAGTGACCTATTAAGACAAGCGAGCAGTCTTTTGAGATTGGAAGAATCTGTTGGATCCACGTCCGGATCGAGCTGATGAAGTTCTGCTTGATGGTCTTCTCCGTAAGTCGATCATAAACCTTCCAGCACCTCTCCGACGTCTGGATCAGAACCAGGGAAGCGTCAGTGCTCAGGATTCTCATTTCCTTCTTGTAAAACGAATGACGGAGTTTGCCGTCACGCCTCAAATTCATAGCATTGTTCGTTTCTTGAAACTTTATATCATAAATGTCGTTTGGATTCGGGTCTGGTTGCCTCCATAACAGAGCTTTTCCATCAGAAGACATGTCCAGAGGATAGGTGTCCTTTTCGACCCGGAGGCAAGTGGGGGTGAAATGCGATTGTTGAAGTTGAAATGTCAGTGACTTCTTCGTTGATTTCACAGAAGCCGCTTCACAAGTACCAGACTGACTTTGAACTGTACGACCTGATGACGGACGTAAAGAAAACTCCCATATATCAGGCTCACTAATGTCCTCCCTAATTCCATTCGTAGAATATGGATTAGTACCCTCTGGCATTGATGATGGCGTTGAGGTTGTGTCCGAACTTCTAGGCTCGGCCACATATGTTTCCGGTTTATCGTTAGAGTTTGCTACCACGCGGGTTGGAGGTGATGATGTTGAGGTTCTTGGTCCTAGAAGGACCGTTTCTCGCTCTTCAGCCTCGGCTGCGCGCTCAAAAGACCCATCCACGATACCTTCTATGTGGTCAAGGTCTGATCCTCCTGCGTTACTGGTATCGTCGCTTGCACTAGAGGAAGAGCTACTTAGAGGTGGCCTGCTGGTTTCCGTTTTAGCCCCCCATTCTTCAAAGACAAGGTGTAATACTTACGAGATTTCCATGGCTTCTGGAGATGCAGGTCTAGATGACGGATCGCAAACTGAACCGGCCATTGATGACAACTCATTCAAGTACCTTTTTAGCATGAATGAGTGGGGGCCATCTGCTTCTTGACGAGTGACTAGTGCTTCCAGGATTTGTATTCTGGACATAATTTCTGACAGGTCCCCCTTCATGTGGGTGGTGTCGCCCAATATTTTGGTAGTGTCTCGTTTGATATTCTTGGCTGTAGCTCTGTTCAGACATTAGCGCCACAATCATACCACGGGAAATAGACTCTTTACAGAGTAATAGTCTCAACAGCCAAACTGATAGCCCGCCGATTTGTTTCCAGAATCACCTTGCATGTAGCCACCTTCTTCTTCCCCTTTGTTGCCCAATTAATAGCAAGGAGCCTGCCTTCTTGCCCACGCAGCTCATCCTCAAGATCCTTCGTAACGCCGAGTGAATTCCTGATAATTTCCCGTATATCCCTCTTGGTATTGCTCGTTAAATCATTTTCACCCCCTTCGGCAACAAGGTCTTTGAGCAGACTCAAAGTCCTTTTCAAAGTTACAAGCTCTTCGTTGACTGATTCGAGGTCATTTCTTGCATCTTTGCAATTTTTTACAAAGTCTGATATGGTTTTGAATGCTTTGTCGGCTATTTCCATAAAGGCAAAACATGCCGTGGCTATCGAGAGGCTGTCCATTATGATCTTGACATTGAAATAGGAGACGGGCTGAGAAGGACGATAAATGCGTGGTTGAAGAATAAGCAGGTATCAATTTTCAAGTGTCAGACCATGGAGAATTAGGCTTGGAAGTACCTCATGCGTTGGCAGTGGAGTTTTCCAGTGCGCCTTGCAAGGGATTGCAGGGTAGTAGCCAATGTAACCATGGACAGAAGGCTTTTCATAAGCTGGTGTTATAGTACAGTACTCTTATATTACTATCAGATCTACAGCAAAAGAAACATGAAAATGACACAAGTCAAGCTTTTCGTTGTCCCAATTCCTATATCCTAAAGAAATTACTCTTCGACAGTGCGCCTTGCGATAGGATAAGGAACACAACGGCCAGTGTCAAGACAGACGTGAAAAGAACCGCCATCTGTAAGGTCAATGCTGTTAGTGTTGCTATTATAGGTAGTATTGAAGATAACTTACCTTGGCGTTGCCATCCCACCAGCTTGCACCCTCAGGCTTCCAGGGTCCATAGGCAGCGGCACTCCATATGAGTGTGGACGTTGCGATCACCATAAACAAGACAGCCAACACCAGAAAGGCAAGACTGAACTCCCAGGCATATACATATAGCCAACTAGGTAGAGCCTTATTGTCAGATCGACGTCTTCGGCCGAGACTATGCCGTATCATCTCCAGACCGTCAGGATGTGCCGACAGACGATGCAGCCTCATACTCTGGATACCAGCAACAACAACCGAGAAGAGAGCGAGTATGAGGCCACTATATAACATTCCTCTTACAAGCCATGGTTTAGACTTGCCGTTTGGTAGAACATCCGGCCATGAACTCGTTGAGCTGAGACAGCTGGCGAGAAGAGCGCCCTGTAAGAGTTAACAAAGGCAAAAAGACAATGACGAGCCACAGAGAGCATACAAGCGTTCCGACAAACTTCAGTTCTTCTAGCTTGTGGTTTCGCCAGTTTTTGGTCATTTCATCTTTGACTTTCTTATCATCTTCATTGAGCATTTGGATGATGGTATCACAGCCTGTCGAGGTGCCCTCGAAGAAGTTGAAATGCTTCATGATGGCAATCGGGGTTCTGCTTTATGGAAGCTGTTTACAATCACGATTGATAACTAATTTTGAAATAGATTGAAAGCGGTTCCAATTGAACAAGATAAAGAAAGAAAAGAAGAAAGGGAATGAGGAGGAGATCATCCTCCGTATTTCATCATAAAGAAAGAACTAGCGTCGCCACAGGCCACGACAGAGAAGACCTATCGATTGAGAGAAAGGTGACCCTGATAGAATAAAATACCATGAAAAGCCATGTTATGTTTATTGTTGATGATTAAGAGCTACTGCAAGACTAGATTCTCCCCGCAATATTAAGCTTTCTTGAAACAAGATCTTGGTACAGCGTCGCTGATAGGTTCGCCGGATGCATCTCAGCCACCTGCGTTATGCCCTATGACGGAGATTTATTAGCCTAACGATGGTTGAAATGACTCGGCCGGCATCAGCAAGGGCATTTGCTTCCGAGCAAGACCTCAAGGTTCTTGACTTTGATGCATAAATATCGTGACGTTCCCCTCATTCTTTAGCGATGACTAGCACCTTCAACTGCATCAACCACAGACTCGCAATGACCAATGCAACACAGTGTAATGGAGGGTAAGCTCTCCTTTTTGGATCTTGGCCGCTTACCATTCTCCTCAAAACCCCTCTTGTTAATCTCACTCTTAAGGCTGCCCTTCGGGAATACGGAAAAAGGCAGATGAATACGGTTAAAGATCTCGTCAGATCTCGGCCTTTTACCCTCTTTCTGGACCCCGCCCCACGATTATATCATGGCCAGCCCCGCATTCTCTAAGATAACTCGAATGAGTTCTTAAAAAGGGTCTCTCTCTCAATTAACTTTATTCTTGTCCTACAATATCTGTATCATTATCGACAATATGGCTTCTCTCAAACCTTTCCGTGCTGAGCATATGGGCTCTTTGCTCCGACCTCAAGCTCTGCTTGACGTCAGAGAGCAGATCCGCGAGAAGGGTCTTACTCCCGAGAATGCAGGTCTCGAAACTGTGGAGACAGATGCTGTCAAGGATGTTGTCAAGATGCAGCAAGACCTGGGCTACAAGGCTGTCACCAGTGGTGAATTCACCCGAACTCGTTTCTGGGGTTTGATGTGGGATGAATTTGAGGGAACTACTCAGCTTCAAGATGCTGAAGCCAGTCTTTTCCGTCTCTACCACCCCGATGTGGTCAGCTTGATCGAGAAGGATCGTCAGGTCATGCCTGGTGACTCTGTTATCGCCGGAAGCAAGCTTTCTCACAGCGCTGAGAAGTCTGTCTCCAACTTGCATGAGTTGAAGCTTGTGCAGCAGTTCGTGCCAAAGGAGCAATGGGGCTCTATCAAGCTTACCATGATCACTCCTGCTTGGTTCCACATGCGTTACAAGCAGGGCAAGGCTTATACCCCTGAGGCGTACAAGAACGACGAGGAGTACTTTGCCGACGTTGCAAAGGTTTATCAGGCTGAGCTTGATATGTTGTACAGGGCGGGTCTGCGCAATGTCCAATTCGACGACCCCGGCATGGCTTGTAAGTCTCTTCGACCAATGGTTGCGATTTATACTAACGAAAGCAGACTTTTGCAGTCAGAAGTTCCGTGATGGGTGGGCCGCTGACTCTGACAACGTTGGTACCGTTGATGATCTCCTAGATGCTTACATCAAGCTCTACAACGACAGTCTCTCCAAGATCCCCTCAGACATGCACACCGGTATTCACCTTTGCCGCGGTAACTTCATCGGTGGCCGTCACTTCGCAGAGGGCAAGTACGACATCATTGCCGAGAAGCTCTTCCGTAACTTGAACGTCAACACCTTCTACTTGGAATACGATACCGAGCGCTCTGGTGGCTTCGAGCCTCTGCAGTTCCTCCCCAAGGACAAGAACGTCGTTGTCGGCGTTATCAGCACCAAGCTTCCCCAGCTGGAGGATAAGGAGGAGATGAAGAAGAGAGTTTTGAGCGCGGCGGATTGGGTCGCTAAGGGCATGGGCGAGAGCCAGAAGGAGGCACTTCAGAGAGTTGCTGTTAGCCCTCAGTGTGGTTTCAGTACTCATGAGAGCGGATATCCTCTCAACTTGGATGAGGAGAAGAAGAAGCTGGCGTTGGTTCGAGAGATCGCTGATGAGATTTGGGGTGAGGCTTAGGGCGGATTATTGATTTGGATGTCGGGGTGAAACGATGGTAATAGTACAAAGTTACTCTCATTAATTAGCGATATGTTCGAATTACATTGACACAATTTGAAAAAGCATTGTATGTCTTGGGAACTTTAACTAAAAACAAATGTGCCGGTATGAAGGCGTTCGCAACTTGGTAGGTGATACGTAAAGCCCTACATATAGCATATTAGCAATTGAGTTTTCCAACAATCACAGCTACAAGCGGCTTCAGCCGTTTCATCTTCCGTAGTATAGTGGTCAGTATGCAAGCTTGTCACGCTTGAGACCCGGGTTCAATTCCCGGCGGGAGAGCTCCGCCACCTGTGTTACACAGGCCCTTCTTTTTTGCATTTCTTTTTACCTATATGCTATCCTAGCGAGATCTGTCAATCATTCATTGGTGATGGTATACTTTTTGATTAAGGAATACAGAACTGCTTGGTCTTTAGATCTATGTAAGAGTTGGGAGACTGGTATTGGAGGTAGAGGTCTAAAGGAATAGAGTGACTGGGGAAGGATAGAGAAGACCACCACAAACACAGAGACATGAATTGGAACAAACGGCAAAGGTAAGTTGCATACGATAAGAGGAAGGAAAACGGATTGTAAGAATAGAAGGCGGTAGAGACATTTGCAAAAAGAGTTATAACAGATATCAGCAATTTATTGAGCAAACCCTAAAGTTGAACTCTGAACTCAGATTGAAGCTTTCCACGCCATCTAAGATGCGATGAGTCAGCCATCTCCTGGATACACTTTGGCGCAATCAAAGGTCAGATACCAAGTGGCGTGAAGTCTGCCCAGTTCAGCGCAACGTGTTTAGCTCAACAGCTTCCGAACTTGGTTCTCTTCTCAAAACAATTTCTTGAAGCCCAAGTATCTTGGTCTCATCGCTCTTCATTCATTTTTATTCATACACTTGACTGTCAAGTCCTATAGTACATTTTAATACAGATCTATCCAATTCATACACCATCAAACATTATTGTACAGCCTCTTGATACTGGCTCTTGACCGCCTCGTCCCGCGCCAAGTTTCGCGCGTCCCTTTCGTTGTAAAAGTGCTTCTTCGCAATCATGCCCTTCATGCGTGCAATACGAGCCATGAGAGTAGCATCAAAAGGAGGTCCCTGCATCATAGCCATGACAAACGGACCTTGAGCTCCCCAAGTGCAACCGTGCAGGTGATCGGAAATCCTATTGACCAGTTCCTCAACTTCCAAAAGCCTATCGGGTTGGGTCGGGAAGATGCCGAGTGGCTTCATCTCATCCAAGGTATCAAATGCAGCCACACCGTCGCCGTAGCGCTTCCAGTGAATATCAGCGAGCTTGAGGAAAAGGGGCGTGGATACGCCGAGCACGTATGAGGAGAGACCAAGTTCCTTGATTCGGGGGAAGACATCAAAAGCCAGCATAGAGGGCTTTTCAAATGCACTGTCCAGAAGCTGTAGGCCATAGGAGAGTAGTTGAGGATATAGGTGTCCATGGACATCCATGATAATGCTGGCATCCTTGGTCTCCTCTTTGGCTTTGGACTTTTTTGTCTTCTGTGCTGCGGTTGCATTCTTGGGCTTTCGTCCCCTTGTCTCAATCTTTGGTCCTTCGACAATGCCCAGCTTCTCAGGAAGGGAGAAAACCTCCCTCTCCATAACATCCCACAACTCGACGTCGGTCTTGCAATCCCTCATCAACTTGGAAATTCTTTCGTGTTCCTTTTCCTTTCGTTCTTCGTACTCTTTCCATTTCCGCGCCTGAGTCTTCTCTTCCTTGTCCAGTTCAGCCAAGTTGTAAAGCTTAGGACGTTTGGGCGCAGACTCAAACTTGCCAAGAGCGTTCTCTGCAGCCTTTCGCAGCGAAGACGGATACTTTTTTAGATATTCCATGTTGGCACCTCGAGCCTTTTCAACCAGAGTGTTTCCTATGTTCTCCTTTACCAGGTCAGATTCAATTGGTTTTGGTGTAGGCTGAGTATCTCCGGTCTGAGCGGGCTTCTTGGTTTGACGTAACCGGGCATGAGAGATATCATCGAAGATACTCTTGAAGATTTCGGTTTCCGTCGGTGTAAGGGTACCATCTGGACCAGCATCTTCTTCCCCTTGTTCCTTTACAAGAGGCTTCCCACTAGGTTCCAGCTCATCCTCGTCAAATTCGAAGGGGATTGAATTATCGAATCTTCCGGATCGACAGGACGTTGTCGCCACACCAGCTTTTTGTGTGAAAAGAATGGAAGCGGGACGTCTGCAACCCAGTTGCAGTGTCCTCGTTTGGTATAAGAATGGTAATAAATTTCGAGACATTTTTTATTTTATTTGCGATTCAAGATTTATCAAAGTCTCGAATTTGACATGAGAATTTCAGTACCTACTAAAAATCGACAATTGGGTCTGCAGGATCGCACGGTTCATCTTCGGAAGTGGAGCGCGCTCCAGCAGGCAGAAGCGCGTGACTTCGCGCCAAATTCAATTAATCGAGTCGCGTTTCCTGCGCTTTGCGTCACCACTTCATGATTGCCCCGAATTTGCTTCTCTTCTCGTTGCGCAAACCAAGGTTTGTTTGTTAACCACGTTCGTTGGTCCTGGTCGCAAACCCCGACCGTATATAAACTCACCAAATTATCGTTCCCATTTGAAGCGGTTGTATATCTCGATTTCCACGATGCCTCCCAAACGAGGCGCCGACGCTCCAATGAGCGCGTTTGAGAGGAGACGTTTGGAGAACATTGAGGCAAACAAGAAGATGCTTAACGACGTCGCTGTTATCGCTAAGAAAGTCGCTCCGACGCCGCCAAAGCGCACTACTCCATCACGACCAAAGACGCGAACGCCCGCCAAACGAGAAACAGTGAAACCTACACGACAAAGTTCCCGCCTTGCAGGCATCGACGCCGACAACGATACCCTCAAGAGAAAGCTTGAGGTGGAAGCCGAGGCTGTAGCACAAGAGGCCAAAGCCAAGAAGTTACGAGTTAACGGGGACCTGAGCTTGGACGACATCGCTGTCGAAGGCAAGAAGTGGGTTGCGGGCATGAACGGGATTAAAGGTCTTGTTCGCGGCGCCCAGCCTGGAGTGCGAACATTCACAGAGGAAGACGTGAAGGAAACCACCGATAAGGGACTCAAGGAGCTCCGCGAGACCATCGGTGATCTCAAGCTATACGAACACTGGGCACCAAATGGCAAGTGGCATTCTTTTGGTGGTAACCTACTTGTCTAACCGTACACTGCAGAAATCAAGATCACCCCACAACGAGTCTATGCTCTCGGGTTTCATCCTATCGAGGAGAAGCCTCTAGTTTTTGCTGGCGACAAAGAGGGTAACATGGGCATTTTTGACGCTTCACAGACTGTCCCAGAAATTGATGAGGACGACGAAGATGCGACCATACCAGACCCTGTTATTTCTGCGTTCAAAACCCATACTCGCACTATCTCCTCGTTCGTCTTTCCTAACGAAGATGCGAACGCGGTTTACACTTCCAGCTATGACTCCTCTATCCGAAAACTGGACTTGAGCAAGGGTACTTCGGTACAAGTATGGGCGCCATCAGACCCGGATGACGAACTTCCCCTTTCCGCACTCGATATGGCAGACTCGAAGCCAAATATGCTTTATTTTTCGACGCTCGCTGGTGCCGTGGGCCAATATGATATCCGCACCAGAGACGCCGACATTTGGAACTTGTCAGAACAGAAGATCGGCGGATTCTCCCTTCACCCCCTGCAGCCTCATCTGCTTGCGACCGCGTCCCTGGATCGCACTCTCAAAATTTGGGACTTGCGAAAGATCACGGGCAAGGGCGATCTTCGCCACCCTGCTCTGCTCGGTGAGCACGAGTCCCGATTATCTGTGTCGCATGCCTCATGGAGTCCTGGCGGACAAATCGCTACCAGCTCCTACGATGATACCATCAAGATCTACGATCTCTCTGAGGCCTCGTCCTGGAAGACTGGTCAAGATGTTACACTGGAACCTACTCACCAGGTTCGTCACAACAACCAGACTGGTCGATGGGTCACTATCCTCAAGCCTCAATGGCAGAAGAGGCCTCACGACGGTATTCAAAAGTTTGTTATCGGCAACATGAACCGCTTCGTCGATGTATTTGCTGCAGATGGCAGTCAGCTTGGTCAGCTTGACGGTGAGGGTATTACAGCAGTGCCAGCGGTGGCTCACTTCCACCCTTCGCACAACTGGGTTGCTGGAGCTACATCCAGTGGTAAGCTCTGCTTTTGGCAGTAAGCTCGGGATTGGGAATGTTTGTAAAAACACATGCATGTACATTTAAGCGGGAGTTTTGGTTTGCTACGCATCCTGGAGGATGGACTATATCGCGTCGGCAACGGCAAAACGGAATATGTTTGCTAGAGTGAAGAGCCGAAGCGAAACACCTGTACGAGTACGAGAACGACGCAAAGGTCGAATACTGGCTTAGACATGTAATTACGTTGCACATGGCAGTTGGTCGAGGCTGAGTCGAGATCACGTTTGAGTTTGTCTCGATTCAACACTAAAATGCATTTTGTGAGAAGGAAATCAACGTGGTGGCGTCCCACTGACTCAGGCACAAAAAAGTATCTCATGCACCAAGTTTATGACGTGTTATCGTGAAGCAGGTGATGATGATTGTCTTTTTAAATGAGGGCCTTTATGGTCACCATGGCCAGAGCGCTATTCGCATCATTCGGGCTCATCCCAACACTTGACCAATCCTTGCATGTGATCGATTCACCGTGGTAGGAAACATTGGCTGGGCATTGGCGTCATCTCTTATCGATAAGATATCCGCCAATCAGAACCTGGATCTGCCGCACAACAGTGGACAGCTCCAGTTGTTTCCCCAGGCGCCTCGACCGCTGAGCAAGTCAGGTCCACTATCCGTCCCCTAAAACCCCACTGAGATTCAGGCAGATGGGCCTAAACCTGCCTAGACGTCAGCCCCAGGGTCAGGTTCCTTCTTGATTGGGAATGCCGTGATTCTTATCTTCACTTCCTGGCGATCCGAATGTTTGCTTGTCACCTCCAATTTACCTATCCTCTTCACGTCGTCTTAACGGTCGGTCGCATCGTGAACTCGTATCGGCTCCATCATCATTTACCGGATCCTACAGTGGGCTATAACAACATCGAGCCCTAGTTGTTCGCGATAGCGAAGCGCTGGCTGCTTGCGGCGCAAACTAAACCTATTATCTTGACGACTGCATGATCAGCCTGCCGACCATTCTGCGTGCACGAAACTCCCACGTCCTTGAACAGCCTCAAACCTTCTACAGCGCCCCGACTTTCTCGTGATCGCGCATGATAAATACAGCTCGGACCGTCGCTCGTACATAGTCACCCCGCTCGTCACGACCGTCCAAAATGGCTTCCCAAGCTGATGAGGCCCCCGCGCCTCAGACCAGCATTGGCAAGGGAGACCTGAAGGACCATGTTCACGATGCACTTGACAAGAGGCAACGACAAGGGTCGACGGCGACTGTATTTCCTGAGCCGCTACGAGAAAGCGATGACTCCGCAGACGAAGACAATGGGCCAACACAAGCGCCCCCGATGTTTATGAACATGAACCAGAGTATATACGGCCTTATAGCGCAAGCCAGCTCCCGCGTCGACTTCAATGATCGCTTCGATGGAATGAGCAGCGACGAGGAGGGCGAAGGTTCGCAGCAAAACGCTAAAGAGAATATTGCCCAGACGTCAATTCTACAGCCTACAAGCAAGGGAAAGGAAAAGGCTAATCGGCGAAGAAAACTTTCTGATCACAAGCTTTTGCGCTCACTGCCTGCGCTTCCTAAACTTCGCTCAAGACATAAATCTCAAACCTCGCGATTATCTGCTCCTGTAGAGGACGCTGATGAGGCGGACAATGAGGGCGACAGTAGCGGCGGCTTGCTACCACCACCCTCTATAAGTTGCCAAGATACACAAGGGCGCTTAGCACCTGTCATGAGCAGAATGTTGGAAGCCAAGGCAGACTTGTCAAGCCGGCCGAGCTTCGATCTTGATCGGCTATCGTCAGACGTTAGCCGATCTAGTGATGGCGACGAGGCGTCGGCTCTCTCAAAGAAGCTGAAGGAGATCTTCGAGTTCGACGAATATGAGCAGGTCGTTGAAGGTTCGTTGACCAACTACATATCAATCCTATGCTTCACAATGCTGACTTCAACCAGAATACCCCTGCTGGCTTTTACAGAGCGTTCTTCTCCAAGGATACATGTACATCACCTCTAAACACATATGTTTCTATGCATATCTTCCCAAGAAGGCGGTAAGTTAGTTCGAGCTCCAATCATCAGTATGGTCATTAATATGATGCGCAGCATGAGGCTGTTAAGTCTGGATATCTCTCCAAAAGTGGCAAACGCAACCCAAGCTACGCAAGGTTTTGGTTCCGACTTAAGGGTGATGTTTTAACATATTACAAAACAGCGACAGATGTCTACTTTCCCCATGGCCAGATCGATTTACGGTATGGCATATCAGCAAGTATTGTCGACAAAGACAAGGAAGGTCTACATTTCGTTGTTGAGACCCATTCGCGAACATACAGGTTTAAGGCCGACAGCGCTCCCAGTGCGAAGGAATGGGTTAAGAGCCTCCAAAGAGTGATATTCCGAAGCCACAACGATGGCGACAGTGTCAAGATCTCATTACCAATCAAGAACGTGATGGACATTGAGGATACCCAGATGATCGCGTTCGCGGATACTTGCAAGATTCGCGTCATAGACAATGACGAGACGTACGCTATTGATGAGGTATGTAGCATGACACTTGGATGATATCATCGCTGACAGTCGTAGTACTTCTTTTCCTTCTTCAGCTTTGGCAAAGAAGCTATCAACGTTCTCAGAATTCTCATTGAGAGTTCGTCGGAGAGCCGCTCTGATGAGAAGGCAGAGTCCGGCGACAAAGATCACCATGGCTCAAAGTCTGCTTCCGGCCGGCCGTCGAGGGCATCGAGCAAACACCGCACCAGTAAATTACACACCGGGAAACTACCAGATACCGTGAAAGCGACCTTGTCCCCTATGTCACCTGTATCACCTCGTTCACCCGGTCAGTTGAGTCCTCGCGTAAGTATGGACGCGGCACGATCAAGTTTCGACGGCTTCAGACGATTTGGAAGAAAAAGCATGGATGTACCAAGCTCCATGGGAGACCATAGCCCTCGGAGGAGCTTTAGCGGAACACGGCATTCGACGAGTTTCCAGCATCGACAAGGAACTACGACGCCCAAGCAAGCACACGATTCGGAAGATTCATTCCTTCAGTCGTCAGTCGAGAACCCAAGCATTTCCACCCTATCGCCTTCTTCCTACGATGAACCGTCGGCAAGTCAGATTCTTCAGGGAAGCGATGTTTTCCACAGCCCAATGATGCGACGATCTGCCTCAGCATCGAGAAAGCGCGACCGATCTGGCAAACGAACACCTCGCAACTCCAGTGCTCATGGGGAACGTCATCCCGGAGTCCCTCACGCCGCCACTACGGGTTCCTTACAGGAGATGGGAGGTGAACAGGGCGATTCCCAGCGCCCTACTACCCCGACACTCAATAGCATCACCAAGATCGGAGCCTACCCATTACAACGAGCCAACGCCTTCGCCGAATACTTGACTCGTACAAGCCAGCGTATGGGCTCCATGTTCGCTACCGAGTCTCTGGGGTATGTTGAGAAGGTGCATGGAATGTGGAAGGGAGAGCACAGACATTACGATGAGCCTCGTGAGCTTCGGACCGACGACGACGGCGAGGACATTGACTCGGAGACAGACGACAAGATGCAGACTACGGTAGATCGATTCCGAGCACACTTCGCCCTCCCCGACTCGGAGAAGCTGGTCGCGACATATTTTGGAGCCATCTTCAAAGTATTGCCACTGTATGGAAAGTTCTATATCAGTGACCGATCATTCTGCTTCCGCAGCTTATACCCTGGAACTAGAACAAAGCTCATTCTGCCTCTGAAGGATATTGAGAATGTTCATAAAGAGAAGGGTTTCCGTCTTGGCTACTCTGGTCTGACGGTGGTTATTCGTGGTCACGAGGAGTTGTTCTTCGAGTTTAAGCGACAGGACCTTCGAGATGACTGTGCAGTGACCTTACATCAGCTCATGGAAACGAACCGCTTCCTTCAGCAGTCTGGCGTGCTTGATCAAGAGGAGCAAGAAGATGAAGAAGCGGCTGCTGCTATTGCAGAGCGTAACGCCTTACAAGAAGCGAGGCAAGATGAGTTTGTTGATCACGAACTGGCACTGCCGCGCGAGACGTCTGGGGTCTCAAATGCCCCTACAATCCTCTTCGACAACCCCAACGCATCAGGCCTCGCATTTAAGCCGCAGAAGTCCATGAAGATTACATGCCTTACCATCGGATCAAGGGGTGATGTTCAGCCCTACATCGCCCTGTGTAAGGGTCTTCTTGCTGAGGGCCACAAGCCTCGAATTGCGACCCACGCCGAGTTCCAAGGCTGGATTGAGAGTCATGGAATCGAGTTCGCACGAGTTGAAGGAGACCCTGGTGAGCTGATGCGTTTGTGTATCGAAAACGGAACATTTACTTGGGCTTTCCTTCGAGAGGCCAATTCGACATTCCGAGGATGGCTTGATGATTTGTTAGACTCTGCTTACACGGCGTGTGAGGGCTCTGAACTACTGATCGAGTCTCCATCGGCCATGGCGGGCATCCATATCGCGGAAAAGCTTGGTATTCCCTACTTTCGGGCATTCACTATGCCTTGGACTAGGACAAGAGCATACCCCCATGCATTCATTATGCCCGAGCACAAAATGGGTGGCGCTTACAACTACATGACTTATGTTATGTTTGACAACATCTTTTGGAAGGCTACAGCCTACCAAGTGAACCGATGGAGGAATAAGACTCTAGGCCTTCCTAGCACCAGTCTTGAGAAGATGCAGCCCAACAAGGTACCTTTCCTATACAACTTCAGCCCAAGTGTGGTTGCGCCGCCGTTGGACTTTTCGGATTGGATCAGAGTCACAGGGTACTGGTTCCTGGACGAGGGTGGTAGTGACTGGCAACCGCCTCAAGAGTTGCAAGATTTTATCACCAAGGCGAAGGCGGACGGGAAGAAGATTGTCTATGTTGGCTTTGGTTCAATCATCGTCAAGGACCCCGCCAAGATGACTCAAGAGGTTATTGACGCTGTTCTTAAAGCCGATGTGCGATGCATTCTTTCGAAGGGTTGGTCCGATCGCATTTCTCCTAAGGACGACCCGTCAAAGCCTCGACCCGACGAACCAGAAATGCCTCCGGAGATCCATGTAATCAAGTCGGCGCCACACGATTGGCTCTTCAGTCAGATTGACGCTGCTGCGCACCACGGCGGCTCGGGAACAACGGGTGCTAGTCTGCGAGCCGGTATCCCAACCATCATTCGTCCCTTCTTCGGCGACCAGTTCTTCTTCGCAACTCGAGTTGAGGACTTGGGTGTCGGAGTTTGGGTCAAGAAATGGGGTACCAACAGTTTCGGTCGAGCCCTCTGGGAAGTGACGCGTAACGAGCGCATGATTGTGAAGGCTCGTGTTCTTGGTGAACAGATCCGCAGTGTAAGTCTCTATGTTTCTTCGTCTCTCAGCAATGCTAACAATTCGCAGGAATCTGGTGTTGATAATGCCATTCAGTGCATCTACCGTGATATGGAATACGCCAAGAGCCTCATTAAGCGCAAGGCAGGCAAGAACAACGCCCAGCATGACCCTGTCGAAGATGATGATACTGAAGAGAGTTGGACATTCGTCGGAAGAGACGAACCTGATCCTGATGCTGTGACGAAGAAGCTGAGCGAGGGCCTGGTAGGTCTTGGGGCGGCTAGTGACCGACCCTTACCATTAGGAAGCCAAGCTCCGACGGTAGCATGATGTGCTCGCCTACTAGGCAATGGTCTATGTTTGCGTTTCTTTTCTTTTCTCGACAGGCTTACTACTGGTCAGTGGTAAGCTTCTCGGTGATATTTATTTGGAGACCGGGCCTTAATGGGCTTTCTATTTGCTATTTATTTTTATTTCTGCTTGGCCCGCCTACCATATGGATATTGGTAAGACTGCGATAATTGTTCATTTGGGAACTGGGCGAGTAACTTGTCTAATTATGAGCTCTGGTATTTGGATAGGAGGAGGACGGGATGAATAATGATTGTGATCTTATTAGGCATAGATGCCATGCTCTAGATGGATAGAGAAATACATGATGATAATGTTATGCAACACTTCCTCGATGTTTAAGATGGGAGATGTGCCCGGTGTGACCGGTCAATCTTTTCCCTAGCATCCCTTAGTGATACCTGTTCTGGTTTAAATCGATTGCGGATCCGAACATGATCGCAGTTGAACCAACAGCAAGGAGATTGTTTGTCGGAGAACTTATATAGCTCAGCTCATTATGTGTTTGCAACACGTGAGCAGGATGCCCAACCCTGTTCACCCCGGATTGTCAGACCGCAACCAACAAGCTGAAATCCTACTTCTATATCTTTACGTGTATATGGTCCCGCCCCGATGAGGGCGATCGTCCCAGGAAAGTCAGATCTCGGGTTGATGACTACCGAAGAAAGTCAGGTGAGGTGGCTCGCTCCATGCACGCATCCAGGCAGCGAAATAAAAGCTTGACTTGTGTTATGCGTCCGAATAGATGAGCCGGGACCAAAGGAAATAATGGGGATAACTCGGGAGTTGGGGTGCATGAGGCGGCTAAATGGGTGTGGTGATCACATCCACGTCAGGTATATGTATGTATATGAACCGACATGTTGGAGTGCGACACCAAGAGCGTCCATATAGTTAGCTTCGTACCCCGTTCAAAAGCGATACTTGTAACTTCATACTACTGTAATGGCCAAGGCATCAGCTAAACAGCCCTTCTTTGGGTTCAGAGGAGGATGGCTTACATTCTGGATCACAGTCAGGCAACCTCAATCACAATCCCAGATTCTCTTCTAATTATCTCACAGGTTGCTTGTGCAACAGATATGACACTCTTCGGCTACGACCAAGGCGTCTTTAGTAAATCTCCCGCCAACTCATCGTGAACATGTACTGACTCTTCAACAGGTGGTGTTGTCGTAACTCAAGACTTTCTTCGCCTTCACAACCTCGTCGGTCCAAGTAAGACCAATCTCCTCGCCACGGTAACAGCAATCTACGATATAGGATGCTTCGTCGGCGCAGTAATCGCCTTCACCATCGGTGAGAAACTTGGCCGTAAGAAGGCTATTCTTCTTGGTACGGCTATAATGTCTGTTGGGACTGTTATAAAGGTTACATCTTATAGCCTTCCTCAAATGATTGTCGGGCGTATCGTCTTAGGGTGAGTGTTTCCCTTCTTGAACAGGAGTTAGTACTGATGAAGTAGGATTGGGAACGGTATCAATACTGCCACGGCACCTATCTGGCAGACTGAGACCGCTCAAGCAAAGTGGAGAGGGAAACTGGTTATTCTGGAAATGGCCATGAATATCGCTGGCTTCTGTCTTGTCAACTGGATCAACTATGGACTCTCCTTCGTTGAAGGGTCTGTCGCTTGGCGATTCCCTTTGGCGTTTCAATTCGTCTTTATTTTCATTCTATTTGGAACAGTTCCATGGCTTCCCGAATCACCCCGGTACGTCCATCTTCATAGGAACAGAACATCTGCTGATAACCTACTCTGGGTAGATGGTTGATTGCGCATGGACGCACTGAAGAAGCAACACAGATTCTGGCGTGTATAGAAGATAAGCCTACTACATCACCCATCGTTACGGCTCAACTCCACGAGATCCAATACAGCGTCGATTACGAGCGCTCGCACACGATAAAGTGGAAAGACATCCTCTTGCGCCGAAACAAAGATACATCTGATACAAAGACACTCCGTCGTTTACTCCTCGGTGCAAACACGCAACTTATGCAGCAGGTTAGACAACCTTAACCCGAGGAACTGGTTCTTACATTGGCATATGACTGACTAATAAGTTCGGAGGCATCAATATCATGAGCTACTACATGCCCACGGTTCTAATCAATAGCGTCGGTCTGACGGAAAGTATGGCTCGGTTACTTTCAGCTTGCAATGCCGTTTCATACCTTGTGTTCTCATCTGCGGCGATTCTTCTCGTCGAGAGATGGGGACGAAGAGGGCTCATGCTGCTCTCTACTGCGGGGCAACTCTTATCTTTCCTTGTCATTACGATTCTTCTGCGTTATGCGGTTGGGGATAAGAAGGAGCCTCTGGGATCAGCTTCTGTCGCGTTCTTCTTCTTCTACTTCATCTCATTCGGTGTAGGTATGTTGGGTGTTCCATGGTTATATCCTACTGAAGTCAATTCCCTCCCTATGCGAACAAAGGGTGCTGCTCTTGCCACCGGAACAAACTGGTGCGTCTTCTTCTCTTAAACTTTCCTCTTCATTGACTGAAGTGTTGTAGGATCACGAACTTCATCGTTGTGGAAATCACGCCCATCGGTATCCAGAATCTTGGGTGGCGCTTCTGGATCGTATGGACTGTTACCAATGCTCTTTTCTTGCCCGTGATCTACTTCTTCTACCCAGAGACCTGTAAGCCATACGTCTCGTGGTACATCATTACTTGCTGACATTTTGTAGCGAATCGCAAGCTTGAAGACATGGACGCCTACTTTCGAGAGAATCCCTCTGTTATCGTCATCAGGGACAAAGACGCCATCATTGCCAAAAGACCGGAGAAGTACATTGAGCAAGATCAGGAAGGCATTCGACGAGAAGGTGTTGAGGTCGGGGGAAATGGCTCTGAAGAGAAGGTGTTATAGCGAAGAAACCGGACTGACTCGATTGGCTGTTCTGAAGCAAGACTCGCATACGGAGTCATATAGCTCGCAGGTTGGTAAGAAGAATCGTCTTCTGAGGCTTAGGCTATCATCATAAAGTAGCCTAAGTGCTAGTCTAAGCTAGCATAAAGTCACCAAATGATTTCATCTCTTATGTCTGCAGGGACCAATTCTTCCAATGCCCTTGAGGCTCGATAACGGTGACAGAATAGTTTAAACACTATCTATAGAAAAGAATGCTGGGTACAATACACGACTCAAAGCGCTATCTATTTAACACGCTTTGGCGGCATGACGCCCGACGGAGAAATTAAGGAGTAGACAGTCCATTACCAAGTAGCTGGCCGGTGTAGTGAAGCCTCGTAGTCTGCCACATCCACCCGGTCTTCGTCGGACGAATCATGCGAAAGCTTGCCATCAACCAAGTTCTCATGACCGTCCACTGGTACATCCATCCCCCTATTGGTGGTTTCTCTTCCTCGGGAAACATCATTGGTATCTTGGATCGAAATGTTCGCAAGACCCATGAGACCCTCGGCCCCATCAACTTCGCCAGCTTCACCAGCTCCATCGACTTCACCAGCTCCATCGACTTCATCAGCTCCATCGGCTTCGTCAGCTTCGTCAGCTTCGTCAGCTTCGTCAGCTTCATTGCCAATATTCCACTTCATCGCCTTATCGCCGTATTTCTCACGGAAATAGTCTTGCGTTATGGGCAAAACAGCATCGCCATTCGAGAACCTCCTCATCGGAAAAGCTGTAGAAACATGCTCCCATTTGTTCAAGAATTCCCGCTCCAGTACCGAATGACGCGGACCCCTCTTCTCAAGCATCGTGCCCACCTCCCACGCACCCAAGTCAAGGTCGTCGGTCCCCTCAGGCTTCCACAACAGACAGTCAAAGACCGGGCAATCCCACCACGGTGAACTTATCAAAGCATAACGCCAGATTCCGTCCGAGCCGGTTCCGTCTTCGCCTTCTTCCGTCGGCATTTGCAGTATGTGTCGCTACCAACGCATGATACCGCGCATGTCCTTAGGCTTCCAGCCGAGTTTCCAGCCAAATCTCTGGTCTGGTGTCCAAAAGGTCCGGTTTGACCTGTCGAGGGCGGTCCAGAAGTAGAACTGTATGTGCATTGACTTCTGCTCGGGGTGGTAATGGGCGCAGGGTGGTTGGGTAAATACTGGGACTTGTCGCGCCGCCTTGACCCAGCTGATATCCATTATGTCTGTCCCACGAACGACGGGGGACCTCACAGGGTATGACCAGGGCCTGCCTGCAGGATCGAGGAGTCTTGCCGGGATCTGTTCGACGTGATCTGAGGCTGGCATGAGGACACAGGCTGTGTCCCAATTTACCCAGCTTATTCGGAGGTTGCCTGGGGGGGTGCCCGTACTTCCTGAGAATGTGCCATAGTGATTGTTTTCGATGTGAGATGGAAATACACAAGCGTATGGACGACCTCGCCAATATCTTCTCCAGTACTGAATGGTTTAGCCTGGCGCTTGAGAGCGGCCGCAAGCAACAACCTCTAATCAGTCCATAGTGATTGAGTTGTCTCTGCAAAGCCGCGGATCCAAGATGGTGAACGATGAGATTGAGTAATGATCACAAGGCTCAAGGTACACCAGCGAGTAAATGGTCCAAAAGTATGAGCAGCCCCGGGAAATAAGTAAACACAGCAAAATACTATTTCCTTGATGATGATGGTGGGATAATTGGTGATGCCTTCGTCTCTTGCTAATCCGTGCAAGTTGAGTGGCTCGTCCGCTTACGTAACCCTCTTTCCCAGTAGACGGTTTTACCCCGGGCATGGGAAAGCTCACCCCAGCAGCCTTACGTAATACGGCAGGTGCTGCAATTGGAATTCGGTTTGGCAGCTTCAATCAATCACCTCACGAAACCGAAACCGCAAACCCGACACAAGAGACTCGCCCGCCCGCGCACGAGGGAATCACGGACGAAACGAGACTACCGGACGGATTGACAAACTATACAACAAGGCTCCGAGCCCGACAGATTTGCCCACCATGCCTCAAGATATGCCCCCTCGGGGCGGGTACGAGCCCGTCCAGTACAAGGTGCGTTCGACAGAGGAGTTAATGAGGATCGGAGAAGTGGGATGTGGTGTCTGAGGGTATCCTGGAGATCAATTGGCTTGGTTGAGATACGTTGAAGGGCCGGACTACACCACGAGACGGAACGAGATGGATCGAATGGAAACGAGGAATTGTATCACGAATCAACACGCTGACTCTTTTCCCAGCGAAACCTCCCCGCCAAGGGTTTCCGTCCTGGTATCCTCCTCCTCGGCATGGGCGCCGTTATGAGCTACGGCTGGTACAAGCTGATCGGCGGCATGCGCGAAGCCAAGTACGTTTCCCAGCACTAGCAGCTTCGTTGAACAACGACTGACAGCTTATAGCGAACTCGGCCGTGAAAAGATGTGGGCTCGCATCAACCTCATTCCCCTCCTCCAGGCCGAAGAGGACCGTGATCAGGTCCGACGATACCTGGCCGACCAGAAGCGCGAGAAGGAGCTTTTGGGCGACAACGCCAAGGTTTACCATACCGACCGGTGCGTGCAATTGCTCAGTCATTAATTAATCGTGTACTAATAATCGCAGATTTGTGAGGCCGACTTTTGCTGTCACCCCTCCTCCTACCACAAACTAAGCTATAAGAAGAAGAAAGGAAGCGGGATGGGATGTGCTGTGTATATATGTTTTGACAAATTGGTTGCGCACCAATGTCTGGAATTGAAAGGGTTATGCAACTTCATTGACTGACTAACTGAGAAAGAACTAAATGTGATGAAAGAAGGAAGGGGACATCTACATCTTGACACTCTCAATCTTCCCCTCGGTCCACTCCCAGAGCTTCTTTGCCATCTCTTCGTCGAAGCATAAAGCATCACCAGCATTACCCTTTCCAACAGGCTCATAGAACGCAACCTTTCCATCATCCTTCTTAGCATCCTCAGAAGTCGCAGCCCAGACAGTGTTCAACCCACCCTGCTCAACCGTCATCAATCCCCAGGGGTTGGTCACATACACAAGCATCCTCTTCCAAAAGCTCAACTCAGTAACCAGCCCCGTAGCAATAACACCCGGGTGAACCACCACACTGGTTATCTTGGGGTATCGCCTCTGGACTTCCTTTGCGAATACAATATTGGCAAGTTTGCTCTGTCCGTAGCGACCCCACGTTCCGTAGGACATTTTCTCCTGCTTCGAGTGCAGGGTATCAAAGATAATGCCGTCCTTGGGATGTCCTCCGTAGCCAAGTGAAGTAAGAGCCACGAATCTTACATCACTCTTAGGATCTTCAGCAGTTTTGAGCATAGTGGGCAAGAGAGCCATGAGGAGCGTTGCGTTACCAACGTGGTTCACACCAAACTGCATTTCAAGTCCATCTTGTGTAAGACCATCAACAGCCATGACTCCTGCGTTCGCGATGAAGATGTCCAGACGGTCATGTGTGAACTTCTTCGCAGCTGCGCGCATGCTCGCGATGGAAGTCAAGTCGCATTCAAGGAATGTTGCAGGAATGGGGGAGATGTCGTTGATGAGGGATTCTGCAGAGCTTGAGGAGCGGCCAGTGAAGTATATGTGTGATGGGCCATGAGCTGCTAGGGTGGTGATGGCTGATCTACCAAGGCCAGATGTACCTGTAGTTGTTAGTGATATGGCTTAGAGGATGGAGTGATTGAGTTACCTCCTGTGACGAGAAGAACCTTCCCTGAGAGATCGGGGACATCTCTATCAGAGTCAAAACCGCTGTAGGCAACCATTTTGGTATAATCAAAGAGTATTCTTGGTGAAAAAGGTAGAGTCTTGGAATAAGAGTGTGCAGTTGTCTAGAGATGAACAGGAGAGCTGATGAGGAACACTCTCAATTCAACGAGACAACCCGTCCTTCTTATACACATTTCACCTGCCTTATTAGTCTGATCTTTTGAGAAACTTGTAATTACAAAGTGAGTCAATATCGTCATGGTATATGTGCTTTGTGAGACGCTTGGTGGTTGAAGCGGGAGGATTATACACCGATGGCGGACGGGTTTGTACATTAACGTTTACTATCGCGCTCGCGACTATCCGTAGTGGCATGATGTTAGTACGGGATAGTTAGCCATCCCTGCACAACACCACAAGTCGGCGATGATATCGCCCGTAGCGCGCAATCGATTTAAGCTTCGAACCCAACCATCCGCCTAGATTGTTCTTCGCCTACAGACGGAAAATTCCGTCTAGAGCCCTGGGCACTATCGTCAAAAGAGCGCCTGCTTCTATCTCCAATCCATCCGGTTGGTTTCTCGTCGTCTTCGTGTGGGATCTAAATTGCATTGAACTACGGTTATGACATCAAGCTTTACCACCATAAATCACTTCGCCGTACTGAAAGAGTTCTATTCTAGGACAATAATCATCTTAGTTTGCTTGAACGACGCAATTACAAGAGTATACATAAATTTTTACCATGATGCTGTAAACATGCCTATGTAGCGCCTGACGCCATCTTCTTGAGAGCTTTCATTTCTGTCCGTAGCCACTAATTGGCCATCAACTCCGCTAACAATTCTCTCTCCAACTCGTCATCATCAAAATCTTGACCCTCATCTGTGTTAACGATAAGGCCCTTATCCCTATCCTCGGCTGCCTCGTCGCCTGTTGGCACCGGTGTGGGAAGGCTGCCGTCTTCTGTGTCGTCACCGTTGGGCGTCTGTATTGACCTTAGGCTGGAAGCGCCCCGGTTTCTTGCCAGGCGTTGCTTCTTGGCTAGGATACTTTCGCCTATGCTTGATGTGCCGTCATCGTCTGATTCATCTGCGTCGGCCTTGCGTTTGAGTGTTGACTTAGAATTCCCATCCACAGTCTCCATATCAGACTCTGTAGCTGTTGCGGCAACGCTCTCATCGTCATCGTCATCCTCGTCATCATCCAGGAAGTCGGCAAGCTCATCCTCAGCTTCTCCCCAGTCAAAGTCCTTGAGCTCTTGACCCGTCTGGGCATCTTCGACCTCTTCAGCTTCGGACGTGACTTCGGTATTATCGTCTCCTCCCTTTTCCCTATCAGCTTCGAGGATCTCCAAAAGATACGGTCGTTCGTCGAGCCTTCGCCATTGGCTTAGACAATCGGTGAGCCAGTTCTGGTTGACAATCTTGATACTAGGGATCTTGGCCGCCTGCTGCACCTTCTTTGTCCTAGGTCTTGAAGATGCAACGACAAGATGTGTGACTCGTCTCGATATCGTGTCCAAGACCTGAGCGCCATAACTCTGGGCTTGTAGTCCAATCTCAGAATCCTCTACTCTGACGCCAAGAGGTACTAGACCAGACAACACGATCACGAGACCAGATAATACGTTAGATTTGAGCTCGTCAAGAATATCTCCTGCGTCTGGCACCATAGAAAGATCAACACCATCGTCGACAGATGGCCTCCTCTTGGATTTGCTGTGCGCAGGTGGATGTGTACCCTCCTCCTTCTCCATTCGCTCCGCTCGCCGTCTATCGTATGTCTCGTAGAAGGAGGTATGTAAATCTGTCAGGTGGTCCTGAAGAGCAATAAGTTCTTCGTCGTCATCGACAAGGACATTTCGGTGGTGGATGGATGGTGAGTCGCTGGTGGTACTGGTTTCTTGCTGCTCATCTTCTTTATCAAGCTCCTCTTGCATATGCAACAAGGGCCTATCCTTGATCTGTTTCTCCAGAGTCTTCTCCTGCTCCTCAGCCTGCGTCTTCAGACTGGCTGCATCGTCGCCACCACTCATCCTCACGATCTCGTCCATGGGCGAAGCTTTTGGTGCCAGCTTTGGGCTGTTGTCCACGGGCTTGGGCTTTAAAACGGGGAGGATATCTTGTCGCTTAGGTAGGAAACTTGAGTTGATATCTCCAATACCCTTGAAGAAGTCGTACGGTACCACTTTGATCAGGTTCGGTCGGTTCATGGGCCAGACATCGGCACGATCGTCAATAATGACGACCATGTCTGTGCTGACAGGGAACAGTCGTTGCAAGCTCTTTGAGGTGATGCTGCCATTCTCGTCACGACTGATAACGCGGTTACCGAAGAGCTTCTGGTCGGGATCGACAATCTTGGCGATGTTGAGGGCGTAGGCGCGTGTTCCCATCGTGTAAACGTGCAGTTCGTACATCTTAGATACCTCCTCAAGGAATTCCATCAATCCAGGTCGAAGCTTGATATAATATGTGCAACCATTCGTGACGCCGCGAGGACCATCGTCATTGAGCTGGAAACTCCTGACATCTTTGACGGCGTTGTGGTTGGGATTTGTCGGGTCGCGCTGCCACTCGCCGATGGTAGGCTCGATACAAGCATGGATGATGGTTTGATCGAGATCGACGACAAGGCTCAGTTTACGTTGTCGAAGTAAGCGTTTCTGATTCTCGTGCTCTGCCTTTGTGGCGACGCTCTCGCTGACCCTCAGAACAGTCTGGTCATGACTCATGTTGATCATGGCGCGTTCTGTGTCGAGGTTGTCGCTCGCCCAGTTGATCTCGGTCATGTCTGCGCCACACAAACTGCAGAGTCCTTGAACCTGTACTTCGTGGCCGCACGCCTCTTCAACCATCAGACACGCAACATCAGCTGCTATCTCCTGACCTTCCTTGATGCGCCATTGCTTGAGCTTGCCCTCAGCGGGACTGTCAAACTCTGTATATGTAGTTTCGTCGCTCCAATCATCTTCGTTGACCCTGCGCTTCCAGTGGAACTTGTATTCGAAGATACTCTCCTGCTTCTTGATCGAATCGCCGGGTTTCTTGAGGAGTTTCGTGACGGTGATGGGGTAGTGGAGGCGCGAGCCCAGGGGAACGATTTTGTCGTACATGGTGTATGTGGTGGTAATAGATACCTAGATTAAGTATAATACATGAACAGGTGGGGGTTTGTATGATGAGAAAGCCTGGTTGTTTCGGCTTTAGGCTGCCTGAATTTGAGGCCAGGCGCGTTCACAATGTGGATGTAGCGACGTCTTCATGGCCTCGCCAAAAAAGCGTCGCGATAAAGCGAAGTGAGGATGCACCAGCGCGCACGTGCAAATCGCAATTCAATGATCGCGTATTCGAGTCGTCAATGGACAAAAGTGCGCAGTATTTCGGATGGAAACCTCTTTGTAATAATAAAAAAGGGTTCCGTGTTGTAGTGTAGTCTGTTGGTGCCGAGTGGCTGATGTCTGGTCTTTGCTATGATGCTTCAAAGGAAAATGGAATGGAAGCTGGCGCAAGAGTAACAAAGGTGACGCACTAAGTTGGCACAGCTGAGCTCTAGACTCGGCCACTGTAGCGCGGGCCAGCTCCTTCCTTGTAGTAAATTACTGCTTGCGAACTTCCCGCTGTAGCGTGATCACGTGGAGACGCTCACTGGCTGATTCGGAGAGCGCTGGAACGTAATCCCGGCGCGAATCGTCTTGCAAGTCGGTGGCGCAGGTGGGTTCTGGGTTCTGGGATTGGCGATCGCGATCTCGGGGGAGAATAGACGTAATGCGATTCGATATCGATAGATGGATGTCAAGTTGTATCTATGGATGTGGAATCTCAAGCGATACAGCTTACACGGAGTGGAAAGTAGCTTTTGTTTAACTATCTCTTTTCCTTAACTTATGACTTTATCAAAGAAAAGAAGAAAGAAATAGGCCAAACAAAGTACAATCCTCTCAACCCTAAGGTTTGGCTTGTTTTCTCCAACAATGCGACACCCAAGCAAGATGCTGCGATAGGAGGGGTGCGTCGTCACACCAAACGCGGGGGAGATATGAGGTGTGTATATCAGATTGTGTCAGCCAAGTGAAGCTGATCAAGACAAATTTGCTATCAAATTACTGATAGCAGGATAGTAAGGTAATGTAGCGTGGTGTCTATAAATGACCATCAGCACAGCTTCATAGGGGAATGCAGAGTAACATACTAAAAGAACCAATCAATAATGAATAAGTTTCGTCTGATAACTGCCGCGATAGAAAAGAGACCTAACAGGAGTGGGAAACCCCGCCCCTTTTGTACCTGGGGCCAGCTCCTGTCAGTACCTGTCACATCATTCAATCATCGAGAGCTTCGTAGCTCACAAAGCTTATAGTTTGCAAGTGACATTTACGGGGGCAATCTTGACTCGAGACCATCAATTAGATACTATAATTCCTGTCAATCCATTTTTCTCGGATAGATTCTTTGTTTTGAGGTTTCTAATGATAATCATTCTCTTTGTTCAATTGATGGAGGGTCAAGGCCGAGGCTATCACTTGAACACCTTGTGTGGGGCTCCAGATCTCGCGATGCAAGAGTGGTCTCAGCTGTGGCGTGTCGAGGTTACCCTAGATCAATTGGGGAATGCCAGATTATCACCAGTTTAATCTATCATGCACCATTGGTCACGCGTCATCTATTTCTTTTCGTATTTTAGTCGGTGTACAATGTCTTCGCGTTACCTGTGAAACTTGTGACGCTGTGCTCGTGTGTATCGGAGAATATGGGACATAACGTGGTGAAACACCAAATGACACTTACAGAGTATATACAATACATACAATCGAGGCCACGATTTATGTCCAAGACATCAGCAAAGAAAAGTGGAAACAGCACAATTGAAATACCAAAATTCTTCAAAACACTGGTATCTATCGCAAAAAGACAACAAATGACCTCCCACCAAGATCAACCGTCTATATCCATTCATCATTACATGGCATTTAGCATCACTCATCCCGTCATTGCAGCCGATCCCAACATCAATATAGAAACACCTAAAACACTCAAGCATGGGACTGAACGACCCTGTAACCTTCCGACACCAGCTTGGTGATTTCTTCGTTCTTGTGCTGTAGGATACCCAACGCAAAAGCGACATCGTTCCATTGCCTTTCTGTCTCGCACCGGCTGAGACGAGCCGCAAGCTTCTCTGCCAGTTGCTTGGCGTGCTTGTCCTGTTCAACGCGTTAGTGTTTGTTGTTTGTCCGATTGTAGACTTATGACATACCTTTTCGACAAAGCCAAGCAAGAACTTGATAATTCTGCGGAAACTCTCCTCGTCCATGTTGTCACCGGCACTGAGCAGACTGAACATGTCGACAAAGTGGTTGTAGACAGCATTGTCCTTGGTACTGAGCTCAGTGAAGAACATTCTTGCCATATCCGCGATTCGACGATCCTCATCCTCAAGACACTTGGCCATCTCACCAAGCTGACCCTTGACCTTGACTTGTCCGGCCAAAATCAGGAAAGTCAATGTCATGAGACAAGTTCGCTTGACCGAGGCATCGTCATCAGCCAGACGACGGTACAAGAAGTCGGTATTTTCATCAATGAGGTGGTTGAAGCAAACAGCCATATCTCCAAGGGCGATGACGGCATTGCTTCGGACTGTCGCGTTGGGTGATCGCTCCATGATGGTAATAAGCAGTGGCAGGTTGGTCTCACAGTACTCCGCCGACACACACATAAGCTTGGCGAGGCAGAGTGTCGCGGCGGCCTGAAGTCCCTTATCGGCATATGTAGTGTTGTTGGCGCAGATCTCGGACACCAGAGGACCAAAGACAGCAAGTAGCGACTCAGGGCCGTACAAAAGTTCTCGCTCACGAATGAGTGTCATGGCTTCTGTAAAGTCGTCTTCGGTTGTACCTCCGATGAGATCCAGCTCGTCCGCGTCCTCCTTGTCCTTGTCGCTCTTCGCGGGACCCTGCTTCTCCTTCTCCTGCTTTCTTCGCTTGAAGTCGAGCTCGCACAGTTCAAGGTGAACAATCTGCTTGATGGCGACGTGGCCAACGATGAAGAGAAGCTGCGACAGAGCGATGGCGTTGTCACGCTTCTTGGACTTCTCGCCCTGGGACTGGGATTGAGACTGGGTTTGTGTTTGAGTTGGATCTTCACTTGGTGTATGCTTAGTCTCATCGCGCGATCCGGGTCGAGAGTTGGGCTGCGAAGATGGGGGCGATCGGGGTTGTCCAAAGATTTGCTTTGCCCTTCGTCGAATGATGTCTGAACAGAGAGTATCGGGGTGCTTGGAAATAGCGTAGATGGCACTGACAGCTTGCTCAGCTACACCATACCACTCCTTGCTGTCTGACTGGACCTCAGTGATGGCAGCAAGTCTCACGCACACAGCATGGTCGTTGGGCAATCGTGAGAACTTAACTGGCGAGTCCTTTTCCTGTCGTCCAGTAGGGTTGATTCGTCTCAAAGCAATGCAGGTGAACTTGGCCAGCTGAAGGTCGCTGCGTCCATGGGAACCAAGACCTGTTCGAAGCATGGTCTCCATCTCGCCAACGACAATCTCAGGGTTTGCTGTTGCCAGCATACCCAGAACAATGATAGCACCTCGTCGCTGGGTGCGCGAGATCTCACGCTTCTGAACACCGTAGACTTGCCACAACTTGTTGATAACAACTTCGGAAATCATGCCACCCTTCATCATCGTCGCCAAAAGCTGCTCAAGAGAGGTGAGCTCGGCTGGTGTTGCGCCAAAGGTAAGACTGATCATGTTTCGCGCAATGTAGTTGGCGGCATCATTGGAGCTGAAAGAGTCGGGAGCCTCGAAAAAAAGTCGCTTATAGCATTCGATCAGATGTGTTTGAACACCCTTGCCTTCATCGCTGTTGCCCTTGGTCCAGATGAGACGAAGCATGCGTCGAATGCCAACCTTGTTCTGCTCAATATTGTAGGCATCACCAACCTCAAAGAAGTCAATGGCCTCAATGACCTCGCTCTTGTTCCTTGAACCAAGAAGTTGGCAGATAGTGGTTGTGGCGTCGTGGACAACATCGATGAACTTGAGCGCCTCGTTGTAGTACCTTCTGGTCAGGGTGAGCTTCTCAATGGCCTCGCTAGTGGCTGCTTCCTCTTGAGCCTTCTTAATGGCTGCAACCTTGTCCTCTTCGGTCATCTGCGTTGGCTTCACGGGAGAGCCCAGTTGTGTAGCCTCATCCAAAAGCTCGTTATCGACGGTTGTGTTTGCTTGGTCACCACCAAAGCCAGGGACACCAGGAGGAGGCTTGAGAGCGTCCAATTCTTCCTGAACCTTGTCCAGACGAGCTTGCCATTCCTTTCTGGAAAGCTGCGCTCCGTGCATGACTGTGAAGGGATGGGTCTTGATAAGTGTACCCATCAGCTTGATGGCATTGCGGCGGACATTGCTACTCTTATCCTCCAAACTTCTGCATGCAAGCTCAGCCGCCTTTTGTCGTCGCTTGGGGAATTTCTGAGCAAGATCGCAAAGTTTCATGTATACTTGGAGTGTCCTGCATCTGCAGTAAGGGTTGATATCGAGGAATCGCTCTTCCAACACGTCGAAAAAGGCATTAAGCTGGGACTTGTGGTTCTCACTGCGCTCATCCTGTTTGCTAAGGTAACCAACCATGTTTCCGCAGACCTCAATCAAGGCACATCGAAGAGTGTATGACTGTTCGCGTTAGTCACGAGTTTGCATCTGTCACCATCTCATTCACTTACCTCGCTGTCTAGTTGCTTCGCAAGCATTGTCATCTGCTTGATCACCAATCGGGGAGCCAGTTCCGAAAGCTTAGCGATAAAGGAAGAAACCGACTTGGGTCCTCGGGTATCATTGGAGTTGAACTCCTTGTTGCTAAGCTCTCGTAACACCTCATCAGCCAGTTGAGGATAGTCGTATGTCTCGGCCAAAATGTTTAGAAACTCGGCCATAGGTTCTGACAAATGCTCGAAGTATGTCAAGTTTTGGATAATGTTGATTTGTGCCGCTACCATTTGTGAGTCTTTCTGTTTTCCGTGGTAAAGACTTGCAATACATACCATATGCGTGTCCATGGTGCTTCACAGCGATGCAAAGGACCTTGAAGCAGTGCATTCTGATACTTGTGGCCTTGACTCGCTGCTCACTCTCCAAAATCATGTATACAGGTCGAGTAAGGAGACCGACAAAGGTATCTCGCTCGCTCGTTGTAAGGAAGATCTTGGAGAGTTTTAGCTTTAGGACCTTGCACATAACTTCCAGAGCTGCCTGCAGCTGCGTGGCTGAGTCCCAGGCCGCATCCTTATCCTTAGCAGCGCCCTTCTTTGGCTTTCCACGACTTCTAGCAACCGGTGCTGCTGTCGTCTTCTCGGCGGCCTTGGTCTCGACGGCGGCGATCGTCCATTGGAGGAGGAAACCGAATATCTCGAGGAGTTTCTTGTGGTGGGCAACCGTGTCCTGCTCGTCGGCGGAATCGATATCGGTGTGTACAGAGTCGGCCTCTGCACTCAAACCGCTCATGACTAGATCGAAGATCTTGCTGAGGGCGTGGGTAGGGAGGTGTGCGGTGTATCTGGGATTTTCTAGCTCAGAATGATGCCCCATAGCCGTAGTATCAGGGGATTGGTGAAGGGAGATGGGGGCTAACTTGAGAAGAAACTGCAGCGAATCTATGTTTGAGGCGCGCATGATTGCATCTGGGTTATCGGCGACTGCGTCGACGATCGGGTTCAGGACCGAGTTGACTAATGGCAGGGTGAGGGCCTCGGGGTCATTTTCGCAGTCGAAGAGGGCTCCGTCAGCCTCTGGCGTAGCAATGCTAGCCGGGTCCGACATGTAGTGCTTGAGGGCATCGTTGAGATCGAAGTCCACGGTGTCCATGGCGGGCGGTTCGTAGGAGTCGTCGCAAAGAAGCGAGCGACAATTGGTGGAAGGAGTGAAACGGTGAGAAACGTTGAAAGTCTAATCAGAGGGGTATCATAAAGTATCGCAGTCAGTCGTTCTGTCAGTGTCGACCGTATTCTGCGACCAAGCGTGCACTGTTGAATACCGGATCCGTCGGTAGGTATTGTGTTGTTGACGATGATAGCCCGCAGTTAATGCTATGGAGTCGGTGGAGGGTATTTGCTGGAGGGGATGGTCCAAACCCTGGGCAACGATTGTTTTTGTTTTGTTTAACGCGACCAGTCAGGACCCTTCCCCGCCATGTCCCGCTAAAGACAGCGCGTTATGCCTGCGAAACCCCTGTAAGCACACCCAAATTCGAGTCTTTGTCTTTAATCTTGTCTTGTCGCAGCCCCTCCAAAACTCGAGTATAACTTTAAGTTTCTTGTTGCTACAAAACAACCAATAACAGGATCTCCTTCCTTTACAGTGTTCATTCTTTTCTTTGACCGAGTCTCATTCGACAGCAGGAGTGGCTAAAGTTAATTCCTTCCAATTACAAGACGAGTACGACATCATGACTACTGCGGTCCAGCAACATGTGGAAGAAAGTTTCGACATCCATGAGGATTTGAGGACGGAAGACACGGAGATGATGGCAGAAGAGGAGCGCACTGAAGAGGCTGCGCCAATGGATGATGATGAGCGCGCTCAATATGAGGCGCTCCAGCAACATCACCGCATACAGCAAATGCATCCTCATCAACAACACCAGACATCCCATCACCAACAACAACAAAACGAGCCCCAAGAAGAGGAAGAGGAGGAACCAGAAGAGGAGGAATCCGAGGAAGAGGCTGTTGACCGCAGTGTTCAAGCAGATATGGACAAGCTGCAAAGCGACTTCCCCGGCTTTCGCAATCGGTATCGTTTGATCAAACGTATCGGTGAAGGTATGCAGTATCCCAATGTCCCATGATGGATACAATTGATACTAATACATACTTCCAGGAACATTTTCGACTGTATACAAAGCGGAGGATATAATGTACGACCACTACGACAATAGTTGGGACTATGAAGACGACTCGTCAAAGTGGACGCCACCCCCAGGTTCAGCTGAAAGCCCTGTCCGCCGTCCTCGTCGCAAGGCACGATACGTTGCCATCAAGAAGATTTATGTAACTTCAAGTCCCTCGCGCATTCTGAACGAGCTTGAACTCCTTCACGACCTTCGCCAGTGCCCTTCTGTTTGCCCTCTCATCACCGCCTTTCGAGAAACAGACCAAGTTGTAGCCATCTTGCCATACTTCCGACATGGAGACTTCCGAACATACTTTCGCGACCTAACTATCCCCGAAATCTCTATCTACTTGCGAGAACTCTTCACCGCTCTCAAGAGTGTTCACGACCACAAAATACTTCACCGCGATATCAAGCCTACCAACTTCCTTTACGACCCCAGTACACAGCGTGGAGTTCTTGTTGACTTTGGTCTTGCTGAAAGAGAAGGCTCTGACGCTAAACCTTGCCTCTGCCACGAGAGCCGAGATGTCCGCAAGAGTCGTCAAGCAAACTCAGTATGGGCTCAGAATGCTGCCACTCCTCAAGCAGGTTATCCCAAGTCAGACACACGTTCGTCCCGTCGAGCCAATCGTGCAGGTACCCGCGGATTCCGTGCCCCTGAAGTCCTTTTCAAGTGCACGGAGCAATCGACAGCAATCGACATCTGGTCCGCAGGTGTTATCCTCCTCACAATTTTGTCGAAAAGATTCCCTTTCTTCAATTCAGCAGATGACGTTGAAGCCATGATTGAGATTGCAACCATCTTTGGCTCCAAACGCATGAAGGCTGCCGGTTTGTTACATGGATGTGTCTTCGAGACCAGCATTCCTACTGTCGGCCAGGGAGGCTTCTCAATGGAGAAGATCATCATGTGGAGCACATGCCGAGGCGAGGACAAGCCTTTGACATCAGACGAAAAGATGGCTATTACCTTCCTCGAATGGTGCATGGAGCTGGATCCTAGCAGAAGAATCACTGCTGCCCAAGCACTTGAGCATGACTTTCTTCAAATTGGAGAGCTAGAGGCTGAACAAAGAGCATACAACGAAGAGGCATTGGCCGCGGAATACTGATAGAGATAATGTATAACTAATGTAATAATAGCATGCATGGACAGGCGTTGGTTTGATACGGTTTTAGTTGGCGAAGAGCTAGATATTTGTATATAGGTTTGCATGACTGCAATACCAGTGGAAGCATTCTTGGCGACGACACAAGACATGGACAGTATCGACAGATAGATAGTCACGAATTGATGGTCACATTTGAACTTAAAAATATTTCATTGTCATAATCATGGGCGAAAATCGATTTTTATTTCGTTAACTCCGTGCAAGAGTCCAATGCAATGCCCGAAGCCGACCGACCTGGTCCCTGGCTCACCTTTCCCGAGCGCAGGAAGACCTTTCTCTTCTCCAGTGCCCGCATTGGGGTTGGAGAGATTTAATTTTCCGTTTGTAGAATTTCCCATACAAGCCCAACCGACTCCTCAAGCATTTACAGAACAGTTGCGGTGCTTCGCTTAAGCGACGAGCTCAACGACACCACCGGCCTGCTTGATCTTCTCCTCAGCCAGGCGGCTGACCCAGCGGGCGCGGACGACCAGAGGGATCTCAGGGAGACGGCCCTTTCCGAGGACCTTGGAGTAACCGAGAGGGAGGAGGTCGAGGACGGGGACGGTGTCCTTCTTCTCACCCTTGACGTAGGCGTCACGGGTCTCCTGGGGAACGAGAGCCCAGAGCTAGATGGAGTTAGTTATAGTCCGATGAGAATTTTGCGACTGATCGAAGAAGTCGCGCGCGGGGTTGTATGTACCTTGTCGAGGTTGATGATGGGCTTCCAGAAGTGGTTCTGCTGCTTGTGGAAGTATCGCATACCAACCTTTCCGAAGTAACCGGGATGGTACTTGTCCATGTTGGTACGGTGGTGGTGCTGACCACCAGCAAGACCACGACCACCGGGATGCTTGCGGTGCTTTCCGACACGTCCCTTACCGGCGGAAACGTGGCCGCGGCTGAAAAACAAGTCAGTCCATCTCAAGTTCCAAGTATATATCGTTTCGCTTCGTCCGAGTTTTCGTCGTAGGAAGAGCAGCCGCCGACAAAGGGCGATTATTGTGAGCTCCAGCGGTCTATTTCAAAACTGTTTCCAGCGATGAAACGGACGCGGTCTCTCTCAACGACCAACCTCGTCGACGGCGAGGGGGATGAGGACATACTGCTTGCGGGTCTTCGACAAACGGGTAGGCATGGCGACGGCTGTGTAGGTTGTCGACTGTTCCGGTGTTCACAGGTCGAAGGCTGAAATCGAGTGGTGATGATCGATTAAGCCGGTCACTTTTTTTCGGCTGGCGAGGGCGACAACCCTAACTGAAAAATTGGCTGTGGGAAGGTGGGTCTGGCAGATGCAGACTGCCCGCAGAGGGGATCAGATGGAGACCGCAGGTGGAGTCAGGTGATCTCGTGGTCTGACCGTGGTGAGTCTCGGTGAAGGATCCACTGTTGCTCAAGGGTAAGTTTATGCATTAAGACGCGCTGGTGAACGCGGTGTCTTAAATATCAATCAACAAATGTATTATCGTCATCAATATGGCGCAAAATGAGATTGATAACATCACGAGAGATCTAGAAAATCTGGACTTTCATCATCCTTACACACCTTATGATGTTCAAGAACAGTTCATGAAAGCTGTTTACAATGTTTTGGAGACAGGTAACGGTCAAGTTGGCATCTTAGAGAGTCCAACCGGTACTGTGAGTTTAACACAACACTAATTCAGATTCTGATATAGTCCTCATGAGATTGGCCCTTTGATGAGCCGTGCAAGCTTATTAAGTGACTTACTAATAATTAATAGGGCAAGTCGCTTTCACTCATCTGCGCTTCATTAACATGGCTTCGAAACCATAAATCGAACCAATTTGAAACCTCTATCCAGGAATCAGCAGAACAATACAAAGATGAACCATCATGGCTTGTCGAACAGCTCCTCCGTCGCAAGCGCGAAGAGCTTGTGTCTCGTTGGGAAGAGCGTGAAAAACGTCTTGAAACCCTTCGTCTCAAAGAAAAAGCCCAAGAAGAGCGCGCCCGCAAGCGTCGTCGCGTTGATGATGTGATGCCAAGGTCGCGTGCAGTAGAAGATGAGGATGCCGAGTTTTTGCTTGATGATCCTGATGATCGAAATGATACACCACAAGACTCCTTATCGGGGTTAAGCAAGGAGACGAGAGAAGTTCTGGCAAGTATTGGACTGGGAGGGGCGAGGAAGACTGAAGAGGAGGATGACCTCGTAGAGGAACCGATCAAGGTGCGAATACTTATGATCACTCGTAAATGCCGTATAGTAACAGCAATAGATCTATTACACGTCAAGAACACATTCTCAGCTTTCGCAATTCATCACCGAACTGCGCCGTCCTACGTTTCCGCCCTCACTCCCAACGTCGATTGCTAAGCAGGAAGAGACGAAAACTGAAGCGGTCAAGCTGTTACCACTATCTTCTCGGCAAAGATTATGCATCAATCCCTCAGTCTCAAAGCTGGGATCTGTCCAAGCTATCAACGACCGCTGTTCGGAGCTTCAACAGCCAAAGTCGGGCCAGAAATGCCCCTTCGTACCCAAGGAAGACCTCATCTCACAGACCCATCAGTTTCGCGATCATGCTCTGGCTACGTTGCCTGACATCGAGGATCTTCATCAACTTGGCAAGTCGCTTGCTGTGTGTCCTTACTATGCATCACGAACTGCCCTTCCAGGCGCTGAGATCATCACACTCCCATACCCTCTGCTATTACAGAAAAGTGCCAGAGATGCTCTCGGTGTCAAACTGGAAAATAGCGTGGTTATCGTTGACGAAGCGCATAATATCATGGATGCGGTAGCCAATGTGCATGCAGCTGAGATCAAATTGAGCGATCTGCAAAGAGGTCGTGGCATGTTAGGAGTATACGTCAAGCGATTTGGCAAAAAGTTGAAAGGTGTTAACCGAGTGAACGTTGGAAGAGTAGGAAGAGTCATTGACGGACTCAGCGAATGGATGGATGGTGCTCTCAAGCTCAAGGTCATTTCCCTCTCTCTTCGATGTATACTGCCACTAACACCAAATAGCAAGAACATGGCATTGTGGATCCAAATGATCTTACTCGACCCAAGGGTATCGACCAGATCAACATGTTTGAACTGATACAGTATATCCAAGAGTCGAAGCTCGCTTTCAAGATCGAGAGTTATATAACCCACGTGGAGAGTGAAGACGCAAGTACAAAAACGTCCAGGTCAAGCACGCCAGTGCTTCACTCCCTAGTATCATTTCTCATTGCCTTCACGAACCTTAGCTCTGAAGGTCGCATATTTTACCAGAAGATCAAAGGACCAACTCCTGATATACAGCTTTCTTACTTGCTCTTATCACCTACTCATGCATTCTCATCCATCGCATCAAGCGCCCGAGCGGTTGTCCTCGCGGGAGGTACAATGTCGCCATTTGATGACTACAAAGACCATTTGTTTCCCTCCCTAGAAGCAGATAAAGTGACGACCCTGAGCTGCGGGCATGTCATTCCGCCTGAGAACCTCTGCGTTTGGACGCTTGCATCATCACGACCTGGCGCACCACCTTTCGAGTTCAGCTTCCAAAAGAGAGGCGATCCCGAGATGATAACACAACTAGGTCTCGCAATCCTGAACCTCTGCTCATTGGTTCCCGACGGCGTTGTCATCTTCTTCCCCAGTTACGGATATCTCGATGAAGTAGTCGCCGTCTGGCAAAAGAGTCAAGGCTCAGGTGCACAGTCAGTCTGGGACCGCCTGGGAGCACGCAAAGCACTCTTCAAGGAAACAAAAGGTGCATCCAGCGACGAAGTGCTAGAAGAATACTCATCCGCCATCCTCGGCGAAAAGAGCAACGGAAAAGGTGCTCTCCTTCTCAGCGTTGTCGGTGGTAAAATGTCAGAGGGCATCAACTTCTCCGACCGTCTAGGACGCTGTGTGATAGTGATCGGTCTACCCTACCCCAACATAGCATCACCCGACTGGAAAGCAAAAATCGAATACATCGAAACCACAACACAAAACAACTTGATAGCACAAGGCGTAGCGAAAGACGAAGCTGTGAACAGAGGAAAACAGACAGCACGGGACTTTTACGAGAACGCTTGCATGCGGGCCGTCAACCAGAGTATCGGCCGTGCAATCCGGCACCGGGGCGACTATGCGGCGATAGTGCTCGTGGATCGACGGTATGGCACGGAGAGGATCCGGGGGAAACTGCCGGGGTGGATCAGAGGCGGGTTAGTTGGAGATAGCCACGAGAAGGGTCTTGGAGGATTGATGGGTGCTGTCGGAGGATTTTTCCGAGGGAAGAAGAGTCAGCCTTAATCAAAGCAATTCCTTTGAGTCACGAGAAGGTTGAGCTTGTACAAAGATGGGAGCTTGTGCTTGTGTGGAGGTCGAGACCCTTCTTGGCGGCGCAGAAACGGTGGATGAGGCGAATGGAATCAATTGATGGCGGATTAGGCTTTTCCGCCACCAGATTGTGCAGATCAGCAGCTTCTTGGAAAGATGCAGAATATGTGTCGAACATTCGATAACGCAGGGTCCAAGATAACCACAAAGACAATGCATACCTATACACAAACATCACACAAGTAATACCCGTGAACGTGTAACAAGCTGGAGGCTAGCACCGGTAACATCAGGCATACGATAGATATCTTCTTGTCAAACATTAAAGAGGGGCGATATTTATCCCGCAAAAAAAGACCATTAGCAAATAAGAAACCACTGGTTCTAACTGCAATTGGCGAATTGGAAGCCATTCTGATCGGAAGCGAGACTAACGACTAACGTTGTGAGGAGAAATCATTGTAAAGAAAAAAAATTAGCGGAACCGAGCAGCACCGGGACCGGGACCGGGGTGGCCGGTCACATCAAATGGTATGAGTCTTTCTATAAGACTCACTCTTTTCCATACATAGTATTTAACTATCTTGTTCCTAGTCTTCCTCTTCCACCTTTTGGGTGTATCTTGTATCTCCAAGAGTTGTCATTGCCACACAGCAGCATGACTGATGCAACAAAGAATGCTCCGGTCCGGAGCATGGCCCCGGCCGATGAGCATGATCATGATCACGACCACAGCGACGTGGAAAGCCTCAAGGCCGCAGCGCTATTCCACAAGGCTCTTCGCATGGGAAGAGTTGAAGAGAAGGGTATCCAGCCTATTCCTGTCGAAGAGCGCACAGCAACACGGTTCTACAATATATTTACTATCTGGGCGTCCATCAACTCTAATATTCTCGGGTGAGTAATTCTCTAGACAAAGGAAAGAAGGGGTATCTAACAGTGGGAATAGTATCACTTTTGGCATGCTAGGTCCTTTGGTGTACGGTCTCAGCTTGAGGGATTCTGCGCTTATCATTCTCTTCTTTTGCCTCTTCTCTACAGTTGGACCAGCTTATCTTGCCACTTTTGGTCCGAAGACGGGAATGAGGCAGATGATTCAGGCGAGATACAGCTTTGGGTAAGATATCACTGAATATCTCGAGGAACCTCATGAGAATACTGGCTAACATGCTACAGTCGCTATTTGGTCTCAATTCCTGTGCTACTCAACCTCGCCACTCTCACAGGCTTCATGGTCATCATCTTTGTCGTCGGTGGCCAATGTCTCTCCGCTGTATCAAGCGGCCATCTTAGTCCCGACGTCGGCATTGTTATTATCGGAATCTTGTCCCTATTTATTTCCTTCTGTGGATTCAAGGTTCTGCATTACTACGAGACATACGCCTGGATCCCCGCCATCATCGCCATCACCATCGCAACAGGATGCGGCGGTTCGGAGCTTTCCAAGCAAGCTGCTCCTGCGGCCCCAGCGACTGCACCAGCTGTTCTGAGCTTCGGTATGATCGTCGCGAGTTACATGATCCCGTGGGCTGCTATCGCAAGTGATCTCACGACCTACTTTGATCCCAAGGTTCAGTCATGGCGAGTCTTTACGTATACTTACCTCGGTCTTATCACGCCTACTATTCTGCTCATGACACTGGGTGCTGCCATTGCTGGAGCCTTGCCGAATGTCCCTGAGTGGTCCGCTGCATATGACGAGACTGCCGTGGGGGGTGTTCTCGCAGCTATGCTCTCCAGCGCAGGCGGCTTTGGCAAATTCGTGGTCGTGATCCTCTCCCTCACACTGCTGGGTAACACAGGAGGCACAATGTACGCCATCACACTCAACTTCCAGACTCTCATCCCCGGACTTATCAAGATCCCCCGATACGCCTTCGCCGTGGTCGTAACCGTTATCGTCATCCCAACCGCCCTCCGCGCCCAACGCGATTTCTTCGTCAACCTCGAAAACTTCGTCGCGCTCATCGGCTACTGGTCCGCGTCGTTCATCGGTATCGTCAGCGTCGAGCATCTCGTCTTCAGGAAGGGTCGCTACGATTCTTACGACCATGCTATCTGGAATGTAGCTTCGGAGCTACCCCTTGGTATTGCGGCTATCGCGGCGGGAATTATCTGCTATGCGCTTGTTGTGCCGTGCATGGCGCAGGCTTGGTGGACGGGACCTATTGCCAAGACGACTGGAGATATTGGATTTGAGATTGCTTTCGTTATGAGTTCGTTATTTTATGTGCCTTTTAGGTATTTGGAGAAGCGTCTTTCTGGAAGATAATGGGCATGATAACGGCTTCAACGCCGTGGCTAAAAGTTAATGAGATATGGCTGTAGTATAGTATATACTGGAACAGAGAAAAGGTTATCGTTATCATTGTTTACGACTCGAGCTGGAGGGGTCCTTGAGCTAGTAAGACATGCATGCGGTTGAATGTGACAGGAGTTGTAGGACTAATATGGAAGTATCTGGCTTGGCGAGTTGTCAGAAGATCAAATTCAAGGGTCCTGTGTATATGTATGCGCCCGTTATTGACCGCTTTCCCCATCTGAGTCCCTCCCCAACTCACTTTGCCATATTGCGATATATCCAAATCTCAGTTACAGCAGCAGTTGGCGGTGTTATGTCATTACACAAGCTTCAAGTTATTCGTTCCGTTCCTTGTGTTTCTATCTCTTCATCGCAGCTATATCTTTAGAGGCAATGTTCTATATCTCAACTTCTCCGAATGAGTATCCGCCAAGAATGGCATATCTTCTTCAACAAACCCCTCTTACAGACACCAAAAAAGAGACATTGTGATTGTAGATCCATGATCACACGGGATGACATTACAGTAGTGCATAAGTCTCGTCCTCTTATTGGTCTGCACGTAACAATTGCACCGCTGCAGAAGCAGTCTAAAGATACTCCACTAAAAAATCCAGGCATATGACATAGCCCATGTCCCTTGTCCCATCTCAAGATTTCGTCCGAAGTATTATTTTCTTTATCCTGTCAAGCACCAAAATGGCTCAGAATATATGGGCAATCCCTCTTCAGACGACAAACTTCAACATCGTCGTCGCTTTTTTAGGCGGTTTCATCTCTATATTTGGCCTCGTTTCGTACCTCCTCAAAGAAAACTACTACCTCTCAGAAGCCCGTAAGTACCCCAGACTCGCAAATCTCTTGGCTTCCTTGGCATAACGGGAATAATCAGTCATCTCGCTCTTGGCGGGCATCGCCTTTGGACCTAATGGTGCAAACTTCATTCGACCCGACGACTATGCGGAATGCGATGTTCTTTCCAGAGAGGATTGTGAGGCAGATCTCAATGCCATAACGCTTAATTTCTCCAGACTGGTTCTTGGTGTGCAGCTTGTTCTTGCGGGCGTGCAACTCCCCAGCAAGTATCTCATCAGAGAATGGAAGTCAATTGCGCTTCTTCTGGGCCCGGGCATGACGAGTATGTGGTTAGCTACCAGTGTTCTCGTCTGGGGATTAGCAGGGCAACCACCATTTCTTCATGCGCTGGCCATCGGGGCGTGCGTTACGCCTACCGATCCTGTTCTCAGCGCTGTCATCGTCAAGGGCAAATTCGCAGACCACAACATCCCGCAAGACCTACAATATCTCATCACCGCAGAATCAGGTGCCAATGACGGTCTCGGCTATCCGTTCTTGTTCCTTGCCTTGTATCTCATCAAGTTTACTGGCGCAGGCGCTACGTCTGGTGGAGCTGATGATGCAATGGGTCTCTGGTTCGGAATGACATGGGGCTACGTTATCATCCTCAGTATCATCTACGGCGCAGTGGTGGGATGGATTGGCAAAGAGTTGCTTCATTTTGCTGAGAAGCATAATTATGTTGATCGCGAGAGCTTTCTCGTGTTTGCCATTGCGCTTGCGCTTTTTGTTCTGGGAACATGCGGTATGATTGGTACAGACGATGTCCTGGCGTGCTTCATCGCAGGCAATGTCTTTACATGGGATGACTGGTTCCGTCTCGAGACCAAAGATGATTCTCTCCAACCGACTATCGACATGCTCCTCAACGTAACCATCTTTTTGTGGTACGGCGCATACATTCCCTGGAGTGACTTCAACAACAACAATGTTATTACCATTGGACGTCTTGTCGCTCTGGGTGTCTCCGTTCTTATGTTGAGAAGACTTCCGTGGATCTTTGCTATGCATAAATGGATTCGTCAGATTGAACAAGTCAAGCAGGCTGTGTTTGTCGGTTTCTTCGGACCAATTGGTGTATCCGCCATCTTCTACCTCTTCATCAGCATTGAGTTCATCGAGGAGCACCTCAGCGATGAGAACGGACGTCCTAGAAGCGACGTCAAGGATCTTGCTGAGCAGACGCGCATCATCGTTTGGTTCCTTGCAGTTTGCAGTATCGTGAGTGAACCCCACTCAGATATCCTCACTTATACTAATCTAATTGTATCACAGATTGTCCACGGTTTAAGTATCCCAGTCGGAAAGCTCGGATACTTCGTCCCCAGAACCCTGAGTCAAGCCGTCAGCGACACCGTAAACAGCGCTTCAGACAATGCGCGACGAAGAAGAATTCCATTGATCGGAAGACTCTTCGGCGGTAGTGACAAGGACGGACGTAGACCATCTGGCCCGATTACCATCACCGGCGGTCGAAGCCTTCGCGCTGATCCGCATGTGAATACACATGCTGGCGATGAGACGCCGCCTGTTAGAAGAGAGATTCGATTTGGCGATGAGGTTTGATGAAGTCGTAAATAATACAACAGATACATACACATTGATTTTGAGGAGTTTTGCATAGGTTGGGTCATTTATAGATAGCGTGTCTCATTAAGCATATATCTCTAACGGAAATCCTCAAACATATCATGTAAGACAAAGTAACCCATATCTCAATCCGCCGTCCCTCTCAGATTCAATCTCGACATTTAAGCGAGAAGCATGGCGGCACCGATTACAGCACCGACAAATCCAGCAGGGGCCATAGCAGCAGCAGCGTTGGTCTCATCAGGGCTTGAAGCATCATTGGTAGCAGAAGCACCGTCAGCAGCAGCACCAGTGTCGGAAGCATCATTGTTGTTGTTGCTACCAGTGTTGGAAGCACTACCACCACCCTGCGTGCGAGTAGCGCCGGCAATAATTGTGGTGGTCAATTGCGAAGCGTCAGTAGGACGGGTCGCATCGACGCTGACGCCCGAGACAGCAGCTGAAGCGGCAGAAGCAACGTATGTAGTAGAAGAGAAACCGCAGGTGTAGAGGATATCGTCGATATCTGTACTAGTTAGCTCAATCTCTCAACACCATAACAAAGAGTTACTTACCCTCAGTCTCATCATTGTCATTGTCATCGTCGTCATTATCACGACGAACATTCTGGTGAATACAGTCCGCGCAAAGCGCAGCAACACGCGCAACGTTGAAAGAATCGTTGGTGCAGACACATTGAGCCTCGAGACGGTCTTCGTCACGGTCACGGTCTCCTCGGAGGTCAGTGTCGCAAGCGCGGGTTAGGTCGACGATGGGGTTGCAGATGGTGTCGCATTCTCTGGGGATGTCGTCGCGGTCGAGATTGACATCTGCGCGGGCGAGGAGGAGAAGGGGAGCGAGAGCAAGGGCGATGGTTGAAGTGTACATCTTGGTGGTGTTGAGAGTACTAAGTTATACTGTTGTCTTATATGGTGTGGTTGAGATGGTGATGAAGCTGAATTGAGATGATGGTGATGATAGTAACAAGAACAAAGACGGGATGGTCCAAGATATTTATACACAACCTCTTGCCTCCCAAATCTTGTTTCACAGCCAACATTAACCTTTCTTTTTCGTTCTTCCCCGACGATCGACATCACCTCCCCAGGCTTACTAGCTCAATCGTACCAGGATCTCTCAATAACTCACTGAAACCAAGCCACGGGCACTTTCGTAACAAGCTACCTTCCCGACCAATTAATCTTCTTACACGACTCATTGGTAGATCTTGGCATTCACTAACCAGGGGAGAAACTTCCAAGCAGTGGAGAAATCTCCAGGTTTGTAGTGACGTACGGGGAATCCGAGATTGGATGTTGTGTCTATGCCAATGCTGTTCTACTCACTTGGCGAGGCTTGTTCTATGTTCTAAGGAGTTAAACCGTTGTGTACTATAGCCACTCAGCAGCAGATTAAATATATCTTTGGCTGTTTATGCTTATTATTCTTGCTGAAAAGCCGCACTCTCTACGAGTAAGCTTAATCTTGCATGTAACACTTACCCGTGGGATAAAACTACCCGTGGCATCCCGTCTCAATGACATCGTCCTTCGGCAGTTGTTGTCCGACGACCGGGAATCCATTTCTAGCAAATGATCATCCCTGGATCAAGGGACGATCGTCAGTGGCTTTTCTGGGCCACGCACGCAACCCCTCCACTTCTCCAGGCCGGGGAAGTTTAAGTTATGCTTGTCCGATTGTTCTGCTGTCTCTAATCTTTTGGTCGCGTGAGCTCTTTCCTTCTTTGGAGAACCCATTAATGAGTGACTGTCGTGATGTGATTCGTCTGGATTTTGTGTTTCAGCTGCCAAGCAGCATCAGCCTCGTTATCCACGCGTTTTATTCCTATTCTCCTACGCACTTAACTACATGTTGGTTGGCTACTATCTTGGCGATATGCTTAACTGAGCCCTATCGTATTGGAATATCGGACAACGTGCTTGTTTCATTGATGGTGAGTACAGAGACGTTGCGCCAGAAGCTGCGTAACAAACAACCGCAGCCCTTCTTGGCAATTGCTGCCTTGAAGCTATTCGTGACGTGGCCGTGCGTGCTATTACACCGCATACATAGGGTATCAATTAAGGGTTTCTGCCAAGACCGTTGGGTAGTAGGTAATTAATGCTAATTGAAGGCTGCAAAGTTAAGCTTGGATCTATTAATGGCACGTTAATAAGGCAAGGCAGAATTGTGCCCCGTTAGAAGAAAACTTAGTTAGGCAAGGGAAAGATAGGAAAAGAAGAAAAAAGACCGGATGCTAGAAAATGAAGCCGTGATTGGAAGAGGCATATCTTGTGTCTATCATCGGGTGCATGAATCGAGATATTGGAAATATCCATTTACTGAGCCTCAGTTGTGGATCATCGGAACGTTGTGCGAGATGTATGAGAACCCTTTTGGAATTGAATCGAGCGTTCTGTAGATCATCTAATCGTTATGCTTGCGCGGCCGAGTGTATGACACTTTTGTGACTATATCGCGCTCTGTTATTCTCACTTGTGAATCTCCCGCGGGAATTATCACATCTCGGTGATAAGTTCCACTGCACTTAGTAGCATGCAGACTGCCAACAAAAATTGGAACTTATGTGAGCCGTCCAAAATACTGTCTTGTGTTAGTCGAGAAACCACTCATATGAGACTCACTCACATTTCATCTCCCACTCATCCCTCATAGTCCGTCTCAAACACTCTTCTCAAACTCAACAAGCGCAATCTCCTTGCCCTCATACCTCTCAACCGGAATCTTGGTAATATCACCTGTCCTGGCATATCCCTTTCTCTCATACCACTCGATAAGACCCTTCCTCGTCTCCAACGCATTCAAACCCATCTTCTTCGCCCCAAACTCCTTCACAAGATACTCCTCCGCCTTGTCCATAACCACCCTTCCCAATCCGCCGCGCTGAATCGTTGGATCCACTGCCAAAAGGGCTATACGGCCGTATCCGGGCTCTTTCTTGTAGACGTTGACACAAGCTGTCGCTGTACCGTTGGGTTCGTCGCTGGCGATGAGAAAGACGTTATCTGGAGAGCCAATTCTCTCGTTGATGACGGATATGTCCATTGTGAATGTCTCCGCGAGTTCAGGTGAGCCGATCCATTCTATACTGGCGTCTGTGAAGCGGAATGCTGCCTCGATGAGCTCTTGGAGACGAGGAGCGTCGTCTGTTGTTGCGATGCGGAAGTGGTAGTTGCTCGACATTTTGGTGGTTACTTGTTTGAACCAAAAGTAGTGAGTCAAGGGAATCTTCATTTATTTATCATTTTGAAACCTCTAATCCCTCATTCACAGAGAAATAGGAAGGTAGAGTAAGGGCGTAATGTTGACGCGAAGGAAGCGATAACGTGACATGTTTACGGTGCTGCGATGCCGTTTAAGCGGCTCGCTGTAACCAAGGGCGAGATTTTGACAGATGATTGTGTCTCCAAGGGCGCAGGCTGTGTTGTGACGAAGATGCGAGACCCAAAGAAATGGGCAGTTAATGCCTCAAATGAATAGTGAAAGTGTCATCAACTATCCGACCGTAAGATTGATTGGGATGAAGACGTCTCTCCCGATAGAACCATCTCTCGTCTTGTAGCTGAACGCTGGAATCCATCGAGCCGCAGTTGTAACGCTTCGGTACAAACTCACCCGAGACCAGCTCATGAGAGAACATTTGATGCTCTGTCAACTCTAGCCGAGCCCTCACTTCCCTCATAGCTATAACCCTTTTACTCACCCCCATACAATCTTAAACTCGCTATAGTCTATCTTCGTACCTAAGAGCGAGAGCATTCCTGACTGTCTGCCTATGTCCAGTAGATGGCCCTACAGAGTCGAACAGCGACTTGGAAGGGAGATGGAGCCACAAAGACCAACCAGCATGCATGGATTGAACCCACGAATGGTCTCCATAGAATTGCACTCTCCATGCATCTACTAACTTAGAGCTTATCTTCCCCATCCTCTTGCATCGGGGCCACGGAGCCGTGGAAGACTCCGACTGCGACGCCTTGTAAGGCGTTGGCCGGAAATAATCTGAGCCTCTTTACAACCCACATTCAATCTAGGATTGACTCACACAGTTGGGAGTAATTGGTCAATTGCCCATTTCCAACTCCTTCGCAGACAGAATCAATGCCCTTCGAATTTAGGAAGGAATACCTGTATACAACTAACAAAAAACCCACCGAAGTGCAGATCTCTTGTTGGATTCGGTATATTCTTCGCCCTCTGATACGATACCGTTTTGACCTTCCTGCTCAGGCAGTCCGGGAGCGGTTGATTATTCCTTGAGACCCCTAAGTCAAACATGAGGCTGACCAACAATCACGAATGCATGTCAATTGTCCTATCGTATAGGACAATCTGAGACTGTAAGACTATCGGCCCCTCGGACCCACGGCACCCAGGTACAGTAGATCACCTCAGATTCAGAGCTAACTATGCGCAATGTCCCCTAGCGCTAAAACCGTATTCAACACACTGTACACCCTTATAAAATACCACGACCTCCCCGTCTTCAATCGCTTTCCTTCTTCATCAACCATCCCAAAGACGGACTTCTCTGTTCGTTCTTTCAGCTCTTCTTTTTACCTTAAGCCTTACAGGCCCCCTTGCACACGTAGGGGAGGCCGTCAGCCCCCTCTAACTTGAATCAATGGCAGCAGCAAGCGCATCATCCGCCGCCTGCAGCCGCAACTCGGCCATGTCATGGTAGTCTGCTCGCTGCTCCGGCGCCTTTGCCTGATAGCGACCTCAGTATCGATCCTGGTCTGCTCGTTGGCGATGTTTCTCCTTTCTTGGATCTCCTCCCGCTCGATTGCAGTTTTGACGGACAGGGATTTGATGGTACCACGTGGGATTTCAGCAATGGGAATGACAACAACGTTCCTGTTATCGATGAGGGATTGTTTGACAACATCATGATTCCTGACTTGAGCGCTCTGGATACGCAGTTGCTCGATGTTGGAGATGGCTTCCTCACTCCGGAGCAGCCTCTCAATGTCAACTCTACACCCATTGAGCAACCTTCAACTTCAACATCCAGCACTCCCCATCCCACGACAACAACAACCACAACCACCAACAAATCACCCATCCCAGGAACATCCACCTTCTCTCTCCACCCCTCCCCCTCCTCATCATCCGGGTCCTCCCTCAAACGCAAATCCTCACCCGAAGATGAAGACGCAAACGTCACCCTCAAGCGCCAGCGCAATACCCTTGCGGCGCGCAAGTACCGCCAGAAGCGCCTCGATCGCATTTCCGAACTCGAGGCTGCCCTGGCGGCTATGACCAACGAACGGGATGACATGAGGCTTCAACTTGCCAGGAGGGAAGCTGAGGTGGATGCTCTTAGGGAGATGCTTGACAAGAAGAAATAAGGACGAATAGATCGATGTTTCGACATTGTGTTAGTTACTATACTTTGGCTTCGGGGCTTTGAAAGGGCTTCCTAGATATGTCTTCGAGTTAGCGAGTTGTTTTATGAATAGTAATTTTTCTTTTTTTGACAATTGTTGATCCTGAGCTGGCTGTGATACGTCTTTTGATAGTTATTTCCTGTATGATGTCCATTGTCTTGATACTGTAGAGTATGGAATTATACCCAACGAACTCATGTTTTATCTCAGTATTTTCATCTTGGTAGCTTCCACAACGCCATGCCATTATGACCTTTATATCATCTAAGAGACATACCCAGCTTTCATAACTATTATGAGTGCCCAACTCTCTCTTTATAAGGCCTTACAGTTACATTCTTAGGCCCATCATGAACACTCATAATGAGCAATAATGAACCATAATGACCATCTCCCAGCCAGTGCATAGGCAAACATAGAGACACTGTCAAAAACGCGGGTAGTGGGGTTCAGGCGGGGTCACTAGTCTTAATGCAGGTTTGAGCCAGAATGACTCATTATGAGCATTTCCTAATTGGGAAGACTGAGACTTGCGATAAGATAAGCTGTTGGTGATGCTTTGTGAGGGGTCTCGAGATGGATTGACATCAATTCTTTGGTGTTTATGGTGGTTTTATATATATAATGACGGCGATTGTTTGTTTGTCTGGCGTGACTCTTACGGCTTTGCGCTGTGAGTCAGAGACACTTGGTCTTGCTTAATCCAGGCGCTGCAATCGTTCAATCGTAACTGGTTACGCACTTTTGTATTTTAGATGCTTCTTAGGTCAGTTTACAACATCGACATTAATTGTTAATCTATTGCCGATCTAGTCTAGGCAGTGACAAGACTATCTGTGGTTATTCTTCTTCAATTGACCATGGATGGGACTCTAAAGAATCCGTTCCCTGTCTCGACCTCCCCCGCCCGTGATACTACGGTCATTCGGTTGGAAGGATGGGCGGCGCGCTTCAGCACAGGAGGAAATTAATGGTACGTATCAAGGTGAAGTTGCTATCACGTCGAATCGATGCGAGATTATCGCCCATGGTCTGCTGGTAGGTTGCAAAACGACTTCAACAAGAGTACAATCAACGTCCTTCAGCACACTCGACGATAGACAAACGCATTTTCGACAAGACCCCGCCAGCGATAACAAACAAAAAGCAAACCGCATCCATCCTCTCATCCGAGTAGGAAATCTACGCGAATCCGAACCCCCCAAGGCCCACGATGATCTCATGCCCCGCCCAATACGAACCCCCTCAACACCAACGTCAACTTATACTCAATCATTCAGCAACAAACATACAATACACCTCGAGACTCGGAAGGATATATCTCTGGACTGGCTAGAAGATGTCTTATCTTGCTTGTTGATCGCTTGTCGCGGTCCTATCATGCTCATCCGGCAATGTTGCTGCGAGGCACAACCGACGGATGATCAGCAGCATGTCAAATAGCCAGAGTATCCTCGGCTGGATAAGAACCATGTCTGAAGTAAACAAACATTAACTTGTTTCGACTCCTGTCATGCTGCATAACATGATAGGTCTACATTACAATCTCTACAAAAGTGCGATACCTTACCGGGCCGTCCATCCCCACCAGGAACTTCAACAAGCGACACTCCCACCAATGCTTTCCTTGATCTTCACCTCAAATCGCTCGCCCCGCCAGAGATGCGCAAGTGACATCTAATCGCGATCTCTTCCTCCTCCTCAAAAGCAAGTCGCCTTCTTCAACAACACTCGTGACCATACCATCGTATCAAAAAGCCCTTGGCGCCAACCTGCTACACGAAACAATCTTCTCCATAACCGAGTGTAACTTGAGATTGTTTCTGTGTACGGCAACCGCATTGTTTCACACTCCTCGCAAGAGGAAAGAGGGGAGAAGAGTCATGATAGACCGCCCTTTGTTCTTCAACACATGGGCTAGAAGAAAGAAGACGCCACATTCCCGTTACCTTGAGTATCTACACACACGATTTGTTTCGCATGCCACTGGGTTACAGTTGCACCCTCCCCCCTTCTCCAACTTGATCAGCATTACCAGCCACAGTCCATACTACGGCTTCCCCAACCTTCGCCACAGGAGTCGTCTTCTCCACAGCGGGGGAAGAGACGACGTGGCTCATCATGTGTCCCGTAGCTTCGTCAAAAGAAAGCTCCTTCTTGTTCCCGGCCCGTCCCATTCGCTGGATGCTTGTACGAGGGGACCCCGAGGCTGCAGTATAGCCTGACCCCTATTTGTGTAAACCTGTAATCCAGACCGAGACATGCACAGAAGTCATCTGTTGCTCTTTTGCCTACGGCTGAAGCGTAGCGAAGACGATGTTATTGGGAGGCTCCAGTAAGCGAGGCTCTGGGCGCTGTGCTAGTCAGTCAGAGCGCATGACTGGTGTATCATAGACCTTGGAAGACTCAGGAAGATACTCCTGTTGTGATCCCATAAGAATGGTGTCATATCATGTCCTCGAAACCCACCGTAGTATTCACAGATAACATCATATGGTTAAGTTGACAAGTTCGCGAAGATCTCGGTTCCTTCGGACCCTGGGACCTGATAGACTCTCATCTTCCAAATGAGGAAAGCCTGATGGCAAAATGGCCGTTGAAATATGAGAGATCGTCCTCAGGGTCTCTGCAGCAGGGGGGCTGGCTTGGACCCTTGACGCAGGCGGGGTTTGAAGTTATGACGCCGGAGTATTTTCACCGGACGATGGCAGTCAAACACAGTGATATCTCAGCATAACAGGATTTCCAGATATCTTGAGATCTTGGCAAAGCTGCCGTAGACGCGTCCAAAGGGGCGAAGAAAGTGATGACGCCGGGGTGGTTGGAAGTCGAATGATGTGGGGCAAGGATCATGAGGCTTCCCTCAAGATGCTCCCCCATGTATAAAGTCGATCGAGGATGGGCGACCCCCCATCCTTGCCTTGGAATTGGGTCGATCGAGCACGGGGTGGGTGTCTAGTGTGTCAGGCTGCTACTTTGACTTAGCGCAGTACTTTGACGAGCGCTTAGTCCGGGACAGAGACAAAGAAACAGCGACTTCAGTTGTGGAAGCATGTAAGTGACCCAACTTGGGCTTGCGCGTACACAAGTGGAAGAAGGGGATGTGTAAAGAAAGTTCAGCTAGTAGCAGAGGGACTGCTGTAGGAAGTAGAACATTCGATAAGGCCGCCACCATACGTGAAAGGCTACGAAATCTGGGGACGGAAGAGCCAAGCCACTCGGCAACCAATACAGTTTGACAGAGAGGCAACCAATACATTTCCCCAAGGCTGCAGATATCACATATCTTAGTGAATAAACGATAACGACTGCAGTTGCACAACTCTGTGCGATATTGTAGAGAACAAATGTCGGATTGCCGGTCCTAAAACGTCAGTGTTTCTCGGCAGTTGACAACCACGAAATGATGCTGCAATTCAGGAAGGGGGTGATAATAAGGTGACAGAAACAAAAGAGGTGGAAGAAAGGGTGCACAAGGTGACGAATCAAGAAAAGCGTCGTGATGAGGAGGGTATGAGATGTGGTGGTGGTGTTGATGATCACCCGCCTGAGACGACCAAGGCTGAGAAGGATTTGCCCAAGAGGCATCTCGCCCGGCCGTGGCGCAGTACGAACTTCTCCTGATGTGTTCAATAATCCATAATTGGAGTGATCACTGACGGTGGTCGAGATATAAAGTCAAAACTCAAATGCTGTAGTATTGGACGGGTGCACGACAAAGCTGCGAACACCTGCAAATATGGACATCTAGGAGCGAATCAATTAGCTTGAGAAGTATGCAACAGCAGCTGAAGGAGCAAGGATGCGTGATGGGATGGGATAGATACAGACTGCAATTGGTCTGCGGCTGCCACTACTGTGTATGTACGTTGGGCAGAGATGAGCGCATCCTAGTCGACGGAAGCTACCCGCAATGCGCATTCGCAGCCCAGATGCATTGGGCATCGTAAATACCATAGTCTGGTTACAATAGCCTGAGCGGAACTCCATCGTCGAGAGTGGAGATGGAACAAGGCTCGGGATGGGACGAAACGAGCCGGAATGGATACTCTTGTTAAGTGCGTGTGGTGGGTAAGAGGAGAGGAGAGTGGTTGGAGATTGCTTGATAGGACGAGTCGGTAGAGGTCATGTGGTAAAAGTGGTGATGATAAACAGCACTCTAGTATCCGGCTTTATCCGGAGCGCTGACATACCCACACGCTACAATGACTCTTACTGAGACATTCAGACTTGATTGATTGTATGCGCTGTATCATGACTGTCGTCCTTCTTGTCTGTTGTTGATTCGGATTAATTTGGTGATGGAGTTTCGAAGTCGCCTGCAGGCATTCACGGCTATTTCTGGATCAAGACCCACCGCTTCAACGCTCGGACCCCCGCCTATCTATTCCCCGCGGGCCTCTCCTGCCTCTGTAAGTTGCACTGATGATGGGCGTTTGTCAGGGGACCTCTTCCGCTGGAAGAAATCACTAGCGCGCTAGCCAACAGTGATTGAGTTTCCGCTACGAGGTGCATTCTGATGCACGCACTCTGCAGGAAATACATACATGCAGCTGAGATGGATGATAGACCGGGCTGGGCTGGGCTGTAATTGGAGTTGTGTGTAACTCTCCAAACAGTTGACTCCTTTTGGCTCACATCACATTTTCCTCCTCGCATTTGTACTGTACATGTACTACAGAGCAGGGGCTGTTGATGTCGTCAGTGACTTTTCTGTGGTACCCTACCATTACCAGGAAGAGAAAGAGAGACAAGATCCAGTAAGTCCACAAAGAACAGAGTTGGAGTACAAGAGATGACCGACGGTCTCAACACGGAGATATTTCCTCTTCCCGGGTGATACGAATCTAGGCGCTGTGTCTCTTTCTGTACTATGTACTCTACAGTTGTTGCACGACAGCAGTCATTTACTTGATACTCGGTCGACCGAGTCGGGATATAAGTGCATTTTCAATCCTCTTGTCATGTTATGTGTATCAATCAGCACGGCAAGCTGCGCAAGCGTCGCTGTCCAAATCGAGAATCCCTCGACTAACCTTAGTCCTCGGGCTGAGCAATGACGCCAAGGGATTGACATTCAGAGACCCTGGCCCTGGTACAGTACACGACCCTCCACCCTGGAGGCGCACATGGACACGAGGGAAGAGGGTCTAGTCGGCCGAGTTGGGGATAGGCTTCGATTGCCTTGATTGTAAAGGTGACGGTGAACGGTTGGTGGCTTGCCTGTGTACAGTATGTATGTCAGACAGACAGGGATATCCCTCTGCAGCTGTACTGCACATATGTACATACGTACAGTAGCTCTAACATGTAAAACATCTCGCGACAACAACAATGAATGATGCATAGATATCCTGCTCAAGAGAGTGCCTAGAACAAAAATCTCCAGCAAGGATGTTTTCTAACTCGTCATTATTGCGAAATTATCACTCGTCGATAAAGAGGCAATGCAAGATCGGATCCCTGGATATCCGGTCGGCTCTTGGATGTTGTAGGGGTCCTGTTGATGGTGGGCATCAATATATCGGCGGGTGGCGACCTACGATCTTCGAGGACCCTTGATGGGGATATACGAGCGGCATCTCTTCTTTCAGCGTATTTGTGTTTGCCAAGACTGGATAGCTTTTGGCATGTCGATATTGTGAATTCGGTATGTGATGAGAGGGTGTGATGAGTGTCGTTGGTTGTTACATACCGGTGGCAATGGCATAGCATTCTAGACAGAGCTCCAGCTTCAAATGTTCACTTCGTCCCAGGTGATTGCTTTTTCTCAACTCGGTACCGCTCCGTGTCCCTCTATTGGAATGGAATCTGTAGACACCCCTGCTATAGACCGGTGTTCGCTTATATCGCTAGCCAGGACAGTCAACTGTAACAAAATCCAGACCAGGACAGATGAGATCTATGATACTAGCATGATGTCCCATACCTGCACGAATGCAACCCAAAGATCACTCAATCATGCATTATAACAAGTTATTCAGCACCTTGGACTGCATGTGTGACCCTGCAATGGCCTGATTCCTCAATCGCTTGTCATCCAGACATCTCTTTTAGGAAGAAGCCTCGTAACGAATGAGGAAGATAGCAAAGCCACCATCGAAGGAATATTAAATAACCTCAAAGTTTAATATGTCTAGTTCGTAAGCTTTTGCAAATCAGACGGGCGATGTTCCCAGGTTCATGGGTCGAGGCTTGAGGCGATGTGGAAGAAGGCTGCGGCTGGGCCCTTGCCTAGACTTCCGGTTCGCGTCGTTCCGCGGAGGACTGGGAGTCTTGGGAATAGAAGAGGGACAAGAGGGGCGATGATGTTTCAGATTATCGCTGCGGAGTTGTGAGTGAGAGAGACACTTTGTTATCCCACCCACAGCCTTTCCCGCTCCATGGTGTCTGTGTACTTGAAGTCGGGTATCTTACATACACCCAGCCAGACAGCCAGCCGTGTGGGCCAACAGACATACAGACACACACGAAAGAGGTTGAAGTTTCGTTTCGGGTCCGATAATAAGTCACGTTGGGGTGAATCTTCTGCCTAAGCCTAGGACCATCCATACAGTTCAGTCCCCAGGCCACAAGACACGGTCCTAGGTACAGTATGTAAGCACCCATGGGACTAGATTAAAAAGGCACGCCTTTCCCACTTGAGAGCCTGATATTTGCTGTATTATATGTGATGGTTTTTTCATCCCGTCTTCGCCTTCATTCTTCTTGTATTGTTTACCAGCGACTGATAACGGTCACCTGAGGCCAATATAGCATAAGGCTTGGTCTGACTTACACCAAAAACAGCATCCCGAGATATCCGCCACTTTATTACCATCACATAAGTCTGCCGTCTGGACTATATTCTCATATCAGCACCATCTATCTGGAAGACTACCCAATATAGAAGAGCGGAAGTATCTGCGGCTTGGCTTACACACAGTACCTTAGCTATTCGCTATTACCGGGGGTCATTCAAGCTGATCTCTATTCGATGCAAGCCTGGCCAGGTGCATTTACCAAACAGGAAAGCACGGGGTAGACTTGTCTCCCCATCCTTGCCAGGTGCCCTGTCAGTTGCCTGCCTCTTCTCTCTCAACATTGGAAGACGAGCCAACTCCTCGTCTTCAACTCTTTTCAATTACATTTACAATATCGATTTTATTTTTGCGCCACCATTTTTGGACCGCGCAATCTTAACGGAAAAAGATTCGCGCCCCTGAACCGGTAGCGGAATTTAGAAACTCATCGTCGCCGCCGCCGGTTGCACCATCAGGCACGGCGACATACCCCGACAGGTACAAGGTTGTTCACTGTTATTCTGCTGGCGAGCAAAGTCACTCCCGGGCACCCCTCCATATCCGTCATTCGTTGCTCTCGCCAGGACAAGAACAGATCATAACAATTCAGCTCTGGCTCGAGGTACCTTGAGAAAGATACCTTAACCAAAAGTCAGAACAAACGCCTCTACCAGTTATCGCATCTGGCTTCATTCTCCTAGACCTCTGAGAACCATCCTCTGGGTATCTGGATGCTACTGTGAACGCCCACTTCGGCCGCTCTCGCCCGCTTTCACCCACTACGGGCCCTCCTTTGCCGCCCACTCCGCCGCTGGGCTTCATTCAACTTGGCTAGGTACTCTTGTCTCGGCTTCCAACTTTGCTTGGCTTTGGGATTCCCGATTCTATCTTTTTACCTTTACTTTTGTTTCCTTTTCCTCCACTAAACGACCTACTTAACTCCTCCTCGGCCCGCTCCCCGACTTCGCCTTGCGAATTGCTTTGCTCCGCTTTGCTTTCGCCCAAAAGTCAACTCGACAAACCCAGCGATTAATCATGCCTGAATACCGCCACGCAAGAAGTGGTAGCCTCAGCGTTGCCAACGGCGGCTCGCAGGCAAACACTCCTCTGTCTTCCGCTGCAGCTCCCCGCTTCGACGGTCCTCGAAGCCCTCCGAGTACGTTGATATCATGTTTAATGTCGATGTCATGTTATGACATATTTGCTTGGTTGCATGTTGCACACGACCCGATCTTTCCCCCGCCATGCCATACCATACTGTTGTCCCTACTGACACGACTTGTTTTGAATAGACACCTCTCACGTTCCTTGCAAGTTCTTCCGTCAAGGTGCTTGTCAAGCCGGAAATGCCTGTCCTTTCAGTCACGATTTGAGCAATGCTGCCGAGAACGTCTGCAAATACTTTGCAAAGGTGAGTGCGCCATATCATGATTCGATCTTCCCTGCCCGCATGCAGCCCCAGCCCCTCTCACTCTGCACGTCGCAACGGCTTTAATGCGTCAATAACGCTGACAATTGTGTCTAAAAACGCAGGGAAACTGCAAATTCGGTCCCAAATGTGCAAACATCCATATTCTTCCCGATGGCCGACGAATCAACTACGGAAAGAATGGCGTCACAATAGGCAATACTTCCACCCTCGCCGGTCGCTCCAACCCCACCTCCGCAAGCAACAATCAATCCTCCACCAGCGCCCTCACCACTTCGCTCTACCGCGCTGACGTCCCCTCGTACACTGGCGCGTATCCTTACGACGAACAAGAGCCACATAGTCTGGGTCGCCAGCCGAGCCTCGAGAATGGCCTCCCTACTATCGACATGTCCTATACCGGGTCCAACTACGGTTCTCCCCGAGACGAAGAATCCTTGCGCTTTGGCATGGGACTCTCTCCTATTAACAACAAAGGTCTCTCTGTTCTAGACGCTCCTCTCCCCGCCTCGTTCGATTCCAATGGCATCTCAAATGCCGCCCGCTTCCCTGGTGGTCCATGGCCCTCATCTGTGCCCAACCAATTCGGCATTGAATCGCCTACTCCTTCGCTCAGCAACGCCAAGGATTCGCGCACTTCTGAGACTCTCAAACTGTTACATACCTCAGCTTTCGGTTCGTCGGATCACCTCCTGGCCCCTCTGGATAGAAGCCCACCTAACTCTCATCAAGCCAACGGGGAAGAATACTTTGGTAGGCGAGCTATGCACTCGTCCCGCTACACCAAGCCCCGTATGCTCAGTTCCAGCATGCCTAAAACGTCTGTTGATCGAGACTGGGAGCCTGGTTTTGCCTTTGGCGACGACGACGATAACCTTCCTGAGAACTATGTTCCCGAAAATCTGCAGGACCTCCTTACGCCCGTTGAAAAGGCCCGACGTGGTTCCATGCGCGCTGACGGAGATGGCGACAGCCTGAGCAAGTATGGCAGTCCCATCGGAACTAGCCCCAGCCGATGGGGCCCCATGTTCCAGCGACAGAAAGAGGAGGAGGAAACCTCTCGATCGCTCCGAGGCGCCTCTGCTTTCGGCCATGTGGGCAGCCCACTCCGAAACTCTGTTCTGTCGCAAGAAATGGGAGGCACCAACGGTTTCAACCGTCCATCTTCTTTACGATCAGGCAGCGATAGCATGTCTATGCTTTCTCAGCAGCTTCAGCGAAGCCATCTTGACGAACCTACCAACAACTCCAGCCCTCTTCTTCACCCCGCAACCGCCCGGGCTGGTAACACCGCTAGCGCTATTAGCCCCATTAGCCCGATCGGCAGGGAACGTGAGCGTATTGAGCGTCATGTGTCTAGCGGCAGCATCAGCTCATCGATGAACGGCCGCTTCACCACCCCCATCAACGAGGACGACGAGATGTTCCACATGGAGGGCATGGAGGAAGACGGCGACTCATCAGTCAAGTCTCCCAAGAGACAAACAGCCGGTCTCGCCAACATGAACGTCTGGAGCAGCTACGCTTCTGTCGCTGGCAAGTCCTCCACCAATGGAAACAAGGGCGTTCCTGTCAGCGGCCGATAAACGACTCAGGCTGAAAGGCGGGAAGGGCAGCGTGTTCTTTGAATCACTGTTTCCAGTTTTATAAGCCAGAGCGTTGGAGTTGGGTCAGCTTTATCTGATAGACAAAACTTGAGGTGGGGGTGATGAGTTGACGAGCCATGATGGGATACAAAAACAACACGACATTCGCTACGACACATAACTGCATATCGCCATTGCATAGGTATCGCCGACCAGGTCACTCATTTACATACAGTGAACCGATCGGACGAACATCTGGCATTTGAGGGAAAGATAAAAATGACAAGTGCATGGCGGTTTTTAATGGCCAAGATCAAAAAAGGATATAGGATACACGGCCAGGAGTTTTGACATTTTTGCTATGTTTGCTTGATAATTGGGAGGTTCGGTTCAATTGCTCACATATGCGGTCTTTGGATGAGAAGTGGATATTTCACTCTTTAGGATGTTGACTACAATATGAACGTAGTTTCTTCTATTGGAATGAGAGATTGACATTGCTCTTCTTCTGAGTTGGCACATCTTGCTTCTCGCCTAAAGACTTGCTACTGAGCTTGGTGTTTTGGGAAAGGAATGGGATCTACAAAAAAACAATCGCAAATGGAGAGGTCTTGAGACTTGACTTTCGTTAGATATCGCTTGAGGAAAATAGTATAAGGATAGGAGCATAATGAACATATGTTCAACGCCTGTTGGCACTATTTGAGGGCTGTTTTGTTTGTGAAGTTCATGGCTTCTTGCTGTCGTGTCAGTGTCTTCGTGGTGTCTTGTCCATGTAGCATCGAGGGTGTGAAAGATAGGCGTTGATGTCCTCACGATACTCATCCAGGCTGCTAAGATAGAGAGAACAGGGAGTTTCTATACATAGTACAAGTTAAAGTCACAGTAGTAGAGATTCAATCATCTATCCATCCATCCTCAACTGAGTGCCTACAGACACTGAACCACTCATAAATCCTACCATCCAATCTTTCACGATATGCAAACAGGACCAATTGTCACAACTCGTGAACAGCACAAAGCACGGGTAGACGAAGTATGCATTTCATGCCGACCACACTTGTCGCCAAGGTTCTTTTATTCGTAACCCTCTCGCTTCCTCTCTGTAGCTCTCTCCTCACCCCTCCTTCTGTAAATATAAATAGCCCTTTCTCATGGTGCGCCGAGATTAAAAGAATTGGATTGCGTTATATTGGCGGATTTTTGTTCTCTTTATCTCCTCCCTCCACCATCATCGCCTCCCGAATTCCTCTTCTTTCCTGGGGTGTTTATCATGAGAGTTGGAAGTAATTGTACAAAGATGGGGAGAAGGAACAGAAAAGAGGGAACGGGGGAGGTGGTGGTGGGTGGTATATGGGAGATTAAACCGTTTAGTTGGCGTCGGGCTGGTTCAGGATGTACTCGACAGCCTGGTTGACTATTCACGGGGGTCAGTATCATGTCTTGAGTCTGAAGTGTAGCGGATATAAGTACCGGAGTGGATAGAGTCGGCATCCTTATCGGGGATCTCAATGCTGAACTCCTCCTCGATGGCCATGACGACCTCGACGGTGTCAAGAGAGTCGAGACCGAGGTCGTTGGCGAAGTGAGCGGAGGACTTGATCTATTCAATTAATTAGACAAAAGATATACCGGGGTATCTTTCCATTCGAGGACGTACGTTGGAGACATCGTTAACCTTTAAATGACGTTAGTATTTCTGGCTCTATACATATCCAGAGGGAGCTATCTCAAGCTAGATATCTCCCCCAATTGCTCAAGCTCACCTTGTCAAAGCCCTGCAACAAGCTCATAATTCGGCCCTCGACCTCCTCCTTGTTAAGCGCACCGCCGGCGCTGTAGAACCGCACGGCCTGGAAGCTCTGGATCTTGGGAACGGCGGCGGAAGCGACGCGGGGCGCCACGGGAGCGAAAGAGCGGATGGTGGCCGGTCGGGCGGCGACGCGGAGGGATCGGAGAACGGCGGATCGGAACATGTTTGCTGTGGTTTTCGGAGGACAAGAGAGGAGGATTGCGATTGAGCTGGTGGTGGTGGAGTCGGGTTGATGATGAGGGTGATGATAAATTTCTCGTTGTTACTCGGGTTGAACTGGTTCTGTTTCCGATGGAGCCAAATTGTGCTAAGCTAAGCTCGGTTTGGAGGCATCACGTGATATATGTCCGGGGGAGTGCTCCGGCTTTTGAAAGCGAGATCGCATACGTCAGCGATAAAGGGGATGTGATTGGGTGGTAAGGCCGAGGATGTCGGATATAAGAGAGGCATCGTGAGATGAATATTTGAAGAGTCATTCTGCTGAAGAATGAAGTTTACTTGATATGAGAGGAATGGCATTTGGTGTTTAATGGTTAAGTGCTGATTGCAGTCTAGTCAGCACAATCGAACTTGACCTCATTGGTTCTGAGACTTAAGAGTCTGGGGAAATGAAGGACCAGACTTGCAAGTGCAGGAATGTCTAATGCTTTAGCTGACATGGAGACTCAATTGAGAAGTAGATCACGCATTGAAAGTCAATTTAATCATTAATATTCAATTGACAAATCTAGAAAGATAAGCTGGGAATGTAACCCAAAAACAACCCCATTTCATCCATCATAATCATCTTACCCTGGAGACGCGGACTAAGAACCGGTCCATCGGCCAAATCAAGCGTCTATTTCCCCCAATAAGCACCAACTAACTACCGACCGGCATAGCCTCTTTCTTTTGCCTAGAACCATCCCCTGTATATTTCCTCACTATATCAGGTTAAAATAAAGATAATCGTGCACATGGAGATCTCACTCGCCCCCTCCCTTCTCGCCAAGCTTTCCAAACGTTCCTTGCCGCTATCCAATCAGTAGCCCTTGTTGAATGGTTATCTATCGCTTCACCTACCGCTTCCAGTCTACCTCCCCGGCCTTAACTTGAAGCGTATCGAGCTTTGACTCTGAACGTCCATCTGCCATGATACGTCCCTTGGGAACTTTGTTTGTTGACGGAGTGCATGGCTGAGATAGGAAGGAGATGTTGATCTTTCTACTTGCTCGTCTGATGTCTTGGAAGCTGTCATTGGTTTGTGTTGTACAGACAATGCGTTGGAGGATCGATTGCCAATGGGAAGGACAAGGGCATCATCACTCTTAAGCTTAAATATAGAGGCTCGTGTCCTCCCCAGATTATCGCACAACCGCTTACTCTCTTCATCTGCCTTCGCTCTTGTCCAATTGCCCATCATGAAGTTCGGTCTCCTCGCCTACGCGCTCTCTGCTTCGGCATGCCTGATTCCCTCCGATTCAGTTCCCCACTCGAAGCGCAACTACGGCCTGTCTGCCCGTCAAGCTCGTCCTGAGCCAGACTTCCCCATCGGCACAGGCGACCGCTTCAACAAGGGCAAGGTCGCGCCCAAGGGTCTCTCCACTTCAGACCGCAACCTCAAGTCCATCCTGACTCCTTCCGAGGTCAACTCTGCGCTTCAGGGTCTCGCCAAGGAGTTCAAGGAGGTCGAGCTCATTCACCCTCCTCACGCAACCTACGAGGGTTTCAAGACTGTTGGCGCAAAGATTGGAAAGAACCCCAAGTTCTTCATCATCAGCGGTGCGCACGCTCGTGAGCGTGGTGGACCCGATAACGTCGTCTACTGGCTCTCTGATCTTCTGCACGCTCGCAAGGCAGGCAAGGGCCTCAAGTATGGCAAGACCACCTACACTGCTGCCGAAGTCAAGAAGGCTCTCGACGCTGGTATTGTCATTCTTCCCAACATCAACCCCGACGGTGTCAAGTACGATCAAAAGACCAACTCGTGCTGGCGCAAGAACCGTAACCCCAAGAGCTCAAAGGGCAACCCTGACGCCGTGGGCATTGACATCAACCGCAACTACGACTTCCTGTTCAACTTCAAGAAGGCTTTCAGCGACGCCATCGACCTGGGCTCTGTCGCCTCCACGGATCCCAAGAGCGAGGTCTTCCAGGGTACTGGCCCCAACTCTGAGCCTGAGACCAAGAACGTTGTCTGGACTATGGACAAGTACAAGAGTCTGAGCTGGTTCGTCGATTTGCACTCCTTCGGTGGCTACATGCTGTACGCCTGGGGTGATGACGATGCGCAGACCACCAACAAGGCCGAGAACTTCTCCAACAAGAAGTTTGACGGCCGTCGTGGTGTCCTCGGCGAGGCTGAGACGGCCAAGACCAAGTACAAGGAGTACATCTCCAAGGCGGATCTCTCCGGCCAGCTCAAGCTGGGCAACCGCATGAAGAAGGTCATGGAGAACGCTGGAACTTCCAAGTACACTGTCCAAGAGGCTGTTGGTCTGTACCCTACCGCTGGAGCTAGCACTGACTACGCGCTTGCTCGATACTACGGTAAGGCTTGTGGTAAGAGCAAGCTGCAGAGCTACACTATTGAGTTTGGCGAGGAGAGTGGTTCAGCGGCGTGCCCATTCTACCCTGATCAGAAGCAGTACCACATGTGGATGAAGCAGGTTGCCTCTGGATTGACCGAGGTTGCTCTCCAGGCTGCTGATACCACCCCTGAGGTGAAGAAGTGCCCCTACTAGATAATGACGATGGACGATGCTGCATTTTTAGTTTAATGTATATAATTTGCAGTCGAGGATAATCCCTGACTCACTCGTTAATGAGAAACACCAAGAAATGACCTTGTACCAACACCATGCTTATATCCGTCCTGTACCGAACCATCCATCTCGTCAGCATCACACCAAAACACCAAAATTGAGTGACAAAGGGGCATTTTTCTGGACGTCTAGATTATGTACACCTCATCGCCCTCCCAACCGGTCCCTTAGTCCTTAGCCGCCCTTTTCTATCACCAAAAAAGAAGTCCATGTTCCTACAACAGTGACGTTTCAAACGACCCGAGGGCAACAAAACCAAGTAAACAACAAATAAAAACTATGCATTCCATTCCAATCGACATCTCCCTTTCCCTTTTTCGTCACTGCTGGTTTATCGGTATGGCGAGTCGGCGCGGATGACGGCCGCAAGCTCAGGCTCCCACTTGTCTCCGTTGGACAGAAGTTTCTCTGTATTAATGTTAGTTTTATGTCCGGGCAATAGTTTATAGTCCAGAGTAGATGGTGTACGCACCCTTGTTGTATAGAAGCTCCTCTCGGGTCTCGGTAGCGTACTCGGCGTTGGGGGACTCGACGATGGCGTCGACGGGGCAGGACTCCTGGCAGAAACCGCAGTAAATGCACTTGGTCATGTCGATATCGTACTTGGTAGTTCGGCGGGATCCATCGGCTCGCTCCTCGGCCTCAATGGTGATGGCCTGGGCGGGGCAGATCTATATCTATGTCAGCGAGTTGGCTATGTTTTGTTGATTCGAGTTATCGTACAGCCTCGCAAAGCTTGCAAGCAATGCATCGCTCTTCGCCAGAGGGGTATCGTCGGAGGGCGTGCTCGCCACGGAATCGAGGAGAGATAGGGCCCTGAGTGTGTCAGTTTACATATTCGAGCATCGATGTATCGTTGTCGTCGTTTCGCATACCTTCTCGAAGGGGTAGTAGATAGTGTAACTATATCCCCCCGTCAGCACTCTATCTTCTTTCGCCGGACTTGATTGTTGTGACATACGGTGGTCGGAAGAACTGCTCAAGCAGAACATACATGCCCCTCGCCATCTCCGTCATAAGGAAAAACTTTCCCATGCGGTCCAGGGTGCTCTCCTTGTCCCATGTCCACTGCACACGCTTGCTCGTTCGGAAGTTGGCGGGAGGAGGACCGTGAGGCGTCGCATAGCCTCGCTGCTGCTGCTGGAGGAGGCCAACAATGCTGGTGGTGGGAGCTCGGGTGCTCGAGACGAGCTGTCGTCGCGCGATCATGGCGGCGTGGGCCATTGTGAATAGACTCGAGGAGGACGTTCGAGGTGGAACCGAGACGTTTTTGGCGGAGAGGGGAGAAGAGGTTCAATTGAGACTCCGGGGAGGGTCAACTGGTCGGGGCGGGAGGCGAGGATTTGACGTGATGGATGTGTTCGGCTACGAAAGTTGCTCAGCGGGATTACAACTCTGGGCATCTGATTGGCTAGAGTTCTACCCGTGACTTAGCACGTGATCAACGTCAATCAAACATCAGCATCATTACTCAAGATGATGAAAGTGACAATCATTATTGGACATATTTTTTTTTGGATCAGATGATGATTTCCCATGTGTCTATATCAGCTATCTAATTGGTACGCCTGGTATTTCCGTTCCCGTGTCGTTACGTCGTCTCAGTCCTTGCGGCTATATACAGCTCTACCAAGATTTAACATGTAAACTACCTCCCTAATATTGCAACAAAAGAAAGCAAAAAACTCCAAAAAATGCAATCGTCTCTGAGATCATCTCATGGGAATCATGAGCTTAGAAACTTTTCTCCCACACCTGCCACCATAATCCCATGTTTGCGGATACCAACAAATCCAACATCTTTAATCCATCAGGATAGATGATGAGCTTGCCCAGTTTGGCTCTCTTGCCACGATTACCACCACCGGCTTTCTCTTTTCCGAGGTTAAGATCGAACGGCGAAATCATGCCGTCGTCAGGCTTCTCGTCTCGACGGAGAAGCTTGTTGAAGTGTCCCTGAAGTTGGGTCTTGACTTCTTCACGAACTTCCGGTGACTTGAAGAGTTCAGCAGTTGGAAGGTTGAAACGAAGTTCGCTCATGGCCATACCGCCACCACCCATGGGAGGAATTTGACCTTGACTAATATCGGCTAGAGGGTTGTTTGTATTGTCGTGCAGGATGTGATAGCATCGCAGACTTCGCCCAGCAGCACCAGTGCGGAACTCGCATCGACCGTTCCAAGGACTCGTGAAGATATACCCCCTCGGTCTCAAGCCTGGTCCTGGGTTCATTGATGTCGTAGGTTCAACTGGTGATGACGCATCCACAGAATCGACCGACCCGACACTACCCTGTCGCCCATGACCCCGTCCGGCACCGTCCTGTAGCATCTCACGCCAATTCGTCGTCCAACTCTTCGCATAAGTCATCGCGATCTGCCTCGACAAGACAACACCGCCGACCTTTGGTTGCGTAGTATCCTCGCCGGGTCCTGCGTCGAAGCTTCGTCGCGCAGGCATACCGCGGAACTTGCCATATCCCAGTGTCTCAATCGAAACGTTAATGGGAGGGTTTGCAGAGTTTAGCGGTTGCGCAACTGGGGGTACAGGTGCGAATAGCGGGTTCACATCGTCCTGCTCGGGTGGTGGTGCTTCTGTCTGGAAGGACGAAATATGCCCGACGTTCCACTGATTTCCTGTGCTTGGGTCACGGCGTATAAGAGCCAACGTAAAAGGCTGCTTTCCCTCGTAGCTCTTACGTGGAGAGGGAGACCGGCTGTTGCTCTTTCGGTTTGTGCGTTTTCGCTCTGTCGGGAGCATGCGCTCGAAGTCCGCAGCTGTTGGGTACGGCTTCGGGATTTGTGGAAGAGGATGCTGGTTCTCTGACCCAGGCGCATCACTTGACAATGTTCGGGGACCGACTGGCTTTCGACTTATTGAGCCTGAGGCGCGAGAGATTGATTCGGGAGTTTGGATTTGGGGGATGTTTGTTGGTCGAGGAGGGAGGACGGGACTCTGCTCTTCGGGTTCGTGGGCATATCGTGTGGACGCTTGTTGTCGAGGATCAAAGGTCGAATTAACGGATAGGCCGCGCCTTCGGGTAGGATCTGGCACGGAAAGTTGTTCTTCGCTTGGTATAGGAAGAAGATCAGCTGGAGGCGTCAATGGTCTTGCGCCACCAGGAAGTGGCTTTCGCTTGATGTTCCTCGCTGAAGAGCTCTCGTCACTGGAAGATCGGTGACCTTCATCCCGTGCGAGTGGCGCACCACCAGCTCGTTCTAAGGAAGGTGCTTCATAGTGGACGTAGTAGAGACAACTGGCGACATCTTCGGCGGTGACGTTTTTTAATTGAGGTTTAAACGGGGAGAGGATAACATCTGGTCCAAAGCGTTTAGTGTCAGATCCGGTGGGGGATTTGGGGGCTGTCTTACCTCGAGTACCAGGAACTCGTGAGATGTAGAGGACCAAGGGATCTTGTCTCTCTTGAGCTGGGTTGATGGGATATTGAGGCGGATTACCTGCCAAGTTATTGAGGGCAGTAAGAGATTTAGCCTCCATCTCTTGAAATTTTGTTTGACAAAATGAGTCAAGTTCGAGGTTGACAGTTGAGGATCGGAGAGGGTGGGGGGAAGGAGAGGAGAAGTAGTATGGGGGAGGTTGGAGTAATAAACAACCTTAGCGAGTCGCCCAACAGTTCCACCCTGAAATTCTTATGATGTAAAAATAGACAAGGTGCTGACAGGAAGAGAGAGGAGGAGGATAAAGAGTAAAATAAAAGTAAAAGAGAAAGCTGGGGTATCAATCAGGACCGAGCCAAGGTGTTAGGTATCTGGAGTTGGTTACGTGGGTTGGGCTGACGGGACGACTGAGAACTTATAAGAGGGGCGACGACACTTTAAGATGTTAATCCAAGACGACGTGGCATTTGAGATGAGCTGAATGAGAACAAAAAAGAGCGATCTTGGCATTTAAGAAGGGACTGGACCAGAAAAGTAAGAAGGATCAGCCTTGCATTTTGATTTACAGTACTGTACGGACATCCATGGAGCAGAGAATAATAGTCTAGTCTAATTAATTGCTGCGAGGGCGAAAACCCAACGTCAGCTCAGACCAGTGGCTGTGTCAATCAATCAATCCGTCCCGTCTGGTCTTTTTTAGTTAACGGCCGCCTATTTTACTTGGCAGGGGGTCCATTCTCTGTTCTAGGTTTGTATGTCTTATGCATCAAGATCCATACTTACTTACTGTTGTTCTTGTTGGTGATGCAGAGTCTTTCTTTTTCGATATTGCATCACTAATATTGGGTCTTTGTATTCCCGTAGTCGGAGTATACTACGGGCATCCATGTCAGACAGAACAATGAAATGGCGGGCTGTGGAGACGCGTCTCCCATGGAATCCAGTGTTTAGACACGCATACGCTCGAGCACTGCCGACGTCACTTGGCGGGTCAAGGGTTGTCTCTGCCGAGGTTTCCAGGGACCATTTATCAGACTCACACTGTATCGCACCCTGACTCTAGGTGTCGCATCACAGTGTCAGATCCTCCCGTCCCTGTCTCTCGTAATCATCCACGCAAAAAGCAAGCCACCACCTCCAACCTGATGCAGTCAAGTATTTCTATTCTCAGCTCCCCTAACGCAACTATCTAGTCTATCTTGTCGACCTTGATTCTTATCACATGTACTACTAGGGTCTTTGGTCGTGTGCTCTTCTCATGCTTTCTTTTTTGGATAGCACAGAGACACAGAGACTTGACATGACATCCCATCTATCGTCACCTACTGCCCGCTTACATGGACCATCCCAGATCAAAGATCCAACCACCAACGAACAAAAACTTCAGGGCTGCCCAAGCAGTGACGTACTCTCACCACCGCATAATTTTCATTCGCCTTTACACATTTTGTCTCATTTCTTTGTGACGCTTGGATCTAGAATTCACGTGCTTTGCCAATAGTTGAACGCTCGGATCGTTGTTTGAGCTGGTCGAGGCATGTACGTACATCATCAATGTGGCTTTGCTAACTGCGCTGTCATTGCTATTAGAGTTTTTCACGTCAATGTTGACATGTAGCTAAATCATTTAATTGGTCGAAAGCGTTATTGCGATTCGCGAAAGCTCGAGCTCTCATCTTATCTCGAGTCAAGTCTGCGCTGAACAAGACGCTTAGCATGTCAAAGCAAGACTACCACTCCTGAACTCCATTCTGACCAACGACCTTTCCCACGTCCGCATCCTTCTCCCCCTCAACAACCTTTAGAATAAGGTCGCCTCCCGTCTTCGGATCCCCCGCGCCGGCATTTTTCAGCAGCTCAGGGTTTCCCCCCAGCCCCGTCGCAAGAAAGCCCGGACTGACGGACCACACTCTGACCCCTTCGTCCTTGAGCAAGTGGTACCAAGACAGCATCACCATGTTAAGGGCCGTTTTAGCAGAGCGGTATGCTACGGCCGTCGGGATCCCCGACTTGGGCCAACCTTTCGGGATGGACCCTGAGACTTTCGACAAGAATGAATCGTGCGCCCCGTGAAGTGTTGAGAGGCCCGAGGTAAGGAAGATGATGCGTGGGGATGGGGAGGACAGGAGGAGAGGGATGAATGTGGCTGTGAAGACTTGGGTGCTGGCTACGTTGACGTTGTAGGTTCTGTTGAAGAGGAGACGAGCGGTGGGAGGGTCTGCGCCATCATTTTCGTGGAATGATTCGAAGTTGGCGCCTAACAACAGTCAACAGAGGCCCGGTTATTTGGTGTCATGAGAACATACCGGCGTTGTTGATCAAAATGTCAACCCTGCCATACTTGTGCTTGACAAATTGAAAGAGATTTTTGATGTCCTGATCCTCGACGATGTCAATCGAGACAATGTCGATGCTACGACCAGCGTTTGGAAACTCATTGCAGAGCTCAGCGAAGGCTCTCTCCCCCTTGCGAGGATCACGCGAGCCAAGGATGATATGGTAGGTCTTTGAGGAGCGAATGAGGGCTTTGACAGTCTCGAAGCCGATGCCAGTGTTTCCACCAGTGATGAGGACGATTTCTTTGTTTTCTGCCATGTTTGTCATTGTGATGAATTGGCTGAGTTGGTTTGGTGAGCCCAAAGAGAGGATGAGCTCGTCAATTTATAATTATTGACAATATCCTCCGTAACACTGATTCACTGTTGTAAGTGTAGCTTCATACTGTTGCTTTTACGAAATCCTCCGGGTGTAAGCGAGCTTTGCAACGTGACCAACGAATCATAATGTCGAGATGAACCTTTGAATAGGCTAATAGATGAGGATTCCAAACATTCTCCACTCGAAAGGGAGATATTGGCATCACAATTGTATACCCCCTCGTCATGCATTTTGGGTAACAGACATGGTAGAACTTACACCGTATGTCGGCCTCAGGATGTCAGAAGAATCAGCCACCGAGAACACACAAGACGAAATAGTTTGGTCACTTTATGCTGGCCTAGGCTAGCATTTAGATTACTTTATTCCTGTAGTCTAAGCCTTAGAGGACAATTCTTCTGACACCCGGACATCGGACCCCTGTGGAGCTCGCGGTCTCGCGGCCGGAGATATCGCGCTAGGAGCCGGAGCCGGGTGGATAAGTTGTGCGAAAGGCTTCGGACACGGAGCAAGTGTTCATGTAGTACGAATACCTAAAAGAGTAATCTGTGTTAACCATGTTGATCAATGTGTTGCATGGTAAGAGGACACTCGCTTCCGTTGTACAACATAAAAGCGGAAGGTATCCGCGGTCGCTTATCGGACTAACAATCCGGCTTCCTGCATCGGAGTAGACCTCCGATGTCTCATACTCGTTCCGTTGGAAGGAGGAAAGAGCTGTAGGTAGCTGTTGAATCGCGATATCTACCCCGCATTACCTACCCCACGATGTCATAACTACAGCTTCTTTCTCTAACACCAACCTTCACATCACCAATAAACGTCATGTCTCTCAAGAAAGTCCTCCTCGTTGGTGCAAACGGTACCCTGGGCTCAGTCCTCCTTGAAGGTCTCGTGTCTTCAAACTCATTCGACGTCTCCGTCGCCAAACGTCAATCTTCCAAATCGACCCCAGCGCATGCAGACTCCGTCAACATCGTCACCATCCCAGATGACTTCGCCATTGACGCTCTAGTCTCTGCATTGAAGGGTCAAGATGTCGTTATTGCTTCGTTCCCATTGACGAATGTTGTTGACCAGCATTTACGTCTTGCGGAGGCTTCTGCAAAGGCAGGTGTTAAGCGATTTATCCCTGCGGACTTTGGAAGCTGTGATGCGCAGAGCGAGCAGAGCAAGAAGCTTCTTAAGCTGTACAGAGATAAGGATGAAGTGAGAAACAAAGCTATCGAGCTTACGAAGGAGTATTCCAGCTTCTCATGGACCTCTATCGTGTGTGGACATTTCTTTGACTATGGTATCCGCGATGGTCTGTTACACACCGATCTCAACACCAATAGCGCTGTGATTCTTGATAAGGGCGACGTTCCCGCCTCAGCATCCACCCTCTCCCGCGTCGCCGAGTCCCTCGTCGCAGTCCTCAAACACCCCTCCACAACCGCCAACCGACTCCTCTACGTGCAAAGTTTCTGCAAGACGCAACTCGAAGTAGTAGAAGCGCTCGAAAAAGCTACAGGCGCAGTGTGGGAGAAGGAGCATGTCAACTCGGACGAGTTCCTGAAGGAGCAGGTTGACAAGATGGCTGTCAAATATGACCCTCATGCGTTGGAGAAGATTGTGTTTGTGCTGGGTGCGCTGGATGCGGAGTGGCCTAAGAAGGGGGATTTTGCGATGAAAGAATTGGAGCTTGAGGATGAGGATCTCGATGAAGTCATGAAGGGGATCGTAAATGAGTGGAGGAAAGAGAGAGAAAACAGCAGGAGAAGTGACGGGATGGGACTTGTTATCTAGTTAACCTAAAAGTTATAGAAGAATTAGCCATCGAGCATATCTCATGCTACTTTATTTTTGTATTCTAAGCGTGAGAGGATAATTCTTCTAGCACCTACCTACTTGGCTATAGACCGTTAACAAGGAATTATCGTTGTTCGCATATCTTGTTACCCATCGGATGACATAAATGCCAAGCCAGTTTCTTCACCTTAAAGGTGTTGCACAGGGCTGATGACATCCTCAACCCCAACGACAGGATCTCGATATGTAAGAAACGTATCACAGAGACCTTCCAAATCCAGTATCTCAAGAAACAAACCCAACAACCAGCTCCAAATTCCAGCAGACAAATATAAGATCTCATATATCTCCCTTCAGCCAAGGCTCAGCTTGCATCATCGGGCTTCGTATTTCCCCAACGGCCATAACCCCATCCGGTGATCACCAGGGTCCGTCCAATCGACATACAGTAGTTACATCACCTCCATTCCTAGTTTGCGAGTGACAGGCTATCATTTTGTTTAATATATGGGGTAATCGGATCCTACTCGGGCTCTCGGAACATTTCTTGTGATATTTCGTGGAAGAGCCTGGGCTGACGAAGTGTGATGCCAGAGAGCGCTTGGCATGACATACATTTGTGACTGTCTTAATGATATATAGATGACTGAGTCTTCCATGTACGGGGAGGGATTTTGGAAAGGAAGTTGCAGCATAATGAGAGAGCTTGACTTACCAACACATAGCAACTTTACTTTTGTTACATACTACCAAGTGTCCATTCACTATGCTGTCTTATACCATCCTCACAACCCTCCTCCTCATGTATAACCCCAAATGCTTCTTGATAGACGAATCATAACTAACACCATCAGCTCTCCTACTATTGCAAAGAATGAATCTTGCGACATCACTACGAAGCCATGCCCAACCGTCACATCCACTGCAGAAGTTTGCTCAACCTGCATAACCCTCCCCTGCCTGGACTACTCCGTCATTCCCCTCACCCAAAAGGGCTGTCCCACACGTGTCTCAACCGTCTCAACCTCCTTCCCCTGCTCCAAGTCTGAGTGTCCCAGTGGTTGTGACACATCGTATGTTTACGCGTCTTCATATGGGACTGCCTCGAGTATCAGCGCAAGTCGCCTTAAACCCGCCCCTACCATCACCTCAATAAGAGCTACACCCATTTCTACCGTCACTGGAATAAAACTCACACCTATTTCTACTGGCCACGTTAGCAGCGTTATACCCATCCCCGACTGCCCAACCGTCACCGAGACAAAGACCATCTGCTCGGACTGTATCAGGCCTCTGTGCTTGAGCTTGTCGACGGTGAGTTCGGTATGTGGATGTCCTACAGCAGCGACTACTGTGACCACAGCATTTTCCTGTGGAGGAGATTGTCCTGAGGGATGTGGGACGTGGTTTGTCACTCCTACTGTTACGCCGGATTGCAAGTAGAGGCTGGTAAGTGTGGTTGGAGAAGTTAAAGTGGTTGCCTAGTGTGGCTTCTGCAGCGGAAGGCGTGAAACATCGGGAGGGCTGATGAAGATTGGAATGTAAAATATTCCGGGTGGCTGGATTTAGTGTTATACTTCCAGATGGAATAGTCTGGACACTCATTTATTGTTCTGGGATCGGTGTATTTTTAAGGCATTGAATGCGAACAACGTGGTGTTTGACCTTCAATTGGACTATTTGCTGAATATAATTGATTGCATGACAAAAGTCAGCCCAGCTTCAAATAGCTGTGATCCATTCCTTGCCGTGGTGTTGACGGAACGGCTAAGACACCACTATAGAATTACCAGCCACGGCACTAACCTCAACTGCCGCCGCTTGGAACGAAGACCCCAGAGCTAAGAGACTCTAGATCTACTATTCCCGAGAAAGTCAAATGACGTGCATCAGATAGTGCTATAGTCCACTAGAGCCTCATGGCTGATTATCAGATGGCTGGGCGTCAACAAGATATATATAAGACCCCTATCCTTGGCTAGCCTCATCATCAACAACTTCACTCACAAACTCATCGTCTCTGGATAACAACAGAAGATTTACTGAATAACAATATCTATAAAACCGCCAAGATGCTTATACTCATCCTCCTCAACCTCTTCACCCTAACATCCGCCCTCCCCTCACCATACCAATACATCGGTTGCATCTCAACAGCCTCCGCACCACCCTTTACCCCCAGCCCTATAAAAGCACCTTTCACAGCACCAGAATGTCTCAAGTCATGCTCTTACACCGCAACGCTCATCGCCATTGGCTCTGGCTCTTGTCTCTGCGACGCAGGTGGTGCTGCCGCTTCTTTCGAGCTCGTCGATGAGGCACGCTGCAATGCACCTTGCACTGATGATGGAAAATGTGGTGGGGAGGGTGTACTCAGCTTATACCAGCTTTCTTCGGGACGTGATGGTGACTGCAAGGGGAAGAACGGAACTGTCCCGCCTGTTGTGCCGACCTGTAACGTTTGCGACCACGTTAAGACTCCTGTCCCTACTCCTACGCAGACTCAAGTGGTTGTCACGAGTGTTATCTGCCCGCCTGAGGGATGCAGAACTGTTCTTCCGACTCCTGTTACGACACCTGTTGGAAACTCGACTGGGAAGCCGTGCCCATCCGGAGGATGCAACGGCAACAATGGAGGAGGCAGTCAAAATGGTTCGTCATCGGGATCATCTGGGTCTTCTGGATCGTCAGGGTCATCTGGAGAAGGATCGAATGAAGCACCGGCTCTTGTGAGCGACAGTCCCGAGCTTTTTACGCCGAGTATATTATCAGCTATCGCCGTTGTCATCTCTGGGATATGCTTGATATAGGATTGGGAAGGGATGTGCTGGATATTAAACACGGACGTTCGTTTGCATATTGTTTTGGAGTTTGGGATGGATGCGATTTATGATTTGATGGATGAACGGATTTGTCAACTTAGACAGCTAGTTAATTAGGACTGGATAAAATGTTGTTATCATTACTCCAGTCTTTTCCATGGTGTAAACAAGACCAGTGAATGAGGGTATCATACCAGGGAGTCTACCTACTTCGGCGCCTCAGTCAGCGGGACATATCTCACGCCAAACAACTGCTTCTTGGTGACCTCCCCATTACCATCCTTCTCAATCCTCCACACGTGCTGGTTATACCCCATCTTGTCATCATCAACGGGTATAAACATACTACCCCTGATCAGTACTAACACCCATACTTGAGCCAATGAACTTACCATCCAGGAGCCTTTAACTGCTCGATCAACTCGGGATGAATCTCCACGGCCGAAGCGCCAACATGAATGACGTCCCACCCCTTTCCCTCATGTTGTTCACCCTCCCTCGGTTCTTCAACCCATCCTTTTCTCCCATCACCAAACCTGAACCTCACCTTTCCACTCTCCAAGAATCGTCTTCCTTGCTCGCTTTTAGCCATATTGTTCTCGCCTAGCTCTTTCAGCTGCCTTATGTGTTCCAACCCAACGACAAGCCCCTTTTCGCCGACAAGTTCAGCCATAACGTGCGTTAAATACCCCGAGCCAGAACCGATATCGAGAATCCGTGGGGAGGGTGATGTTGAGGATGGGAGGAGATAGCTAAGGACGTGCTCGATGGCGGAGGCGTGCATATGTGGTGCTGATATCGTAGCTGCATGACCGATGGGTTGGGGAGAGTCTTCGTATGGAGCTGCTGGAGCGTAGTGTGCGCGGTCAACCTGGACTGTGAGCATATCCTTCGATACAAGAGAGGGGAGGCAGTACCTTGAGGAATGCCTCTTTTACTCGCGCATCAGTGATAAGTCCATTCTTCCACATGTTCTCGATCAACGCCGAGTTTGTATCGCCACTGCATGTCCAAGCCATGTTGATACTAAATAGTCGTCGCTGCTGTGTAAGTCGAGCAGATGTCCGTCTGAAGCAGCTTGGAAGAAAAGAGAGGGGTTTCCTGATGGGAGCCACGATGACGGAGAGTCGGAGTGATAGGTAGGAAGGTGGTAATGTGATGTTCGATCCAGACCGGAGATATTGTCATGAGGAAGGAGCAACGTTGCTAGCGACAGAACAGTTGTAATACTATCATCATGGTGGGAGCCGAGCTGCCGCAAGCTTGTGCGGGGCCGTTCCGTAATCCGGGGATCGGCGACGGCTAACCCCACAAAGTAAACCACGCGGCTAAGTTAACAGGGGCTTTAGTTAGGTCAACAGGGGATATTAGAGTTATTTATTTCAAGAGGGGGTTCTCTAAGGAGGTTGATCTTGTGTAAGGCTGTCCTTTAAGAGCAAGGGTTCAGCATCTGTGCAAATCCCTCAGACAGACACCTGACATGACCAGAGACACCACCATGTTCACAACCATAGATAAAAAGAGAGATCAAGATCAAATGTTTTTAGACATATATAGACGTATGAAACTGCGTGTGACGCGCCAAACAAAAAGCTTGTGGTAGGAAACCAGATATCCCTCCCGTCCATCCCATTCATTCCACCCAAGAAGAAACGCCCAAACAGAAGAACAAATAAGAGAAACGCTTACGTCTCTCGACTGATGCGCTTGCATGATGCGATATGTTGCGTTGTTGTACATGAAAAACTCCTCTCCCATATTCTTAAACTACTCGTGCAGAGGACTCGCCCTCGGCAATAATCGGGACGCCCAGGCCGCGATCAGGGCTCTGCAGGACGAGCTGCTCGTGACGACGGGCTCGTAGGAACTCGGCGACGCTCTTGATAAGAAGGAACCAGCCGACCACCATGAGCACGTATCCTAGCCACTCGCCTCCGCTGATGGTGCCTAGGTCTTCGTCCGTAACATCGCCTTGCTTAAAGTTGTGCGAGTTTGGGTCTGGTGGGGCGGCGTAGCCATCGGGGCCACTCATCGCTGGGGGCTCGTCTTCGGAGACGCCCTTCATATAGAAGCCGTATTGGATCAAGGTGATGCCGAGACCTGCGCGGGAACCGTTTTTGGCAGCGTGCGTGGAGTGCAGGAGATATGTGAGGAGGAAACCGACGAGTTGGAAGGATGTTGAAATCATGCCGTTCCAGACGAATGAGAAGAAAGATCCGACTGGCATGCCGTCGATGTAAACCTCGTCAGGTCCGCCCATGCCGGGGGCGAGGATTGTTGTCTCCCAGTATGGAGGGGCGGCATCGGCGGCGGCTTGTTCGTAGGACTGATGACAGTTAGTATACACACACTCAATTCTATGACCATGAGCAACATACCGGTGGTAGCTCATCCTTCTCGGGATCACTGTTGCCTCTCTCCGGACGCGCAGACAAGTTGGCGAAAACACCATCCGATCCAGAACCGCCTCCTACAACTCTTGTTGACCTTGATGCAGACGGCGCTGGTGCCGAGGCAGCCGGTTGAGCAGGGGTTTGCGTCGCATTGGCAGTATCGAACGACGGTGTCGAGTTTTGTCGCATCAACCGCCTACGGTCATCAACTTCATCGTCGCTATCGTCGTCATCGTCAAAGGCATCGGCGAGGGTGGAATCGACTTGACGGTTGGGAGAGGGGGCTCGGGAGTGAAACGAGGGCGGTGGCGAGTGGGGGACCGAAGATGATAAATGGTTGTTGTTGTTGTTATGAAAGTCTTCCTCGTCTTGGGCGTTAACCTAAGGCTGGTCAGTTTTTTGTATTCCTCTCAACGTTTCGAGGTCGCGACTTACTCGTTCGTATCGTCCTGACATGATGGGCTATCGTCGGGCTGCCTCCCGAAATCCGATTACCAATGAAAATAAACGCGATGTCGTAGGGGCGAGAGAAAAGAAAACAAGAATCGTGAGACCAAGAGGAAAGGAAGTCGAAGAAAAAACAACACAAAAGGAGAGGCAATCTATTTGGCGAGAGGTTATGCGATAAGGTGTGAAGGAGCGACGGCGGCAAAAGGTGGGTTTTCAGGCGTTTCGTTGGCTTTGAGATTCTGAAGAGCGATTACGAGGCGAGGAGAGAATGGAAGCCTGAAGCGCCTTAGTCAAGATGCGGCGGACGGGACAGTATTCGGATCCCGTTCGGTATCGCCACAGTGTGGATAGTCACAGGGGGATGTGTCCAGAAGGGTCTTCAGGGGGTCTTGGTACCTACTCGAAACGCTTTAGCGCACTGTACTTGTACTTTAAATTTGTCCTTCACAGCCCCTTGTTTGTTAGTACTCTTTCAGAGGCACAGCAAAAAACAAAGACAGCTGAAGTTTGAGTGTGACTTTGTTTCTGCAGGCGGTAGAACAACATAGAACTGAATGACAAACGATGCGGCTTTGACCTTTTTCCCGGTTTCTCGAGATTGAGGTGGGCTGTGTCAGGTCGTAGCATTAGACCCGACTGGTCTCCACCTCCACATTGAATCATATCACGAGCTTGTCCTTTTTGAGGTGAAGAATGGATGAGGCTTCCATTTTCAAGGGTCTCGTGGTGGCCTGAGGCAATTCACGCATGACCCAATCAGATGCATTTCAATGACAGTCTCAATAGCGATCGGCACTGTAATGAGACACTGTCGTATGGAATTTCTCTGATGGTTGACGTCGAGATATTCTGTGGCAGAGAGGTTAATTCTAGCAACTACAACAGCCTCAATTCACAATGTCTCGATCATTATCTGTAAGTAGTTACTGCCGTCAATATGCCCAAACTACCAGAGAGCTAATATTTGTGCTTTTTGTAGCAAAAGATTTACTCAGACGTCTTTGCGCGCTGGCCCAAGCAGGCTCTACGACCCGATCACCAACTCCAAGATGTCCTAGGCAAGGCCATTACCGAGCGATTCCAGAACTATAAGCCCTCCATGGAGCGCGAGGAGCTTCTCAAGGCGCGGGCGCTGCAGTTCCTTGCCCAGGACCGATACCACGATCGAGTACGTGCGACGATGTCATACAAGCCATGACGGAAGCTAATATTTGTACAGTTCAAGCTTAAGGGTCGATTGCTAGAGCCAAAGAGTCAGCCTACATACTTTGCGGATCTAGTAAGGGAGATTGACGAGGCGCCGAAGAGATCATGGTTTGAGAGATTGGGTAAGAGGTTGTCGGGTATGATTCGGTTCCAGTAAAGATGACGATAAACGAAATGCCGGACAAAACTACGGAAGGATAATGTTGGCATCTAACGTGTATATGTAAATTGTACTTGTACATTGTATCAAAAAAGCGATTCCCCCATTATATTGCCCGCTCTCCAACGCCTTTTGAACATTTATATACCAGCATGTTTTAGATGTACTTCTCCTCTGGATCTATCTTGGTGAACCACACCTGAATCTGCTCATACGCCGTAAAGACCAATCCTCCTGAAACAATCAATCTCGCCAATCGGGGTAGCGCTCCGCTCCAGAAGGTCAAGACACCCTCCTGCTTGAAGATAGTTGTCGCACACTTGAAGCTGTTTCCGTATGTCTTGTGCGCCTCGATACTCTGCATTCTCGTCTTGATAGTGTCGAGCGGCTGGGTGACGTACACGGTGATCAAACCGGCCAGACCACCAATTCCGAATGTTCCCACGACGCCAAGCTTCTCGCCTGGTGCTGTGTACGACTCGGCCATTTGCTTGAAGAAGGTGTAGGCGGTGAAACGGGTTGCGCTGTTGGCAGCTTGTCGGGCAGTCGTGGGGACGAAGCCTTGGAAAAAGCCTCGGAGACCGCGCTCGCGAGCGATGATGGGGACGGCGTGTAGGAACCCGCGCAATCGAGGTTTGGCAGATTTGCGGTCGTCGATGCTATGGCGGGTAAGCTTGGTTTGCGAAGTGATTGGGTTGGACTTGACTTACAGTGTGGTCTTGATGCTCTCGGTGGGAGTAACGGCGAGCAATGACTCTGTTACTCCAGCACCGAAACCAGCAATGACCGTTCGAGGTCCAGAGAGCTTGCCATTCTCGTCAGCCAGCAGCGCCTTGTACTGATCAAATGCCACGAATCCTATCCTCAGTTAGCCGCTTTGCCCTTGCGATGTAAACTCGGGAAATGGCATACGGATTCCAGCCTTAGCTGCGTTGCCAATGATCAGAGTGGTGCATCCAGCATACCACTGCTTTCCGAACGGAGGCCAAGGGAGCTTCTGACCCTCGGCTAACCGTCTGTTCAACTGTGACCTGGTCTTTGCGACTGCGCTCTAATCAGTCCCAGCCTATTCCAACGGTATCTCGGCAAACGTACATTCGGCAGGATAAGTGATAGCTAAACCTCAAGTTAGTCTCCCAGCTTCAGAGTCGCGTGAGTGTTCTGCGTACCAATCTCAATGGCACCAGCCGTTGAACCAGCGATGACGGATCGCAGAGGGCTGGGCTGCTTCTTCTTTTCTGCTGGCTGCGCTGTCGACGCCATTTTGCATTGACTTTTGGTGGTTGAACAGGAGCTCTTTTTTTATGGACGTGGGGGATTGAATGGATTTCGTCACTTTTACTGCTGTTTCGATTCACACGTGCGCCGATGTCGCTATAAAGTTTGGGGTCGGTTACTGTAGTGGGCTCGGTAGCGGATCGACGGCGGTTAGAGGTCGGCTATTGGAGGCTACAGCAATGAATGCATGCAATCGCAGTCACAAAGTTCATTGAAGGAAGTAATCATATGTTGAGTGAAAGGCCTAATTGCTTGAGATTTTGTTATTTGGCGGTCAATAGATTTAACCTCGTTTGGAACGGTCAAAATCTCAGCGCAGCATACCTAGCGCCAGGCGAGTTGCATGTAACCACGACAACTTCTCCGACCAAAGCACTGCACTTAGCCATGGATACATGCCTCACTCTACCCTGTATTAAGATCAATCTATGATAATATTTATTAAGTTGACATCCACATCAGAATGCAGCCTGCCGACGGTGAGGATTACTCTTTCCCTCATAGGTACATGCTGTTTGCAGGGTAGGTGATTGTTGCCAGATGGCCAATCTCACTTACACCAACTGTCTTGAATAGGCAACTCTTCCAAACCAGGCCTGTCGCTTCCCGCAGACATGAAGTACGCACCAACTAGACTTTCCAATGGTAAATCATTGAATGAAATGCCAATAGCTGTTTGATAAGAAAGAGGGCATAGCTGTTGACTGAATGTTTAATATTAAAGGCTGGGGATTTCCTCGTAGGGCATCGACCGCTTCCCAACCATCTACTGACTGCACGCTTTCTGACTGTTTTCCACATAATGATGCCCGCGAATTTCTACATTCGAAAAGAGCTTGAAGCCTTGAGCTCAGATGTTCCGCCCCGAGACATAGTCAGAAAGTTCCTTTCTCCGGGGATGACCTTTGAAGACGTTGCGCCTGCACACCCCTATCGAAGCCAGATCATGACCCCAAAATTCACGAAGGACAATCAGAGCGAGGAAGACCGACGGGAGGCAATAGAAAGAGCGAGGCTCTACAATGCATTTGCCGACTATCAATCCCCCTATGGCATACCTGTCAAAGTAAAGACTTATCACGCCGTCAATCCCTGGGATGATGTCTCGATTCTCCGGGTCCTCGAGGAAGCTTTTGTTAAGCTGTGCTCAGCAACGACTGAAGATCATGCGAAACATGAGATGATCCCTGTCCTTGGTGTCGAGTTTGTACGCGGCAATCGAAAATACCATGGAGTATACCGCTCTACCGGGCGTCGTTCCACATGGACGGTTTCTCTTGCAGGCTTGAAGGAGATCGGATTGGACCTGGAAAGTCTCGCCGCCACTATGGGAGATGCTCTCGCCATGATTATTTACAAGTGTGGGCTGACGTACGTTGGCTCATTCTTTTTCCGCCCCATGCCCATCGACAGCAATGAACACCCTGGCTCTTCTACGATCAGCCTCTATATCAGCTTGGTAAACTTCGAGATTATGGATGCGAAATTCCTTTATCCTCTTGCAATGAAGGCAATGCTGGGCTATTGGAAGCTGAACGTCCCTTCACCCAACGTGTCGCCATACTTGTGGAATCTATTCAAGATGGCGTTCATCAGTCGCGGCAACAGATACTGTTCTATTACGCTTGGGGTCACCCCTGAGGATATGATGCAACGATTTGAAAGAGTAGCGGAAATAGATAGTATTGTCAATTCAAGCCAGGTAGTTGACGATATCACAAATCTATGCATTCTCATATCTAAAGATGCTGAATATTCGATGCTTTACAAATGCCAAACAAACTCCACCAGATGCCTCATTCATATCTCATACTCATACCCATCGCTCTACTTCTTGCGTCCCCATTTCTGCTCTAACCCAGCCTTCCACTCCCCAAAACTCGCAACCTTCCCATTCCCAAGCAGAATCTCCCCTCTATGCAAAACCCTCTTTAACGGCGGTACACTGAACCACTTATGATCACTTCTACAGATCAAATCATCCCTATGATCACTCGTCTTATTTCCCTCACCCTTGATGACAGACATACACTTGGTATCGTACGTCTCCATACAGAACTCGCAGATAAAGTACTCATCCGAAGGAGGAATAAGGTCTAGGCACTGCGCGCAGTTTTGGCGCATGGTCTGAATTTCGGGGAGTTTGGGGTCCAGACGTTGAAGGACGGGTGAATCTTCGGGTGTGGAGGCGAGGATCTTGGGATCGACTTTGCGCATGGATTGGGCAAGGGCCACGGCGTTTTCGATGTCGTCGGCTGCGATGAAGAGCCCGAGGAGGTTATCAAGGGCGTATTCGTCGTTTGACACATCGTCGTCCGATAGAATATCTAAACTGTCGTTTATGAGAGCGCGGAGATCGCGGTCTGTGGAAGGGTTTCGACCGAGGAGGCGGTTGAAGAGGATCATGTAGATAGCCGCAATATTGACATCTGATCCGACCATTTCAATTGGCATATCATGGTTCTGGTGTCGGTTTTGCTTGTGTTTGATCTTCTCTAGCTCTTCAAGCCATTCGTCCGCTTCCTTTGTTCTGAGACCTGCGTGAAGAATGCGCTCTTTATATAGCGATGCGAGTTTCTGGAATGCGAGTGCGTAAGCTTGTCGTGTGGGAACATTGCCTCGGGGGCGGTAGCCGAGTTGTGTTATACCCTCGAAGAGATCGAGCGCAGCTTCAATGTCTCGACTGTATGTGTATGTCGCGCCGAGGGCTAGACGCAGATACAACGCCTTGAGAGGATCGCGTGTTGCGGTAGCGACGTCGATGGTGAACTGCAACCGATCGTACACGAACTCTGTCGCGCCGACTTTGCTGGCAGCTTTGGGAATCCAGTCGATAACAAGAGGTTTGTTATGAAACTCAAGCAGAAAGTCTACAAGACGAGTACGACTTTGCTCTGCGTCGGTGACTTGCTCGGACATTTGCTCGAGGAACTTGATGACAGCCTCATGACGGTTTTCTGTAGCCAAGAGCTCAAGATATCCAAGCTCTGGCTCAAAGTACTCCTTGCACTCCTTGCGATCGAGACCGACATCCTTGGCGCTTGTAATGGACTTGATAAAATACTCGAGTGCCTGGTCGACTTTGTTGAGTTCCTCGTAGCAGCACGCAATGAGGATGTGATCCTTGTACAAGCGCCATTTACAGCTCTTCAAAGCCTGCTCATCAAGCTTTCCACTATCAATGCTCTCGCGCTCAATAGTCTCACACTTAAGCGCTTGCTCTAGCGCTTCCTTGAAACGACCATCACACGACAGACAGTACGCAATGCGACCGCGCGTCTCGACGCTGTTATTATCGAGAACAAGGGCCCTATCGTAGTGTCCCAACGCCTTGGTGTGCATACCGTTGGTGAGGTACGTGCTTCCAAATCTCCTGTGCCAGTGAGCACTTTCTGGGATCTTCGCCCACTCAGATGCTTTGACGAGACGAGTGTCGATGGGGATCTCGGTCCAGTGTGTGTTGCAGTCTGACCAGGAGTATCCCTCTTGCATAAACGCAATTGACTGTACGATCTTGAAGCAGAAGAGTGTTGGGATGTATTTTTCGAACTTTTCGGATAACCAAGCGCGGGCGTATAGGTCGCCGATGGGTTTGAAGATGCCGGGCGATTCCTTGACGCTTTTGCTAGCCCACTCACGAGCTTCGGGGTTCAAAGAGGCAAGGACATCGGCATCGCCCATCCATCGTTTAAGACCCTTCATATTGGCGTCTGTAAGAACCTCGAGACCTTCGTCATTCTTCTCGTACATGAGTGTCCAATCAAGAATGATGTTATCGTCAGTTAGCATCTTGTACACATACTCGCCCAGAATCTTCTTCTCGGGCGCAGGGACCGTTGCGGGATCGAGCACGGCTAAATGTTCCTGCCAGTACCAAGCAGCATATTGCTTAATGGACTCGCGACCGCTAGGTCCAAGGCGATGTCTCTCGAAAGCAGACTTGTCGGTGAAGATAGAGAGACAGGTCTTCAAAATATGGATTCGCGAGACGAGGGGATCGAAGCCAATTCCCGAGCCGTACTTGGAGGAATTTTCTGTGCTGAAGAAGCCTTTGATGGAAGAGTGGAAGAAAGTAATCCAAGTATGTGTCTTGCTTGAACGAAAGTCCATGTCGCTCATAGGATCGAAAAGGTCAGAGTTAGCTGCCGGACTGACACCACGACCGGGACTTCCTCGCACAGGACTTAATGCATGCGTCGGACTGGCGCGTCGAAGAGGAGAAAGGTTTCGTGAAAGATCAGGAGTCCCGGTTTGACGACCAAAGATGGTAGGACTCTTTGGACTTCCACTTCTTCCAGAACCTGGTCTGCTCGCAGAACTTGAACGTCTTCCAGATCCTAGATCACCGTTTTTAATGCGCTGCTGCTTTTCGTGCTCACGGATAAGATCATCTGTCGTCAACCCATCCTCTCTCTCAAGCTCAAAAAAGCACGCATACTGTCCTCGAAGCGTCTCTTCAAGATGGAATGGCGGATCCCCAAAGCGCATGATCAGCACAGCCTCCAATTGCTCCAGCGACAAGACTTCCTCCGCGCACGCAGCCCATTGTAGCATCTCCTGCAGATCCCTCTTCTGTTCCTCATACAGCGCTTCAGAAAGATTCTTGAGCGTCTGCGCGATGATGCCGTTAATCTCCTTGGGATATGACTGCAGACTTGTAAGAATACTCTGCGGGTGTCGCTTGCGGCTAATATCCTCGATCATAAACTTGGCGAGGATGAAGAGCCCATCTGCTTGTTTGACCATCGCGTCGATGATCTTTTGACGGAAGTCGGGTGGTGTGCGGCTGAGGTTGCGGAGATGCCAGACGCTGTCTTCTATGTAGAGCTTTACGTCTTCTGCGTTGCGATCGGGCGTCACGTGGAGGGTTGTTATGACTTGACTGCCACGATTAGCAGGATCGAGAGTGTATGTCACCGTCTCAGTCAAGTATGTCCTTCCAATAAGAGCAACTTGGATAGTGACGTGTTTCGGTCTTCGAACAGATTCATCATCTGAGCCCATCTGTTCGAGTAATTCTTCCACGCCTGCAGAGTCCGCTTCGTCAATACCGTCGAGGAAGATGTAGATGGTCTTCGCTTGTGCTTCCTGCTGGAAGGGCTCGACGAAGAGCTTGCGGTATGCACTGGGGATTGTGCGAATCTCATCGATGCTGTGTACGTTTTTGAGGAGCTGTTTTGCGTAGAAAGGATCGCTTTCGCTGAGCTGGTATGCGACGTCGCGTAAAGCTTGGAGAACTGAACGGGTTTCTGGGTTGTTGTCGCGGAAGTAGAAGTATGCCAGGCGAGGGATTCTCTCTGAACCCCATGAGATGAGACGAGTGGTGAGATATGACTTTCCGGTACCTGTTCCAGTGTAAGTGTTTGTCAGTAAGTTGAGCGACAGTACATACCTGCTGCGCCTGTTATCCAGAGAAAGTTGGTCTTGTTATCCATCCACGCTCTGAATCCACCATCTGTCAAGATCCAGTCTCCAGTCGACTCGGCTCTCGACTTATTGAACATATTAAAAAAGTCCACCGGAAAAGGCGAAGGATCGAGTATCTCCTTCAGCTTGTCCTGATGCGCCGCAATCGTACGTTCCCGTCCCTCTGAGCGTATCTGCATCATGGTCTGGTTCATCTCCTCCAGCTTGCTCTGCATATTCTCCGTCGTGACATTGAGCTTGCTCACACCTCCATACGTATCAGCAAGAACCTGTCTCTCTTCTCCAATGTTGAGAGCCTTGAGATTGTCCAGTGCTTCCTGCACGGGCGTGCCTTTGCCAAAGAGGGTTCTGAAGTACGCCTTGAAGCGACCGCGACGAATCTCTTTGGCTGCTAGGACAAAAACTTCAAAAAGCTGTGCTAGAATTGTAACAACTTTATTTCGTAGTGCACTTCCCATGCGATATTGCACGTAGACATCTAATCGTGAAGTAAAGTCCTAGGCATTGCGTTAGTAACGATCTCCTCACAAGCGGGGTTCATATTTCACTCACCTTCAACAGCTCAAACAGCTCGACGATAGTATCATAAGCAGACGAAACATCGCGCGCAGCACTAATAAGATACGTAACGGCTCCAAAGATGCCCTCGGCCGGCGCAAAGGTCTCAGCTGCAGCGCCACTCACGATTTGCCCAATGGTCTCTACTGGGTCAAGACAGGCAGCAAGAGCGCTAAAGATAGACTGACGCTTCTCGCGAAACTTTGCGAATTGCTCATTTTGCTTGTCGACTTGGGATATGAGGTCTTTGACGTTACTTATGGGCGGGTTGAGGAAGTCTTTGAGGGTGCGTTTGGACGAGTCTGAGTACAATTTGCTTGCGTCGTCGAGAATCTGTGCGAATTGGGCTTCTGCGGTTTTATCTTTGCGGACCGCCATGATGATAGACGGTCCACAGATGTGTATGAGAAATAGATGAAGAGAGGAAAAAGATGGGAAATAGGTAGAGTTTATTAACAAAAACACTTGGTGTTTCAGAAACTAGGCTGTGATGTCTGGCAGCCTTGACGCTAGGTGTGACTCTTTGACTGGTGGAGACTGAAGCTCAGAGCAAATGATCAGTCGAGTTCCAGAAGCAAAGAAGATAGAAGAATAAACCCCTGTAATTTGGTTGGAAATAAACAGGACTGGCTTGACTGTCGCACTCCATACTCGGTCGGTAACTTATTGCTTACTGCATTTATACCATGCCTCTGTTGGTTAAGGCTGTAGGGCGATCTATGGGGCTTTTCGCACAGCACAAGATGGTTACGAACAAAAAAGGCTGAGTAGCACAACTCGGACTTCTGTAGTAATTGTAAATAGATTCTGGTCATATATGATTAATAGCATTTGCGTAAGCCACCAAACGTCGTAGTCATAACGAGAGGCGTTCAGTTGATTAGGGGTTGGGTTTCACCGCACGTCCTGTAAATCCCCCCCCACAGTTGGTGGCTGTAGCGACAACGTGACCAACGGTTTAGCCTTGATGGAATGCCGTTAGTTGTCGATCTTTTGACGATTAGGCAGCTGACAATTATACGTAATCTATTCGTTTACATCCTTTGAGAGGCAATAAAAACAAGAGTCATAGAATAAAGCCTTCTTTATACATTTGTGTTCCGGGTTGAGTTTACGAGGCTGCCCAACTTCTATCCATCTCAAGTGGATATATTCGCTAGCATAGCCTTCAGGCGGCTCGGGCCGTTACTCTCACCCGTGAGGACATATTGGTGTTTTGGTCGACGGATTTGACATTTCAATTGGCGTTCTCCTGCTTCGAAACTAAAATAACATGTTGGAAAATTGATGTACTCGCACCCTCGCCTCAACATTCTGTATCTCAGAGACTATCCAGAACAGAGACAACAAGACTCTCAGCATTCTCCTCCTTCACACCAAGCGACCCAGAATCCGACTCCTCCCACGACGGGGCAACAAGACAGGGCGTCTTTGCCCCATTATACAATTGAGCAACAGCCAAATCCAGAATCCACCCGCCCTCGCTCTTCTCCTTCTTCTGCCTTGCTCCATCAATGAGCTCCTGAGTAGTTCGTCTCTCAATTCCCCATTCCTTTCCTGTTCCTTTCCGAAAGGCCTCCAATAAGTCGTTCTGGCAAGTCTTGATTGACATGACCTTGACAGTACGGTTCGCCGTCTCGACTGGGTTCTGAAAAATGCCAACTACAGACTGTCCAATGCCTTGTAGTGTAGTCCCTGTGAAATGTTCCCTTCCTTCATCGTAGATGATGGCGGACTGGTTCTTGATATCAAAACCCATGGTAGGAAAGCGTTTGAGGGCCCAGTCAATGGGGTTGCCAGTTGCAATGCTGGTCCAAGTGAAACCTGGGTTTGCAGCTGCATGTTTCTCTGCCTGCTCGAAACCAACAGCTCGTTGAGCACGCACTGGGTCAAACTCAGGAAAGCTTTCAAAGTCGGGACCCCAGCCGAAATCGGCTACGATGAATCGTGATACACCAGCTGCTTCAGCGGCGTCGATCATAGTTCCTTGGAGAGGAATACCGGCCGGTCCGACGGCGCATATAGCTGCATCTTGTCCAGTCAAAGCCTTGGTAAGAGACTCGAGATTGTACTCTGTTCTGACAACAGGGATGTTGTCCGGAAATGTAGATTTAGATTCAGTGCGTGTGATGATGGTAACATCGAAACCAGCTTGTATGAGAGCAGAAGTGATAGGTGTGCCGAAGTTGCCAGAGGCCTGGAAACGTTAGTAAGTAGAGGGTACTTGAGCCGGGGTGTCTTACACCAAAGATAGCGACTTTAGTAATTTGAGTGGTAGACATTGTGCTTTAGTGGTGGTAGTGATGTGTGTAAGTCAATGTTTCTTTGGGTGAGATTGTCTCGATTGGGTTGACTTTATGGACGGGTCGCCCCACCAGGCGGAATTCCGCCAGCTAAGATGAGACTAGCAACGACTTATACCAGACTACAATCGAAAATGCTATAGAAATATAGAAAGATTATACACATCGAGTACAAGAATGTCATACAAAGTCCTACTCCAATGCTTTCCTTCCATAAATAGAGTAGCTAGCAATGTTAATAATGTTCACTCGCAAGTTATACACGAAGAAAACTTACATAGGCCAATAAGCATGAGTATTCTTGTCTGCCATTACCTTTCTCTGATCAACCAAGAACAGAGTAACCTCCTCAGGCGTCCATCCATGAGCTCTCGTCATCGGAGCCATACTGAACGCCTCCAACCCACTAGCCATATTGACATAACACCACTCTCCCAACAGCTTAGCCTTCTTGTCCTTGGGCCATCCGTTGATAGGCCATTTGAACATCTTGACCTCGACATCTACAAATCCAACTTCTCTCATGATATCAGCGAGAGGGGGAATATCTTGGTACGGACGGCCGAACTTGATGGAAGCTTCTGTTAGGAGACGTAGGGATTTGAGCATAATGTTGTCCGGCTGGAGGGTATCGTCGTCGGATTTCATGTTTAGGTCTGCTTCTTGGATTTCCATGTAGCCGCCTGGTGCGAGATTGCTGGAGAAGTTAGAAGTGGTCGGTTTAGTGATCGGAGACTTACGCGTGGCATTTGGTGAGGAAGTCGGTCCAGCTTGCAAGAGCAGAGGACATGAAGCGGCTGTGTATGTAGTCGAATGGTTGAGAATAGGTCCAGTCGTCTTCGATATCTTCAATCACGAAACTGAGATTAGGAGGAACGCTGATCTTTTTAGTACAGGAAGGATAAAATCAGAGGCTAGGAGCATACAAAGCTGGCTGGATGGGAGATAGATCAACACCGATCACCTGAGAGATTCATCTTAGTAGCAATTAATTCGGAGTTCAAGAGACGAGGTACCTGAGCCTCAGGGTGTTCATCGGCGTAGTCAACAGCCCAGATTCCCGTACCCGTACCGACATCTAGTACACGTTTGACTTTGGAATCGGGATCATTTGGTGGAGCGAGGCCGAGTTTGTCGTCGAGAGTGAGAAGGAAGAGATTGTGCTGGAGGTCTGTGAGAGAATCAGCTTGTATGCTCTGATAAATAGATTATGTCTTACCTAGTCTTTCGTTCTCTGCCTCGTCGTTAGGAAGAACGTATTCTTGTACGCATCATTAGTATATGACGAGGACTCAAATTCGAGATATGAGATTGCCTTACTCCCATCCTTGTAGGCATGGTACGTTCTACCATTCTCACGACGGTAGTTCAGGATTGAGCTCGAGATACTTGCAGTAGACGAGGAAATGTCCTGAAATCCATGAGTCACCACAGACAATTAGGGGAGTGAGTGACATTCTTACCTCTCCGAGAGAAGAATCAGTATCATCAGCCTGTGCTTGTCAGATCATATTCCAAATTCGCAGGATGACAACATACCGACCCATCAGGGATAATGGCCGCCGGAGGAGCTTCGTATGTTTGAGCCATTTTTAAAACAGATGTTCAAAGAAGTCAGTTCCTAATGAAGTTTTCGAAGAGTAATCATGCCAGAAACTTCACCACTTTATATGTTGGCCCTCCCCGGTCTCGGTAAACTGTTGGTTGCACTGTACTTCCAAACGTGGATTTATCCGTTGTACCGCCGCTCCATTTTAGAAGAATCTGGCGATTTATACACCAATTACAACTTTGTGCAACTCCAAACAAATGAGTGTTCATGCTGGACCTCGTATGTGTTGGTTTGGAGTTGACATGTCATACTACGCCGCAGAGGCTTCGACATGATATGAGGGTCAAGGCCGCGTAGATCCTGGAAAACATCTGACGGTTCTTTGTCCCGCTTGCCGAGCTTCAAGTGAGATCTTTAATCTGACATCCATCCTACTGTTTCTGAGTGCCGTTGTTTAGTGAAGGAAGGTATGTAGTGTGCTCACTTGCCCCATCCCATGCAACTCATCCGCGGATAATTTCTGTCAAAAAGCCAAAATATAGTACATTAAACATTTGTCCATATCAACTGATCAGAAAACGTTCCCGTCCGTTACTTCCACCTCTGATATCACAAAAATAAAGATGCAGATAAGCTTAAGGAGAAGGCGTGGGAGTAACGGTCGCTTGCCCAGTGTAAACCACGTGGGAGCGCCACCAACGGCGCAACACCACGAAATACCACAACGAACAAAAAATTGGTTTGAAAGCAAAAGGATAACTGCACTGTGAAGCGCTGTGTAATGCGTAATCTGGGAATCGAACCCAGGGCTCCCCGATGGCAACGGAGAATTTTACCACTAAACCAATTACGCGGTTACTGATTGTTGAAGACTGACCTCCGTATTGAAGTACAAGAAGTATGCAGCGTTTGGAATGTGGCGATGAGTTATCTATCATTTCACTAGGTGCTTTCTTGAACATGGCGGAATGTGTCCCCAGAAACGAAGAGCATGTGGCTAACTTTAGTCCTAAGTTTAGAGTTCATCACAACGGTCACCAAAGTTAAATGCGTATACGAACCAGTCTCAACGTCCGAAGGGTGGAGTAAACTTAAGCAAGCCAGCGTAAAAGGACGTTCACAATGGGGGTCAATTGATTCCCCCACGATTCTGTCATCGAGAGTTTGGGGTGTCTAACCAATCCTGAACTATCGCATCCTTCAGACTCCACGCTAGCTTTCGTCAAACGATCCCTCCCCCAAAGCTCAAAGGGACATTATATGACCTGGACCTGCAGTATCAGTCTCACTTTAACGGTCACCCTGCAACTTACTTGTTGAAATCATGGCCTCAGATAACTCCACCATTACTTTCACAAACCCCGTCATCAGGGGCTTCAACCCAGACCCCACCATCTGCGTGGTTCCAGCTATGGATTCTGCGCCAACAACATTTTTTCTCAGCACTTCGACTTTTGAGTTCTTTCCAGGCTGCGCGATTTATACATCTACCAACTTGATCGATTGGAAACTCATTGGTCACGCTCTGACTCGTCGGAGTCAGATCGATTTGCGTACTGTTGAGCCGGGTGCTGGAAGTTGGGCAAGCACTTTGAGATATAGACCAGAGGAAAAGAGGTGGTATTTGGCCAATGGGTTATTCCACAGATATCGACCTACAATTGATGTTAGTTTGTCTACGGGGCATTGGGCTTGAAACTAATGTTGACGTAAGGAACGTATCTTCCCTCGGGGCTTCTATGTATGGACTGATAATATTTGGGATGATAATGCCTGGTCCGACCCGGTTTACTTTGATAACCCGGGCTTTGACCAAGATGTAAGCGTCCTTTGCATCCACTTGCTCATGTTACTGACGGCAATCAGCTATTCTGGGATGACGATGGAAAGGTTTATCTATCCACAACAATGCGCATCGCCTGGCGCGACCCAAACTCGAAACAGAAGGACTTTGCAATCTACATCTCCGAGATAGATATCTCAACAGGCCGGACACTCACCCCACCAAAGGTTATCCGGGAGTCTCCCTATGGCCTCGCAGAAGGATCACATATCATTAAACGTGGAGACTGGTACTACCTCTTGACTGCCGAGGGAGGCACAGAGCTAGGCCATCAGGAATGGATACTCCGCAGCAAAGATGGCCCGTATGGTCCTTGGGAGAGTCAGGGTAAACCGCTATGGTATAATGGACCCGATGAAGAGGTTCAGAGAACAGGGCATGTTGATGTTTTCCAGGATGGGGAGGGGGACTGGTGGTCTGTTTTGCTAGGCGTGAGGCCGGTCAAGCATAATGGAGCCTTTTTGGAACCTCACTTAGGTATGGTAAGCTGACCCAATCGGTGAATTCGTGCTGATTCTACTAGGTCGAGAGACCTTTCTTGTCAAGGTTGAATGGGAAGACGACTGGCCTATTTTCAACGACGGTAACAACATCTCGTTGACGACCGCAGGACGAGACATTGTCAAGAGCGCCTCAAATCAAGGTCCACAGATATGGAAGGCTGATCTCCAGCGAGATACCCTCGAACTAGGATGGTATCAGAAGGGTATGTTCTTACACGGAGTCAGACATTGGCATTATTGACAAATTCCAGGAACACCTACCAAGCAAAGTTACAGTCTTACAGAACGACCTGGCGCTTTGAGACTTTATGGAAATTGCTACGACTTGACAAGCCCCGAGGCTCCAACCATGCTTCTTAGAAAGCAGACTTCGTACAACCAGATTTTTAGAGCCAAGATGAAGTTTAACCCTACGGTTCGAGGGTATGAAGCTGGTGTTGTTCTTTGGTGGAGTCAATACTCCTACGCTTCTCTCGGAGTCGTCGCCTTGCTTGGTGACAATGGCACGTTAGTCCCGAAGATATCTTACAAGGGCACGACCGGAAAAGCTGGAGAATTCAAGGTGATTGAGCCACAGCCCGTTTGCAGTAACTCTACTGACGTTGTGACAGACGTCCACTACAGATTTGGAGGGAGGTCTAGGTAGCACTGTCGACTTATGTATTCGCGCCTATTTGACCCAGTACGAGCTTTCAATCGAGTCAGAAGGAAGGCAATCGGAGGTCTTTACTGTAGAGACAAGTGCTTTGACGGTCATGCCTCGTTTTGGAGGATGTTTTGCTGGTGTCATGTTTGGAATTTACTCGTGCGGAAAGAACCAGCCTGTGTTGGACCCAGCCGACTTTTGGGACATCAGTACTGAGGAGCTTGAAGCATAATCGTTGCAGCAGGAATAATGAGAAAAGATGGAGAAAGTTCACTACATTTGGCACTTACTATCCGATGTCAAGAGTGAGGGTTCGTAAGCATGGTAGCCACCCTACACTAGCCGAATCATTGAGTAGTAAAAAATAAAAGAAAAAAGGTAAGACCCATTCAAAAAGAGAAAATGCAAAAAATGATTCGCCTGTGTAACACAGGTGGCGGATCTCTCCCGCCGGGAATTGAACCCGGGTCTCAAGCGTGACAAGCTTGCATACTGACCACTATACTACGGAAGATGAAACGGCTGAAGCCGCTTGTAGTGAGTGTTTGTTGGAGGGAGCAGCGCTATACTAGTAGATATCCCTATTCGATGCACCAAGTCCAAAGCGTCTGCAGCGACCGTGACTTCGTCACACCTCAGTCCCCGCAGGGCCATCTCTGATCTCGTTTCTTTTTCTATCTTTGCATTAGCACTACCATAAACACTTGGTGTTTCAGTTTTACTACGTATCTTGATTGACGTCATCGTCTTGTGTATCAATGTCGTGGTAAATGTGCCCCTCAGTCCAAAGAATTGAAGCTGAAAGCATCCTCAGGGTATCAGAAGAATTGGCCCTCAAGAACAGAAGAGACGAGATAGCTTGGTCACTATATACTGGATTATGTCAGCAATTAGACGTCTTTATTATGGTAGCCTAAGCTCTAGAGGATAACTCTTCTGACACCCACCTGGCTATCAATCTCAATCCAGATGGAAAATACCAGTATCGCCATCATCGGCGCAGGTACATTAACCTCGATTATGCCCCCAGCAGGAGAACTAACCATTGCCCATAGGTCCAGCAGGCCTCGTCGCTCTCAAGAACCTGCGAGAACAAGGCTTCGATGCACTCATCTTTGAACGCCGCCCATCAGTCGGAGGTCTTTGGTCATACAGCGAGAACCCCGAGTACACGACAGCCCTCGACGACACAACTGTCAATGTGAGCAAGTTTGTAGTAAGTGATGAATATCACGATATGGCATCAAGGCTGACCTCGCGTGTGCAGTCTAGCTTTAGCGACTTTCCGATGCCCGACCGTCGGTGAACAAAACAGCCATGGTGTTGGAATGCATGTACTAACGACTCACAGATTATCCGGATTTCCCTTCACGGCGTCAAATTCAGGTGTATTTCGAAGCATATATCAATCATTTCGACCTTCAAAGGTATATACGATTCCGGGTCACCGTGCACAAAGTCCTGCGGAACTCTTCGAACTCTGCTTGGGACGTTTACTCTGCAGGCCCCAATGAAGAATCGGTGCTCCCCTTCCATAAAGTCGTCTTTGCAAACGGTTGCGAGACCATACCTGTTTGGCCGTCTATACAAAGACGTGAAGAATTTAAAGGCACCGTGATGCATGCTCAAGAATATCGAGAGTGAGCACAGCCTTATCGAGTAGCTGCCTTTTGCTAACGTTTTGCGAAGCTACAAGAAGCATGGCCTGCAAGGAAAGAGGGTAATGGTTGTCGGCATAGGCAACACAGGCTGCGAAATCGCCTTGAGTCTCTGCAAACACGCATCGAAAACCTACCTGGCCTATCGCCGTGGTAGAATCCTGGTATCCCGATATGATGACAAAGGTGTCCCCATGGACAGCCAGATCCCATGGCCAATGCTGTGTCTGACCTACATCTTATCTTACTACATCCCGGGAATAATGAAATGGCTCGTTGATAAGTTCATGACCAACAAAATGATTCACGATGCTGCGAAACACGGTCCAAACCTCGAAAATACGTCTAAAAAGCAGAGACTGAGAGTAGCAGAGCATAGGGTTCGTGAGGACTGGCGTCTTGTTCCTTGCCCAAGTATGGCTCACAGAAATCCCGCTGTTCAAGAAGACATCTTCCCTGCATTCTACAACGACGACATCATACCAGTTCAAGGCTTTGTGGACTTTGCTGGCGCGAAAACGGTGTTACTGGCAGACCATACTACCGTCGAGGTCGATATGGTTATCTTCGCTACCGGCTATCGACATGGCTTTTCGCTTATGCCAGAGCTTGAAATGGATGGCGCGGCTGGTGTTGAGCTGAAGACAGCCAGCAAGATAGAACAGCACGAAGTTTCTGAAGATAAGACACAGCAGCCAGCGCTGCCCAGGCTTTATCAGATGATATTCCCACCCAAGCATGCCTCTTCAGTGGCATTTATAAGCTGGATGGCTCCTCAAGCGAACGTCTGGTGTGTTTGTGAACTTGCTTCCATGGCGATCGCTCAAGCATGGGTTGCAGACTGCACCCGGGGACGAGAACCACAAAATCTCCAACCTCCTTCACTTTTGCCATCTGAAAAAGTGATGGAAAACGAGGTCGACTCATACCACACCTGGTGGCGCAAAGAGTGGGCTACTGACCATTCCATACTACACGGATACGTAAGAGCATACGGTTTCTACCGATTTCTTCACAAAACAGCAGGAACTGGCCTAGACGCGTACCTAGATAAATACGCTATCCTGAATGGCTTACGGCTTTACAAAGATGACTCCGACCTTTGGAAGTGGCTGTGTAGAGGACCAACAACTAGCCTTTCGTGGAGATTGTTCGATACAAATCCTGAAGGCATTCCTGGTCATGGAAGGAAGGTTTGGGAAGGTTCCAGAGATGCACTTCAAAAGAATGTAAGTTGGAATTTTCTTGGGGCTTGGTAGGGAGCTAATAAACTAATAGTATGAGGAGTTTGAAAGATTTCAAAAGGCAAAGGCGAAGAATGACTGAAGTCTGCCAGCTGCCCGGCCCAGATTCGAAAGGGTTGTTCTTCGATGTCTTCAAAATGCCATTACGTATCACGAGAAAAACAGTACAATTCATTTGGTTCTTATTAAACATTATAAGTATGCTATCAGGTCATTCATTTATTTTCATGGAGGCATTTAGCCATTCAAGCCGATTCTGGAGATCTCGCTCTACTAGAGCAGTTACTCTTGGAATTGGCATTTATACTGGCAATCAGACCAGCCTCATCGTTCCCAAGATGAAATGGATCGGTCTGGGCTTTCTTGCTCGTCTCCACCTGATATGACCTTGTCAGGATGATCTCCCCATGTCTGCTGATATCGGCTGGCCCTGAACTTTGGTAGCCACGGGAGGCATAGCCGTTGCGTCGGACTATAAGGGCACTTATGGAGGGGAGACAGGCGCATATCAAGCCGATGCCCGCTTCTGCATTACTAAAAGATGTTAGTGTGTGCTTGTAATAAGGTTGAACGAGGCTACATACCCAGAAAGAATGACCTTTGTAAAAACGATGGTCTGGTTAGATGAACCTCTCTCCTTCAGAATCATAGCCAATCGATAAATACTGAACCCCGTCGCAACACCGCCGGCGCAAAGAATACCAATAACTCGAAGTCTCTTTCTCATGGAAAGTTGTAGTGACCAAGTAAGCGGTGTAGGCAAGAACAGAATCGCCAAGTCGCTAACCACACTGATGAAGGCATCAGCAGTGATAATGGCGTTTTGATCGAGACAATTCTCCATCTCGCCCATCCAGTAGGAGCTTATGGGCCTGCAGATAAAGATCTTGATGAAGAAACCAGATACGTAGTAGGCGACTAGCATGCCGATGAAGATGTAGATTCCTATTGTGGTTTTCTTGTGGACTTTGCCGAAGACGCGGATTGTAATGAAGAGAAGGGAGAGCTTGACGCCGAGGGCCATCGGGGCGTAGAAGACGGTTGCTGCGTAGCCGTACTAGATGTGTTAGTATTGGGATGGATAGACGTGTTGCTGATGGCTTACCTTGAGGAAGGATGTTAGATCCTTTGAGCTTACTTCCCACTGATCATTACCGGCACCATATTTACTAGCTAGATAAAGTCAGTAAGGTTATTGTAACAGAAGGGGTAGAGACATACCTATAGCAGCTGTGATGCAGTAGCCCACCATCAAGACAAATGAAACATATGTAGCAACTGGATCACCAGTCAGTACCAATCTCAACACCATAACATTCTACACTTACCATCATCCCTTGAAATACCTCCTCCCATAACCTTATACTTTGCAAAGAACCGCGTCGCAACAAACACCGTCGTGAAGAAGAGGGTCAGAACCTGAGTGACATAATTCGTGGTCACGAGTATATCGGCGGGATTATCCAGATTTGGCGTGACTCCTTCGGGTGGAGGCGCGGCACCGGGGAAGCTCATTGTAAATGGATTAGAGCCTTGGTAAGGAGTGAACAAAAGAAGGCTGAAGGATGACAAAGGAAACTTGCAGAGAAACCACAGTTAACTTATGTTATGTACGCTACATAAACGAACAGAAACCCTTATGGACTAACTTAGGGGGAACGTTCATCACTTCTCGGTTCAGACTAATGCGAAGAGCGCTGAAGGGTTACAGCACCGGGCGGTAAGTTAAAGGCATTGCAGTTGATTATAGCTCTGACATGTTTGATCGGACATCGCCTCAGTGGCACCATGTCTTTCTCATTGGTCCCTTATTCTTGGCTGACGTCCCGTAGAGTTAATACTCTCCTTCCGGGGAGGGGCGAAGATCAAGGAGTCAGGGGCAAGGGGAAGAAAAACGTGGGATTAGGTGGTATTCTACAGGGGAGGTTTAAAATTTCCGCGGTATCTGGCATTTCCGTGATGATCTACTGCTGTGGATGGAGGGTCTGGAGGTGATATGAGTGAGACATATATAAGAGAAACTGAAACATAACGAAGAGCCACTGCAGGTTAGGGGCTGAAGGATAATACGAGTATACGAGTATGGCGATAGGCGGAAGACTCGCGTCATGCAGGATCGTCTGTTCTACTTCTCCTCTCGTGAACAACCTCGCTTTCGCGTCAGATGGACTCCTCCCAGCTGACACCCTGACAACCTCGCTTCTTCAAGATGAACTCCATCAGATGGAGAAATCATCATGGAGAAAAAAGATTAATTAGATGTTGCATGTATTGTAGATCCGTGCACTCGGTGCATATTCTCCGCTGTCCTCTTACGAGCCGCAAATCTCTTCTTGAAGCGGGTTCGAATGTAGGCCACTGACATCGAGCTACGTCTCAGAATTGACGCGATCTGCAAGCGTAACATCTGTTTTTTTCGTTTTATTACCGGACTATCCGTCGGCCGTGCGTAGATTGTTCAGTTCACCAAAAGGTCACCGCTCAACGGAGGGCTCGGCAGTGGAGCATCTCTCTTATCTCTCGGCCCATTTAATTCGATCGGACACCAAAAACCGTTGTCTGTCAGACCGTTGGAACTATGAAATAGAGACAGAATTTATTGATTCTTAATTTTAATGCTGTTTCATTTCATCTATCTGAGGTGACTGCTCGGTACAAACAAACATCTCTGCAAAAGAAAAGAAAAGAAGAGTCAAACAATTTCCCCTGCATATCCACCACGTGCTGTCTCCTCTATGCGCGGTGGGGAATGGCTCCATACACAGCGTCACACTCGGTAAAAACTTGTCTGTCTACCATGGACCAGGGTGGTGGAGAGTTGAAGACTTTTGATCGTTCTCTTACCAATCACTCTTATCAAGTAGAATTCGACCATGTCACATCAACTCAAGACTGAGCCTGATGACGATATTAGTGGGTGGGCTATAGAATACCAGACGAAAGCCAAGGAATTCTGACATGAGTTTATTCAGGGGACAATGGCGTCGCTTGTTTGACAAACAATGCCGAGGCCTTTGCCATTGATGCGCAGGAGAACCAACCGTGCTGAGTATCATTGCCAAGCATAGCATAATTCTGTCAAGGGCACGCATGTTCGCCCCATGAAACGATGCTGGTAGTCTCTATATCCGACCTGGTATAGCCGGCTGGTCGATCTCTTTTGAAGAAATTAAATACCTTGGCAGGGCAGATTCTTTTCCCTCTTGAGACATCTCGGTTAGAAACTACATCATTGTCACTTCATCTTTCATCTTCGCTTGTTAGCAGTAACACCTTATCTCTTGATCTTCATATCTATACTTCACAATGGGTGACATCTTTGACGCAGGAGCCAACTCCAAGCTCTTCACTCCCCTCGATATCGCCAATGGAAAGATCCATCTCAAGCACAGGATCGTTCATGCCCCTCTAACTAGAAACCGGGGAACGCCGCTGAATGCCGAATCGACTCCCGAGAACCCAAACAGGGTTTGGATCCCTAATGATCTGATTGCCGAGTATTACTCCCAGCGGGCTACCGATGGTGGTCTCATCATTTCTGAGGGTCTGCCGCCTTCGCTAGAGGTTCGTCACCTGAATTACCACTCAATGCGGTAGAGCTAACATATTACAGGGCAATGGTATGCCTGGTGTGCCAGGAATCTTCCTCCCAGAGCAGGTTCAGGGTTGGAAGAAGGTTGTTGACGCCGTTCATGCTAAGGGCGGTTACATCTACGCTCAACTATGGCACTCTGGCCGCGCAAATATTCCCCAGCTTACGGGCTCACCCATTGTGGCTCCCTCGGCTACACCATGGGATGACCCCAATGAGACCTTCGCCTACCCTCCTCCTCACACCTCCATCCCTGTTAAGCTGGCCGACTATCCCCCTGTGGAGATGACCGTTGAGAAGATCAAGAGCACCATCGGTGACTACGTCAACGCTGCCAAGAACGCCCTTGAAGCTGGTTTCGACGGCGTTGAGGTCCACGGTGGAAACGGTTACCTTCCCGAGCAGTTCCTTTCATCTAACATTAACAAGCGAACGGACCACTATGGTGGTACTGAGGAGAAGCGATGCAACTTTGTCCTCGAGCTTATGGATGAGTTGGCCAAGACTGTCGGACAGGATAACTTGGCTATTCGCCTGACACCTTTCGGTCTTTTCAACCAGGCCCGCGGTGAGAAGCGCGTTGAGACATGGGGCCACCTGTGCCGTGAACTAAAGAGTCGTTTCCCCCAACTCTCATACGTTAGCTTCGTCGAGCCTCGCTACGAACAGATCTTCTCCGAGTCCGAGAAGCAGCAGTTCCTCGGCTCTTGGGGTCTTCCTACCGTCGACCTGTCTCTGTTCCGAAACATCTTCCACGGCACACCCTTTTTCTCGGCTGGTGGTTTTAACGATGTTAACTCATGGGGTGTCGTCGAGAGCGGTAAATATGATGGTATGCTTTATGGGAGATACTTCATTAGCAACCCTGACTTGGTGGAGAGGTTGAGAAATGGATGGCCTCTTCAGCCTTATGACAGGTCTACCTTCTACGGACCTTTCAAGGATAATGCTATTGGTTACACTGATTATCCTTTCTACAAGAATGAATAGATTATAGATATTTGGTAATAGTATTTTAGAATGAATACATTATACAAGACTGCTCTCATCGCGCCTATCATGGCCTTATCTAGCCAACTGAACTTCCAATACCAGAGTCCGTGGGCGTCAATGGCCTCTTACTCTCGTCTTCTGACAGCTCATTCAAAGGCCCCGTGTTGCTATTCTTCGAATTGTACCGTTGTAATGGAGGCGACAGCTGACTCTGTTTTCGACCTGGTGTGTATCGTTTCAAGAATCTAGAGACTCGTGATCTGGAAGACACTGTTGAACCGACATCACTCTTATCAAACTCGGGTGAAGATGTTTCTTGTGGGCTAGGTGGTGGCGTGATAGATATTTGCGGCCGAAGATGTTGTGTTTCCTGCTTCTCAGATTTCGTCGCGCCTACGTCTTCTTCGTCTTTGACCAAAAAGCTCAAGACGTCGGGTTTCTGGTCGGCAAATATTAACTCTGGCTCTGACTCAGTAGTCGAGTCGATCTTGAAAGACAGCGGCTCTGGGACTTCTCCACAGTGCTTCTGCCGAAACGTAGATATCGAGTTATAAAATGTCGATGTATAAAGACGTCTCTGTCTCATACTTCTCAATTGGAGCGTCGTGATGGCGAGCTCTTTCACCATGGACTTGATGGGATATTAGATGGATAACCTAAACTCTCGAGGACTACAACTTACCCATGTTGTACTAGGATCCAAAAGAACCCTGCCTTCCTCTCTTCCCTTGGTAGACAGTCCCAGTTGACTCAGTGCTTCAAAGCTAGCCCATTCTTCTCCAACAGCGACATACTCTTGTTTCATAGCTGTAACGTCGGATTCCTTTGTGGGATAAAACTGCGGTAAGTATCCACAGTGAAGAAATTGTAGGAATACTGGCTGCTCGTTGATGAACCAAGTCTCTCCCAGGTCTGTAAGCGCATTAGTATTTTCCATTGTAGAAATCTATTTGAACCTACCGTTCCCTCGAATGTACACGAGCTTCATGTCTTGACCTCGGATTAAAGTATGTGCCAAGTCCAGACCATGCGGATTCCTGGCTGACTTGTCACCGATGAGGCTGCCCATGATGGCTTTCCCAGGTATACTATTCTGAGCCGTAAAGTCATCCGAGTTCCATACTGGTTCATCGCCTTGTCTGACAATACTCATTTTAAGGCACGGTGAAACATCAAGGGTAGGCGTCGAGTCAACTTCTGCATCGGCTAAATGTGCCTGTGGTATGATGACGGCATGTGGTTTTTGAAACTTCGGTTTCGCAGGCTCTTGAGTAGGTAGCGGAGCTGGTGGATAGGACCAATACGGATAGTCATACTGGTGATTTTGATAGCCTGGATCATAATGATGATCGAAGTGATTGGGTTCGAAATGAGGGCGTCGATATTCAGATCGCATGTCTGGTTCATCGGGACCGTGTATGATCAAATCTGCCACACCTCGGTCCCGGCGAAAACGAGCCCTCAGCCGTGGACTGTCGCGGCTCTGACTTCGGTGCTCTGTCTAGAAGATGGTAAGAATATGGCAAGGTTCTGGTCGGACTGCTGACTTACTCGACTTTCCCGAGGAGGCCAATCTTCTCTTTGCCCACTATTGTTCTCTTGTTCGTCTTCGCTAGAAGATGCATCTTCCACATAAGCACCCTTTGGAGGAGGCTTATTCGTGCTAGGCTGATTTTCATCGGCACTGCCTCTCTCAATCTCACCTTGGCTCAACGAGGTCCAAGTCAGTAGAAGATGGTTTACCACTTTGGTAGGCTCCTGAGGCTTGCGATACGCATGGACCCTGACCCTCCTTTCGCGGTTGCCTGAATCGTCGTCAGAGTCATCTGAATACACAGATACGCCCTCTCCATCAGAGTCGTGATAAGCATGCGAGCCGGGCATGTGGTTTCTAGCTGGCACTTCATCCATGAAGACAAGTTTGTATAGAAACGTGGCTGCATCTCCTTGGATGTGAAAGTGTCGACCGAATTGGGCGACGCGGCCAGATAGTGGATCGAAGCCATGTCCTCTTCCCCGTCCTTCATCTTCACTGTAATAGTGACTTTCTTGATCAACATGACGGACTGGTACAACAGCCGAATTTGCATCGTCTTCATCTCGCTTCGGAATACCAAGATTCTGCCCGTATAATTCATCTGTGCGTACGTGGCCTGGAATTTCTGACTGGCGAACAGGACTGGGAAGTCTCTTCTCAGTGCGGACTGGAGGACTCGGAGCTCTTTGGGGAGGGGGAGCCGGGATTTGACGGTGGACATTGTCTCTTTGCAGAGAGGCTTGGCCGATCTGAATGAGACTCTCAGCTTGGAGTCGGAATCGATTTTCGGCTGGTTCCTTGATCGGCGAAGATCTAAGACGGTCAGAACAACGACTTGGATATTCCTCAAAAGCGAGATACTTGCCCATTGTTGTTGGTCTTGACCAGAACTGCCGCAGACAGAATAGTAATCTGCAAAGTTAATGTGACCTTGTGCTTATCAATATCGGCCAAAAACCTCGCTGCCTTGAGCCACTTCAATCTAGCAAAGATAGTCTGATCGGTAACCATCTTGGAGATCTCCTGCTGAGTCGCTTGAATATTCTTGACGACATTTCTAACACCCTCAAAAAACACAGGTTTCGTGTACGATTGGCCTTGTTTGAGAATATCGCGCAGATGTTCCAGCGTGATAGTCAAGCCTGACATTTCGATGGCGATTTTTTGGATTTCCTGCGGGGCATTGCGCACTGTTCTTATCAGACGGAACAATGTGTTGGATAGTTGTGCGCCTGCTGTTGCTATTCCAGCTATGCTGGCTATTATTGATAGAGGATCCATAGTGAATTGGTTGCGAATTGGCTCAATTGGAGACCAATTGTTGTAGAAAAGAAGACGATAAAGCTCAATTGAAGAGAGCTGAACAAACGCAAAAACTTGAGACTGAACATTCTTGGGGAGCAGGTTTTGAGTAACTGGAAAAACAATAAGGCAATTGGCGAGAAACTGCCTTACGGCTGCCTCAAGCAGGCTGTGCAATGTTCGCGCATGTCTTGCTTCCCCGGATGCAGGTAAGATTCCGGTTCTGAATGTAGCCTATCAACCCTTGCAAAGCCGGGTTTAAACGCCAGGTTGATCAATTTTCAGCCCCCAAACAGGGCAAGATAAGAACGGCTGATTGCCTTGGCATTGAGGGACTTTTGCAAAGACATAATGACCAGTGCTCTTCGGCTGGTTGATCTCATGCGGTAGCTTCCGCTGTAAACCTTTGGATATCAAGTTAAACAAGTGGCTGGTTGTGCGACAAGCCACTTGTATCAGTATGCGCTTGTACAACCAACCAGCCCTTACACAACCTGAACAGGACGCGAATCCCATTGCGAAATTGAGGTTTCTATATTCTATTACCGGTAGTTTAATCTTTGAGACCTCTCAAAATAATCAATGGGGACCGATGTTTGTCAAGCCTTGAAACATCCCATGTTCTACTCATCCACTACTCGGAGGCCTTCACAGCCTTCCCACTTGAACCATGCTTCTTCCCCCAATTTCTAACCTTGACATCCATATCCCATCTAATAAACACCATGACAATCATAACAACCCAACTCAAAATGGTGTTGACCAACCCCGTCCAGAACCCTCCTCTTATAGCACCGCCCATAACAGTCGTCATGACCAATCTGATAATTGTGCTTGTAGCAACAAGCTCTTCTCCTCTCTCAAGTCCTGCAATTGCTCGTCTAGCGCATTCGTCGGGTGTGAGTATCTGATCTCCCTCTTCCAGAGCTTTTGTCACATCTGTCTTGACGCGGTTCTCGTCGTCTAGTGATTTCGTTGGCATTGTCGCCGGGAAGACAGTGTGGACGCGCACGCCAGGTTCTTCGGGGTGTGCACCTGCGTAGAGATTCATCTCTTGGGACAAAGAGTCTGATAGGGATCGGATAGCCGCTTTTGATGGAGAGTAGGGTGTGAAGCCAGCGAAGCTATACAAAGAGACGAAAGAGCCAGTAAAGATGATATGCCGCGCTGCCAATGCCTTCTTCTCGGAAGTCTTCTTGGTTACACCAGGGTTTAACCAGGCATTAAGCGTAGCATGTGCAATATAAGCACTGGAAAAGTAATTGCTATCCATCATGGTCTGAAGCTGCTCGACCGGCGTATCGACAAACAAGGTAGGATGCGCACTACCACTGCAACACCAAACGATATCCGGAGGCGTACCATCATTCCAGGCTGTCACTTCAGCAATGACTCTTTTACACTCTTCAGCTTTGGTCACGTCTGCGATGAGTGAGAAGAAGCGTTGGTCCGAAGAACGAGCAGATTTCTCAACTTGCGCGAGAGCTTCCTTCAGGACTTCAGGGTCTCGGGCTCCAATTGCGACGTTTGCACCTTTGGAAGCGAGCTGGCATGCTGCTGCGAGACCTAGACCCCGGGAACCGCCCGTGATCAGGACTGTCTGGGGATATTAGTTGAGGATGATAAGATACAGGCAATGAGACTTACTCGACCCTCAACAGGGAATTCGTTTCGCGATAAAAACGAACCCATGTTGCTTAGATATGACTAGTATTGTCTGCAGTTTTGAGTCTTGGCTTCTTGGCGATATTGGAGTGTTTTAAGGAGCTTGTTGCGAAAACGCGCTGATGGCTGTCAGCAAGATGGTGAGATTAGAGGTCCACTTCCAGTGGAGGCTGATTGGCTTGTGCTGCTGTATTGCGCCGACACTTCGTAGAGTCAATTGACTGACCGATGGAAGATATAGGGCAAAGAAGAGGATGGTATTGCAATACAAAAATAGAGACAAAGCCAAGGCTCGACAGAATTGGGAACTAAAAAGTATGGGAGGATGCAAAAAGTGAACGACAACGGCAGGATTCGAACCTACGCGTGCGAACACAATGCCTATGATGTCTCGAAAGATAGCAGGGCATCGCCTTAACCACTCGGCCACGTTGTCATACTGTAAAGGCTTCAAATCACGTCTGATATAGTGCAACGTTCACGAATATCTCATGTTCTAGAGGAATCAAACTTTGCCCTTTGTGATACATAGCATATAGAATCTCGTTTGAGTCTCTTGCTTAACGTTTCTATCCAAGCGTTGAAAGTATCGTTATTTCTCATTCAGCTTATGGATCTACTCGGGGTTCGCTTGTGACACATTTGGTGATAAGATGCCCGGCAACGCGTACTAACAAAACAACACTTTTGATCACACGAACTGTCTCATTATCGCTATAGGCTCCTATCGCCGAATGTTCTCCACAACGGCGAAGAGGGCGTAATATTCCGTATCCTCTCCTCCGCTGCATCGCATTCTTCCTCGGTCACATAAGGTTCACCCTGATCATTTACATGCCCATAAAACACCAGAACTTGCCGATCGCTATACTCTGGCCAGTCAGTACAATCTTGAATGCACCCCTGCCGCGGTGGCTGTGGAAGTAATTTCCTCTCATAACGATCTCGGAAGATGTGGTACTCTGCAAAAGCATGCCAGGGGTGCCATCGAGGTCGGTTGATCTTTGTTCCATGGATGGGAAGCGGGCATTCTGCAATGGACTCTGGAGGTGACATGAGGAAGTTTATCAGAGAGTCAAACTGCTCTTTTGTTGGGGGATAGAGCGTCATTGGGCCATTGATTAAATCACCGTGAATCCACATAGACTTGCACTATTCACGACGGTATAGTGTCAGCATCTCTTATTAAGCCTTTGTTGTTGGGTAAACTCACCTCCTCTTCCGTCTCGCCTCGATCAAAAACCACAACACCACCAAAGATCTTGGACTCAGCCCAGTATCCGGCTACGTCAGCAAGACCTCTTGGGTATTGCTCAGGATATCGATATGATGTATGAGCAAACGCGGTAGGAGGTGGGTTATAGAACCTCCGCTCTTCTACGTCTTGTTCTTTTTCTTTCAAAACCTTGTTTCTCCAGTCTTGGTAGAGCTTGTTTTTATGTGCCCCTTCATCGAGATCGTAGATGTAGGCGCCAATTTGATGACAAGCGATAGCTACAAGCTCTATAAGACGAAGGTTGAATCCATCTGACCCAACGCATTCATCTTGGAAGCATTGCAAAGACTATAGAGTATGAGAAGGTAGACTCGAGATACAGAGAGCATTCTGTCTGATATGACTCAGATTAAAATGATTGAGGAGAAAAGCAACTTGCCTTTGTTTCGAAATCAAGTCGACCAAGCTCGAACTGCAATCTATGTTCGCGGGCCTTCTCAATAAATCCCGGACAGATTTCGGAGTGCCCGATAGTTTCAACGGGGTGATCCTCAACAAAACGGAAGCTGTCCCAGAGAGAGTCTTGTGTAGGTAGACCATCGAGCATTTGAGCATATGCGAGCTCAGCTCCTTTCGTGCTCAGAATATTGGTCACCGCTCGATCCAGAGCATTTCGGTGATCACCCTCGAGCACATCTAGGTTGGTATTCATTTTGTTAAGATGAGGCATTATCAAGGGAGGAAGTTGACCTGTTGTCTGTGTGTTGCCTGTTGGTTCGCATTTATTACGTCGCTTACAGATTGAATCTTATTGGACAAACCCAGGCCGTACGGACTCGGCAATGCATGATCAACTGTACTTTAGCCTTTACAGCTTGTCACGTATTTCCGAGTGTGTGAAGCATATGCTATTATTGCTAGTATTGAAAGCTCATTATTTGAGATTCAATGTATTCTTACTCGGTTGTCGTATTCGGATATGCAGTGATCGTCGCCCTTATTATTTATCTGCGCCCTCTGCACAAGCCTTACCCTTTCTGTGACTCAGGTGGGGAAAGCTTTTCTCTCTTTCATTTATAGAAAAATCACTGTTGCAAGTTTATATTTCTACAGCGAAGGTCGCATTACCTTATAGACTTGACACAGTCACCAGGAAATATCGCCAGAGGATGCAAGAACCGGGACCGATACCCGCGGAGACTGTTCCCCAACCTCAACAAACCGTCGATCTACAGAGTAGCCACCCAAACAATACACCTCTTAAACAACATTGCTGACCCGTATACATCAGTTCTCGACGAGACAAATGACGAGACCACATATCCAGAAGGCGGAACAAAAGCATGGCTAGTCGTCCTCGGCGCGTGGTGCGCCATGGTTCCGCCCATGGGTCTACTCAACACCCTAGCAGTTCTCCAAGCATGGATCGCAAAGAATGAACTAGCCGGAATAAGTGAGAGCAAAATTGGTTGGATCTTCAGTTGCTATGCTTTCTTCATCACTGCTTGTGGTGCTCAAGTTGGTAAGTCATTCAGAACCAGAACCGTGATGGATTTGTTGGTTGACAGGTTATCAGGTCCGATCTTTGATGCCTATGATATAAGAGTTTTGATACTACCCGGATCCATTGGCGTCGTCCTTTGTTTGATTTTCATGAGTTTATCTACTGGCGAGAAGTTCTTCATCCACGTTGAAGCTTGTCACTAACCTTGATAGCTTACTACCAATTTCTACTTTCCTTCGGCGTCTTGGGTGGTATATCCTCATCACTTATTTTCACTCCCAGCCTATCAGCGATCGGCCACTGGTTCTGCAAACGTCGAGCCTTTGCGACAGGCGTGGCTTGCTCAGCGGGTGGTATCGGTGGTATTGTCTTCTCACTCATCATTCTCTACCTCACACCGCGGATCGGCTTTCCTTGGGCAATCAGAGTAATCGCGTTCCTATCACTCGGCCTTCTGGTAATTGCGAACATTTGTCTACGAAAGCGTATTCCACCGATTGCCAAGCCAAGGTTATACATCGACTTTGGACTTTTCAGAGACATCAACTTTTCTGTCACCGTTGTTGCGATCTTCCTTGTCGAATTCGCAGTTTTTATTCCATACACATACCTGTGCTCATACGCTTTGGCATACAACTTCGCTCCCCAAGAAGCATACCTTTTGAACGTTCTTCTCAACACAGGCGCTATACCAGGACGAGTCTTACCAGGCTACATAGCTGACCGCTTCGGCGCTTTCAACACCATGATTTTTACATCACTATCATGCGGCGCCTTCGTCCTGGCGCTCTGGCTTACAGCAGGCGACTCACACCCTCGCGTGATGGCATTCTCTGTCCTATTTGGCTTTTGGTCCGGTGCTGCGATTAGTCTCTCGCCAGTTTGTATATCTCGAGTGTGCAAGATTGAGGATTACGGGAAATCCAACGGCATGGCCTACTTTGTTGCGAGCTTTGGTGCTTTGGTAGGAATTCCCATTGCTGGATCGCTTTTGGAAGGGGACAGGGGATATGAGAGGTTGATTATTTTTGCTGGAGGGTTTTATATGATTGCCTGTGTGGCTTTTTGTGTTGCGAGGGGAGTAGCTGGGGATGGAAGTTTTCTGCGTTTTGAGTTGGCAGAGCAATGCAACTATAGCTCAAGTCGCACTGTTATGGCAAGAGGAGGTGACTGCTGGGATCATCCTAGTAGACGAACTATAAATACTACGCAAGTTCATTTTCATGACCTGCACAATCTAAATATGGTTAGAAATATGCCAACAGCTCAACTTCCCTATATCAAATGTACTAATGCCGTTGACGACCCCCTCCATTGGCGGCATGTCGGCCGAAGGATCAAATGCGTTGGATGTCACTTTCATCTGGTATGCTGACTCCGCCTTTTCCACAGAGATGCACATCGCTGAGAAGGACTTTAGTAATACCCCAAGCATATGTTGTGTAAAACAAAGGGACCGTCTAGTTGGATTGGCTTTCTTTGTTCTACACGTGGTCTTATGCTTATAATATAGGGGCCATGTTCATGTCATCGTCTTTTCGTTCACTTTCGCATTGCTTGCAAAAAAAAGATGTCACAGACTCGACCTCAACGAAGGAGTCAGTTCGGAATCCGGCATTTAGCAAAAGTGGACTTGGATCTTGGTATCGCCGTTGAAAATGGCGGAACGCCGCTGAGTGAGATCGTTGCCCCGGGGCGAAGAGGTAATCTAACGAACTGCCAAGCTGATCGTCGGCTTACTCATAACTGCCGAGATCACTGAAAGCAGAGTTATACTCCGCTCTTTGTCAAATTGTGCCCAAGTGAATCAGTCATCATGTGGCGGATGACTGTTAGGATGTAGTGCAACGCATGTCCCACGGGTAAGCTTCCGACAACCGGATATCTTCCTCCCGTAGGAATACCACCTGTGAAGGTGAACCAAAACCGAAATACCCAATACAAGTTTTCAAAATCTGTATAAAAATAAGATTCTGATTTTCCAAAGCACGTTGGGGCGCAGTTCTGGGGGCTAGTGCCAAAGCCCGCTGACGATGCCGAGAATACCGCATGTCAGCTTCTAAGCCCAGTTATAATGACTTGGAACCAATCAGAGAAGAGTAACACACGTTTGACAGGTCTCGGGAGAAAAGTGTTCCGGAATTTTGGTCGGGCTGAGTTGAGCTGTTGCTATTCCCAGCTGAGGTGAGGTGAGGCGTTGTGAGATGATGATAGTGTGAAGCTGATATTCTGAATAATAAGAAGAGCTTTCATGAGAGACTCCAATTTGTATATAATGGATGACATCTCCTCTCAGTTGACAATTCTCATCATCACTATCACTTCAATACAACACAAACAATCAACTCAACTTTCACTTAGAACAACTTACATCCACTTCATCTTCTTTCACTTCTACCGCAAATCAAAATGTTCGCCAAGATCTTTTCTATCTCTCTCCTTGCCTCTGCTGCCCTCGCAGCCCCAGCTTCCAAGACCGTTCGCTCCCACCCCGACAAGACCGTCACCCTCACCGGAGTAACCCACTCCGTCAACGCCGGCCTCGGCGGTCTTCGCTTCGACCCCGACAACGTCGTCGCTGAGATCGGTGACATCGTCGAATGGCACTTCCTCCCCGCCAACCACTCAGTTGCCCAGTCCAGCTTTGGCGAGCCTTGCAAGCCTCTTGCTGACGGCACCGGTTTCTTCGCTGGCTTCAACTTCGCCACCATGGAAGGCCAGGCTCCTGATGTCTTCCAAATCGTCGTCGAAGACACCAAGCCAATCTGGTACTACTGCCCTCAGCAGAAGGGCAACCATTGCCAGATGGGTATGGCTGGTGTTATCAACCAGAACTTTGGCAACCAGGACTTCAGCCTCCGAAGACACAAGGAGCTTGCTGCTTTGACTGGTGTTTCGGTTATTCCTCCCGTCGAGCAGGGTGGAAAGGTTATCCCTAACCCCAACCCCAATGGCGGTTTCTAAGAAGCTCTCTGTGCTTGGCGACTTCAGCTAGGCTGAGTGGATTTTCTTTGACTTCCTAGTGAAGAGCAATTGGGGATAGATATGGTGGTTGGGCTCTGTATATAGAATAGCGGTTTGCTTTCTACTTTTCTTCATTCCTTTCGAGATATATATTCGACCTTCAATAGACTTCATTCCTTTATGTTGCTTACTACCAACTGAGTGACGTGACAGCAATGCGAACTTTGCTCCCATCCGGTGCAAGGGTATCAATTTATTATATCTCTATTTTACAAGACTCATTAAACATTAAATGAGCAACTGCTATTATTTACAGTGACTCCGAAGACTCCGCGCCTGACCTAGTGCCATGGATCGGAAGATTCAGCTCCTTCATATGAACCAAATACGCCTCATCATTATCCGCATACTCCACGTCATACGTTCGATCACAGACAATCCCAGAAGGACTAATCTTTCCATGCGGCGCCCTGTCAACCTTGGAAGTCGTACCTAGAGACATCTGGTGTCCGCTCTTGCCAGGCGCTCTGCTGTTCGGGCCCTTGCTGCTGCCGTAGTTGATATAGCGTGTGGTCTCGCCAAGAATCTTGGGGAAGAGACGGACGAACAGGACGCGGATGGTAGGCATGCAGGCGCACCAAATGCCGACGTTGGTTTCGATGGTTGACCACTTGATAGCGGGGGAGTATTCCCATGATACGTTGTTCTGGGGGTCCCTGCCGGCAACGATAGTGGCATAGAGACGGAGGATACTCATGATTGTGACACTAGATATATGTTAGTTTCGGGAGGTAGGTATATGTACTTGGGTAAACTTACAAGATGCCAGCGCTGAACATCAGTCCTATAGCAATTTTCTTCCTCCAGTCAAGGCTCATCTTCCGAAGCTGCGTGAGCGGAAGACCCAGAATCCAGAAGTCCATGGCGATGTTGATAGCTGCACTAGACCAGGTAATCGCGTTGATACTGGCACATTTGCCCTCGTGTCCGTGATCCCACTTTGTCCAAAAGTAACTTATCGGCTGACACTGAAAGATAGCAACGAGCACAAACGTGATTCCATAAGCCGTTATAAACGCGACTGTTCCCCAAAGTGTCCTCCTAAACTCAGCAGCCGGGAAGATGCGAAGGTAGAAGAAGACCAAGGTCAATTTGAGAGTCGTTTGCAACAAGAAGTACATAACAGCGAGAGCATAAAAGTTTCGACCAAAGCTTGTAATTTGATCGGGCGTCAAGGTCCAGATATCGGTGCCGATACCATTGGGCGCGAGTCCGTATGAGTTGATACAGATGCAGGGAATGGAGAGGAGCATCGTGATAAGCATGAGCAGATCGTCTATACCGAAGGGGAGTTTGTAGGCGAATTTTGTAACGAAGCGGGTGAGACAAAAAACGCCCGATAGAGTACCCATTACATCGTTGAGGACGACAAATCCGGCCTTTTCGCTTCGAACGGGGGCGCCGCAGAGATTCATGGTGGTGTTCTTTGTAACTGGTGGGGCTGTAAGTACATGAAGGATATGAAAGAGTAACAAGGTTGGTTACATAAGGCTTCTGTGACTGTACATTCAGCCAGAACGCATTTTTCGATTTGTGCTTGTAGATGTTCATTTGTACATGTGCATTCGACGTCGTCGAGACCACAGGTTGATTGCAGAACGTTGTTGACAAGACATTTTGCCTAGAAACAATCAGTTACATGTCACATTTCAAATAATGTCCGGTACATACCGCACAACTGGGCAAGGTACCCAAGATCAAACCCGAGTCGTGGTCCAGGGCAGCCAATGCCAAGGGCAAAGCCACGAGGCAAGCGAGGATGCCACGGAATAGCTTCATTATGTGAGACAAATGTCCCAAAAGGGAAAACAAAAAAAGATGAACGTAAGGTCGGAAGTTAAAGAGAGACACGCATTGCTTCTTTTGTCTTTCCTTTAACGGCAGGTGGGAAGGAATGGGATGGGGGAATACATATAAGTAGCGGAGCCGATCAGCCCTGAACCAGAGACAGCTTGGCCCAGGAGACCGGTGGTTAGTCTTAGTCTACGGCAGTAGAAGAGATTAGACCATCAAGTTCACAAAGCGTGACGGTCAGACGTGCACAGACGGAAAATCCGAATCAGTCGTGACATACCAGATCCAGCAGTGGAGAGACTAATGGAGGACCTACTGCAGAAGACCAAGCAGTCTAAGCTACATGGAAGTCATCTTTGCTCCGGTAGAGGCTTGAAGAGTAATACTAGATTGATCTCTACTCCCAGGTAGGCATAGCCAAGGAGAGATGAATCATGAAACACTACCAAAATGTTTATTCACGACCGTCGATTTTCCATTCTTCTACGGTTCCACCGTCACAGCGTGATCTACAAGCTCCATACTTTTTCTTCTTAGCCGCAATCGATTCCCGAGGGCAGGCCCGCAGATCTACAGCGACTCAGGGTTGCTGTGCCATTAGCCTTTTCTGGTAACAGGGCTGTCGGGTAGTGTTCAGAAATAAGTAGTCCAGCATCTAAGTGAAGCTGTTCAAAGTATTCTGTCTCTCAAACTCTCGGTCGATCTTCTGACACTCTGACGCGGAGTCAATCCGCCATCTTTTGACGTAGTTGAGTGAGTAATTTACTGGAAGTACGGATAAAGCGCTCCTGTCAATCGTGTGATGTTCACTAATTAACGTCATCATAGCGGTGACTGACTTTACATAGGCGGTTTGTAATAATCAGGACATACTTAGTAAGTATTGTAATTGTCCATAGCATGGCATTGAGATCGTCTCTCATGCCTCAACTGTAGGGTTACTACCAAGGGGATATATACTTTTGACGATGACACCCTCAGCAATGCAAAGAGAGATAACAGGACATCAATTGAGAACAACATCAATGACGAAGAACAGTACAGTGACAAGATCAAACGACAAAACTGGAGAACCGCTTACAAGAGTCTTGATAAGACGATGCGCTTATAGCCACCAACCTCACTAAGAGACATTTAGTTCTTGTCAACCGCATTTTCGGAATAAAACAAGCGGCTCGTCGTTCTAGCGGCAGACTTTAGTTTCTGTTCTTCAACGCATTGGGAAAGTGTTTCGTTAGTACAACTTTCGCCGTTTCTTCTCACTTTTAATTGCTACCCACCACCCACTGAAGACATGATGCCACTAGGCCTGTAATTGTTGAGTATAGTGGGTATCTTTAGACCCCTGCCCCTGAGTTTAGAGCACTAGGGCAAGACTAGAGGGGTATTTGAGTCATGGCCTCGCAGCGAGTAATGGTATTGCGTACATGATGGTGTTATCGGCAACTGAGATAATAAAATATGACGATGCAATGATTAGAAGTTCGGATGAAAGCCAGCAAGTGCATCGTGCGTGTTTTCAGGTTCGATGGGCTGAAACTTTGCGGGCTGAGTGCATGAACTTCCAAGGCCAGGTACTGTAGCGATCAGTGGAGAGAGCCCTGTCGACGTGGCGAGAGTGGACCTGGAGTCTTTGTTCTCTTCCATTTTGGCTCTCTTTCAACTCTGTTGATCCACTCAACTTTGACTTGAGTCGTTAAATGACTTATCACGGTCATTTATTCATTTGATAGATGTCAACTCTATCGTTCCTTTCCGCTCTGAATTGATCATCGCCTCCTTTGTTCCGGATCGACATTCGATTGCACGTGGCTTTCAAGGATGCCGTCTTCCGAATGCCTTCCGCTACCCTTCCGCTGTCTTGTCGCTGCTGATCCAAGGTCGCTTCCCGCAGCAGCCAAGAATTACCAAGGTCACTTCCCGAGGTTCTCGTTGTCTTCCATTCTTTTTTCATCTCTAATTTCCGACTTGCAGCTTCGGCTATCAAAAATAGAGGCATGACATCCTTACAGCGTTGCATTTCCCCTGTGTCTGGGGACAGTCGACCTGCCCAGAAGGGACGTTCACCCAGCGGGAACCCTTGCATCCGGGAATCTCGACTCGACCAACAGCTGTCAAACTATGCCCATGTTAGTCGAGACCCTTGAGGGTAGGAATCCTGAACGTTTATGCATGCATGTGTCAACCAACAGATGTAACCAGATAGCAATTGTAAAACCAGAATAAATACCACTTCATCCTGTCTCTGTCCTGTCTCTAGTCTCTACCTTACTACCGTCCGTCCATCACTCGTTCAAAAGCCAAGCCGCTACAATGAAGACACTTTTCTCCTTGGCGCTTCTACCGCTAGCAGCTTTAGCCGCTAGTCCAAACTCCAAATGCCGATGCATGCCTAGCGACGCTTGCTGGCCCTCCACCAACGCCTGGTCTTCCCTCAACAAGACCGTAGATGGCGCTCTCATCAAGACCGTCCCCATCGGCTCGCCCTGCCACGATCCCACATATGATGAGGAGGCTTGTACAGCCTTGCAGAACGCTTGGGGTCTACCCGAGACTCAGTAAGCTTGGCCACCGCTTTATCAGCCCAATCTTCTAACGTGATTGCAGCATCGAGTCCTCGTCGTCGGTTATGCAACAGTTCTTCGCCAACCAATCCTGCGACCCTTTCTTGGCACAAAGTCGACCCTGCACTATTGGAAACTATCCCAACTACGCTGTCAAGGTCTCCAACGCGCGCCAAGTAGCCGCCGCTGTGCGCTTCGCCAACGATAACAATATCCGGCTAGTCATTCGCAACACAGCGCACGAGTACGTTACCCGTTTCCATCTACCCGGAAATAATTAACAATATTCTAGTTACTTTGGTCGCTCCACAGGTGCAGCCTCACTAGCAATTTGGACGCACCATCTCAAGTCCAAGGAGGTTATCCAGTGGTCCGACAAGAACTACTCGGGCCCGGCCTTCAAGCTAGGCGCGGGTATCCAGGGCGCTGAAGCCGTCGAGTTTGCCAGCGCGAACGGTCTCACCGGCGTCCCTGGCGAGTGTCCCACCGTTGGTCTCGCTGGCTTTACTCTTGGCGGAGGTCATTCTCCGCTAAGCACCAGTTTCGGTCTTGGCGCGGACAATACCCTTGAATTTGAAGTTGTCACTGCTGCGGGTCGTATCGTTCGTGCTTCTGCGACTGAGAACAGTGACTTGTACTGGGCTCTGGGTGGTGGTGGTGCTGGTAACTTTGCGATTGTTACGTCGATGACTGTGAGGGCGCACAAGACATCTACCATTGGTGGTGCTACCCTTACTTTGGGTGCGGGATCAAATAAGGATGCCTATTACGCTGCGCTTGAGAAGTTTCATGAACTCCTTCCTGCCATGGTAGATCATGGTCCTACGGTCGTTTACCTCGTCACTGGCGCTGGTCTATCCATCAAGCCTGTCACTCTCGCCAATTCGACCGGCGACTATGTTCGGGACAAGGTTCTTGCGCCTTTCACTGAGTACCTTACCAAGCAAGGTCTCAAGCACACCGTGTCTTACAGCACGTTGAGCTTCCGGGATCATTACGAATTGTACAACGGTCCTCTTCCCAATGGCCACATCGAATCGTCGCAATTCCAATATGGCGGTCGTCTCATCCCTCGCTCTGTCCTCGAGAACGACAATGCGGCTTTCAGCAAGGTCATTCGCAGTCTCCTCTCCAGCGGCCTCGTCCTCGCCGGTAGCAGCGGTACATTCATTGCTCCCAAGGGCGTATCCAACGCTGTTCTTCCCGCTTGGCGCAAGGCCATCATGTCGATGCAGATGGGTACGCTCTGGGATGTTAAGCGTTGGGATGATATGCTTGCAGACCAGAAGAAGATTACCGAGGTATACATGCCTCAGCTTATCGCTGTGACGCCCGGCAGTGGCACTTATATGAACGAGGCAGACTTCAACCAGCCCAACTGGAAGGAAGTGTTTTACGGTACTAACTGGGACCGTCTCATGGCTGTGAAGAAGAAGTGGGATCCTAAGAGTCTGTTGTATAACTGGAGGGGTGTCAACAGTGAGGTTTGGACTGTTGCCAAGGATGGCCGTATGTGCAAGGCCTGAGCTTTGAGTTGATTCTTTGTATATTTTTGCATTAGAACTTGTATATACTTGGCAGAGCATAGCATAGCAGGACAGCGTTAACTATGATTTATTTATTTGCAGAATATTATTGAATCAAGCCAGTTGAATACAGTCTTTAACTATTGACGTCATTGCTCTCAAAGGTAGTTTGATTGACAGACAGACACAGAATGGCTGCTCATAAAGGTTCCCTTGGGCAGAAATCCAAATCCACTTCACTTAGTGAGATAGTTCGACGTCAGTTCCATGTCAGGATTCCATAAACCGATCGGTCACATTTTGTTACCCCTCCATCGGGTTTTGACATAATTGGCAGGTCGATCTCACGTTTTCCCCCTCACCTTAGAGCCGAAGCTTGATTGGCGGCTCCGATCTCGTGTCACACAAACAGTCTAAAAATAATTAGACGTTCCGAAAGGAGAAAGAAATAGAGAAGGAATGGGTCTCATGTTTGTTTATTTATTGCATATTTCCCTCCTTCTATGGATTCTCTCTCGTATGTTCCAAGGTAATTACGGTGGAGATTGGAATGCGCTAGATTACTTGCCACTTCCGCATCTCCCGGTTCTTCACCACGTCAAGAGTCATTAATTTGCGTCAAGAAAGGACGACCAACAAACCCAAGATGGCGCCGACTTACAAAATCGCTATTATACAGTTTGAGCCAAAGGTTGGTCAGCCCTTGTCTACGTCTACGGTTTTGCATAAGTGATATCCGCGTTGATGTCATCCGCTGACTCACCCAGGCCATCGCTCTACAAGAAAACTTCAACAAAGCAGAATCCCATCTTCGCGTAGCAGCATCAAAAGGAGCCGACATTGCTCTCCTTCCAGAATTTCACTTGACATCATGGGAACCTGAACACCCCGAGTTCGTCTCGGCCAGCAAAGAATCAGCGTCTTACCTTTCAAAATACCAGGCTCTAGCCAAAGAGCTCAACATCAACATCGTTCCTGGCACCATTTGCGAAGTGCACAAGGTTCCCGATAGCCAAGATGAAGAGTTGAGAAACATGGCATACTTTCTAGCGGCAGGAACTGGTGAAATTATTAGTGCGTATCAGAAGAAGAACCTGTGGCATCCCGAACGACCGCACTTGACATCTTCAACGCACACGCCGCATACAGCATTCGATACACCACTCAAGCACGCCAACGGAAAACCCGTACGCGCGGGAATGCTGATCTGCTGGGACCTCGCCTTCCCAGAAGCATTCAAAGCTCTCGTCAACGATGGCGCAGACATCATTCTCATTCCATCATACTGGTTCATGAGCGACGCCGGTGACGAAGGTGGTGATCTAAACCCTGATTCTGAAAGACTCTTCCTTAACTGTGCTCTAACGGCGCGGGCTTTTGAGAATACTGCCGCCGTCGCGTTTTGTAACGCTGGAGGATTGAGTTGCGTGAATATGCCGATTCTGGGACCTTTGGGAAGAATTGAGGTGGGCGAGGAGAAGATGGAGGTTGTCGAGATTGATTTGGATGTTTTGAGGATCGCTGAATCGCAGTATAAGATCAGGATGGATATGCAGAGCGAGGGGTGGCATTACAAGTACGGAATGAATGCTGGAGAGGGATCATAGAAAAGTGAATATCCAGCAAGGTATCTTGAGCCATCTGGTAAGAATTATGATAAAGTATACGAGCAATCAACAATTAACAGTCTGACCTGCAATTCTATATGTAAAAGGTCATTCTGAAACTCCGTTCTGCTCCCCATTTGTCTTGACATCCTCCTCAAACTCTCCCAGTTCCTTGACCTTCCTGACAACCCTTGCCGGCGACCCAACAGCAACACTCCAATCCTCAATATCCCTCGTAACAACACTGCTCGCCCCAATAGTACAGCCCTTTCCAATCTTAACACCCGGCAGGATCGTCACACCACCTCCAATCCAGCAATCATCTCCAATACTGATCGGATAAGCATATTCGATATTGGCCCGTCGGCTACCAACCTCCGTCTCATGCGTGGCTGTCGATATCATAACGTTTGGTCCGATCATGACTCTATCGCCGATGGAGACGATAGCCGAGTCCAGGACCGTTAGGTTGAAGTTGGCGTAGAAGCGTTTGCCGACGGACATGTTGGGGCCGTAGTCTACTCTGAAAGGAGGCTCGATGAAAACCTCGTCGTCTCCTACGTGGCCAAGGAAGGATTTGAGCATCTTGGCGCGGGTTTGGGTTATGTTTTCGATGTTAAGATCTTCGCCCGAGGGAAACCAGGCGTTGTATTCATGCATGGCTTTGCGTGCGGCTAGACGCGCGTTTGTGAGTTTGGGAATGAGTGAGTCGTATCTGGAGGAGTCAGAATAGCTTCCTATTGTGAGTATCACTCTTTTACTAACAGCATGCCTGAGATCATCCTCTCATACTGCTCGCAATGTGGGATGTTCGCCAGTTTGGAAGCCTTCTCCAGCTCGACGGGGTTCTTTTCTTGGGCCGCCATTGTGCTATAGTATGATCTTGAATGGTGAAATAGGACTGAAACAAGTGATAAGCTGAAAGTAGTATATTGTATGATGGAAATATCGTGAAGGAACTTTGCCGCTTTTATGGTTGTCATATTAATGCCAAGGCTCTGCGCTTCAATCAACACCAAGCCAAATGGGGTAACTCCTCTAAACCATTATGTCCGATTCCGACTCCGATAGAGCGGAACGTCGGCCCGGCAGAAGAATAGTCGTCATCCTGGTATTGATCTAAGGGTAGGCCTACAGATAGGAAGTTGGTGGGCTCTCAAATTCTCTCCGAGAGACGTTAGAAGATCCATGAATATCCCTCTGCCGTTTTCCCTTTGCAGATCTCAGTCATGGCGGGATACTGAAACCCTGTAGCCCTCTGGATATCCTCGATGCATAAACTGGCGTAGTGCATCTGATGAGGTGAGCGGGTATTTGCTCTGGCCAATAACAGCGGGATCAGAAGACGATTGTAGAAGACGTTATCTCTGGGCGTAACTGCGCAGATGTCCAGAATCGCTGCAACAGATAACTGAATCCGAGGATCGTTGCACGAGGTTGCAAAAGGATCAGGAAGGCGCATCAGTCGAAGAAGACACGCATGTCGATAAGCTCCTGCAAGCCGTCTCCATTCATGATGGACTGTTGGATAAGCACCTTGTTCAGCGTCCCAGCTCTGCAAGAATCTCTTAGAAGTCTCGAGTACTTCCTCAATTCCTTCGCCTTGAATATCTCCGGTCAGATATGATTTTCCAGCGCTGAGGATCCGGCTCAATTGTGAGAACAGACCGGGTGGACAACCAGCTAGAGTTTGGATATGGGGGCTATCGTGGTCGTGGACATATTCTCGAACTTTTTCAGAGAGGAACAGTTGTCCGGTTCCAATGAGTCCGTGAAGTATGTCAAACCTTGACTGTTAGTGTCACTGATATGATGATGAGTTGGTAACATACCATGCCAATGCAGATATGAGAAAGGTTACTGTTTTAGAGCATGATGAGGTATCTGCTTGGGTGATCCTTTCGCAGAGGGATGACACGCCGTCGAGGTGGCCTCCCATGGTTGGAATAGTTGAAATACAAACCTGAAAGTTGGTCAGCAAATGCTTTCGAAGGACAGGGCTGCGAGAAACCATACGTCATTTAGCACAAGTAACAGCACCATAGCCATCAGGTATTCCTCATCAACGTGTGTTAGCCCAGACATCTTTTCTTTCTGTGCCAGAGACGCCACCGAACGCGTCGCAGATAGTCTATACCCCATTGAAAGACTTTCCAACCCTTGATCATTGTATAGACCACTATTGTTCATATGACTTAAAGACAGTCCAAGGAGAGCGTGAAGGACACCCTGGTGCTGATAAGCTAGTGGAAGGACATACTCCCGGAAGGGATTACTCAGGCCAGTAACTTGGATAGATAGTTGCTCGCTTAGTATAAAATCGACTGTAGGAAATGTTAGTAAAGGTGCTGCGAGAGCTTAGGAGTCTTACAGTGGCTGATTATATGCTGGTGTGTAGTGATATCACTCACGAGATCAGACCCGATATCTGCTGTTCTGGTAAAGCTGATGGGCATAGGTGAAGGTTGGGGGGGAGAGAAGTCGGGTGTCAGGTCAGGCGTAGCTATAGATAAAGGCGATGGCAAAGCGAGGCGCGAAGTATCAAAAGGCACCTCGTCCGCATAAAAGGATGACAAGTCCGTCTCGAATCGTTCATACCCCGACCACGAGTCTTGGAGTAACTGATGTGTCCCTGACGACTGTTCGACGGTACTATCCGGAGTCGCGACCTGTGGTGTGTCGGTATCAGGAGATACCGTCAAGTTCTCCTGGAACTGGAATCTTGGCGGATATCCATCACATGGAAGGCCCTTGATGCGACATCTATCGCAGATAGGACGCTTACGATCACATTTTCGACATTTCTTGCGACAGGTGCCGCATGCAGGATCTATAAGACGAATTCAGCACATCATTATTCATATACGCGTGTAAAAACGGTAAGAGGTGTGTACCTTTTCGGCGAGCTGTAGGGCGGGTAGATGCTGCAGGGCGAGGCATGGTGCTGGGAGTGTTACCGGATTCGGTATGAGAGAGCGACGAAAGTGTGAATAGAAACGAGGTAGGGTGTATTCTATTTATTGGGTTGAACCATTGGGGGAATACAACCAGCTTTTCTACAGGGCTGTTTGACATGTCCGATTCCGATAGCGAAGTCCGAGTGATCCATACACACTGGAACATAGGACATTCACGTAGCCGATACTACTACATCTCCGATCGAAATGATATCTTCAATACAACAAGCGTCTCTTAAGCTGAACCTTAAGAGAACCGAGATTAGTTACAGCTGTAGCGTCCTCGAGTGAACTAGTAAACCAAACTCTTCTTCCGGCCTGGCTTTACTTTACTGCTTGGACGATAGTACACAAGTCCCTAACAATGTATTCTCTTCAATTGATAGACCGAGGACGAAGCTTAATAATGCATAGATCTATTCCTATATTCCTCCATTGATGGCACTTCCTCTTACGGACATTCCCGAAAGATACCCCATTCGGAAGCTGACTTATTCCGATAAACTCATGTCCGATCACCAACATCCCCAAGTCCGACTCCGATTCATATGCAACGGCAACCAATCTGTCAACATTTTATCTCGAACGCGTTGCGAAATGTATATAAACCATCGCAGCAACATTTGTCTTCTTGCACTTGTTTGAACCTCCAAGGTAGCGTCTGGTGATCTCACACCTACAGGGTATCTCGTGATACCATCTTGTGTTCCTTTGTTCAGCCGTCGCTCACTTCCTAAGCTCCTTACGACTACAGGGAAAATATTTATCCTTCAAAGAAGAAATTACCACACGATTTAATATGATATCTCATATTCTACTCGAGATCGCCCTGCTAGTCACCCAGCCGATGGCTATCCTCGTATAGGTCACGTGTCATCCTCGATCAGTATAAACCAGCCAGGAATCCATCATCGCCAACTATTTTTACTCCCTACTTCACACCCTACATGGACCCTTATGCGACGATCTGCGATAAGACCCCAGAACGATCTGGACCCTGAAAATGCTCCATCTGAAGTTATTCAGGGGCGTTTTGATCGCAATTTGCATCTCTGGCCGTGACCATCACCGCCTGTCCTTATCCTTCCTTTACCGCTTTATACATGTTCACCGCCAGAGACAAGCGATTTATGCAGGCTTACCGAAATACAATTATGACGTATCTACCTCCTTGATACAATCAGCTGCCAACAGTAACCGTGTCAAAACACTCATAGACAACCCCAGGATCCCCCAGTAACCCGAATGTCTGGAACATGGCCTGATTTTGACTTGGCACTACTGTATTGTTGCGTCCACTTCATACCTGAAGAGAAAAGAGAGTTGCCAACGGAGATCCGAACTTCTATTATTGGTTGTGCTTATTTCCCTTTGATGCTGGGACCCCTGCACTAGGCCCCATCAGGCGCCTGCTAATGCACATGATTGGCCCACGTGTGGTTCGCCGACCATCGATTCTGACGTCAAGCTTCGATCTGTCAAAACCGTCCAGGATCCGAGGATCGAAAACCTGATCGAAGCAGGAATATTCAAAATCTCGCGACAACCCTCGCTTTTTCTCCCTTCCTTCTCGTATCATTGCCGTATTTTCAATCATTTTGCTCTTGTCACTCCATTGTGGGTGACACCTCATCTTATCGCTAAGCTCAGCTCGTGCACAGTCGCTTACATACAAACACTCTCTCAATGATTCCTTCAGTAGAAGAAACCCTGGCTGAGTCCAGGAACTTCTTCCTCCCACGAGCCCCCACTAATGCCAATGCCGACGCAAACCTAATTCATAGGGTACGAGATTTTGTTTCTTGATATAACACCAAAACGTCTTGTAACCTTTGATTGCAGACAAAGCTCTTACAAGATGCGTATGCACTACGACAACTTGCACAGTCACGCGACATAGATGAATTCCTTAACAACCCCTCACCCATTGACGAGGCCACCATTGATTTCGCGGATGATCTTACCAGTGCGCTTGGCGATGCGCTACGAGCTACACCACTGGTGACTGATACCGATACGCCCAAGCGACCAAGCCGTCGACCAAAGCGCCTATCACGCCAGAGCACCACAAACTCTGCATCCTCAGTGGGAGGAAGTTCGACGAGGAGAAAGTCGAAGCGATGCTATCTCTGCGGTGTGGCTGATTCACCACGATGGCAGGAGTCTGGCTTTGGAAGTCGAGTGTTCTGTAATGTTTGCGGACTGTTGCACTCCAAGAGGGTTGTGCGAAAGCATTTGCTCCAGTCTAGCCGGGGCGATACAGCATCTACTACTGACAGTGCCTGGTCTTGACTATCAAGGGCTACTCATATTTTCTTTTGTCTTTGGAATAAAAGGATGCAAGCTGGCGTTGGGTATAGGGTATATATCGGCTTTTTGTCTTTTATGGATTTCGGGCTATTATCTCAACTTAATAAACATGGATTTCCACGTAGCAATCGCCAGTCGCGGTTGTAATTCTCTTCCGCAACGTCCATCGGGCTGAAGTGTTTATCGACCAAGTACACTTTTGAAGCATCACGACTCCAATGCTCACGCAAGATCTGTTGTCCCCACCCTCACCTTTGCAATATTGCTGCCTCGTGAAAATCCCTTCCCAACTTATTCTTTCGATGGAAAATTCTAAATACGCAGATCTCTCTGCACGGAACTTCCAAGACCCAAAATATTAACTTGCTGCAGAAAGGATCTCCCACAGTCGGGCATAATGGTCCCAACAATGATTTGGAGCTCCATAGAGGTTGGACCCTGGAAATAACGTCTTCTGGGAACATTCTAGCGCCAAGGCCACGTAACCGCTTCCTCGGAACATCCCTCTCTCCAATGACCTGCATCTTTCGCGTACTACCGTAAGACGAGCTCTTTACTGGATTTGTTCACCACCGAGAAAAGTCCATCCGGGGTAAATCTTCTTCAGTAGCGGAGATCCGTTGCTTGCTGATTGGTCAACTCGCGAGCCTCTTGGGACCCTGAAAGTCAATTCTGCCTGCCCTGTGGAAGGCACTAACGGAGCTCCGACGTCCTCTGATTGGTCAACCCACCTCCTCGTGCCTAAAATGACATCAACTGTCGATCTGTCCAACCACACGTGTGTCTGCGCATCGGCGATGAATTTTGAGGGGTGGAATGCTGGAATTCTTCATCTCAAAATCTCACTATTCGTAACCTCATCTTTACAACTGTGATCTCGATCGAGCTATTTGCCTGAAATCGTTACTGCGATTGCATTGCCTGTCACCAATCGTTACCATTGCCGTTACTGTTACAGCGAGGCGTCACTAAAATGCCTGCCAGCAGCAACTTCTTTTTACCGCCAAGTGCCCACTCATTCAACACGTTCGACACAACCGAACTCCAAAACGTATGGCTCACGCTCTGAAAAGGCAGATTCTTCTAATTTGACTTGATGGAACAAGGTTCTCGAAGATTACGAGTATAATTTATCCCAATATGGATATTCTGAACGCCATGACCAACCATACACACAGCTGCAAACTCTTACCGAGGCAGCAGCAGAATCATCTTCCTCACCTGCGATAACTTCAGACACGTCCAAGACACCAACTTCACGGGACTCTATCAGACTATCATCGCGATCTCACTCATCAAGATCTCATCGGCGCAGCAAAAAGGTCTTGTCTTTTACAACCATTCTACATGTGATTGTTCCTAACATGTAGCAGACACCTGATGATTCTACTCCCGGAGTGAAACGTTGCCATATATGCGGTGTCACAGACACACCTCGCTGGAGAACCAACTCTGTTGGCGCAGGTCTTTTATGCAACGTCTGCGGTCTTGTCCAAACGAAGAGGATCTCACGTAAGAATCTCACCGTCAGTCGAGACTCTACATCGACAATGAGCAGCAGTCATCGATGATACAACACTACGGAAATTGCTTGCTTTACCAGAAATTCACAGCCGGAGTTGATTTCGAATTAATTCATGGGAAGTTGTCGGCGTCAATTATATCCCCCAATCTTTATCGCTTTTTAAAAGGCAGAAACGCAGCTCGCTCAAACACGCCCAACACCGCGGATTATCTACTCGCCCTCATCAGAAGCAATCTCACTCATCCGATCAAGCTCATTTGCAAGTCTACCGCCCTGCGCCCCAACGGAATCCGTCACCGCTAGGTCTAAATCAACCATCCACCTGGCCATTATCTCATCCGTACTCCGATCATCAGTCACGAATCGTTGCTCAGTATCTTTCAGCCGTCTCTTCACACGACGTACTTGAGTCTGCTCTATGCTGCCCTGCCGAATCGCCATTCGCATGAAACCCTTAGTTATGAAGCCGAAGACCTTGTACGACATGAACAGTTCTTCAAGACCCGCTACGCAGAGGTTCACGAAAAACTGCATCTCGTCTTTGTTGTGGTAGTCTGTTCGTATGGTTGCATTGGCGACATATATCACACCAGTGTGCCAGATAACAGAAAGAGCTTCGAGTTGGAATTCAAGGCGGTATGACAGTAGGAGGCGCTTCATTTGACGGATTGATACGTGGTACACCGCCCAAGGATTTGCGCGGTCTGCAGCGAATGTTTGCAGTGGAGTGGACGAGAGGTCTGGGCAACGTAAGAAGGGTCTGAAAAGATCTGTAACTATGGCGTGAAAGAAAACACTACACAAGTCAGTCCTGAGAAATTAACTGATGTGTAACAGTCTTACTGCATGAGATAAACAGCATGGCTGCTACCTGGCTGTCGGACCAGTTGAAGGGGCAACCCATCTGCCCAAGCAAGTAGTTGGCGGTATGTACCTTCGACATATTCGAGAGCTGCGGTCTGATTTAAGAAGTTTTCTAGGTCGGGGCCGTAGTAAATCCTGGCTACGGGGACAAATATTGTCCACAGTTTGCACATGGCACGAAAGCCCTTGACGTCCTCTGGTAGTGTGGTTGCAACACCCTCCTGACCAGCAAGGGCAAGGTCGATATCGCCAGGCATCATCAGCCTGGGTGGAGTTTCGACTTCGATTTGATGATAGTGTAGCGCAAATAGACTACATCCGACATGTCAGCACCAGTTGACCAACGCAACGATATCAACTTACGAGGCCCAATTGAAAATGCCCCATGCCGTATACGAAGCCGCCTTCTGCCAATCCGGATAGCCCTGAAGCCAGGCTGAGGCAGACTGAGATTGTGGATCGACATTCAACAGACCCATTATCCTCGCCAGCTCGAGACCTTTTTTCAGAAACATCAACGCCAGTTCATCCTGTCCATGCGTCACGGCCGTCATGCATAGAAGCTGTAGTGCAGATATGTTTGACAAAGTGACAGACTCATGGTAGCCCAGTTGGTTCCATTGAGCCTGGGCCTCAAGAAAGAAGAGCGAGCTCCAGGATGCTGCTTTGGGGTGTAAGGACGTGTAAGCTTGCTACACAAAGCGTTAGCTGTGGGCCAGATGCGTGGGTGTAATTGCCTTACACAGGCCCATCCTAAAAGAGCCGAAACCAGCAATCGAGAACAAAAGTACGGTCGATTCTGAGAAAAGTCTTTGAGATATAAATCAGCGTTAAAGAGTGGAAAGACTGGATAGTCGTTGTTGAGATAAAGTGCAATCACCCGGATTGCAACGTCGTTAGGGATCGGCAATTCTGTCCAGCATGTTATGTCGACTTGATGAAGAAGATTAATGTGTGATCGGGACAGATGCGACAGGTTTTTACACCAGCCATCAAGTCCCTCATCGTCGTTACTGTTCGTGGGAAGCGCCTCGGCCGATTCTGGCGAATTCACATCATTTAGCTGAAGTCGACCTCCCAGCATCTCAGGTTTCCGTGGAGTCAGAAGCATCTCCAGAGGCAAAGACTTAACAGCAATCGGCATCAAGATAGGATACGCAATCGGATGCCGAACCATAAGCTCCTGCTCCATCGGATTCGACGCAGGCGGCAAAAGACTCCCCACGAGATTGTACCGCACCGGCGAAGGCGGCTGCGCAGGAAGCGGTGTCCACGAAGGCGGTGATTTTGAAGAGGATGAATCCGAGGACTCTGGTGTATCAGCATTTGAAGAGGATGCAAATTTGTTTCTTGGCATCTTTCGAAACATCTCAAACAACCCCAACGCGTCAAAATACGGCAACGTGGCTATCAACTCGGAAAGCGCACTTGGGTCCCGGGTCAATCTGGCCAAATGCTGAAGCTGAACTGAAGAAGCTGGTGTTTCGGGTCCGTCTAGATACTCGCATGTCAAGCCGCGTTCGATGCATTTCATACATGACGGACGACTGCGGTCACACTGCGGCACAACAAGGTGTTAGCGACTTATGCCTTTTGCATGAATTTCTGTCAGCACCGAACCGTCTAGAAACAGCATGTACACATTCAATCTTTCATTTCGGATGCGACAGAATGAATTGAGATGAGATGATATGACATCGAACCTTTTTCTTACGCTTCCGACAGGGTTCGCAAGCGGGGACGTATCCAGCTTTCCGGACCGATCCGGGTAGCCTCGCCAGCTGAATAGCCGACGACGCCTGGGCTGCCAAGGTCGGCTTCTGACTCGGAGGCCGTAACGGCTGTGGCTTCTGGGGAGCCATAATGGCTCAAACGAGAGACTTGCCGAGATGGCATGGTTGAAAGGGAGAATATGGGACTTTTTTCTGGGAGGGGATTGTTTGGTCTAGGGGTCCAGTCAGTAGCTGGGAATTTCGCCACCTGTTGGATGCCTGACTCAGCACATTTGGTCTAGACTTTTCTTGGCACTTAGGGACAGGGTTGCATAGCTTTTACGTCATATGGTATGATATCTCGGCAGTTGAAGCTGAAGCTTTATAAAGACATTTTTATACTGTTGTTATTATTGACCTAAGAATCTGTTTTGCACTTCAATTGGGATTGAATAGATCAAGATGTGGCTAAATTGTCATGTCAATAAATGTTCTTCGCAAACGCCGATACAACCCAAGAAAAGACCCTTAGTCGAAACCTACACGGCCTACCTGTTCTAATTGGCTAGGAGTGCCGCCGATTCGCGTCTATCATAAAATAAAGTCTGACTGGTCGTTTTTCCATCCGGATAATATAGGGGATTTTAACCAAGCGATGGCATCAATTAAACATCATCGAACCAGCCTCTTCTCCCATCCGGCTCTCATTTCCGACGAGTCCTTTGCTAGATTTCTGCCATATATGAACTTTCCCATTATAACGTGATCTGCAGCGTTAGATGACCGCGACAGTGAAAGGGTTCATCTGCATTCATGAGCTTGGCTAGAAACCACACAGCTGCCATGGATGATCCTCGACTTCTCACTCTTACCATACTACCATTTGAACACAACGCCTCTTGGAAGTTTAGTGATCCCAGTACCAACGCATCCATAAATGGCAAAAGTCAAATGTACGCATTAAATTTCAGTATCGATAACAAGGTTAAATATAAACGACAAATGGGATTAATGTAGTGAGGTTGGCTTATACATGACACAGTCCTCACACGGCGTTACATCTCAGCAAGACAGCCTACATCATACCACTTGTACCAAGTGACCATGCCGTCAGTAATAAGCTCTCCTGAGAAGTACTCGCAACGGCCTGGGCTTTCGAAGGAATCGTAAAAGGCAATAACCTCGCAACCGTCGAATGCAGCACATCCCTCCAGGCACTCCTTAGCGCTGTTTTTGATTCCGGGGGAAAGAAGAAATGTCATTTCGTGATCTGTGACAAAAAAGCCTGTGATGCCGCAGACATTATCAGCGGGAGCAGCGGCTGATGTGGTAGCCTCTGCCGTGGTAGTTGTGGGGACAATGTCGATTGTGGTGGTTGGGGCTGTAGTGATGATGGTTTCATCGATGATGGTTGCGTCTGTTTCTGAGGCTGATGTGGTAGTAGGGTCTTGAACATTTGTGCTTGTGGACTCCGCAGCGGAGGTAGCAGTGGTCTCAGCAACAGAAGTCTCAGAAACAGTAGTGCTAGTGGCCACTTCAGAAACAGCTGCTGTGGTGCTCTGAACAGAACTCGTGATAGCCTTGCAAGGACCAGCAGCGACAGTTGAGACAGCGGCAAGGGCCACAAAGAGGGACTTGTAGTGAACCATCTTGAATCTTTGTTTTGTTGAAATTGGCTTGATAGCGAGTGACTGAAGGTGAGACCGTTGCAAAAGAGTGACTATAGGAACGACCCGTAATGAAATAAAGTGCACGAGTGATGGTCACAATCTGAGGGAGCAATGAGTCTTTATATATTTCCATCGACATTCATCTAATCCCCAAGATGGAGAGTAGTATGAGACTAAGGATCAGATCCCTGGATAAGCTGGACGAGACTATCGGTAGAGTAATTTGAGTTAAAAGTTGGTGAGTGTCACTTGAAGCTAAAATATGGAGCTGTTTGTGTAAGATCAGGGGTCTTAGTGATCTAAAAACGCAATCGCGTGGGCTTAAGATTAAGGATTCAATAGTTTCACTCAATAGTTTCACCGTGCTAGAGCTATTCCTGTCCACGGACATAAGCCACGATTATCTAGTATGATTGACGCTTCATTAAAAATCGGGTTTTTATGACTTTGCGATATTAATCTACTTTCCCACAATGTGGCCAGGAGCTCACTCAGTTTTAGTTGGCCTCTTTGGTGTTGGAGAAATTGTCAATAGTTTTGACGCACATCTTTCAAGCGGCATCAAAAAGGAGTTCTTGTATATATAGTTCGGGATTTATAGTCGCCATAGGTAAACGAAATCATAAAGGAGTAACATAAAAAATGTAAAGCTCATTACCTTACAGTTGTAAATTTCGGCCAGGCAGCTTTCGCAATCAAAGATCCGCGCATGGGTGTTGCCAGCCAACCAGATATGCGCAGAACTCAAAACGAACGAATCAGTTTATAAGTAAAATAGCAATGAAAGTTAAAGCTAACCTTAATCTTCTTTTTTATTCATGGCATTCACAGGTTTGCAAAGCCTTAGCACAATTGACACTCAAACCCAAATACCCTACACTGCTTGCCCCACGGCCCAATCTCGGCTAGCAAAAAAGCCCACCATAAAAACCTTTCCCCCTCACGAAATCTTCCCTTTCTTTCCTCTTCAAGCCCATCGCCCTCCCCAACGCTGCGTTTCCATGCTACAAACAGAGAGATTCCCAGAATCTCTCACCTATTCTTTACGCATGTGGGAAATTCGGAGTAAGCCTCATCCTCACCACCGCCTGCTTTTTAGTGGGATCGGTCTGGTCTGCCGGTAACGGTCTGGCGTCAATGTACGTCTGCAAAGGACATCAGAAATCTCAGAGCTGCTGCTTGATCAGTTGTCTCTATGGGAAGTCTTTGCGAGGCTCGTTTTGGGAAAAACTGAAGTGCGATACGCGGCGTCCGGTCCTTTGGACTGGATGACTCAATTCCGATCACTCTGGGGAGGGCGATGGCTTCACCTTTTTTTTCCAGGTCAGTATTTTCTTCACGGTTCAGGATGTTTACTAATTTGGAGGGGTGGTAGGAAGGGTAAAGCGAGGAGGAGGAAGAGGAAGGGAGGGATAAGAGGAGGAATGGGGTTTTGTCATTTCGGTCGTTAAATACGAATATTCTCAATCATCACTATTTTTTCCCGGCGCATTGAATCCATGCGATCCTGTCCTGTTCTGCCCTGAAGCCAAACAAATCACGAGTATTGCTCGTCCTAACCCATCCAGAAAACACCACCGAACGCCGTCGTTAATACCCTAGCAATACAACTTCCATCGAACCGATCAAACATCTCCCGAGTCCAACCCCCTCACGATCGCATAACTCGTTCCCGCGGCCAACATGCCAATAACAAGCGTCTGCACCGCTCCCCAAACACCCGCGCGATGGTTGCGAATCGCAACATAGTTCTTGACATACCCAAACACCAACAAGACAGCAACCGTGATTCCGATCGATACCCACAAAGCCTCGCGCACGCGCGGCATGACAAAGTAGGGAATCATGGGGATAAGACCGCCGATGAAGTAGCTCAGACCCATTGTGACAGCAGAGATCCACGCGCGGTGGACGTTGGGCTCTTCAAGCTTGAGCTCAAAGTCCATCATGAAGCGCACCCATTCGCTGGGGGACTTGCACAGTTCGTCGACTAGTGGTGCTGCGGCGCTTCGGGAGATGGAGTATTTTTGTAGTACGTCGTACACACCTGTTCTCTCGTCAGAGGGGCGGTTGTGGACTGCGAATTCCTTCTTGGAGGCTTGGGAGTGGTAGGCGTCCCGTTCTGTGACGGCTGCGAGGTAGGCACCTAGACCCATGCTAATCATACCGGAGAAGAGCTCTGCTAGGCCAGCAATAATAACAACCTTTGCGCTTCCGAGACTGGAGAGACCAGCCGTCAAGGCGAAAGGGACTGTGAGGCCATCGGAGAAGCCAATGATGATGTCGCGTAGGATGTCGCTGTAATCCACATGGCATTCTTCATGTTTGCTAGGACAAGGATGAAGAGCACGAGTGTCGTATGGTGTGTGGCTGCTCTGGTAAGAGATTGAGCGCTCAACAGTAGGCTCAGCGGGAAGAAGGGGACTGGTATCAGAAATGTGCGTCATTGTGACGGGAGAAGATGGTGAAAATATGGATGTGGTGATAATCGAATGGTGTTTAGAGTAGCGTTGTCTTAATAAAGCAATTAATTCGCCACAATCTGCTCAATTTATAATCAACAACACAATGGGAATTCTCCGATATTCCGTGATATTTGATCTGATTCCCCCAATTCACCGTCGCCGCAACGCCTGTCTTATATCTTTTCCTTCGCTCTTTGTCTCTCCACTGCTGCACAGACCGAACTGGACGCTTCTCCGAAAGGGAATAGACCGATGCAGCACCCATCGCATCATCCACCAATGAGAGTTCGTGTATTCGTAATATGGTGGTAAACAGAATCAGCACCGCAACGCTCTTAAATTTGTACTCCATCGACTAAGACCAATTAATTATTCAGGGAGAAGACTTTTTACAAGATGGATACGAGTATTGCGAAAAGGGATAGAGAAATTTTATTAAATGCTCGCTTTATTACAAAAGTGGTTTAAATCTGTGCGAATGGAGGCAATTGAGGCAAGAGACCCAAGCTACCTACAGCTTGGCGTCACGCTTCTTACGCTGGTAGAGCATCACCTCGAAACCCTGCACACCACCATCTCGAATTACTCGTCTCAAAATCTTTCCACTGGGAGACTTGGGAATCGCTTTCACAAAAACAATTCCACCTACAAGCCACTTGTACCGCGCAGAGTGGCTCTCCACCAAGGACTTAAGATCGTGCGCCAAAGTCGTAAGGTCAGCTTCTGACTTATCCTGATCTGCAGCGACGACATAAGCACGAGGCCACTCTGTCGCTTCGCTCTTGTCATGCACGCCAATTACGCCAGCATCTGCGACATCGTCGCTGCTGCACAGAATGGCTTCTAGTTCGGCGGGCGCGACTTGGTAGGCGCGGACTTTAATGAGCTCTTTGATGCGGTCCGTGATGCAGAGGTTGCCTTCTTCGTCGAGGGTTCCTACGTCGCCGGTGCGGAGCCAGCCGTCGGATGTGAGGGCTTCGGCTGTAATGCTCATGTCGGGGGTTTCAGAGCTTCCGAGACCTTGGGTGGGAACGTAAGCGCTCATTAAACCGGGAGACCTGACGAGGATTTCGCCTGGGGCGCCGAAGGGAGCAGCTTTGGTGGTTGTATCATCTGAAGATGACTCTGCTTCGCCAGATGCTGCGACCATGAGTTCCACGCCCCAATGAGGCTTGCCTGTGTCGTTCTTGTAGCCGTGCATATCGTTTTCTCGTAGACCTCTTTGGACTGTGATGCTGCATGCTTCAGACATGCCGTAGCCCAATCGGACGAGGAAACCTAGTCGTTGGAAGACCTTCTCTACGACTTCGTGGCCTAGTGGTGCTCCACCAGTTACGCCTGCGACAACACTACTGAAAGCATTGCGTCCGCGTGCGTCGTGTCGCGCGAATGGTTCCACGACGGGCGACTTGGCGAGCATGACAGCGACGGGCGGCGCCATGTGCAAGTAGGTAATCTGTCGTCGTGGAATAGCGGACAGGACTGTGTCGAGCTTGAACGCAGGCATGATAAACACGCTAGATCCGGTCGCGAAAGCCAGCAGAAAGATGTTTGTTAATCCAAAGACGTGGTAGAATGGCACATAGCCTAGCCATCGCTGATGAAAGCCGTAGAAGTCCGCATCGTGCCACAGCGACGCAATGGAGAAGTTGATGGCTTGGTGAGAAAGCAGGACACCCTTTGATCGACCTGACGTGCCGGATGACCAAAGAATAACAGCAGTGCGTGTAGCAGCCGATTCGGGTGAGAAAGGGTGAGCGGTAGTAAGAGGCGAACTTGTGTCGACAAGCAAGTTCTTCCAATCCCCATCCTCAGCATGCGATGCGGGCGAGAGAGGATACAAATCCCTCGCAACATCAACTGTGTAAACGCGCACACTATTTTTGTAAGCCTCATCCTCTTGCGACTCAATCGCCTTCTCAACAGTATCAAGAAGCGCCTTTGCAGTGAAGAGCACGCGCGGGCGGGAGTTCTTGATGATCCACGCGAGTTCGGTGGTAGTCAGCGATGGCGACGCAAGTGTGGCGGTGAGACCTGCTGCGATTGTGCCCATGAAGAGCGTCGCGAAGGGAAGACAGTTAGGGAGCTGGATGAGGACCACGGGTGCGACTTCGGGACCTGTGCATGATGCTGTTGGGGGGAGAGTCTCGAGGGCGTTTGGGTCGAGGCCTAGAGATTGGAGATTTGATGCTAGAGTGAGGGCGTCGCGTTTTACGCGAGAGAATGTGAGAGGACGGTCTGAGTAGCCAGTGAGTGAGATGAGCAATTGAGTGATGAGACATCATGTGAGAGGATTGATGAAGTGAATGGGTAGGGCTGAATGTGATACCGAGTGAGGTTAGTGGATGCAACTTACCGCTGGCATGGTCAACGAAAATGGGCTGATCATCTTTAATCTTGGGTACCCTCCTCGCTCTAGGCACGTACTCGCTCTCATTCTGAAAAGGATTGCTGAAAGCAAAGTCAAAGACGTTTGCGCCGGGTACATTAGCGGTTTGTCCTGCATAAGCAGGCTTAACAGAATCTGTCGCCATTTTGTGTATGCAGTATCTCGTCTGTCCCGTTCTGTGATGTGTCTTGAGGTGTTTTGTGTCGCTGAGGTAACGTGGCTGACAGGGGTATATTACGGTGCGGTGCAGTAGTGGTTGATGATATGATGGATTGTTCAAGTCTTGGTAAAGGACGTCTTATATTGAGGCTCAAGATTAGATGCTTAGACTAGTTACCTTGGGTATAGAGACCACGTCGGGCCGGCGTGGGGATTGAACACTGCGGAGACCCCGCGTTGGAGGGCGACTCTCTCGGGCCTGGTAGACGGGAGCCGGGCCCTGCGGCAGTTGGCGTCGGCTTCCGTTACCATGGACGACCCCGCTATAAGCATTCGTTCACCCGAAGAAATCCATCAAATAAACTAACCAGCAACTATTGCCATATAAAGAGAATATGAGAAATCAATTGATGCAAACAAACAACGATACCCTTATGGCCTATTGCTTTCTCTTCCTATTGCTTGTTTCCTGTCATCGCCATTGATTCGTGTACAAACTGATTGATCAAATACCCGGACATAAGAATATCCATCCCCGCTCCGAAATAGGTAACCCGAGGAAATTGTTAGTGCACCAAAGGCTCCAAATTAGAGTTAATGGATCGCTTGCCCAAAAACACCCTGCTGTCCACCTCGGTATTGATCCAACTAACCTCATCTACTCCTCAATCGTCGGGAACCACCACGGCTCCTTTCTTATCTTGAGTGGGATCAATAGTCGTAGAGAATTTCATGTCCTTGATATATTTGTAGAGGCATGTTTGCGATGACAAGGTCAATGGCACAGAAAGCTTTGGAGAATGTATCGTGTGTGTCTTCGCTTTCGTTCGTTTCTGTTCGTTTACTGTCTGGTTCAATGCGCGGCTGTCCTGATTCGCTTGTATTCTGCTGACAATCGTGTACGTCGGCAGTCAAGTTGTCTTGTCTTCGTGTCTGTCTCACAGACTATCCGTATATCTCGAGATGGGATCGTGCCAAGGTGTAATTTCCAACGCGTTTTCCCTAAACTCCATATATGCTGTTGCAGCAAGTCATTATAGGTTCTGTTGCCTTTTATTCCCAAGGCCGTCCGTGATTGTCTTTGTTTGTTGTCGGGTCATCACTCTCGTCGGACCTTGCTCTTGAACTGGCCTCTTCGCTGCTTTGCTTGTTGGTTGTCGGCCTCGCTGTACCAGCAAGCGGCAGTAACAAAGCTGCCTCGTGTACACTGTCCAGATAATCATCGATCGACTGCGCACCCCGGATCTGTCTCAAAATGTCCTCCAGCTCACACCCCTCCGCGACGCGCAGCATCTCCAGCACCGTCACCAAACACTGATATCTTTGTCCCATATGCGGTAAGTCTTCGATGTTGATGGCTCGACCTAAGAAGCGGGATACGGGGAATTGGCACTCTTGGTTCGAGGAGAGACAGGGTGTGCATTTCGGTTTTCGGTTGTCGCACTTCAAATTCGATCAGAATACCGAGCAAAGGTTGGGGACAGGACGTACTTTGACTTTCCGGCGTCTGCAGCCTTTGGACATCATCGTTAGTGAGTAGGTAGATGGTCAAGGAATTGACAACTTACCGCGACATGCTACAGATACCTGTGATCTCTTGGTGATTCCCTCAAAGATTCTCGTGTTTGGAGCATCTCGCGTCGCAGCATCTGCTCTCTTGGGCAACAACTCACGCATTGTAGAAGGATTGACCCAAAAGTCTAGACAAATAAAGGGAGGTGAAGAATATATAACTTGTCGTATTGGATGTTACACAGATTACCGTAATCGTGATATGGCCGTGACATCAGGTAGTAACAGATACATAGTGAGAAGCGGAGGCTTCCCAGGCGGGAACGATCTGATGTGCATAAGTGCATAAGGGGATGTGCTAGTGACATAAGGCTGACGGTTTGTCTCCCCTCGGATAGTGGGCTCGGGGGTTAATGATTGGCTTTTCTCCGGAAGAGAGATGTCTCTGAGAGATAGCCTATCTGTTTGTCACTTTTTCGGTCTATACCACACGTTTGAAGCTATGTATAGGCTATTGGTAATTGTGAGCGCGAACGTCGTTTCACCGAGGCCTCAATGCAATCCTGAACTGACCTCCTAGAGAATGCTCCTCATATCAAAAATGGATCATTTCACGGTTGAGGAATTGTTCGTTGGGTACATTATATCTGGATGGAACCAGGACTAGTAGCTAGCCGGAAGTGGCGTGCAGCTCTACGCGCGGAGATGTGTTTTTTGCTCCGGCGCGTCCGAAACCTGTAGAAATCAAGGCAAACAGTAGTTCGTTGTGAGAAATCGCTGCAGGGGGTGATGCTGCCCATAGCATAGTACGCGGTATCGAGGAGCAGTGTTACATGGCTGTATATCAATGTTACTGGAAGATGGCTGTGGGAGGGTTGCAGTGGACGTGCAGAAGATGGTGTCCTCAGCATCTATCGTGGTGCAACGTAGATAGTAGCACTAGAGAACTAGAGCTGGGCAAGAGGTGGCGTAACTACAATTCTACACATTACTATCTAAACTAACCATCTTGTCATAACATCTAAAATAGAGAATAATCACACGGATAGAGAGTTCAAGGAGAATTTGCTGTACGGCACTAGTGGGAGACATCCCGAATCTGTAGAATCGACATCAGGGCGTGTCTGTCCGTTCCAATGAATAGGGGCAGACGGACGGCGCATCCATGAGACCAACGCGGCTTCTACAGTACTCCGAATGGAATAGTCTCGTGAAGCTTGTCATGTAGGAAGATTTAGTACTCGAATATTGTCCTCCGTTTGTGTCTTCGCGTTCCGTGCTGTTTCGTTCGTGGAACGTGTCAAGATTGACATTCGTCGTCCGAGTTTTCAATCGAGGCAGTCTGTCGAAGGGGTTGATCGATCGTTCGAAATTTCGTGCCAAGGACCGGCAGGTACAGAGTAAGGATATCGCTATCGTGATTGTACATTTCTCTTCCCGTTCGATTAAGTGGATGATGGCGGTGTCTGGCTTTGCGGTGTTTGGGTTGATGTTGGGGGCGCCTCGAGAGTAGGCTCGGTCTCGTGCGTTCGCGGGGAAAGAGTTAGCGTTCATCGCATTCGTCAACCGTGTTTAGGTGCTAGGTAATTAGATGTATTTGATGACCCTGTCGAACTGTTGAAGACAAATGGAGAAGGCGAGACTGTAGTCTTGATTGTCTGATGGTTGTTGTGTGTTTTCGAGGCTCTGGATTGCTGATAACCTGCACATCGAAAACATCGACTTCCATATCTTTTCCTTGAATCATATAGATCCGCCTGCTGATGTCTATAACATTTTATCGTTCGTTTGTTCTATCGACAGTGCTCGGGTATTCGGTATCGAGATCGTCGTGGTTTCGTTTGGGCTTGGAGAAGCGTAGAACAAGGAGGCGAGGGTCGTACAAAACTAGGCCATAAGACAAAAGAACCAAGAAAAGAAAAAGAAATCCTGCGAGAGTTTCGAAACATATACTCAGCTTGCTCCAAGTACTGACGCGCAAACACCATCAATCTGACGCGTAGATGATGTCAAATCTGCATATTCTACTGTATTGTGAAAATTTAGGAGGAGTTGTAAAAGGTTTTGTATCTACAGGAATGCACCGACACAGCCCAACACATGTCATTATTACAATATTGCCAGGGAGTAATGAACAGCGAAACAATCGGAGATATATCTCTTTGTCTATCTTTTAATGATCAATTGGTTTGTGGTATGTGGTGACTCGGGTGGTTGCGATTGATGTCATCAGAATGCGTTGCTTGTTGGGTGATCCAAAGCAGCACCTTCGCCCCAAGCGCATGATGTGGTTAATTCTATGGCCTTTCAAGGGATATACAGTACATAAAATCTTGGCTTCCCCACCCACGAGTTACTAACAGATAAAAGTCTCTTTATGAGTTTACCTGTCATGAATAGTTCTTTCTGATTGAGGACCAACATAACCATTATCTTCTTCCAGCCTACCCGGCACTCGGCTAGAACTAACATGACCCGATGCAGCTAGAGGACAATACCGAACCTAAAGTCGTCCCAAGCCGTTTCAAAGCCCTCAAAACAGAGCCGAGCATGCATTCGACCATCATCACAATCTATATGGGTCATCGAAACCAGCGACAACCGGCAATTCTCCCAAACGAACAATGCCATCCATTGATCAACAGCAAAGAAACGCACCTGTTATTGGTTGAGAGTTCTTTGCGGAGTCCTCGCCCGTGCGACGCTGACTGGTTAACCCCCAAACGGATGGGTTCTTAGTATGATGCTCATTGGCCGAAGACTCGCCCACAACACTCTCCCATCTTCACCACTGGCCGATGATCTGTGATGCTTGCGTATAAAGTCATTCCGGCCGATACGCATTGTGTTGTCTCCTTTTGGTGTAGAACTGCCTTCTACCTCACCTCCGGGTTTGTTTCGATCCCTGCAGATCGGTCGCGGTCAGAGCGCCGTAAGATCACATGTGGTCTCAACATTCTACAGACCCCGGGATCCTTTCTCCTCGACATACCCCAATCAGCTTAATCGGCCGACGTCTTCTGGGGGCCCGCGATCCTCCGATCATGGGTCTTACACCAGAAACTAAGCGTACTGATGCATCGCATGACACCTTGGCACCGAATCTCATAGCTCAGAGAATAGTCTTCTATTGTAAGAGACAATAATATATCTTTTGGTCCGCAAGATATCCTGACGAGTGCGATTGATCGATTTGTAGTTTGTCTGCGTGCTGTGTGAAAACACTGCAGATAGCGTCCCTGAGCTGCAGCCACATTTAACAACAGGTATGTATTCACGAATATACCAAGGTAGAAGTTATATAGTTCTCAAAACACCAGAGAGTAGATTTCATCACTTTAGAGTCTAAGAGCGAATACAACAGGACGTGAGCTCGGTAGGGAGCAGCCCGTGAAGCTCGGTCGACCAATGAACAGAACTTGGGTTCCAGCGCAACGTGCGTGGACGCAGGTAGACGGATAGCCTTCAGATAGC